AATAATTGCCATTGCAGCAAACGCTTTTGAACATCCGTTGCTAGACATATATGCTGATATAACTCCTAAACTAAATGAAATCACGATATTCAAACCTAAGAAAAATAAGGACATCTTATGTTTGCATCCATCTTCCTTAGCCTATTTAATTATTCATAAAGTCATTTACTATTTTCTTTGGGATTTTATTTGAATTTATTTACCTTTACCCACATTTACTATTATTTACTATTGGACTTTTACTTTAATAAATATTAAATTTCAATTTGATTTTTTTGTTTTCAATTATAAAGTTAATTTAATCAGCTTTTATGAATTTAAATAATTTTTGTAGCTGATGATTACAAATTTTTATTAAAGTTAAGGCAAGTAAATTCTTTGATTTTTTGGTCTAGAAAAAAATAAAATATACTGTATAGTGTAGTCTCTAATTAATTAGCACTATCAAAAATTCTGATGTTTATTGGGGTAAAAAAATTGAATAAAAATAATTTAAATTTGGATAGAAATTTTATTGATTCTGAATATGTGAGAAATAACAGTCAATATATATATTTGAATTAAATTTTTAGATAAATTTGCTATTTATTCTTTTAAATTAGAAAATTTTTAGATACCAAAATTGCATTTTCCTTAAAATTTATTTATTAGCTTCTATTTTCGAAGCGTTTTTAAGAAGCAAAAAGTGATATCATTAAGGTTAAATTATCAAATATATCAAATAATGATTTCAGTTTTTAGATAGAAATTTTAGTTTTCCTTCTAATTAAAAGATCTTAAGAAATAAATTTTCATTTGCTGGATATTTAATAATTTTGATCAAGGCTAATAAGAAATTTTTCTTATCTTACTTGTAATAGCCTAATTGTTTTAAAAAATGTAATTGATAAATTATTAAATAAAAAGGTTAATTCAATTAAAATTTAGTAATTATCATACACAGTCTTTCATGAATCTAATTATGGATATAGTTTTTCACTTGTTATCTAATAAACGCTAGCTTAATAAAAATAAATCAATAGAAAATAAAAAAAATTTTTATAATTCAGATTAAAATTAAATAAATATATTTTTTAGTATTCAAGAAAAAAATATTTCAAAGCAGTTTATATCAAAATTTTTAGTTTTCCTATAAATAGACTGTAAAGGATATAAATATAATTTAAAAAAGTAAACTAAGTTAAGTAAAGTTAATTTTTATCAACCCAATCATAATTTATTTATTTACTTTAATTAAATATTGCTTTTAAATTTACTAGTGGGGAGAATAAAATAAAATTTTTCTCACTTATTTTGTAATAGCCATTTCAAAAATTTACTATAGTTCCCTCAACTTAAAAAATACCAAATCTCCAATTATAATATGAAAATTCTAATTATTTATACACTAAAATCTAGGAAGACAGTTTCTATTTTTACTGAGATATAATATACTTATAGGATAAATATTTGAGAAAAGATAAAGCAAAATGGCTAATTTAAAATCATAACCAATCTAATAAGTTAAAATATTTAAATTTAAAAAAGTAGTTTTTGTACGAAATGGTTTATTTAGTATTTCAATTTTTAAATTCTGATAAGAAAAATTTTAGAAACAATAACATAAATCATAGTCTTTTTGTTATAGACCTAATCTGAATTAGTGATTTTTTTCTATTAATAGTCTCTAAATTATAAATATATAAAAAAAAGAAATTTAATTATTAAACAATCTATTCCTTATGTAATTTTTCAAAATTTCATTATCGAAACCTTTTATGATAATTTTTGTTTTAAAATAAAGGAAAACCAACAATCATTTTTTAGTAATTAAAAAATTAATGTTAAATATACAATTTTATAAATTTTTTAATCATTTTTCATTAAACATAATTCAATTTAAGTAAAAGAATTTATTAAAAAAGTAATAAAAGCATTTTATTAAATGTTTGTGCTTGTTTATTCCTAATTAAATAAAAGAAAAAGTAAAATAAATAACTAATTTATAGAACGGCTTTCTGCTTTTTATATTTCTTATTTCTATGTAAATTTTAATTTCTTATTTAATTTCTTAAATTCATTTGAAAGCTTATTTTTAAATAAGGAATTTTATCTTCTATTTAATTATTTTATAGGCATATTTTTTGTTATCTTTCATAAATTATTAATAAAAAATTAATTATTTTTTCCCTTATATTATTTATATGATTTAACTTAATAAATAAAATATAGACATTAAAAATTATAGGAATACATAACTTAAAACATTTTGTTAATTTTTCTTTTTACAATTTTCAAAAAATTCTAAATATTTTAGATAAAAAAAGTAATAAAGTAATTAGCTAATTTACTTATTTAAAAAATTTAGTTGATATATGATTTTAAATATCAATTATAAGATCCTAAATAATTTATTTGTTTATTTATTTATTTTTATTATTTTCTTAAAAAGCTATATTTTAAATTATATTTATATAATATAAACTCTGGCAAATAATTTATTAATAACTTTTATTAAAAATATTTAATTTCTAGTTTAATTATTTATTATTTATTTATATAAATTAATTTAATTTATTTTATGGATTGTTTAAATGACATCACAAAAAGAATATTTATCTATTTTTAAAATTTTGGTAAATTTTCATATTTCTTTGAGGTTTCGAAATATAAAATATAATTTCTTCTCACACAATTAAATTATCCTTTGCCAAAATTATTAATCAGTGTTTTACTTCTGTTTTTATTAATATTTTGTATAAATCTAGTAGCCAGATAAAGTTCTGGGAAAACTAAAATATAAATATTTTATCAAATTAATTTAAAAAAGAAAAAAATGTTTAACTGTTAATAAATCAACAATGATTAAGATTGTAGTGTAAGCAATAACTTAATGGATTCTAATTAAATAAAGTTAGAAAATTTAGTGAAATTAAATTATTTACCTATAAAACTACTTTAATAGTTATATTTACTGTCCATTTAAAAAGATTTCTAGCTTTAGTAGATTAAATTATTACATGAAAATTAATATGGATATTACTTTCAGATTGGAGGAAATTTGTTTATAATTTAAAAGGGTTAAAAGTAAAATTATGAAAAATTCTTAGAATTTTAATTCTAAATTGAGAGGTTAGTTAAATTTCTAGAAAATTAAGGATGCTCTGTACTGAATTATAGTGATTTTACATTTGATTTGTAAGACTAATAAGATGCTTTCTAAGTGTATTGCATAGCTGAAATAATCTTAAAAGATTTTGGTAAATTATTTTAAAGAAAACATGAATTTAGCTTATAAATATTTAAAAATAGATTAATTTAAGAAGGTCTTAGTAAATAATGTAAATATTTATTAAAATAATTCTTAAAAAAACATAAAAATATACTACTAAACTAACAAAAAAATTAAATCAAAACTAATATAAAAATATGAGATTTTGTATTATCACAAATATGATTTCAGGTCAAGGTTTTTGATTTTGATAAAGAGTAAAGTTATCAAAATTATATTAATAAAAATATTTGAAGACATTTTTTGGAATTATAAAAGTTTGGTGAAAGAAATCATCAGAAAATAATTTTTACCATATTAATCTTTGATTTTTTACTAAAGTTATCATTAATTTTATTATATTCAATAATAATCCCAAAATACAAATTTATTAATAATATTTATTATTTGAATTTAGCTTAAAAGATAGATTAATTTTTATTATCATTATAAATGTTTCCATCATCATTATTGATCAATTCATTTTTAATTATCATAATAGATTAAAACATTTTTTTATGTGAATAGATATTCATTTTTTATTATCATAAGCTTATTTTCTTTAAATGTAAATCAAATTAATTTTTTTTAGAAATTATTTATTATGAAAATTAAAAATAGAATTTTTCACTTTTAGCAAATTAAAATTTTAAATAGGATATTTTAAATGATTTACACATATATTAATGTTTTTCGTAAAGTAAAAGGAATTAGATCAGGAAGAAATAAACTGGAATAGTATGTTTGAATATTCTGAATGCAATACAGTTAATTAGACTATAAAAACAGCATTTATTAGTTAAAACTATAACTTTATGAAATATTCCTAATTAAATATAGCACTTAGGTTTTTTTATTTCTAATATTTAAATCTCATTTAACAAATTAAAATTTTTCTATAGATTTTGTTAAATAGAACAAGAAGGAGCTAAGATTATTTCTAACAGTTTGATCTCTTTAAATAAAATAAAACCAATATTAAAACTTTAGTTAAATTTATAGTAATTTATTTATAATTTAATACTTTTTATTATGAACCTAATCATAAATTTTTTGAAATACATTTTATTTTACAATTTAATATTAATTTCTATCAAAAATTAAAAGTAATATTAATCACCAAATATCATTTTAAAAGTTCTAACACATTAGCCGATGAAGGAGTAAATAGCTTAAGCTAAGCATTTATATAACTTTAATATTTATAGAGTTTGAATTTGATTTTGATGTAATTCTATTTTTAATAATTAATTATTTAACTAATTAAGAAATATTTTTAAAGGATTAATTTAATAGGAGATAACGGCTTAAGGCATCTTGCATCTAATTTATCTTATTTACAAAGCTTAGAAATATTAAAGCTCAATTTGCAGTAAATAATTCAACTAAAATTTTAGTTTTTAATTAATTTTAAAAATTGATTAGAAACAATAAATTTGGGGATGCAGGAGTAGCTTACTTAACAAAATGTTTGAAGAATTTACCAAAGCTTAAAGATTTAGAACTTGACTTGTAGTAAATCAAATTTTTCTTTAAAAAGTTTTAATATAAAATCAAATAATTGACAAGCTTCAATGAAACTTAGAAATTTGGTGAAATAATAGGAATGGAAATCATAAATTTAACTGACTTGAATAGACTAAGTATTTCATTTAACAAGTAAGTTTATGAAATTTTAAATAATTGCTTAATTTTATTCATATAATACAGAGTTGATTAGAATAACACTGCTACTTTAATTGAAGGAATTCTAAAATTAAATCATCTAAGTAGCTTAAAATTAGAATTGCAGTAAGATTTTTACCACAAACTAAATTATTATTTTAAAATTTTAAGAATTATCATGAATTAAATTTTAGAAAAAAATATAACAAATTATTTTTATAATTCTAGAAACTGCTTAATTGATTAGAAATGGATAGACGTATTTTAATTAAGGCCAGCAGAGTGCTTTGAAAACATACTTTAAATAGAACTAATTTTACAGTAAATTGATGATTTAGCAAAATATAATTAAAGTTTTTATTATTAAATAGATACAATCAGATAGGAGCAATAGGTTTTTGCAATTTATTTTATTACTTTTCATAACTTACAAAAATCCAGTCAATACATCTTAACCTAACGTAAAATATATTTATCAAATTAAAACAGTCAAACCTATCTAAACTGGGATCCGAAAGAATCAAAAAATTTTCCTAAAATGCATAGGTGCCCAGTTTAAAGATGAATTTTATAATGAGAAAGTTAAATTCAGGATAAAAACTGATATCCACTTTTAATGACTGCTCAGCTTGACAGGTTTTATTTACTATCTATTTTTGTATTCTTAAAGGGCTAACAGTATAATTAATGGAGAGTTTCCTGAGGAATACTAATAAGAGTAAGGCTAATTCAAAAGTTTAGTCTTTCTATATATTAATTTGTGGTATGATATTAGATTTTAATAGGAATTTAAAAATTTTAATTTTTGTAAATGAAAAAGTTGGTGTTAAGTTGGATTAAGAGGATCAAAATTTATTGGAAAATTAATACAGAACTCACCATTATTATAAGATTTGACTTTAGCTTTTTAGTAAATATTTATAATTTAATTAAAATAAAAATGTTAAATATAAAAGAGATAATTAGATCAATGATAATGGACTGAAGATATTATCTTAGAGTATTTCTTTATTAACTAGCCTTAAACGCTTGAAATTTGATTTATGGGGGTAAAAGACAAACTAAACTGTTCAACTATATATACTTATTTTATATTAATTGTAAATTAGATGTAGTAATTAAATCAGTGATTTAGGTTTAGGATATTTATCAGAAAATGTTTTAAAAAACACAGAAATCATTAGCTTATCTCTCATTTTAGTGTAAATTTTTATTTTCTATTCTGAGATTAAATTTATTTTAAATTTAATAAAAAATTAGCTATGGCGTATTCACAATTAAAGGACTTAAAACACTATACAAAAATTTAAAATAATGCTAGAAGCTTAATTAAATAGAAATTGCAACCTAGTAAATTTTATATTAATTTTATTATTCTATTGCAGCAAGAAAAAAAATCAAAAGGAAAAAGAAATTAAATAACTGAAATTTTTATTTTTTTAAATGTATAAGAAACAACTTAAAATTCATAAATAATAAATTTTAATAGATTCTATTTATATTAAAAAATTGAGTAGCAATATTTGAGAAATTATTTAAATATTTAAAATGGCTTGAAATTTATAGATTAAAATTCTTAAAATTTTAAAAGCAAATATTCAAAATAAACATCTGACAAGTAAGTATCAGTAAGTAGGATTGATTTGAAAATAGCATAAATTGGAAAATTTTATTTATGAAATTTATTGATCTAATCTAAAATATTATTCAATTTATTGATTTTAAACATTTAAATTATTCAATTTTGTATTATAGAATTAGTATAAATCTATCTACAATTACTATGCTTGCTAATTTTAAAATTTATCTTACTATTTTTGAATCCATTTTTAAAAATATTTTTATATTCATTCATTAATTAATTATAAATTAGTACAATAAGTGTTTCCTAGAAAGATGAAGATAAGTTTGGATGCTGGATTAAAAAATTTAAAAGACTTTGTAACTATAATAATTTTTTATTGTATTGAAGCAGCAAGTTATAATAAAAAACCATACTATTTTATTTAGAGCAACTAATTTATATATTTTAATAAATTAACTAGTCTTTTAGATTTAAGATTACTCTATATCCTTCCTTTTAATTAAAACCTCTATTTTGAAAATAAAATTTTTTTTTTTGGATTGAGCTTGAATATATTTCGGTACTAAAAATATTTTCTGTATTTGAATATATAATGATTTACATTAAATAAATTAAATCATTCAATAATAAACTAAAAAAGTCCTTAATAAACTTAATAAAGATAAATGCAAATTAAAAAATATCAATCACATTTCATTAAATTAAAAAAAATAATTCAAACGAAATTAAATTTATTTATTTGTTTAAAGCTAAACACAGTTAAATAATAAAGTTCAGATTTAATTTCTTAGTTTAAGTAGATAAATTATACTTGATCTTAATATCTATTAAAATAGAACAATTCGAAATATATTTATTTATACATCAAAATTATAGAAATTAAATTTATAAAGTGTAATATTTGCTATTTTTATCAAAATAATTGTGCGTGAATGTTGTATGTTTGTTTGTTTATTGGTTTAATAAATTTTAGTTATATTATTTAAGCAAATAAATTCGTTTGTTTGTTTGGTTGCCTGTTTGCCTGTAAACAAAACATGGCTTACTCTTTCTTAAATAATTAATAATAATTTAATTTATTTATTTTAATATTATTACTCAGCCAATGACATATTTTTTGTTTTTATAGTAATTTATATTTATTATTTATTTGATTAGAATTTTTAATAGTTAGTTATGTTTAAATTGATATCTTTACAGATTTTTATTGGTACTTAATATTTCTTTTATATCAAAAAATATATTTAGTAATGCTTTCTTCATATGAGTATATAATTATGGTTAATATTCAATAATTAATTTTATTTTTATGGGGATATTATTTAAATCTGTGTTTGCCTTTCATGTAATTTAATCTCTACTTTAAACTAACGAACTAGCTTTTGTTTTATAATTTACATTTATAAATTCGCAAGTTTCTCTTTAATAAATTTTTTATTTTAATTATATTTCAATTTAAATTAGTTTATATTATCCATTATGGTATTTATATATCTGCAAATTCATCAATTTGAGGTAATTCTGTGATATTGTTGTATTTAATTTACAGGTGGATTTTAGTTAAGTTAGTAAGGCTAATGTAATGGGATAAATGGCTGCTGGAACTAAGATTAGATTTGAATAGGATTTTAAGGGTTTATTTGAATCATAGTATTTTATTGTGGCTAATTAGGCTAGGACAATATTTATTATGGCTATTATTAAACTAACTAAATTCCTCCAGATGGTTGTTAGCTGTACAATTAATTTTACTATTATGTATTAGTAGCGTATTAGTTTACAGATAAAGGAACATGTTAAAAATTTTATTGAGCTTGCTATGTTTGTTACTAAGGAAGATTATTTAAATTACCTATCTTTTACTGAGTATTTATTGGCTAAGTTTAAATATAAGGTTTTTATAAACTGCCTGCTTATGGTTAGGTATTTAATTGAATATTTATTTATTATGGTTGTGTTATGACTTATTTTTATATGCTTCCCAAGTTATTTAGTTGAGATGAAGTGGCATTAGGAGTTGAGAGTGGGACAACATTCAAATTAACTGTTGGTTATGCAAGTGATATAGTCGAAGTTTATATTTAAGGTTTTTGAGTAGCTTATGCTGTAGATATAGATGGGTTAACTTAGCTTTGAGAAGCCAAACTATTTGTTGGAAATCCTTAACTAATATGAGAGAATTAGCTCTAAAAATGAGATTATTAATGGCTTTGATTGTGAGAATCAAAGTTGATTGACTGCATTACTTACTAAGACTTAGGCTTTAGTAAATCTCTCCTTATTTAAATTAAATCTTCCTTTGATAAGTCAGGTGATTGATTACGATATGATAGTACTTAGTGTTAAGCATTCTTTTCATATTCCAACTTTCTCTATAAATCAGTCTTTTTAGACACAAATATGTCTTACAGAGTGCGATTGTTATCTATTTAATATTTTTGTTTAATTTAAGTTAAATATCAATTATTGATTTAAATTATGATTTAAAAAAAACAATAGTGATATTCTTATTTTAAAAATACAAATAATTTAAATTTCACTAGAAAATTTTTGATTTCAAAATTTTTTAAATTTTGTTTCAGTAATAATTTTAAATTAAAAAGCAAAGTAAAAACTGTTCAAATTAAAATTAACTGAAATTTATTTTTCAAATTTAAATTTTATCTTCAATTTGTAGATAAAAATCCTTTTTAAATCTAAAATTATTAACTTAAAAGAAAAAGTTTTTTGTATAAAATTATTTTGAGTTCATATCAAATTTTAGATGAATTTCGTAGCAGCTCTTTTTTTAAATAGATTTAGCTAAATTAATTTTAAGGTTTTAAAAAGTTTTCTTAAATATTTTTAATTTGATAAAATATTTATTCTATTTTTAATATTTTTTTTCTTTTTTTAGAATATTTAAAATTTTTTATTTGAAATAAAATATTAATTTCAGAAAATTTTTACTCGATAAAATAGGCAACTTTATTTATTTATTATAATTAGAAAAATATAAAAACTCTTACTTTGTGGGTTAGTTTAGTTATCAGGTTGGTCTGTAACGTTTTTAAATTGCTTCTAAATAAGGGATTCTAACTTATTGTCTTCTGGTCCATTTGTATTATTAACTCTTTTGTTGGAATTATTTCTTTAGTTTTCTTTGTTTTCTTATTCAATTTCATCTTTTTCCCAAAAAATATCAAATTTTACTGGTTTTTTGTATTAAACTAAATGGGGCTAATTTTGATGCATATTTTATTGAGGAGGTAAGTAAAGCTAAGAAGAGTACTCGAATTGTCTTGGTTACTTTATTTCTCTATTATATTATGTGAGGTAGTCTTCGTCAGCAGAAAGCTCAGATTAAGTACATGTTTTCTATCCTATGTCCCATTTTCTTCTTTGTGAAGAGCTTTTCTTTGCGAAATTTCCTGCAAAAGAATTGCTATTGTTATTATTCTTAAAGATTTGTTCTGTTTAACGTTCAATTTGGCTTTAGTCTGCAGTTCCTTGTTACCCTGCAGGAGTTAATGTCTCATCACCATTTTTTTCATAAGATGGAATTTATAATGAGTGGGTTTTATTACTTGTTAGATAGGCTGCCTATTACTACTATGAATTCATGCTACCATTTAAGTTATTGATATTTGTTGTGTTATTATTGTTCAAGTTATTTTATTCTTCTTCGTTTGTTTTTTGTATATTATTGTTTATGATTATTGGTGGATGAACTTGGGGCATAAAAGCTGCGCTCTAGGTTGGATTAGCAGCAGACATGACCAAAGGTGAATTCAAATGGTTAAATGAAAATAAAGGATTAGCAGAAGCACCTAAAAGTTACAAAGGTAAAAATGGTTGTTGCAAAAGCATGCTTGCTGAGCTTCGTTGCTAATTCATAAGCTGTTACTATTACTAAAAGTAATTCTACTATGACAATAGCTGCTACTCTTGCATAAATAATTAGAATTCTAATGTTTATTGCTAGAGTTATTGCTGGTACTAAATAATTTATTTTTGTTACTGCTAAACTAAGTCATTTTACCTTTCGACTTGCTATAAATAATATTTTTCAACTTTTTTCTTTGATGAGGATTGCTATCCGTTTTTTTACTATGAGGGACTTCTTTGCTACTTTTAGGCACTTTCATCATTAGCATTATTTTAAGCATTTGTTCCTCTAGATGTTTATGGAATATTTTTTTCAGGTGTTTTTTATCTAACCTGCTTTTAAGATTGCTAGGCAGATGGAGATTTAATTTATTGTCCGCTTACTTACCCAATCAGCTATTAAGCTTTAAATTTATCATTTTTTAAGTTTTTATTTAACAAAGGTGCTTGCTTTTTTTAACTTGAGTCAGGTGATAAATAATTAAGTTTATAATGCTAATTTTAATTTTAATTTTATGATTGCTAGCCATTAGCATAGATTTTATTGTTTCCCTCTTATCTTTTAGTCTTATCAGCAGAAGATCTTAAATTTGGTGAAAGAAAATAAGAGCTGTCATGTTTAAGTGGAGTCTTTGGCTTTATGTTTGAACCTAACAATATTAATTTTTAGCTTATGGAGTATGCATCACTTTCATCTACATTTTGCATAGCGTTATCATAGCTTTCATCCAATTTATTGCGAATTTAATTTCCTTAATTATTGATTTCGCTTTACAAATTTCTTGCGCAATGACGTTGGTATTCTTCCTATTCATCAATTCCATTCATATGCACATTGTTAAATTCTTCATGTTCATGATGAGGTTCGTTCAGTGAGTCGAGTATTTTCTCCTTAATACTAATATTTTCTGCTATATCCTCCTCATCTAGTCTGTCCAAACTAGACTCTAAAATCTTTGAAATGGTATCACCGTTGTTTGCTTAATTAAAAAATGCTTGCTTTGAGTGGATCTATAAAGATTTAGCACCTATAATAATTTAAATTTAAAATCTATCAGCTATATTAAAAACAAAATATTCGTATTTAAAAATTTCTTAATTGATTAATCAATAAATCAAAAAAGCAAGCAACCAACTATATTCAAATCTTGATAAAAATAAATAAATTTTTTGAAATAAACCACAATAGAAATTATAATTGCAAAAGATATTTTAAATCCACCTTTTTATATTGTGAGATAAAACAGACTATTATTAATTGTAATTAGGAAAAGTAAAATTGAAAGAAAAATTTGAAGAGATTTTTATTTGCTGTAAATCAATCAATTAATTTTCAAAATATCTTTTTTTTTAAAATAATAATTTTGAGAGTGTTTGAAAGTGAATTTAATTATTGACCCATATACGTTGCAAGTATTATATTTTAATTTTTAGTTTGAATTTAGATTAATACACTTTTTGATTTAAAGATTGAGTGTATGGTTGGTTGAATAAAAATTTTGATTTGATTGATTTATTGTTTATTTGTTTTCTTTCTTTCTAGCTTATCTATTTAGTTTTATGTGGATTTATTTATATTAAAATATAAAGGTATATCTAATTATCTATCTATCTTTTTATCTTAGTTTAAAAAATCATTGCTTTTTAATGAATCAGCACTTATTGAATATAAGTATCATGTATATATTTGTATGTATTTATTTATTATTCAATCAACCAATCAAGGTTTGTGAATTAAATAACAAATAAAAGAAGACTTTTGTTTAAATTACTTTAGTTACTTTTCTTATTTTGAAAACTAGGACTCTTGTAAGGAGTGCTTATTATTGTAAGGTTGCTTTGAGATTTAAATTAACGCTAGGTTGTGGGCCTTGTGCCAATATCGATTGAGCGGGTTGTAATCTTTTATTAAAAACATGTTGCGTAAATTAATTTAAAATATTTATGTTACATTTGCCTTGTCAAATGTATTATTATTAGATGGTATTTTTGTATTATGCAAATTCATCAACTCACTGTGACAGTGCGAAAGCTTTTAAAAAATAACTGAGCTGGCTAAATGCTTTGCTTCAAGGGATTTAATTTTTGATTCTACTTCCGATGCATAATCTAAATTCCTATATAGATTATTAAATAATTATTAACTTGAATAAAATTGATTCAAAAGTTTCATCAAAAAGCTAGCTCGAAAAAACTTGCTTATCAAAATGAATAATTTACTAGTTATCATCTGCTGCTACTACACTCTCTGAAAGTCCTGAACCTGCTTTCCTCAAATATTCGTTTACTTAATCATCAAATTTATTTTTCTCTTTTTTCTGCTAAGGTGTTGACCCAGCAAATTCATTTCTTCTCTATTTTATAAAATTGCATTATTTATGTCGCTTTTTGCTGTATGTTTTATTTGAAATTTGAAGTGCTCACACCTTAATTAATTAAACTGCACTTCAAATTTCAATCATCAATCAATGCTAAAAGTCCTATTTTTCTTTTTAAATAGCTATGAATCCATAAGTATATACCTTCATATAATCGGTTTCGTATCCTCTTTGATCCTGAAAATACTTCGTATTGCGGAATTTCCTTAGAGAATGTCCGGAAGTATTATGGTTGTGATTTGATACCAAACTTTTCATTCTCTTTCTTAATATCGCTATTGTATTTGTTTGTCTTATTATTTATATAAATATATATATATTCTTTTTTTACTTTCTTTCTTTCCTTCTAAATTAATTGAATTTCCTTTTGATTAATAAATAGCTTCTTATTAAAGAATCAATGAATTAATAAGTGATTAATCAATTGATTGATCAATTCACTTGATTCAGATTAATCAACTTTTAATTCGTAATTAAATTAAAGAAAGGTAGGTCTATTGCTAAGCACAAATATATAGATAGATATACACAGTAAAGATTTGCATTTTGCACTTTACCAAATAAGCGATCAATCAATCAATTAGCAAGAATCAATTAAAAAACCTTTGCTCTCAATTAATTAGCAATTGTTTTTTGATTTCAATAAATCAATTGATTGATTGACGAGTCTTTTATTTTGAATTAATTACGAATACTATCATAATGGAAACAACTAAAAGGGTAATGACAATAATAAAAATTAGATATTTATAGATTTTTATTTAGTGAAGATTAAAAAAAGATTAGTTTTATTAAATTTATATTTAGAGTGATTGAGTGCTTTAAGCATTTAGATAAGCAAATTCAATTTTTTATTAGAAAGGTTTAATTGAAGATTTATTCTTCTGTTTGTATAGATTAATATTTTAAATAAGATTAATTGCAAACAAAATTTTTTATTTTTATTAATATTACAATTTTTAATTAGAATACTTTATGGATAGTATGAATGAATATCTTTATTTCCAAAATAATCTATTTGTTAGTCTCATTTGTAACTTCATTAATTTAAATTCATAAAATCTACTACAAAATTGCCTTTTTGATGCTATAAATTTAAGAAAATAAATTATATTAGAAAGGTATTATCCATAACTTAATAAGAAATCAAATGATAGTACGTATATAAAATTATTTAGTTATAGATATTTTTTATATGTAAATTAATTCATTCTTAAAGATAATACTTTCTTTTTTAATGAATTTTTAAAATTTTTTTTGAAAGCGAAGTAGGCTCATATTATATTATATCATAATTTAAATTTTATTAAATATTTAAATTCTACAGTTCATAAAAGAATAATGATTAGTTATTTCCTTCCAATTTAAGTGTACTCTAATAATAAATATCAAGAGAGTTTACTTTATAGGATATCATTTGTAAAAGAAAAGAATAACTAATTTTGTGATAAATAAGCAAGTTTTAATTCAAAAAAACAAATTTCTGGACTAATTCTATCATAAAATCAATAACTTTAAGCAATATAATTCAAATAAATATAAATATTTTAAGAAAACTTTGTAAAAAGTGATGAAATTGCTTTTTAAAGATTTTTTTTGATCAAGTAGAAATTGTAGATAAATAAATTTTAATTCATTCAAAAATAATTAATAACCACAATTGCTATCTAAAATTTATTTTTGATTAATCAGATATTTATTTTACTATTTACTATTATCATCTAAATTTCTTTCAAAATAATAATCACACCTTAATTTATTTATTTTTTTTTATTTTATTTAAAAAGCATCAGCAGAAATCAATCCAGAAACGAACAAACAGACTAACAAATAAACAATAAATAAATAGTTAATTAATTAGATTATTTTTATTACTTTTATCAAATTCTATCTTTAATAAAGCTAATGCTACAGTAACGCAAATTTTATTTAATTTTGAATATTTAAATGTTTTTAAATTAATTAATTTATCGTTTGAAGAATGTGACTGTTTTAAAATCTATTTAAATAATTTAATTTAATTAAATTTATTTTTATTAATATTAATCTATTTTTAAATTTAACAATAAATTTTACTTAAGATGATTGATTGACAATATCTATCTTTTAAAAATTTATCACAATAAATCTATTAAACAAAATATTCAATGTAAGTATTTATTATTCACTAATTTAGTTACTATTAAGTTTTTTTATTTAAATTTAATATTAGCATTTTAAGTATTTTTCTATGTTATTGAAACAAAGTAATCTCATAATGGAAGGTGTTTTGTATAAATAATTTATCAAATATTTACATTTATCTCTTCCATAATAAATTTGATTTAAAACTACTTATATAATTTGATATTTTTAATTAAAAATTAAAATCTTGTTCTAATAAATAAATTTCAAATTAATAAAATAATTATTTGAATCATTTCAATAACTACTTATCTATTTTATGATTTATTTTAATATTAAAATATAATTTTTCATTTTATTTATGAATGTGTTTTTTTTGTGATTTTCTTTTTTTGGTTTATGTAAACTTATTTTAATAGCAAATTTATTTATATTATTAAAATAAATAAAATAATAACATAATGGAGCATATTTTATAAATAAGTTATCAACTATTTGTATCTAACATAATATATTTTATATAAGATTCTTATTATCATTTGATTTTTTAACATAATTTTATTCTAATTAATATAATATATATATATAATAATAATCTAAATCCTTTCAATAACCATTTATCTGTTTTGTGATGTATTTTGATTTTTATTGTTTTTACCATCATTTTATTTTGGGAAAATATTTTTGTGGATTTTTTAATTTGTTTGTTTACAAAAATATATTTAAACAATTAAGTTATACTATTACTCTGATAATCTATTTTTATCAAATAAAAATATACAATTAGGGTAATTAATAAGCAATCATTCAGTAGCTATTTTTTTTTAATTAATTAAAATATTCATTTTTCTAAAATATAACTTTTGAGTTTTATGTTTTGCTTTTAACTAGAAGTAAAGTAGAATGATCTAAAATAAAGATTTTATATATAAATATGTTTATTTATCTCTAATTTAAAATCATATTTTTTAAAAAGTTTATGTTAATGTACTAAAATTAAACTTTTAAGTCATAGAAAAATTTAGGATAGCGGACAGAAAAATCTTGGTTATATTAAAAAATTACTCGACCGTCAAATGAAACCATTAAATTTTTAAAAGTGAGTCAATCAATTGCATAAAAAAAATTAGATAGAATTAGTTTTTAGGTTAGTGAAATTTTTAGAAGAATTTATATTTAAATTTCTTGTTTATTTGAAATAAAATAAAAAAGGAGATAACTAAAGTATTAGTTAGTTACTACTGATTTATAATATTAAGTGGATTGTAATAAAATAGGGATATTTTAAAAATAAAAAAAGCAAAGATAGGTGATAAATGGACAAAGTTAAACAATTTTCAATCTTTCATTTTAATGATGTTTATGAGATCGAAGCAAGCACAGTAGAGCCAGTTGGTGGAGCTGCTCGTTTCGTGACTGTTTGCAAGTAATTCAAAAAGGAAAAAGGTGATTAAGGATTAGTTTTATTTAGTGGAGATTTGTTCAGTCCTTCTACTTTGTCTGTCCTTTATAAGGGCGAACAAATGATCGAACCTATCAATGCTTGTAGCGTTGATGTTGCTTGTGTTGGCAATCACGAATTCGACTTTAATCTTGAAACCATTTAAAATAGATTTAAGAGATGTAATTTTCCTTGGTTGTGCAGCAATATTTTTAACATTAGAACTAGTGGTATATTAGCTGATAATCATGCATATTACATAGAAGAAAGAGCAGGAGTAAGAATCGGTATTATGGGTTTGGCTGAGAGTGACTGGTTAAATACAATTACTGAAATAGATATGAGCATAGTTAGATACGAAGATTTTGTTAAATGCGCTAAGCAACTAATTGAAGTATTAAAAAAAGAACATGGTTGCGAAATGATTATAGCATTAACTCATATGCGTGTTCCTAATGATAAATTATTAGCATAGGAAGTACCTGAAATTGATCTTATTTTAGGAGGCCATGATCATATTGTGATTGATGAACTTGTAAATTAGTCTCTCTTTATCAAAAGTGGAACAGATTTCAAAGATTACAGTATTTTAGACATAGAAGTAGGTGATTTTTCATCAGTTCCATAGGCTTAGCGTGAATAATTAATGAAAGAAAAAGTCTATATAATTAAGAATAAATATAAAATCAACTTAAAATTCCACAATGTTACCAAGGATATTGAAGAAGATGAGTAAATTAAGAAGCATGTCGACTTTTATATTGCTAAGTCAAGGGATGAAATGTAAAAAGTTATAGGATATTCTTTTGAACCTTTGGACACTCGTTTTAGTGTTTTACGTACAGAAGAAACTAATTTTGGAAATTTTTATGCTGATGTTATTAGAAAAGAAGTATAAGCAGATGTTACTATCGTTAACTCAGGAACTATACGTTCTGATTGTATTTTCCCAGAAGGAGAAGTAAATTACGCTCTCCTCAATAAAGCACTACCTTTTCCAGATATAATAGTAGTTTAAGAGTTGACAGGTGCTCATATTTTGTAAGCATTAGAAAATGGAGTTTCAAAATGGCCAAATTTTGATGGCAGATTCCCCTTAATTTCAGGAATTAGATTCACCTTCGATGGTAGAAAGCCACCTGGTGAAAGAGTATTAAAAGATGAAGTTTATATTGGTGATAATCTAATTGATCTCAATAAAAAGTATTCAGCTGCAACTAAATAGTTTGTTTCTCTAGGAAAAGATGGCTATGATATGTTTTAAGGACGCCCATATATTTTAGCTTTTGAAAATGGTCTGCCCCATCTTCAGATCATGATTTCTTTCTTCAAAAGTTTAGAAACAAAAGAAAGCCTAAAATCCAATAGCAATTTAGCTTCTAAATTTTCTGAAATTTAAAAAGTTGCATTCAATATGGATGATGAAGAAGAACTACCACCAGTCATGTAGCCATAAGTAATCAGAAGACGTAGTAGCATTATTTCACAAAACACTCCATCTTTAAATAATATCAAAGTAATGAGATCTCTCAAAAGAAAACAATCTAGAATTGAAAAGGTTGATAATAGTGGACTCGTTTCTGGAATTAAAGTACATGATGATTAGGCTTACATTGTTATTGCTCCTAAATGTGATGGAAGAATAAGAATAATTAAATGAAATAACAATAATATAAATATTTTTTAATTACTTTATCTCAATTTATAATATATTTTTGCTTTATTTAATTTTCTGTCTTAATTCAAAATATCTTTATTTATATTTATACATAAAAATATATATTTTACAAGAAAACAATTAAAAATACTTTATTAATAAGATAATTTTAATTTAAATTGATAGTTTCTAATCTTACAGATAGGGAGGGAAGGGTATATCTTGTGATTAACTCCTCTATTTTTAAAGACATTTTATATTTTATAATTTTTTACGATAATATTTTTTACACCTCATTCCACGTATAGATACTATAGATAAGCATATCTTTTATATTTAATATATAGTTTAATCATAATGTAAGTTGATATTTTTGAGTGCATTGAAGATAGTTATTATTTCTTATATGGAGAAAAATTATATGGAGTTTGAATTACATCCTCTATCATATTATAATCTCTTATAAATTCTAAAGAAAAATTTTTGAAAAATAATAAATAAGTAATTAAAAGACTCATTTTTAAATGGATTATTTCATATCTGATGAAAACGATTTTTAAATAATATATGATTGAAAAGAAATTAATTTTCTATATAATTTATCTATTTTATTAAATATCTTTTTTTAAAAATACTTTATATCTTTCTTTCTCATTGGTTCTCGATAATTCGAAAAAAAATTAATCGGAATTTTCAAAAGGGGTCTTATAGTAAGGGGGGATCTTATTATAGGGGGGGATCTTAATATAGAGAGTATACAGTATTTATTTTCTAATTATTAAATTTTGAGTTATGATATATCTATTACTGCATACATACACTATAAAAGCTATTTCTGAAAAATCAACTTTTTATAATTTAATAAATAGTAAAAAAATACTTAATAAAGAATGTTAAAAAATCTGCAAATTAAAAAAGAAAACAATGATCTAGAAATAGAAATCGCACCTTGGGCTATATTAGATTAAAATCTTTTAGATTAAATAAAATAATCCATAAATACAAAAGATCGTTTTTGTTCAAAAGTGAGTCTTAACTTATAAGGAGACAATGTTAAATATTAATCTATATTTATTGAGTTACTTAATTTAATATCCAAGTTTGAATATGTTGAATACCTTTGTTTGTTGTTTGGTTACACTAATTAAATTGACTAAGATTCTTTGAAGGCCCTACTAAAAAGTATTTTTGCGCTTACAAAACTAAAAAAGCTTTTTCTATATTTTGATTTCTAAGTGATAAATGTGAAGGATTTTTAGTCTTATGAATTAAAATGCTTATCTTAATCTTCTTAATAAATTTCTGAAATTAGAGAGTTAGAACTTGTGATAAATAAAGAAAATCAATTTTTTATTGGCAAAGATATCAATTTAATATCTTTTTTTACTTGTTATCAAAGATCAATTAAATGTTTGAAATTAGAAATAAAAGAAAACAAATAAACTAATGAGTAATTAGTTAGCATTATAAAAGAATTATTTTTTTTATAAAATTTGAGGGTATTTTATTTTTCTCTAAAAGATAACTAAGACGCTATTGATATTTCTCTACTAATACAGAGTCTATTTAAAATAAATTTAGATTCTTTGACTTTAGTACTTGAAAAATGTGAGTAAAGTGATATTTAAAGTAACATCTTTGATGGTTAAAACAAAGGCTAATATTTAACCAAAGATATCAGTTTAGTTTTTGTAGAAGTAAAAAATATTAGCAATATTATCTAATAAATATTAATTAATTTAGACTAGTTTGCTAGTTTAGAAAAATTTCATCTACAAATTGACAAAAATGACACTTTGCATAATTTAGAAATGCCATCAAGCAGTTGCTTAGATAAATCTTCTTCTCTTACGACATTCGATTTAGACTTAAAAAACACACGTATATCAAAGTCTTTTCTTGACTATATTAATGATATCCAATTAAAAGTATTTGAGAAAGCTTAAAATTTAATTATTCATCAAGAAAAATACAGACTATAGATTGAAAGCTTAGAAGAAAACCTAAAACACTTTAAATTTAATTATGATTCTTTCCGAAATGAGCAATTTTTAGATTAAATTCAATAATGTAAGAGCCTTTTTTTTAAAAAAAAACTAAATCTTAAAAGGCTTTAATTAGAAATTTTGAATGAAAATTAATACCTTTTAGTTGGGAGTGGCAGCATTGTAGAAGAAATACATATAACTCAATAGACTAATTAATAAGATATTAATGATTTAGCAAAATTCTTAGGTTCAATTGATAAAAATTATCTGAAATCATTAACTATTTTACTTTCACCTCTTTTTAAATCTGTGCATTTAAATACAGAATAGTTGCAGCTTACTTTACTATAGCTAGAAGGACTAAATCATATTGATTATGATTTTACCAATGCAAGATAGTATTTCAATACATTATTAGCATTTATTAGTGATAGAATGGTAAATTAAATTTAATTTGCTAATTTAAAATTCATGATAGAAGATTAATTTCAAGAAGATCTCTTGATTAAAAATTTATAAACTTAATTTAAATATAAAAATGAGCTTCAAAGTGTTGAAATTAAAATAATTACTAATTTGAATAGCTTTTTTTGGATAGCAAAATATAAAAATAATGAGCAAATTCAACTTTAAATATTTTATAAGAAGAAAATTGTCAGCATTTTCACAAGCATAATATTAGAATTGAGCAAATGTATATCCAATATTAATTTAGATCTTAAAATATTTGAAGTTGATTATAATTTACATTTAAAAATGAAAGGAGATGAGCTTAAGAATAATTAAAATAAATAATTGATTTGCCTGAAAGAAAAAGAATAAAATAGATTACCTTTACAAGAATTAAGAGTAAAAAGTGCAATAAATATAGAATTAAATTAATAATTTAACTTTAGTGATTTAAATGAATCATCACCTATTTAAACAGAATATTTAAAAATCAGCTAATGTAAAAATTTATAAAACAATAACTTGTTAACCAAACAATTCTTTGGTTTCAAGGAATTGCTGGTATAAGGATATATTTTTGCAGATAGTAAATTTATACAAAAAATATTAGAAACAAAAACCATATTATCCTTTTAGTATATTTAAGATCTAGTTATTAATCTTGACACTATAACAGAATTTAGAGATTATTTGAGAGGATTAAAAGTGGAAAATCAGCAGCTAAGTTAATTAAGAGTTTTCAAAATCTAATACTTAAAAAAAAGTTTTCATGTTAATAAAATAAAAAAATTAAAAAGTATAGTTATTTGTTGATTTATATTTATTTAAATATAGCATAAAATAAATTGTTCTAATAAGCTTTTTAATTTAATTATTGATTTTTAAATTCCTAAACCTAGGAAATTTAAATTTAAAAAATTTTTTATAAAATAAAATTATTAAAACACTTTACAAGAAAATTATTTTTGTTTCTTTTCTGACTAATTTGAAATTTGTTTAAAGACAACAAACAATCATTAATAAAATGAGCTTGGATTAGTAACAAAAAATATAAATTACATTTAAATTAATTCTTTTACTGGATAATTAAAAATATTCAGAATTTATATGATATAAATAAATTAATTTGATAAAGTAGGAGTTAATGGGAATCTTAAAATATCTTATTTTGACTTTGTTTTTACTTCATTATTATAATTTATTTATTTTTATACTAAGATTTTTCAAAGATATAATTGCTTCTATATCAATTTATTAATTTAAATATTGTTAAAAATCTCAAAATTAAAAAAAAAATGAGTAAAATTGTAAGGTAGTATATTTTATTTTAGTCTTAATTTTCTTGGAAATGTAATATTATTTGATTATTATTTGTTTTAAAAAGTAATAAAAAAGCTGTTCCCGTTCCCTAAAAAATAGTAGCAAATTGAACTTTTATTGATAAAATCCATAAGCTAATCAAAAAATAAATAAAATTGCTAAAAAAGTAGAAAAATATAAATTAGATATGAAAAGACCAAAAATACTAGTTTTAGCAAGCTTATCGATCATTATAACAATCATATCAGCTATAATAGTTTTATATTTCACTTTGTTAAAATAAAAATAATATATTTCTGATTTTTCAAGCCTATTATTTGATAAACAAATTTAGCATATTTCTTGTATTACTGCCACTCTTTCAAGCTAAATTAGTAGAGAAGCTTAAATATTCCCTACATTCGCAACTACACTTAATAACTTTGTTGTTAAAGTGCTTAATGGAACTATAAATATCTATCCAGGTCATGTATACTCCTTAATCAACTTTAATTTGCTTTAATAACAAAAAGAAGAAGACACCCTCTCCTCTTTAATAAAATTAGACCCTAATCTAGTTAATAATTGGCAGTTTGGTCTATTATTTTTTATAAAAGATCTAGATGAAATTGCTAAATAGTATCTATTAAACATTTATAAATATAACATTTTATAGAGATCTTTCTAACATGATAATGATATATAGTAAAGCGAAAGGAAAATAAAATTTGATAATATTTTTTTTGCAGTAGAATAACCAAATATTGTTATAAATAGCAAAAATAATACAATTTTTTAAAGTTTTTTATCTAAAAAGTGCTAAGAAGGAAATGAAAATTAAAACTACCCTCATTGCCAATCTTGGTTTTAAAATACAGTAAATTAAACATATATTTAATTTCATCCACCTTAACTGATCAAAGTTGCTAATAAAAGCTTAATTAGCTAGCTATAATGTTAGCAGCTTATACATAAAAACTATCTTTTTAGTTTAAATAATAATCAAATAATTCTTTGTGCATAGACTATATTAACATAATTCAAAAACTATTTTACTAATTTAGGCAATTACAATTAATACACTTATTTAATTGATTCTTCGAGTTTAATTGTGCTTTAACATTAAAATATTAGTTCTGATAATCTTGATGATTTTTATTAAGAAGTATTTTAATATGTAAATGAAAAATCATAAGCATAAGAATTGAGTATTTCTATCTAAAATTATATTTAAAATTTAGATTGCATATAAAATAAAGATTTAGAACATAAAATTTAATTTTGTTAACAATAAATAAATTTTACAGCTAATAGCATATAAAATGTTGTTTTGTTATCTCCAATAATTATTTAACAAAAGCTTTAAATTTCAAATCTTTTTAACCTAAACTCAAATAAACTTCATAGTTATTAATAAATACCTTATTTAATTATTAGTTTTTTGTCTAAAAGCGATTTCAAAACATGGGAATACAATTTAAGCTAAACATTAGAAAAATATTTCATCTTATTTACAATATTTCTTTCCATACTTACCATTCCTTTATCAATTTTTGTTTATGCTTACTTATTAAATCACTTTATTGCTATAAATGATTAAGTTGATATTTTAATAAATATTTTGAAAGAAATGGAATCACATAAATTTGATAACAATATTCATTCAAACAATTTAGAAGATTTATTTTTTTCTTAAGAAACTAAATTTCTATCAAAGCTTTTAGGTAATTTATTAAATATTATTATACACTTCAGAAAATATATTTGACATAAATGACACCTAAACCCTCATTAAGTTGAGTAGCCACTTAACATTCTTTTAAAAAATTTGCAATATCCATGCTGAGGGTATTACTAAAAACAACATAGGTACTCTTCTGTTGGCTAAAGGTCATCTTTTTGAGGCTCTTGAGTATTTTGTGTAATCTATTGTATGCGCGAGATACGAAATTCAATAGTTTTGTAAAGAAAATCTTTACTCATTTAGTGCTTTTTTACTTTCTGAGTTTGGATACTCAAATAATATGCAAGAAATTATCTCCAAATAAAATAATAGAATTTCAGTAAGCAATTAATTAATTAAGAATTTAATTTATTCTTTAATGAAAGTCAAATTAAAACATCTCTTAAAAACAATTTAATTCAAAGAAAATTTTTTACATTTTTAAATGAAAAAGTGAAAGTATAACTTAATTAAACTTATTTTATATAAATAAAAAATGAATAAAAAATTTCAAAAAAAATATTTTTAAATCTTTAACATTATAATTAAGGTATTTTTCATACTCATTTATCCACTTCAATTGATTTCATTATTTTTAATAAAAGTTAAAAAAAGAAAAGGAAAATTCATTTAAATTTTTTATAAAAAAAATAAATTTATATTTTTTTAAATTAAATAAAATTCTTAAAAATTAATTTAGATAAAGTTCATAAAAGAAAAAGAGCAGTGTAACTAAATAGAGCACTTAAAAGACAGTAAATTCATCAGTTAATAAATTAAAAAAGCAAGAATCTAATTACTCACAATCATCTTAAATAGATCCAAATTTGATGGGAAAGTTAAAATTGTATAATTAATTTTTAAAATAAAATGATATAATGGAACAAGCAGTGAGCTTTGATGAATCTAAAGATGAATTAAAGGAATAAAGAATATACCTTTTATAAAATTTATATTCAAGAAATAGAAATTTTAATATAACTCTGATACTTATTAATGCTTTTTACAAGAGTAGCTTCAATTTTTGGAATGAGTTAAATGAACAAATGGACTTATGTTCTCGAATATCAAATTATCTTCCTTAAAAGGATTTATTACAATATGAAATACTTACTGTAAGATATAAAATTCTATTTGAGTTAAAATAAGTAAAAAAATTAGACTATGTAGAAAAAGAAATAGAAAATATTATTCAAAATCATAAGTAATAGAAAGAGTAGCTGTTATAGAGTAATTTATTTAAAAATAGTAAATACCAATACTAAGAAACTTTAAATTAAGTTAAATAATTGAATGAAAGTTCTAACAGTACCATTATTTCAAATAATCAGTTATACAAATATAAAGATCAAATCCCATCAAGAGGATTTAAATCAATTCCTCAGACAAGAAAAAAACCTAGTTTATTCAAAAAAGCATAAATTTAAATAAAAATGAAAAATTTAAAGAAATAATACAGTAGATTTTATATTAAAATAATTCAGTTTATCAATTTATTATCAAATTAAATGATACAAAAAAAATATTTCTTGAGAATAAAGTTCTAAATAGTTTATTGCTGAAGCCTAATTTAACAGAATACGATTATAGAAATTACTTTTTAAACAAAGTTAGTGAAGTTATTACATACTGCAAAAAATTCCAAAAGCTAGATATTCTTTTTGACTTTAGAAATAATTTAGACTCAGCAGTTTAAGATTATTATTTACTTAATAATTACTACTCTATTGATAATTTAAACTGTATATTTACAGTTTTTAAATCTTAATTCTTAGTATAAAGTGGCTAATTTAAGTAGGCTGCTGAGATGTTAACAAGCTTATTTGAAAAAAATAAATAAATTATGTCTCATTTTTCAATAAAAATTTGTATGGTGCTTAAAGAGATTTTTGCAAAAACTAAAATTTAATCAACAGAATTCAATCAATTTTTTTTAAAATTTGACAATAACATGTCTATGTAAATTGCTTTGATATTTGATTGTCAGAACAATAGTGAATTAATCTTTTAATCAGTTTAACTCTTTAGCAATCTCATTAATTAAGTTCTCAACTGGGCTAGAGATCAGTTAGGAATTATCTTAGCTGAACAAAATTAGATGATAGTTGAAGCTTTTATGCCTATGATGAATATCTAACAAATCAAATTTTTATAAAACTAAATTATAAAAAAACTGATGGGCGTAATTAATGGTGATGTAAACTAACTTTTTGAAAAATTAAGCTCAAAAATATATGATGATATATGTCTTTTAGATGACCAAAATAAACAACAATTAAAAGTTAAGGAATCTTTTATCAACTAATTAAACATTTCTTAATAAAATTAATATAGTCCTAAATTTACAAAAAACTATGCTTTAGATAGTATATTTGAAGAAAAATTACTTTTAAGCTAAGAATTAGATAAATCTTAAATTTCCTTAATAAGCGAAGAACCCACAGTTTATAAAAATAATTTAAGAGGTCTTTAATAAGTGGGAAGTGTTAGAAATTTTATTAACATAAGAGAACATTACTAAGCTTAGAGAAATATCTAAAAAAACTCAAGTAAAAAGCCTCAATAATAGATTTTCACCCCAAAAATTTTAACTCACTTAGGTGATGAAAACTTGATCTAATCTCAAATTGAAGATTCAAATCAAATAGTTGCTATGAATAAAATTTGTTAATTAACAAGCGAACACTTCTTCCATATATCAATCCGTAAAGCCCTTTCAAGTTTATTTGTCAACCAAATAAAATATGAGTAAATAAATTAAAGATTATAAAAAAGTAGTGGATTAAAATTCAATTTTCAGTATAACTTTATGTAATAGAGATATATTATATACTGCACAAAATAACTAAACATATAGAATAATTTTTTGTTTTAAAAGCTTAGCTAAATTTTATCTGCATTAAATATTTAAGTGATAATATTACTTCAATTTACTGGATCTTCTTTTATAGAGTAGTAACCAGGATAAGTATATATTTATAAAAAAGTTGAAGTATTCAGAGTATTCTATCATGATAAGCAAATTATTAATTTCTTGAAAAACTAGAGAAATAAAGTTAATTTCTACAGCTATTCTACATAGATTTAGCATTATTGATTTCCAAAAATATCTTCTGATGTATAAATACATGAAAAAAGTTTGTTTTAAAAATAAAAAAAATTTAATTAACTTATTATATTGTATTCCAAATCGAAAAAAAATATGTACATTTGATCATTAAAAAATATTTTTAAAAGGATTAAAAATAATTCATTTTTCTAATATCTTTAAGTATTTTTTTTAAATTGCAACCATTTTTGTTTGAAAATATACATAATAATATAAAAATAATTAAATTTAAGATTAATAAATATTTTTCTATTTATTTTATGAAATTAGTATTAATCGTCTACTTAAATTTAAAAATTATTTAATTTTTTTAATAATTTGGTTCTTATTTTAAAGATATTCGTATAAAAATATTTGGTGTAATTGTAATAAATATTAAAAATAAATTATTTATTTTAATTTTAATTTCAAAATAATAGAATTTATAATTTTTATAATTAATTTTATTAACTCCCTCCGCTTCTCCTCTTTTTATTATTCATATTTATTTACAAAATAAATAAATGAAAATTTATCAAATTTTAAAAACATAAATTTGAAAATTTTAAATTAAATTTTAGTAAATACAATTTAATTGAATTTAATTCTTTTTTTAGTTTAATATAAAATTTAGCATATAGACAGAAATTATTAATAAAAAGGATTTGCTTTGAAAGCTAAAAATATCAAAAACATCTTAAGTAATTCTTTTACTAAGTGATTAAAAATAGCCAGAATATATATTAATTTATTTGATTAAATTAATAAAATAGGATTGAGTGATGGTATATTAAAAACATCTAAATTTGACTCTTTTTCTATCTTATTACCAAATGAATTTATGCATTAATTAATTTGTTAACATTTTTCAAAGAAATATTGTCTTGTTATCAATTTTTTTTGACTAAAAAATATAAAAAACCACAGAATTTCAATAATCCTTAATAAAATTTTAAGATTACATTATTATATTTTAATATTAACTTATTTAGAAATTTAGTATTGTTTGTCTGAAAAAGCAATATAAAAAATTAGTTCCACCAAATAATTAATTAGATAATCGTTGAATTTTTATTGATAAAATCATAATATTAATTGCTAATCTTTATTTTAGAAAGAAAAGTAAATAAGAAATGAAAAGATAGAATAAAATACTAGTTGTAGCAAGCTTACCGATTATTATAACAATCATATCAGCTATAATTGGTTTATATATCATTTTATTAAAATAAAAATAATATATTTCTGATTTTTCAAACCTATTATTTGATATATAAATTAAGCATATTTCTAGTATTGCTGCTACTCTTTCAAGTTAAATTAGTAGAGAAGCTTAAATATTCCCTACTTTTGCAACAGCGCTTAATAACTTTATTGCTAAAGTATTTAATCACAATATAAATATCTATCCAAGTCATGTATATTCATTAGTCAACTTTGATTTACTTTAATAATTAAATGAAGATTCATATCTCTCTTCTTTAATAAAATTAAACCCTAATCTAGTTAATAATTGGTAGAGAGATAAATTATTTTTTATAAAAGATCTTGATGAAAATGCTAAATAATATTTATTAAACCTCTACAGATAAAGCATTTTATAGCGATCTTTCCTACATGACAATGATATATACTCTAACAATCGGAAAATAATTTTTGATAATATTTTTTATGCAGCAAAATAACCAAATTTCCTTTTAAATAGTAAAAACAAAACAATTTTTGAAAACTTTTTATCTTAAATGTGCTAATAAGGAAATGAAAATTAAAACTACCCTTATTGCTAATCCTGGTTTTAAAATACAATAAATTAACCATATATTCAATTTCATCCACCTAAACTGATCAAAGTTGCTAATATAAGCTAAATTGGTCAGTTATAATGCTAGCCACTTTTAGATAACAGCTATCTTTATAATTCAAATATCTTATAAATAATTCTTTGTGCATAGACTATTATAACATAATTCAAGAATTACTTTACTAGTTTAGGTAATTATTACAGTTAATAAGCATACTTAGTTGATTCTTCAAGTTAAATTGTACTTTAGCATTAAAATAAAAATATTAGTTCTAATAATCTTGATAGTTTTTATTAAGAAGTACTTTCACTTGTAAATGATAAATCATAAGCGTAAAAATTGAATACCTCTATTTAGAATTATCTATAAAATTTAGTTTGCATATAAAATAAAGATTATTTAGATACTAAAATTTAATATTGTTAATAATAAATAAACTTGACAGTGAATAGCACATAAAATATTGTTTTAATATCTCCTATAATTATTTAACAAAAACGTTAAATTTCAAATATTTTTAACTTAAACTCTAGTAAACTTCATAACGATTAACAAATACCTTATTTAATTGTTTGCTTTTTGTCTGAAAGTGATTTCAAAACATGGGAGTATAACTTGAGCTAACGTTTGGATTATTACTTCATTGTATTTACTGTATGTCTTTCAGTTCTTACTGTCCCTCTATCAATTTTTTTTTATGCTTACTTATTAAGTCACTTTATTGTAATGGATAATTAAGTTGATTGCTTAATAAATATTTTGAAAGAAATGGCTTCACATAAATTTGATAACAACATTCTTTCAAACAATTTAGAAGACTAATTTTTTTCTTATGAAACTAAATTTCTTTATCAAAGCTTTTAGGCAATTTATTAAATATTATTATACACATCAGAAAATATTTTTGAAATAAACGATACAGAAACGCTAATTAAGCTGAGTAATCATTTAAAATTCTTTAAAGAATTTTATAATATTCATGCTGAGGGAATAACCAACAATAACATAGCTACTCTCCTAATGGCTAAAGGTCATCTTTTTGAGTCTCTTGAGTATTTTGTTTAATCTATTGTATGCGCAAGATATGAAATTCAATAGTTTTGTAAAGAAAATCCTTACTCATTTAGTGCTTTTTTAATTTCTGAGTTTGGATACTCAGATAATATACAAGAAATTATCACAGAATAAAATAATAGATTTTCAGTAAGCAATTAATTATAAATTAATTTTTTCTTTATTTAAAATCAAATTAAAATACCTCTATAAAAAATTAAAATAAAATTAAAAATTATTTTTAAAATAAATAGATAAAATTCGTAAATGAGAAGAAAAAGAGCAATGTGACTAAATAAAGCTCTTAAAAGACAGTAAATTCATCAGTTAATAAATTAAAAAAATAAACAACTAATTTCTCATAATCAGCTTAAGTTGATCCAAGTTTTTTAGAAAAATTAAAATTGTACAATTAATTTTTAAAATAAAACAATATTATGGAATAGTAGATTATTTTTGATGATTCTAATGATGAATTAAAGGAATAAAGAATATACCTTTTATAAAATTTATATTCAAGAAATAGAAATTTAATTATATCTCTGCTTCTTATTAATGCTTTTCACAAGAATAGCTTCAATTTTTGGAATGAGATAATTGAGATATTGGACTTGTTAACTAGAATAACAGAGTATCTCCCTTAAAAAGAATTATAACAATATGAAATATTAACTGTAAGATACAAAGCTCTACTTGAGTTAAAAAAAGTAAATAAATTAGACTATGTAGAAAAATAGATAGAAAATATTATTCAAAATAATAAGCAATCGAAAGAATAGCTTTTATTGAGTAAAATCTTTAAAAATAGTAAATAATAACAATATGAATTTGTAAATTAAATGAAATAATTTAATGAAATTTCTAACAGTTTTATCATTCAAAATAGCCCAATATATAAGTATAAAGATCAAAGTCCCATCAAGAGGAGTTAAATCACTTCCTCAGAAAAGAAAAAAACCTAGATTATTCAAAAAAGTATATATTTAAATAAAAATGAAGCATCTAAAGATATTTCTATACAGACTAATTATTAAAACAACTCGATTTATTAATTTATTATCAAATTAAATGATACAAAAAAGATATTTCTTTAGAATAAAATTCTAAATAACGGATTGCTGAATCTTAATTTAGCAGAAAATGATTATAAAAATTACTTTTTAAACAAAGTTAATGATATTATTATATACTGCAAGCAAAATCAAAAGCTAGATTTTCTTTTTGACTTTAGAAATAATTTAGATTCAGCAGTTTAAGATTATTATTTACTTAACAATTACTACTCGCTTGATAATTTAAACTGTATTTTTACCGTTTTTAAATCTTAATTTTTGGTTTAAAGTGGCTAATTTAAGAAGGCTGCTGAGATATTAACAAGTTTATTTGAAAATTAAAAATAAATTATGTCTCACTATTCAATAAAAATTAGTATGGTGCTGAAAGAGATTTTTGCAAGATCAAAAATTCAATCTAGAGAATTTAATCAATTTTTTCAATAATTCGACAATAACATATCAATGTAAATTGCTTTGATATTTGATTGTGAGAAAAGTAGTGAATTAATCTTTTAATCAGTTTAACTCTTTAGCAATCTCATTAATCAAGTTCTCAACTGGGCTAGAGATCAGTTAGGAATTATATTATCTGAACAAAATTAGAAAATTATTGAAGCGTTTATGCCTATGATGAATATTTAGCAAATCAAATTTTTATAAAACCAAATTATAAAAAAACTGATGAACATCATTAATAATGGAGATGTAAACTAACTTTTTGAAAAATTAAGCTCAAAGATATATGATGATATATATCTTTTTGATGACCAAAATAAACAACAATTTAATGATAAAGAATCTTTTATCAACTAATTAAGTGTCTCTTAGTAAAACTAAAGCAACCCATAAGCCGCAAAGAATTATGCTTTAGATAGTATTAGAGAAGAGAAATTACTTATTAGCTAAGAATACGATCTATCTTAAATTTCCTTAATAAGTGAAGAACCCACTGTTTATAAAAATAATTTAAGAGGTCTTTAATAAATTGGAAATGTTAGAAATTTTATTAACACAAGAGAAACATACTAAAATTAGAGAAATATCCAAAAAAATTGGAGTAAAAAACCTCAATAACTGATTTTCACTCCTAAAATTTTAACTCACTTAGGTGACGAAAGCTTGATCTAATCTCATATTGAAGATTCAAACTAAACAGTTGCTATGAATGAAATTTATTAATTAAAAAATGAACACTTCTTCCATATATCAATCCATAAAGCTCTTTCAAGTTTGTTTGTCAACCAAATAAAATATGAGTAAATAAATTAAAGATTACAAAAAAGCAGCGGATTAAAATTTAATTTTCAGTATAACTTTAAACAATACAGATATATTATATACTGCACCAAACAGCTAAGCATAAAGAATAATTGTTTGTTTTAAAAGCTTTGCTAAATTTTATCTGCATTAAATATATAAGTGATAATATTACTTCAAATTGCTGGATCTTCCTTTATTGAGTAGTAACCAGGACAAACATATATTTATAACAAAATTGAAGTATTTAGAGTATTTTATAATGATTAATAAATTGTTAATTTCTTGAAAAACTAGAGAAACAAAGTTAATTTCTACAGTTATTCAACTCAAATATAGCACTATTGATTCATAAAATTTTAACTAATTTTATTAATACGCTAACAACTGCAGAAAAAAGTTAGTTTATTTTAAATGAATAAATTTAAATTAAATAATAATCGTCGATTTCGAAGAAAAGAAACTGGAGTCTTTTTTAAAAAAAATATATTTACATTATTATAAATTAAAATTATTAAAAATTTTAAAGTTTGAAATTAATTTTATTTATACATTTTTCTTAATTTAATTTTTTATAATTAAATATATAAATAAGTAAGTTTGATATTTAAAACAGAGATGAAATGAATCCATTTTCATATCCTTTTTTTAGAATTCGAGTATATAAAAAAATAATTATATATCTATTTGAAAATGACAATCCTATTTTTCACAATTTTTTTTCTTTATGGTGTTATATATGAGTAACTAACTATGTATATGAAATAAATATTTTACAATAAAGTATATTAGCTTTAAAATTAAATTTAATGATTACTTAGTTTTTAGTTATCCTTGAAATAAGCAGAGAAATAATTATCATTTTTTCTATAAAAAATAAAATTTTACATTTTTTAAATATAATTTGAGAATATTAAATCATCTCTTGTTACATCATAAAATTATCATTCTTTAGATTTCTTAACATACTTAAAATTTATTTTATTCATTTAATATATATATTTTTATAGAAAGATATTTGTTATGCTAGCTAGATCTATAATTTCTTCCTCACTGATTTTATTTTCATTAAATTTAAAGTGATTGATTACCAAATAGAGAATTTTTTAAAATTATATATTTAATTTCCTAATCTGATAATTATTATTGCAAGTTATTTTTTAGTTGAAATATTTATTAAAATACCATAAATACAAATAGAGATAATTAAGATTAAATGGTTTTTTGATGTTTTGCATAATTTAAGGTATATCAGTTTATTTATTGTATGTATTTGATTATTACTTTTATAAATATTTTTAATATAGGCATTTATGTCTTAATGATATTTCAAATAAATTGTTTTAATATATAATTAATATAAAATAATTTGTAAAATTCATAAATTAATTACTGTATTATTTTTTAAATAAATAAATCGATTATAATTAGGATTAGAAATAAAGTAAATTTAATAAATTGTTCAATTTGAATAATCAGAATTATTAAAAAATTTTTTGATTTCAATTCTCAAAAAAGAAACATTGCTAGGTTAGAAAAAGATGAGTCTTTAAACTGATTTCAAATTAATGAATAATGCAGAATATAGAAAACAAACTCTTGAAAATATAAGAAAAAGAGGGAATTATAAAATGTTATTGATAAAAAATAAGCTTAGAAAATTATTAATAGAAGATATTTAAAAATTAGATTTAAATACAGAAGATTGCATATTATTTAAACAAACAAAATAATTAATTAATGTATAATTATTATAATATTTATTATAAAAAGTGTACAATAATGTAAAATAAATCTAATTAAGATTTTAGTTATGTAAATTAAAATAAAATAAGACTTATATGAAAATATGATTAAATATATTTAATATTGTGATTTTACTGGACTTAAATAAACAACCCCATTATTTTTTAAATTAAATTAATACATATATTAAAAACTTCAGAATTTATTTCAATAATCCTTAAAAAAAAAATTTTTAAATTACATTGCTATATTTTAATGTTATCTTATTTAGAAATTTAATTCTGAAAAAGCAAAAAAAAAATTACTTCTACTAAATAATTGAATTCTAATTGATTGAATCATAATAAAGAATAATTCAATTTCTAAAAAATATCATAAAGTAAATTAGAGATGAAAAGATAGAATAAAATACTAGTTGGAGCATGCTTACTAATTATAATAACAATCATATCAGCTATAATGGGTTTATATTTCATTTTATTAAAATAAAAATAATATATTTCTGATTTTTCAAACCTATTATTTGATATACAAATTAATCATACTTTTAGTATTACTGCCACTCTTTCAAGCTAAATAAGCAGATAAGCTTAAATATTCCCTACATTTGCAACTGCGCTTAATAACTTTGTTGCTAAAGTGCTTAATGGCACTATAAATATCTAGCCAGCTCATGTATATTCCTTACTTAACTTTGATTTGCTTTAATAATAACAAGAAGATTCATATCTCTCTTCTTTAATAAAATTAGACTCTAATCTAGTTAATAATTGGTAGAATGATAAAGTATTTTTTATAAAAGATCTTGATGAAAATACTAAATAATATTTATTAAACTTCTACAAATAAAGCATTTTATAGAGATCTCTCCTACATGATAATGATAAACACTCTAGCAATCGGAAAATCATATTTGATAATTTCTTTTATGCAGCAAAATAACCGAACATCATTATAAATAGTAAAAACAAAACAATTTTTGAAAACTTTTTATCTTAAATGTGCTAATAAGAAAATGAAAATGAAAATTAAAACTACCCTCATTGCTAATCCTGGTTTTAAAATACAATAAATTAAACATATATTCAATTTCATCCATCTTAACTGATCGAAGTTGCTAACATAAGCTAAATTGGTCAGCTATAATGCTAGCAACTTTTAGATAACAGCTTTTTTTATAATTCAAATATCAATGAAATAATTCTTTGTGCTTAGACTATTATAACATAATTCAAAAATTACTTTACTAATTTAGGCAATCTTTACAATCAATAAGCGTACTTTGTAGATTCTTCAAGTTAAATAGTATTTTAACGTTAAAATAATAATTTTAGTGCTAATAATCTTAATGGTTTTTATTAAGAAGTACTTTCACTTGTAAATGATAAATCATAAGCGTAAAAATTGAATATTTCTATTTAAAATTATCTTTAAAATTTAGTTTGCATATAAAATAAAGATTATTTAGATACTAAAATTTAATATTGTTAATAATAAATAAACTTTACAGTGAATAGCACATAAAATGTTGTTTTAATATCTCCCATAATTATTTAACAAAAGCATTAAATTTCAAATCTTTTTAACTTAAACTCAAGTAAACATCAAAACGATTAATAAATACCTTATTTAATTGTTTGCTTTTTGTCTTAAAGTGATTTCAAAATATGGGAGTAAAACTTGAGGTAAAATTTAGATTTTTATTTCATTGTATTTACTGTATGTCTTTCAGTTCTTACAGTTCCTCTCTCAATTATTGTTTATGCTTACTTATTAAGTCACTTTATTGTAATGGATGATTAAGTTGATTGCTTAATAAATATTTTGAAAGAAATGACTTCACATAAATTTGATAGCAATACACTTTCAAACGATTTAGAAGATTTATTTTTTTCTTAAGAAACTAAATTTCTTTATCAAAGCTTTTAGGCAATTTATTAAATATTATTATATACATCAGAAAATATCTTTGAAATCAACGACACAGAAACGCTGATTAAGCTGAATAATCATTTAAAATTCTTTAAAGAATTTTGTAATATCCATGCTGAGGGAATTACCAACAATAACATAGGCAGTCTTCTGTTGGCTAAAGGCCATCTTTTTTAGGCTCTTGAGTATTTTGTGTAATCTGTTGTATGTGCAAGATATGAGATTCAATAGTTTTGTAAAGAAAATCCTTACTCATTTAGTGCTTTTTTACTTTCTGAGTTTGGATATTCAAATAATATACAAGAAATTATATAAGAATAATATAATAAATTTCCAGTATGCAATTATTAGCTTTTTTTCTTTATTTAAAATCAAATTAAAATACCTGAAATAAAAATTAATAAAAAGAAATTATTTTTTACACATTTTTTAAAAAAAATAAAGGAAAATTAAAAATTATTTTTTAAATTAATAGATAAAATTGATAAAAGAAAAGAAAAAAATCAGTGTGACTAAATAGAGCTCTTAAAAAATAGTAAATTAAATAGTTAATAGATTAAAAAAGTAAACAAGTAACTATTCATTATCAGCTGAAGTAGATCCAAGTTTATTAGAAAAATTAAAATTGTACAATTAATTTTTAAAATAAAACAATATTATGGAACAATAGATTACTTTTGAAGAGTTTAAAGATGAATTAAAGGAATAAAGAATATATCTTTTGTAAAATTTATACTCAAGAAATAGGAATTTAACTATAACTCTGCTTCTTATTAATGCTATTTAGAAGAATAGCTATAATTTTTGGAATGAGGTAATTGAGCAATTGGACTTATTAACAAGAGTATCAGAGTATCTCCCTTAAAAAGAATTATAAAAATATGAAATATTAATTTTAAGATACAAAGCTCTTTTTGAGTTAAAAAAAATAAAAAAATTAGATTATGTAGAAAAATAGATAGAAAATATTATTCAAAATTATAAGCACTCAAAAGACTAGCTATTAAATAGTAATTTCTTTAAAAATATTAAATAGCAACAATAAGCATTTGTAAATTAAATCAAATAATTTCGTGAAATTTCTAATAGTTTTATCATTCCAAATAACTCTAAATATAAGCAAAAAGATCTAAGTCCAATCTTGAGGAGTTAAATCCCTACTTCAGACAAGAGAAAATCCTAATTTATTAAAAAAAATATATATTTAAATATAAATGAAACATCTAAAGATATTTCAATAGAGACTTATAATTAAAATAACTCGATTTATTAATTTATTATCAAATTAAATGATACAAAAAATATTTTTCTTTAGAATAAAAGTCTAAATAACGGATAACTGAAGATTAACTTATTAGAAAATGATTATAGAAATGACTTTTTAAACAAAGTTAATGACATTATTATATACTCCAAGCTAAACCAAAAACTAGATATTCTTTTTGAATTTAGAAATAATTTAGACTCAGCAGTTTAAGATTACTATTTATTAAATAATTTCTACTCGCTAGATAATTTAAACTGTTTTTTTACAGTTTTTAAATCTTAATTCTTGGCATAAAGTGGCTAATTTAAGAAGGCTGCTGAGATGTTAACAAGCTTATTTGAAAATAAAAAATAAATTATATCTCACGAATCAGTTAAAATTTGTATGTAGCTCAATGAAATTTTTGCAAAATCAAAAATTCAATCTAGAGAATTTAATGAATTTTTTCAAAAATTCGACAATAACATATCAATGTAAATTGCTTTGATATTTGATTTTTAGGACAATAATGAATTAATCTTTTAATCAGTTTAACTCTTTAGTAATCTCATTAATCAAGTTCTAAACTGGGCTCGAGATCAGTTAGGAATTATATTAGCAGAACAAAATTAGAAGATTGTTGAAGCTATTATACCTATGATGAATATTTAACAAATCAAATTTTTATAAAACCAAATTATAAAAAGACTGATGGAAGTAATTAATGGTGATGTAAACTAACTTTTTGAAAAATTAAGCTCAAAGATATATGAAGATATTTGTCTTTTTGATGAACAAAATAAATAGCAGTAAAATGATAGGGAATCTTTAATCAACTAATTAAGCATTTCTTAATAAAGCTAATATAGTCCTAAAATTACAAAAAATTATGCTCTAGATAGTATATGTGAAGAGAAATTACATTTAAAAAAGGAATAAGATCAATCTTAAATTTCTTTAATAAGTGAAGAACCCACTGTTTATAAAAATAATAAAAGAGGTCTTTAATAAATTGGAAGTGTTAGCAATTTTATTAGCATAAGAGAATATTGCTAAACTTAGAGTTATATCCTAAAAAACTCAAATAAAAAACCTCAATAATTGATTTTCACTCCAAAAATTTTAATTCACTAAGGCGATGAAAGCCTGGTTTAATCTCATATTGAAGATTCAAGTTAAATAGTTGGTATGAATGAAATTTGTTAATTAACAAGTGAACATTTCTTCCATTTATCAATCCATAAAGCTCTTTCAAGTTTGTTTGCCAATCAAATAAAATATGAGGAAATAAATTAAAGATTACAAAAAATGGGAGGATTAAAATTCAATTTTCAGAATAGCTTTAAGCAAAAAAGATATATTATATACTGCACCAAATAACTAAGCATTAATAATAATTCTTTATTTTTAAAACTTTGCGAAATTTTATCTGCTTTAAAAATATAAGTGATAATATTACTTCAATTTGCTGGATCTTCCTTTATTGAATAGTAACCAGGACAAACATATATTTATAACAAAATTGAAGTATTCAGAGTATTTTATAATGATTAATAGATTGTTAATTTCTTGAAAAGCTAGAGAAACAAAGTTAATTTCTACAGTTATGTAACTCAAATATAGCATTATTGATTCATAAAATTAGTTAAAATTCTATTAATACACTAACAAGCTGCAGGAAAAAATTAATTTATTGCAAAAAAATAAATTTAAATTAACTTATGAGTATATATTATTTTTTGCAAAAATTTGCAAATTGCTAATTACTTATTGCAAATAAATTGTAAAAAATTAAAAATTATTTTAAAAAAGTAGTTTTTAATATTTTATTTAAACAAAAATATATTAAAAAAATAAAAACGAATTATAATTTTTAACTACTGTAATATCATTAAGAATTAATTATTATTTTTTTATTTAATTTTTTTTTCTTAACTAAATTTTTGAATGGCATTTTGCTATATATTAATTTATGCTTGTATAAAATTTTACATATAAATTAAAATATATACTAATAATATCGATATATTATCTAACATTGTTAAATATATCTGTATAATATACTAATATTTATATTATTTTAGATAATAACTTTATCACAACTAAAATATTAAGAACTACAGAATTTCAATAAACCTTTATAAAAATTTTAAGATTACATGATTATATTTTTATGCTAACTTATTTAGAAATTTAATATTATTTGGCTGGCTGGGAAGCAATATAAAAAATTAGTTCTACCAAATAATTAGAGGTTCATTGAATTTTTATTGATAAAATTATAATATTAATTAACAACATTTATTTTAGAAAGAATAATCTAATTTCTTAAAAAGTAGCAAAAAGTAAATTAGAAATGAAAAGATAGAATAAAATACTAGTACTTGTAGCAAGCTTACCAATTATAATAACAATCATATCAGCTATAATTGGTTTATATTTCATTTTATTAATATAAAAATAATATATTTCTGATTTTTCAAACCTATTATTTGAAACACAAATTAAGCATACTTCTAGTATTGCTGCCACTCTTTCTAGCTAAATTAGTAGAGAAGCTTAAATATTCCCTACATTTGCAACTGTACTTAATAACTTTGTTGATAAAATGTTTAACGGTGCTATAAATATCTAGCCAGGTCATGTATATTCCTTAATCAACTTTGATTTACTTTAATAATAAAAAGAAGATTCATAACTCTCTTCTTTAATAAAAGTAAACCCTAATCTAGTTAATAATTGGTAGAGTAATAAATTATTTTTTTAATAAAAGATCTCGATGAAAATACTAAATAATATTTATTATACCTCTACAAATAAAGCATTTTATAGCGATCTTTCCTACATGACAATGATATATATTCTAACAATCGGAAAATAATTTTTGATAATATCTTTTATGCAGCAAAATAACCAAATATCCTTATAAATAGTAAAAACAAAACAATTTTTGAAAGCTTTTTATCTTAAATGTGCTAATAAGAAAATGAAAATGAAATCTATCCTCATTGCCAATCATGGTTTTAAAATACAATAAATTAAACATATATTCAGTTTCACCCACCTTAACTGATCAAATTTGCTAATATAAGCTAAATTAGTCAACTATAATGCTAGGAGCTTATTGACACCAGCTATCTTTATAATTCAAATATCAATCAAATTATTCTTTGTGCATAGACTATTATAACATAATTCAAAAACTACTTTACTAATTTAGGCAATAATTAAAGTTAATAAGTGTATTTAGTTGATTCTTTAAGTTAAACTGTACTTTAACATAATAATAAAAATATTGATTCTAATAATCTTGATGGTTTTTATTAAGAAGTACTTTCACTTGTAAATGAAAAATCATAAGTGTAAAAATTGAATATCTCTATTTAGAATTATCTATAAAATTTAGTTTGCATACAAAATAAAGATTATTTGGAAAATAAAATATAATATTGTTAACAATAAATCAATTTTACAGCGAACAGCACATAAAATGTTGTTTTGATAACTCCTATAATTATATAACAAAAACATTAAATTTCGAATATTTTTAACTTAAACTCAAGTAAACTTCATAACGTTTAATAAATACCTTATTTAATTGTTTGCTTTTTGTCTGAAAGTGATTTCAAAACATGGGAGTATAACTTGAGCTAAACTTTGGATTTTTACTTCATTGTATTTACTGTATGTCTTTCAGTTCTTACTATTCCTCTTTCAATTTGTGTTTATGCTTACTAATTAAGTCACTTTATCGTAATTTATGATTAAGTTGATAGCTTAATAAATATTTTGAAAGAAATGGCTTCACATAAATTTGATAACAATGCTCTTTCAAACAATTTAGAAGATTAATTTTTTTCTTATGAAACTAAATTTCTTTATCGAAGCTTTTAGGCTATTTATTAAATGTTATTATACACATCAGAAAATATTTTTGAAATGAACGATACAGAAACGCTAATTAAGCTGAGTAATAATTTAAAACTCTTTAAAGAATTTAGCAATATCCATGCTGAGGGAATAACCAAAAATAACATAGGTACTCTTCTGTTGGCTAAAGGCCATCTTTTTGAGTCTCTTGAGTATTTTGTGTAGTCTGTTGTATGTGCAAGATACGAGATTCAATAGTTTTGTAAAGAAAATCCTTACTCGTTTAGTGCTTTTTTACTTTCTGAGTTTGGATACTCAAATAATATACAAGAAATTTTATAAGAATAAAATAATAGATTTCCGGTAAAGCAATTAATTTAGAATTAACTTTTTTCTTTATTTAAAATCAAATATATCTATCTAAAAAAATAATAAAAAGAAATAATTTTTTATTTATAAATTTAAATAATTAAAGGAAAATTAAAAATTATTTTTAAATTAAAAGATAAAATTAAAAAAAGAGAAGAAAAAGATCAGTGTGACTAAATAAAGCTCTTAAAAAATAGTAAATTCATTAGTTAATAAATTAAAAAAGTAAACAAGCAATTATTCATAATCAGTTGAAGTAGATCCAAGTTTATTAGAAAAATTAAAATAGCACAACTAATTCTTATAATAAAATAATATTATGGAACAATAGATTGTTCTTGATGAGTTAAAAGATGAATTAAATGAATAAAGAATATACCTTTTGTAAAATTTATATTCAAGAAATAGAAATTTAACTATAACTCTGCTACTTATTAATACTTTTCACAAGAATAGCTACAATTTTTGGAGTGAGGTAATTGAGCAATTAGACTTGCTAAAAAGAATATCAGAGTATCTCCCCTAAAAAGAATTATAACTATATGAAATACTAACTGTAAGATACAAAGCTCTATTTGAGTTAAAAAAAGTAAAAAAATTAGACTACGTAGAAAAATAGATAGAAAATATTATTCAAAATTATAAGCAATAGAAAGAGCAGTTATTATTGAGTAATTTCTTTAAAAATAATACATATCAACAATAAGAATTTATAAATAAAATCAAATAATTTAATGAAAGTTCTAACAGTTTTGTCATTACAAATAACCCTATATATAAATATAAAGATCAAAGTCCCATTTTGAGGAGTTAAATCACCTCCTCAGACAAGAAAAAAGCCTAATTTATTAAAAAAAGTGTATATTTTAATAAAAATGAAACATCTAAAGATATTTCAATACAAGCTTATAATTAAAATAACTCGATTTATTAATTTATTATCAAATTAAATGATACAAAAAAGGTATTTCTTTAGAATAAAACTCTAAATAAGGGATTGCTGAAGCTTAACTTAGCAGAAAATGATTATAAAAATTACTTTTTAAACAATGTTAATGATATTATTATATACTGCAAGTAAAACCAAAAGCTAGATATTCTTTTTGAATTTAGAAATAATTTAGACTCAGCAGTTTAAGATTATTATTTATTTAATAATTTTTACTCACTAGATAATTTAAACTGTTTTTTTATTGTTTATAAATCTTAATTTTTGGTGAAATGTGGTTAATTTAAAAAGGCTGCTGAGATATTAACAAGCTTATTTGAAAATAAAAAATAAATTATATCTCACTATTAAGTAAAAATTTGTATGGTGCTGAATGAAATTTTTGCCAAATCGAAAATTCAATCTAGAGAATTTAATGAATTTTTTCAAAAATTCGACAATAACATATCAATGTAAATTGCTTTGATATTTGATTGTTAGAACAGTAGTGAATTAATCTTTTAATCAGTTTAACTCTTTAGCAATCTCATTAATCAAGTTCTTAATTGGGATAGAGATCAGTTAGGAATTATATTAGCTCAACAAAATTAGTAGATTGTTTAAGAGTTTATGCCTATGATGAATATTTAATAAATCAAATTTTTATAAAACCAAATTATAAAAAGACTAATGGAAGTCATTAATGGGGATATAAACTAACTTTTTGAAAAACTAAGCTCAAAGATATATGAAGATATTTCTCTTTTTGATGACCAAAATAAAAAACAGCTCAATGATAAAGATTCTTTTATCAATTAATTAAGCGTTTCTTAATAAAGTTAATTTAGTCCTAAAATTACAAAAAGTTATGCTTTAGATAGTGTATGTGAAGAGAAATTACTTGTAAACTAGGAATAAATTCAATCTTAAACTTCCTTAATAAGTGAAGAACCCACTGTTTATAAAAATAATTTAAGAGGTCTTTAATAAATTGAAAGTTTTAGCAATTTTATTAAGACAAAAGAAACATACTAAGCTTAGAGAAATATCCTAAAAAATTCATGTAAAAAGCCTCTATAATTGATTTTCAGTCCAAAAATTTTAACGCACTATGGCGATGAAAGCTTGGTTTAATCTCATATTGAAGATTCAAACTAAACAGTTGCTATGAATGAAATTTATTAATTAACAAGTGAACACTTCTTCCATATATCAATCCATAAAGCTCTTTCAAGTTTGTTTGTCAACCAAATAAAATATGAGTAAATAAATTAAAGATTATAAAAAAGCAGTGGATTAAAATTCAATTTCCAGAACAACTTTAAGTAATAAAGATATATTATATACTGCTCAAAACAACTAAACATAAAGAATAATTGTTTATTTTTTAAACTTTGCTAAATTTTATCTGTGTTAAATATTTAAGTGATAATATTACTTCAATTTGTTGGATCTTCCTTTATTGAGTAGTAACCAGGACAAACATATATTTATAACAAAATTGAAGTATTCAGAGTATTTTATAATGATTAATAAATTGTTAATTTCTTGAAAAACTAGAGAAACAAAGTTAATTTCTACAGTTATTCTACTTAAATATAACATTATTGATTCATAAAATTAATTAATTTATTTAATAAAATAATAAGCTCCAATACAATTTTTGACAAAAAAATTAAGGTTTTATAAATAAGAAATTAAGTTTATTAAATAAATATTTTACAATAATCAAAATTAATTTTAAATTAAATAATTACTTAATTTTTAGTAATCTTTGAAATATATAGAGAAATAATTATCATTTTTATTTTATAAAAAATAAAATTTTACTGCTAAGGTATTTTAAAAATATAATTTGAGAATATTAAATAATCTTTTGTTATATCATAAAATTATAATAAACCAAACTAAATGTGTTGTAGATATATATTTTACAAATGTAATATTAATTAGATTACAATAGTATTTTATTAATTAAGAATAAAACTACCTTAAAGCCTTATAAAGTATGAATAATTTTAAAGTAGCAATTTTTAAAAAAATTCATATCATAATACTAAATTAGACTAGCTTTTAAACTTTTCTTAGTTACCGTTTTAATACCTATGCTTACTTTAGATCAATATTGCACATCCTATAAAAAGTATTTGTTTTTAAATTCAACATAAAAATAAAAAAATTTACATGATTTACAAGTTGAAAGTGTTCAAATGAGCAAATTTAAATAAAGATTAATTCATAATCAGTAAATCAGATAGATTAATGTTATTGCATCTAATTATTTATAAATAAAGTTAAATTTAAAGTACCAAAAACTCGTTATTTTACCCTAAATCTACATTTAATTATTAAAGATTTGTAAGTTTTAAAATGAAGGCAGAAGTGCTCATTATTCCTTTTGAGTTTATCATGTTTTAGCTTTATTTTATTTATAAATTAAAAATTTATTTTATTCATTAAAAAAATGAAAATACTTTGTACTTCATTTATTCAAAATTTTTTTAATTTAAATATTTATATTTATTTATTGATTTTAAAAAATTTTAAATTTAACTTTCAAAAACTAATTAAACAAAAATGAGGGTATTTTTTAATATTTTTCACAATAATTTATGATTTTCGAATGGTATTTTGAATCTTTTTATTATTAATGCTATTTCACCCATTAAATAATTAAGTATTTGCTGTAAAAAATATAAATTACAATAAATAAAGAGATAGTTAAGTAAGTTCGCTGCAGCAAGATACTGATTTAACAATATTTTATGCACCTTCATTTTAAGCTTCATTTACTCTATTTATTTAAATAAAAAAATTAATTAAACTTAGAATATCTTATCAAAATATAACTAAATATTTTTAAAAAAACTAAAACAAATAAAGTTTAGATTTATATTTACGAAAAAGATAACTCCAACTAATGCAGATTTCTCAGATTAGATATGCCATTTCCTATATCAGAAACTCCTTTTTCCTTAATTTGATTGTGACTAAAAATAATTTATACTTAAATCAATTAATAAATATAAAATTTATACCCTAAAGAGAGAGATAACGATTTTAGGTTTGTGCATTTTTATAATTATTGACCTAAATGTGAAGCTCCATTGGTTTTTATTTAATTTAAACTATTGAATTAGATTCAATAAATTTTTTAAATAATTTAAAAAAATTTACTATAAATTTAAACATAATAAACTCAAGTTTTGGCATAAAGAGATTTATTATGCTAGAACTTTAATTCCTTCCTCACTGATTTCGTTTTCACTAAATTTAAAGTGATTGATTACCTAAATGAAATTTTTTAAAAAATTTACTAAAGACGGATAGTTAATTATGAAAGTATTTATGAAGAAGAGATTTCAAATCCTAAGAGTAAGGCTCCTTTGTCTCCTATTTTATTTTTCCTAATTATTATTGTAAATTATTTTTAAGTTGAAACACTTATTAAATTACCCTAAATCCAAATAGAGGTAATTGAGATTAACTAGCCTTTTGATGTATTACATAACTTAAGGTATCTCAGTTTATTGTATTTGATTATTACTTTTATTATTATTTTTAATATAAGCGTTTATATTTTAATTGTATTTCAATTAAATTGTTTTAATTTTTAAAATAATATAAAATAATTTTAAAAATTCAAAAATTATTTATATGAATAATGTATTATTTTTTAAATAAAACTAACAAAATAATTCATAAAAATATTTTTAATAACTATATAATATATTTAGATTAATATAAATTACTTACTATAAACATAGTCTCAATTACTTTAAGTTTAGACACTAAGAAATATAAAATGCTATTGTTTTTACTCCTTGTACAGTGAGACAGTTAAAGCTAAAATCAGTTAAAAATATTTATATTTTGAATATAATTTTTTTATTTAATTTAAAAAATACGCTAAATGTAATGATAAATTCTCTATGTAAATACATTAAGATATTGCTTCACCTAATATTTAACCGAATTCTGGGGGAAGTCCATTTCGACTAATTAAAAAAATCATTTAAATTTCTTATGTTTCGAAATTAAAAAATTACTAAAGGTCAATACTGATTTGTTTAAAATTAGGATTTTTTCCAATGTACTATAACATCAATTTAATTCCATTGTCTCGTAAATGATTCCATCTTTCATAAAAAAATATTATTATTATTTACAATTAAAAATTTTTACTCTAAAAATAGATCTAAAGTAGAGATAGAAGAACATTTTGCAATACACTCTCCTAAAATTATAGCACTTTCTTCACTAACTTGGTTGTCACTATCAATAAATAATTTTTATTTAAATTTACAAAATAAATATTTATTTTACTTTAAGTTTAATGCTAGAATTTATAAATTATCAAATTTGGAAATTTATTCACCAATAAGTTTAATAGTATTACTATCTGTTGAAAGTTTCCTATTTTTTAATTAAATAAATACAATCAAAATTCATAATAGTAATGCAAATTAACCTTATGTTAAGTTCAAGCTTTTAAGTTGTACTCTTACTTTACTATTAGAGCTATTTGTTATTCAAAAAAATTAGTTTTTTTTTCAAACATTTTAAATATAAAAATACTTATTCTAAACTATTAAGCTTGATCATATTTATAGGCTTTCTTTTTCCTTTCAAAACTTTTTAATTGTAATTTAACAATTTTTTTTTAATTTTAAAAATAATCTGAAACATTTTTTTTTAAACTGTGAATAAATGCTAAAATATAAAGAAAAATTTGTAAATATACTGTAAATGCTCATTTATTAAGGCATTCCTAAGCATCTTTTTTGACCAAAAAAAGTGCCACACACCATAATCGAAAAAAAAAAGTTTAAGAAAAAAATGTCTTAATTAACGAGCATTTACAGTATATAAAATTTTTAATTTTAAATTAATTTATTAGAAGCTAATTTTATATAAAATTTATTAAAATTTAAATAGTAAATAGAATGATAAAATAACCTTTAAATTAACAATAAATAATTATTTGTAATTATTTAAATGATTTTCTAAATTTAAATAAATATTTTAATCTAAAATAAATTTATCTCAATTTAAAATTTGGTTAATTGATATTTTAAATTATTAAGAATAAATTATAATAATTTATAAAAATATTTTTAAAAATTAAAATGCAATTTATTTCATAGTTATAGTTGAGAATATTTTGAAAAGCTAAAATTAAATCCTAAATCCTATGTCAAAAGTGATTAACAATTTATGAAAATCATTTAGAAAATAAATGATATGATTTATTATTTATTAATTTTAATAAAAACTTAAAATAAAAAATAATTTATTATTTTTTAATATTTAATTTACTTATCAAAATATTATTAATTAATTTGAGTTGTAAAAACAAATGAATTAGTATTAATTTTTTATTATTTTTGAAATAAAGATTTTTTAAATATTTCAAATATAAAGTTTAACCTTTTGAACACTAAAAGAAAATTTTTTTTTAAAAGCAATTTGATTTTTGAATGTTTAAGAAGAGTTTTCTTTTTTTGAAGCTAAATAAAAATTAAAGAAGATCTTACTATTCAAAATTTGAAATAATAAAATCTTTATTAGCTTAACTCATCAAAGAAGCTTAAAAAAGTAAAAGATAAATATTGAAATTTTATCTTGATGGATTTATAGATTAGAATTAAAAAGAAAAGATTTTGGAGATAGATTGCTAAATATGTTAAAAATAATAAAAAAAATAAATAAATCAATATGTAATATAAATACTTTACTTACTAAATTAGATGGACAAATTTAAAAATAAATTTTAGATACACTTTATTTATAATGAAAATTATTTTTTGGCTGAATCAGATAGATAGATATAAGCGCAATAAGCAATTATTGATTGATTTATTTATTTATAAACTAATTCACTCATTCATTTAATATTTGATACTAAGCAACTTGTATCCGTTATTATTTTTTGATTAATTTATTGCTTTTAAGTGTTGATATAATCAATCAAAAGAATTGTTTATTCATTCGTTGATTTAAATTCAGCGCTAATACTATATCTTACTAATAATAACTAATTATCAATTAATATTTAATTGCTACTATTAATTATATATTATCTTTATAGACAAATAGAATATTGCTTAGGCAAAGTGAAATGCTAGGCAAATAAATACAAAAATAGATAGATACATTGATTTATTGATTTCTTGTCATTCTGCGTGCGATGATTATAATTTATTTATTTATTGAATTGTTATATAATTTGCTAAAAACTAAATTACTTAAATGTAGATATTATATATGAAAAATGGGCAAAAATATATTAAGAATGTAATGTGATGATGATTTTAATTAATTAAATTCAATCAGCTATTTATCTCAATTTTGTTATTCGTTTAAATGTTCAGAGGCATGAACTACATTGATCTTGGGTTAGGCTACCTTTTCAGGAGATTTTATTGTTGTGTGATTTCCGTTCACTCCTCCTACTTTGATTGTGTGTGTGACCTTAGTTTAAAGATGAGGGAATTTCTTGTGGACTTCTTCAGGGACGTTTTCGTGAGTGAAAGCAGCCTTGTGGGCAACTTAGGCACCGACTTTAACTTAAGATTGACCAATAACAACGGGAGCGTGCTAAACAGTGTGTTGTTAAACAGGATGGTGTTAGACAACGTGTTTAACAGCAGAAGTTTTATGGACAATAGGAGCTTTATGAGTAACAGTAGCGTCATGATCCTTTCCAAGAACTTGGATTTGAGCCTAAGGAACTTCTTTAGTCACAGTAGTATTGTTGGCTACAACAGCAGTAGCTTGAGCATGAGTAACTACTGTATGCTTAGCAGGAGGAGAGTGGTGGACGACAGATTTATGTAATGCAGGATGAGTAACAATAGGATGAGCTTTTTATGCAACGACCTATGGTTATAATGGTTGAGCTTATTAAACAGTGATGGGCTTTCCATTTTTTTCAGCTGATTCTACAACGTGGGTAGGAACTTCCTTCTTGCTTATCATTTTCTTGCCTTAAAGGTGAGGGAACTTCTTAGCAACTTCTTCGGGAACGTTTTCGTGGGTATAGTGAGACATCTATAAACAAACAAACAAACTTTTGGTGGATTCGCTTAAAATTTTATATTGATAGATATTTGCCTAAATAAAGCTTGAAATTTTTCTTTTTTAATTTTTTTAGTTATTTTTTTTTTTATGAAATTTTTCTTTTTAATTTTTATTAAAACCAGCAACAAATATGAATTAATTATGTAAGAAACACAGGCAAACAAGGTAACAAAGAGAACTTTAATTCAACCAATTTATCTCTCTTTAAATTTTTCATCGAAAAAATTTAACAATCAAAAAATTAAGCAAAAAATCAATAAATGAATAAATAAAAAAAATATAAATCATTCATTCATTCATTGACGAATTTATTCATTAAGTCTATCTTTCAAAAGCAAATTTTGAAATAAAAAAAGGTAAGCAAAAAATAAAGTAAATAAAATTCATGTTTTCATTTTTAAGATTTAGGAAAAAAATAAAATCAGAGGATGGATGTATTTATTTATTTATGCATTTATTAATTTATTTATGCTTTATAAATACTTGCAAATTTAATGAGTGAGTGATCTTTGTTTGTTTGGTAAAATTAATAGTTAGATAAAATTAAGAAATTAGTTTGAGAAATATCTAATCCCTTCTTAATTAATTTTTCATTTTTTTAAATGTTTTTAAATTATCAAATATCATTTTTACATTAATTTATTTCTATCTAAATTTTAATTTAATTTACTTTCAGAGTATGCTTTATTAACGATAAAGATAAATTAATAGATAATTTATTTCTTCTAAACCAATTTCAAATTTCTTTCTATCTATATATAGATTTATCTAATATCTAACTATTTATCAAATTAGATTTAACTCTTGTTGAATATTATCTCATTCATGTTGTTTTTTTCATGATTTTAAGGTTTAAATATAATTTTAGACATTCATTTGCTATTTAAATTTTAGGACTACATATAATTATTTTTCATTTAAGCTTATTAAATTCTATCTATGTTTCATCTATTTTTGAATAATATTTTTACGGTTTTAATTAATATTTGCTATTTAAGTTTTTTAGCTGCATTCACATATTATTTATCATTCATTTAAGCTTATTATATTTTATCTATGTTTTATCTATTTTTAAATTACATTTTTACTGTTTTAATTAATTCTGTTTGAAGCACAAATTATTTCTAGTCAGCGATTGGATACTTTAGACTCAAAAATCTTTTAATTTATAAATGTTAATGTTGATTTTTAAGTATAAATAATATTTTAATTTAATTTATAGATATTTACACTACAGTAATTTTATTCTATTAGGTTTGCAAGAAATATTTGGAAGAGTTTTATTTTTAAGGAGCTAGAATTCTAAAAAAGATAAATTTTTTGGCTTTTATTTAAATCTTAATTCATCCTTTTTATCAAATAGCTTACATTTAATATTTAAAAATTTTTTAATAATTGAAAACTTAAAACTGATTTAATTATTATTTGCTTATCCTAGTAAACTAAATTTTCATAATGAATAAGAAATTAACATATTGACTAAAAAAATATTATCTAAATTTAATAAAGCAATTAGGTATTAGAATATTCTAATGAACCTTATATTCTAAATAATTTTAAGAGTTTTAAAAATTTTTTGCTTTGATTTTAGTTTTCTATTCTTAATTAAATATAAATATTCAAAATCTAAAAAAATTCATTTATTTTATAAACAGACTCTAAAAGAATTTAAATAATTAGCATTTATAATGGATAATCAAAATTTAAAAACGTTAGTTAAGGCTGGAGTTGGTGGAATCTCTCTTCTTGGTAAATTTGCTAACTTTCATTCTCAGATTTAACCAGAACATTTAAAAAAAAATAGGAATAGGACTTTTGGCATTGCGTCAATTTTAAGAAAAGCTGATTTATATACCAAGTAAATAAATAGATAAATAAATAAATATGTTTATAAAAAAATCATTGTATTTTATTTAAAGCTTTTGGGGGAATGCCTAAATCACCTAAAGATAATCCCTTCGGAGATAGAACACCAAGAGATATGTAATTAATCCATTTCAATTTTGTTAGAATATATTTATCAAATAATATTTAAATATGATTGATTGTTAATTTTAAAATCTTTTTGTAGGAATTTAGCTTACGAAGATGTTTCAACAGTAACAAAGGATAATGTAACTCTGAGAGGGTAAATAAAATTTATTTAAAATTTACAAGTTTAATTAAATGATTATGTAAATGAATTAAAGATGGCTGATTAAGCAAAAAGATCATATGAATAAACCTACAGTAGTTTTTTTCCATGAGAATGCTGGAAGTAATTAATTATTTCACAACTTGAAAATAATTGATATGAAATAAATAACTCAATAATAAATAGATATTGGCTTAAGATTATATTATTTCTAAAAGTATATGAAGCATACAGGTGTAAACATTTTAGCATTCGCATACAGAGGGTAAAAAACAAACTTAATATTATTCAAACATTTTAACAATTAATTATATAAATATAATAGATATAGCGATTCTGATGACGCTCCTATTGATGAACCTGGACTCCAAAAGGATAGCTTAGTAATAATTAAATAGAATTTATTTTATATAATTTTTTCTAAGATGATAAGGCAGCAATAAACCAATTCAAATAATCATCATATTTAAAATAAATAGGCTATTATTGAATATGCTTTTAGATCTGGAAAAATTAATCCAAATAATGTCTTTTTCCATGGAAGAAGTCTTGGCGGAGCTGTTTTGACTTATGGCTTAACCCACTCACTAGAAAATAAACCTAATGGTATAATACTAGAAAATACTTTTACCTCATTAGATGACATGGTTGATGTAGTCTTTAGGCCTGTTTCTATCTTTAAAAGATTAATTTTAAAAAACCACTGGCCTACTATAAATTAAATGTCTAAAGTATAAGTTCCAGCGTTATTTATAAAATGTAAACAAAAATTAAACTAAAAAATTTATTTATTTATTTATTTTTAGTAATTCATTATATTTATCAAAATAGCTAATAAAGATGAGTTGGTTCCAGCAAGCTAAATGTAACAGTTGTTTGATAAATGTCATAGTCCTAATAAACATTTATATGTCATTGAAAATGGAACTCATAATGACAATTGGACACTTGATATCTTAGATTATTTCAAGCATGTTCATGAATTTATTAATAAATACTCCAATTTATGATTCAACTATGATTATTTAAACCTAAGAGTAAATAAAAATTAAATTAAATTTATATAAGTTAGAGTTTTAATTATCTTATGATGCTATCCATCCTATCTTACTTTATTCAATTTTTAATTTTTAATAACTTAATAAAATATCAAAATTTTATTTCAAGTATCCATGAATTGATTCATAAACAAACACTCTCATTTATGATTAAATTATAATTATTTTAACTAAAAATAAATAAATAAAATTATGTTTAAATAGTTAAGAGTTAATTTCACACATATTACGATATATTATTTATATTCGATTTTTAATTTTAATATTGTAACTTATATAAATTATCAAATTATCAAATTAATTGAGTTAATCACGAAGATTGTTTCAATAAAGCATATCAATGAATTTATTAATAAATACTCCAATCAATCAATTTATGATTTAAATATAATTATTTAAATCTAAGAGTAAATAAAAATTAAATTAAATTTAAATAAGCTAGAATTTATTTTATAAATAATAAAAATAATGCTATCTATCTATCTATCTATCTATCTATCTATCTATCTATCTATCTATCTATCTATCTATCTATCTATCTATCTATCTATCTATCCTATCTGTATTCAATTTTTAATTTTAAATATTGTAACTTAAATAAAAAATAAAAATATTAAGTTTTTATATCAAGTATTTCCATGAATTTATTCATAAGCACTCCCATTAGGATTAAATTATAATTATTTTAATATAAGGGTAGATAAAATTATATTTAAATAGGTAAGAATTACACTCATTTTAATATGCTGTTTGTTCTACTTGTATTCAATTATTAATTTTAATATTTTATTGATCTTACTATTTTATCTAAAATTTTGAATTAAATTTTTAATTTAACTATTATAATGAAATATTCAAAACATTTTTTTTTTTGAGTTTTTTGGTTATTAAACACTATTTATTTAGATTGAATATATACCATTTTCTAATAATATTTCAATGTTTTTAAAACTTTTACTTAAAAAAATTCTTATATTTAAAAATAATCATTTTCATTTTAAGAATTAAATTTGGATTTCTTTGCCTTTATTAATTATCTTTGTAAATAATAATTTTGGTATTGATTAAACCTTTTAGTTTGTCTAAGAATAAGTAAGTAGGCATAATTATTATATTTTTGAATGGTTGCTAATAATTTTAAATATTAAACTTAATTTATCTAATAATAATAAGTAAATTAAATCATTTGTGCCACAACTAAGATTACTAGAAAACATAAATTAAATCATCAAAGTGTTAAGAATCTGAATAATGATAGAATAAAGAAATATAGATGAATATATAAATACTGTTTATGGTTGATGAACATTCTGATATTTAATTGGATGAGCTGACAAAATATGATGAAATTTATTAATATTATGACTTACTTCAATTAGATCTTAAAAAGATTAAGATATTGCTAACGATTGCAAAATTAAAAGATTCTCTTTTAAATAAATAAATAAATCTGAAATATATTTACAAAGAATTAATGTTAAATAGAATTCCGCGAAATAAAAATTACATTTTTAATAAAATTAATATCAAACAAAAATTAGATTTTACTGAGAGATGCTATTAAGAAGAAATTTTTTGAAATTTTTTTATTCAACAGTTGAGTAAGGAGTAAATTTTGAAAAGCGTATCTTCCTTTTAAATAAAGAAGGAAAGAAAATTTCTTTTTGGAATGACATTCCTCTTAAGGAGAGTTCATTTTCAAAAGATGAGTTCAACATTTGCATTGAAATTCCTTAGCACAGAATTGCAAAATTAGAATTAACTAAGGAAGAAGAATACCACCCAATTAAGCAAGACACCAGAAAAAATAAATTTAACAAATCTGAAACTGAATTACGTTACTATGCCCAATTCCCTCTTTTCAACTATGGATTCTTTCCTTAAACTTGGGAAAGTTCTTTAGAGAAAACTCCAGAAGGATTTTTAGTAAATTACAATAAATGATTTAATTAGAATTACAATTAAAATATAAATTTAATAGGGCGATGATGATCCTTTAGATATCTTAGAATTAGGCGACATGAATAAAGGTAAAATTTAGACAGTTAAATATTAATTAAATTATATTTTTATTATTACAGAGCCAGGTTAAATCTTAAAAGTAAAAGTGCTTGGTTGTTTTTGTTTGATAGATTAAGGAGAAGTTGATTGGAAGATTTTAAGTATAAACTCTACAGAGGCAGAAAAAAAGAATGTAAATTGTTAATTTTAATTAAAAATTCTAAAAATGAATGAATCTTAAATTTAAAATAAAAGATTTAAAATCTAAAAGATATTGAAAGAGTATACGGAGGTAGATTAGATGCAATTAAACATTGGTTCAAATATATCAAGACATACGATGGTAAAAAAGCTAATGTAATTCATTACAACGAAAAAATATTCGATCATGAAAAGGCTCTTGAAATCATACATGAAACCCATAACTATTGGAAATAATTATCAAACTAAACTCCTGCTAATAATCAAGAGTTAAACGAAAAGAAAAAGAAGTTCCACTTTATATGAAAAACCAGTTGTTTAAATATTTAATTTCCCTTTAAAATAAAACCTATTTTATATTTCATATTTAGGTTTGTCTATTGTTAAATATAATCAAACATAAATTAATTTCATAAATAGTTTTAGTTTATTTAAGTAAGTCATTTCATTTATATTAAACCCATCTATTTCGAAGTAAATTTAATCAGTTAAGATTTATAATTTAATTATTTAGTTTTATTACTTTTTTCATTTTGATTTTCTGGGATCTACTTATGTTGCATATTATCAACATAAATTTAATTTACTTTTATTAAGTACATAATTTCAATTAATGTAGAAAATTTATGTTCGGAGCATTTTTAGATCAGCAGGTAAAAAAAACATTCTTGGACACACCATAATCTAAAAAAAAAAAATTTAAGAAAAAAATGCCTTAATTAATGAACATTTAAAGTATTTAAAAATAGTTTAATCATTTAAGATTAATATTTATAAATAAAGAAAATTAATATAGATTGTATTTATCAAGTTATTAACAGAAAATTTTATGTTTCAATTAAAGTTGATTTAAAAAATTAAAATCTTCTATCTATTTATTTTTCTATTTGATTAGTCAATATATCATGAAGAAAAGGTAGATAGATAGATGCTAATGAGACAGACATTTGTTTAATTTTATAATTATATATATAAACACTATAAAATTATATAAATTGTATATACAAATAATGTATTTATGACATGAAAATATTTTTTTTAGTAAATTTGTTATATTAGTTTTTTAAATAAAATGTTTATTTGAATTATTTTTAAATCACTTATCATTATTTGTTTCTTCATCATCTAAAGCTATTTAACTGCCTTCTAAGCTGCAAATAAGCTGCTTTTCTGGGCTTTCATTATTTTTATATAATAGTTAATGAGACAACATGTCGTCATCTCTGATTGTTACTTTGTTATGATCATTATTTGGAGTGTAGTGATTTTAGCTGTTCAGATCACAAGGCGAATCTATGCAATGATCTTCCTGGCTTATTTGATTTTTCTAAATTTAGTCTATACTTTACTATTGATCTAGATATTCTATTGATTTGAGTTAACCTAATACATTTTTTCCACTTAAGCTAATTTCTTCATCACATTATAAATTATCTATTTATGTATCAAATGATGTAAAGTTAATTGGAGTGCAAGGAGCATTTTAGTCATAGTCATTATCGTCATCATCATCGTTTTAAAAGTTAATATGATTTTAATTAATCTAAAATTATCCTTATATCATACTCTAAGACTTTAAATTTTATCCAGAATCTTTACTTAGTAGCCTAATTTTTAAAATATTTTAAACAACTAATTAAAAAAAAAATATGTTACTTTAACTCGTACTATTTCTTATGATCACTAAACATTTCGAATTATTTTGGTATTTTAACAATTGAGTGAATGATGTTCTTAGACCCAGAAAATATTGAACGACTGATAGATCTATGATGACTAATTATTCTCTTAGTATCTTCTCCTCTTTGTCTTTACTTTATTTTTAAAGATTCGAGCTCCTCATTTGCTGATTTGTAGCTGTTCATATGATTCTACAATTTAGAGAATAGCTGCTCGTTATTTTAAATGTTCTCTATGTCTGTTTAGATTTAGCGTTTTTAGATTTCGATAGAGTTTTTGATTGTTTGATGTTTTAAATCAAGTTCGCTTCTGTTTTTAGCAATTTCTTCTCTTTCCTATTTTATCTTCTTAAAGACTGCTGAAAACATACTATTAAGCTCGTTAGCTTTTACATCTAAAGGATTTCCTTGAACTGTATTAATATTCTAAAATAACTTAGGTTATGTATTTTAGAAAAACTTAGACGAAGATTAGAAAATTTAAAAATTGCTCTAACTCTTGTGCAGTTTAGATATTTCCATGCTATTATCTTTAAATTTTTATTCGTATGAACTCAATTTAGATTTTAAACTAGAATTCTCCTCTTTTAGCATTTGATTCTCTTTTCTAAGTTCTTCAATATCTTCCCTTAATTTATTTCTTCTTTATTACTCTAATCTCAGCTTATTTTAGAACTCATCTTCAATATTTTTTATCTTTTAAATGTAAATTTGTCTTGTTTTTAGCTTAGTCAAATTCATTTCTTCTCTGCACTGCTCTACATTTTCCCAATCTTCATCAATTGCCTAAAATTAGTTTTTATGTTTTTTAATTTTATTTAAATACTTGATTAAATAATTTTTTTTTTAACTTTGATTTTGTAAGTTTTTATAAAAAATATTTAAAAATGATTTACCTAAAGAGATTCTCTTATTATTTTAGAACGTGCATGTGGTGAATAAACATCTTAGAGACTGGTTTAGTCGATTTAACTTAAATTTTTCTATATTCCACTTATTTCTCCGGCTTGTAATTGCTAAATTAAATTGAATAATTCTGTGTTTTTATTTTATAAGCCAGTGATTTGTTCTTCAAGTTGTTTTTGTTTAATAATTAGATCTTCATTTTAGTTTTAAGAATCCTCAACCTAGGATTATAGTTCAATTATTTATTTTATTTTGAATTGAATCGATTCGTCTTTTGTTTAAGATTCGCACCTCAGTTATTCTACTTCTAATTTTAGCTGAGCTAGTTCCTGTACGTTTTATTCGTTTATCTAATCTAAATTTTTATAAATTTCCTAAATTTGTTGATTTTCAGAGATAGCTTCGTTAAGCTTTTCAGTCAAATCCCTATTTTCATCATCCTTCTTTTGAATTTCGTCTAGTTTTAGAGTAAAGCTTAACTTATACTCTTCAACTTTTTTAGTTAACAACTCGCAAAGATTATTCCTTTCAGTAAGTTATTGTATTTCCTATTATTGTCTTGTTTCTCTAGTTTCTTTTTCTTTTCTAAGTTCTTCGTAAACTAATTCATTCTTTTACTATAGTTAAATTATTATTTCATTTAAATTTTCTATTTCCTTTTAACTCTATTCATTGCTTAGTATTTATGCCTCTAAGCTTTCTAGTTCTTGTTATCTCACTTTATTCAATTCTTCAACTTCTTCTACTGTTTATCTAATTACTTCTTTGTAATGCTTTTCCATTTCTTAAAATTTTACAACAAGTGATTCATATTTTTAATTAAGATCTTCTGTTGGTTCACTTAACTCATTTTATTCATCTTCTTTCTAAAAGTATTTTTAAATTAAATAATAATTATTTTTTTAAATCAAAACAACCTTTATAAATTTCAGTAGAAATAATAAATAATTTTTTTAATATCAATAAAGTTGTTAAATTTTTTCAATAACATAAATATTATGATTAAAGTTGATAAATAATTTATTTATTTATTTTTTCGTTTTCTAATATATAAAAGTTATACACATTCTATAACACCAGCTATTTAATATACCCAATAATAATCTAATAATAAGCATCTCTATCTCGAAATTATTTAATTAAGTTTTGTGATAACTTTTGGAAAATCAGTTATAATTTTTAATTAATTAAAATTATTAATTATTTCTACTAATTAATCTGCGAGGTTAATTTATATGAAAATAATCTGTTTAGATAAATATTTTTTTTTTGTAAATTTCAAAATATAAAAAATAGCTTAATTAATTGTTCAACTTTATTTTAAATTTTTTAATTAATGGGAGAAAAATAAATGATAGATAGAATCTAACAGGAAATTAAAAGTTTGTTTTACCTCAATTTCTGTTTCTACAACAATATTGTTAGAATTTCCTTGAAGGAATTCTTACACCCCAGATATTTTTTCTATTGTACTCATGAAATCAGTCTGCTTGGCTGCATCAAGTAGATCTTTGACCAGTCTTTTAGCTCTCATCAAAGATCTTTAACTACCTTATAGCAGAGTTTCAAGCTCCTCAACGCTTCTTTTGACATTGTTAGATAACTTATTTTTGATTAGCTTAGCTCTTTAAGCAAAATATAATGTATTTAAAGTGTCTTATTCGTGTATTTTATTCATGCTAGCAGCACAAATGAGAGTTGTTTTAGAATTTCCACCCAAAGCATCTTTCAAAATTCTTGTTAATTTAGAGTTACGAAAATTGACGTATTTATCCTTATCGTCAGTGCCCTTCTTTTTTTCACTTAAATTTATGATACAATATTACAAATAATATAAACTTCTATTAATGTTTTTTGTTTCTTCTTTAGCTTAGCCTGTTGTTTGAGCTTGATCCAATCTCTCACTTCCAGCCAAATCTACTAAATTCATCTTACTGTTTCTGCTTGTTCCATCAAATAATTTCTATTCTAGCGAAAGAGTAAACACAGTATGAGATCTGCTGCTTCTTTCATTCATTTTTGTTGCTGTCACAGATCTATTTTTAGTGCCGTATGAAAGCCAGTATAAAATCTCTTCTGGCTCTTTAATATATTTTTCCTCTAAACCTTCGATAACCCACCCTTGAAATTTATGCTCTCTCAGCTAATTAATTTTAAATAATAAATAAATATTATTCAGTAAAATAAATTAATTATTTTTATATTTTATTTATAAGAGCTTTTTGCATAAAATTTTTTATGTGCTTTGACATGTTGTTTTTTATTTAAAGTTTATTTAAATAAAGAATAAATAACTAATTTGTTCTTAAAATATATTTTTTCTAAGGGCTTTTTGCATAAAATTTATAACATTTTTTTTTTAAACTTTATTAAAATAAATTTTATAACTAACTAGTTTAAGAATATTTTATTTTTAAGGGCTTTTAGCATAAATTTTTATATGGACTTAACATGGTGATTACTATTTAAACTTTATTTAAATAAAGAATAAACTAAATAATTCACTAGCTCTTAACGAGCGTTGGTGATGTCAATGACGCATTCTGAAATTTTAGAAAATAAATAATAATTAAATGCGCGATTTGCTTCATAATAAACCAAAATAAACGTAATTAAATCATTATTTATTTAATAGAGTTTAATTATGATGGATTTATAACCATTTAACTCCTTCCAGTTGCAAATGTGCTACTTCTTATTTTTTTTATTTTAGAATGAATTACTTTGCTTAGTTATTCATTCATTTATTATTGGTTTTAATTATATAAAAGTAATTTACTTTGAGATTCCCTTGAGGATCTTTTGAAAGTAAATCGTGTATATTTTCATTATATATTTCGATATAACTGCATTTTAAAATGAATTAGCTTCCTTCTTTTATTCCTTAATTGATACCATCAAATATTGTGAAAATACTTCTAGGCATTATACCAAACAATAGCTTGACGTCAGCTGGAATGTTATTTACATTCTTTATTATTGCTTCTGTTACTGCTTCTGGACCTAACATTGTATATGTTTTACCACTCGAAGTTTAGCCATAAGTGAATATCGTCCCATTAAACCCCTACAAACTTAAATAATATCCATTTAATAACACGTAAACTTGCTAATTTTTATGGATTTTACAATTTTAAGATTGATGGCTTAGCAAAGTTGTCGTAAATCTATTTCTAATCCATATCTACTGTAACTCCATCAAATTTAAAATTCTTCAAACCCTTGGTCTATAGTGTAATACTTACTTGACCTATATCTTCTTCAATATTCCAATCACTCTCCTATTTTTATATTAGTTTTCCTATTTAAAATTTGGTTTATTTTGTTCAAAAATAAAAAATTGCTTTCATTCGTGTTCTTTTTTTGGGATTTGCTTAATATATTTTCCAAAACATAATTGAACATATTATAAAATTGAGAAAAAGATAAACAGTTTTACATGTGAAATATTTTTCTCTTTTTTGAAACGCACTACGACCGTTATAGAAGACTCCTCTGACTTTTTATTTATTTCCATTTTACTTTCGTTACTAACTTATGCAACAAATAAAATGATCAATACTTTCTATCTTTTATCTATTTATAAAATTAGATTTTGAAATTTTCTTTACTTCTAAATATAAATACAACAATATCTTTAATTAGAATTTGTTGGAATATTAACTAGTGTTTAACAATTATACAATCATAGAATAATTACAGCTGGCAAGCGTACACCAGCAATACCAAAAACATAAAATTATTAAAGAACAGTGTTTGATTTTAATAATTTAAATTAAAAAATATTAGACAAACTTCAATAATTTCCTGCTTGTATTCATAAATTAACTGATTCAATAATTGACAAAGAATTTAACATAGCAATCAATTGTAATATAAAATACTTTACCTAAATAGACTTACCTAAAAACTAAAAATGTTTTCTTTTAAGCAAATCAAATATAAATTAGTTGATAACCTTTTTATCTTTATTTTCATATTAAAAAATAAAAAATAATTCTTTTAAATAGTTTCAAAATAATTTATATTTGTTCATAAATTGATATTTTTTTCAATTAATTATAAAAGAATACAAAAATTATTTTAAAATACAATTTAAATTCAATTATAAACTTATTTACTATTGAAAATTAAATAAAATTTGGAAATCTATTTAAAGTTGAGAACAAAATATCTTTAAATTAATAATAAAAAATTCAATTATCATATTGAATATTTTAAATTAAAAATAATTATTCTGAGTAATAAATAATATTAATTAATATTTAATATCAATTCTATTTTTGGTAAATGTGTTTTTAAACAAATTTACTTTTATAAAATTCTACTTAAATTTACTGAAGTTATCTTTGTAAATAATTTAGACTAAAAATAAAAATGAAGTAGGATTTTTAGAGTGAAAGAAAAATGCAATATTTATATGTAATAAATGCAGTAAGACTTTTAAAAACAATTAATTACATTGTTGTTAATATAAAATTAAAATAAATTTATTTTTCAAAACAATTGAATAAATATAAAAACTATTTAATTGTTTTATGCTATAAATTTGTTAACATTGCTTTTCTTAGTAGCTTTTTTGATAGATTCCAAAGAATTAATTAATTAACAATCAAAATTTGTAAACCAGCAAGATTAAATAAATTAATAAAAAGGCTTGTAATTTCAAAAAATAATTTATATTAAATAATATTAATTTCGAGTAGGCAAGAAATTTTTATAAAGAAGAAAATAGCATTGATACATATATAGATAGATAGTTAGATAGATAGATAGTTATTGTAAGAGAGAAAAGTAGTTAATAGTATCAAATAAGTTAAGCAAAATGGTAGGAAAGATAAATGAGATTATAACGAAGTATCCTAAGATTTTCGTTACAGTAGTTCTTCTGGCAACACTTTTCTGTGTTTGGGGCATATTTTATTTCTTTTACTCTATGCTCTGCATTATCTTTCCAGCTCCTATTTCAATATTAGTAATATACTCCCTTATTAAAAGTTTAACAAATTTAGATGAACAATTCGTTTTTGATGGATAGAGAAATTTTTAGCTAAGCAAACTATTTTATTAAATAGATTATTTTATATGGCATTTACAGAAACTTAAGAATGATATGCAGATTTATCGCTTTCCCAGGTTCTTTCTTCTTGATGAAAAGGAGTGTAGAAAATAATTATTGCAAAACATTTGCAAAAAGAGGATTAATGAAAGTTCAGAAATTGCTGGAAATCGTTGAATGTATGCTTGATAGCACAGAAGATATTGATATGATTTATAATCAGAATACTTGTTCAGAAATCTGCACAATAAAACAAAATTTAACAGGTCTTTCCCAAACGTTTAATTTCATGGGAGAAACATACAATTTAGATAAAGATTAACGCAACATTCAAGTAATACTAAGCAAAATAGTAACTCTGTTCAGTTAGATTAAGTACGAAGATAGAGAAAATGATAATCGCTAATATTAATTAGATAACCTGCTCGACAACCCAATGCTTCTGTCAAAGTTGATTAAATGTAAACCCTATTTGAAATTAATTTGAAAATAGTATGCATATTTTTATTAGATTACTAAAGCTAATTATAAACTGACCTCCTTTAAACTTATCAAAGAAATTTTATATAAATAAAATAATGGTCAGAATAAAACACTAACACACTATTTTATTTACAATTTCTGTAAATTCTAAGTGTAAAAAACCTTTTGGCAATCATTTATTTTTAAATTCATAATTTATTTATTCATTCATTTCTTTATTATGTATCTATATCAGCAAAATCAATGATTTCAGAAAGGCAAGATTTGGAGGAACTACAGCGTTAGCTATAAAAAATGGAGGTAATTTTTATCAAAATTAAAATAAATTAAAACTTTTCAAATTCTTTTCTAAAAGGTCAAAAATAATTTTTAACTTTAACAAATTTAAATAAATTAATTAATTGATAAATTAATAAATAAATCAATAAAGGTTATTTATCTTGACTTGTTGGAATAAAAGCCTATCGATAAAAGAATTCATAGATGGATGTACAATAAGACTTTAGGTTCATTAGATTAAGTAAACATAATTTATAGCAGAAGTTATCATTTTGTTAATTTTAATTGTAATAAAATTAGCTTAGAAGCGATATTGAGCAACAATTTGATTCAAAAAGACTATTCTTGAAGTCATTTGACAATAAAATTATTGATTGGTAGATAGATTTCTCTTAAAAGCTATTTTATTTAGTTAATATAATTATATATTAAAAAAGTCTTATTATTTATGGTGATGCATCTAATTTGTAGACTGAAGTCACCAACAAAATAAAGGAACTCCCAACGCTTATTTACTGCAATCCAAATGCAGGATACTATGAAAGTCTTTTTTATGAAGTATTTTTATATTAAAATATTATTTAATTTTTATTATTTTTAATAATAATTATTTATAATAATTAGAGCGATTGGATAGAATATTATATTTCTAAAGGTATCAATTTAGTTGTTTATAATTATAGAGGATATGGATGCAGTGAAGGAACTCCAACACCTTAGGTAAAAGCATAATTATTTTATCTATTCAATATCGTTTACATGGTATTGACTTGTTTGCTGTTAAAAAGAATATTTTATTAATTAGAATCTCTTTAAAGATTGTGAATGTTTAGTTGATTATTTGAGATAAGATTTACAGGCAGGTTAAATTGGTATTCATGGTTAAAGTATTGGCGGTATGGTAGCATGCTATGTTGCTAACTCAAAGAAACTCAATTTCTTATTAGCAGATAGAACCTTTGCTTAATTTTCAGACATCGCTAACTACGCTTATGGTTCAAAAGTTAAATCTCTCTTTAGAATGTTAGTTGATTGGGATTTTCAAATGAGCTCCTTTTTTGTCAAGGCTGATTGTTACAAAGTAAAAAATATATATCAAATTTTTTTAATATTTCAAACAAAACTTTTAAAAAAATATTTTAACCCATTATTTAATAAGTACTCTACAATTAATTAAATCCAAAGAAAATTTTACAAAACATAATTAATTTCAATCAAATTAAAGCTTGAAAATAGAATTAAATTGTTTTATTTAGAAATTCATTTAAATTATTAAGAAAGAAATTTATTATTTTTTGTATTTTTAAAAAATAAAATAAAAATTTATTTTGCATCTTATTTAAACCATTAAATTATAATTTTTTTACTTTTTTAGCATTCACTAAAAATTACAGTTTATTTTTTATATTTTAAGCTAAAATTTTTATAATTTTAAAATCAATAATAAGCTTATTAGCTTTGATTTAAAGGATGAAGTTATTCCATATATGGCAAGCCTTAAGAATGGTGTGTCTAAGGATTATGTAGTTTTGAATAACAAGTTAAACACTACACCTATGATTGATTTTCCTAAAATTCCTCATTCATCTAGAAGCAGCTTGCCTTTGAAAGAAAGACTTTCTTTATATGCCCAAGATAAGAAGAGCTAAATGAAGAAAGCCTTTGAAGTTGACTTTAGATTGAATGAAATTTCATAGGACATACTCTCTTAAAATGATACTATTTCACTATTTAATTCTCTTCGTAGAATTATGGAAGTAATTAAAGATGTCTCCTAATACAGAAGCTCAGGAGGAAAGAGAAATCCTAGCAGTAAATCGACTTGCTAAACATCTAAGCATAGAAAAACTAATTCTTAAATACGTAGATCTAATTCTGATCCATAAAATATAGTGGATGGAGAGGAAAATTAAATTGAAAAAACAAATTCTTAAAACTTGAATGAGAGTATAAACTTAGATATGACTTTAAACACCAGTATGATCAAATAACCTTACGATGATGCTGATTAATCAATGATATACTAAGGAAATCATAATGATAACTAAATTTCACCAAATGAAAGTAACTAAAATTCTTTAGAAAAAACTTCAATTCTGCAAAAACAAAACGAATTTGTTTCTCTTGAAATACAAAGCACAGCCGCAAGCTCAGTTAGCAGTTAATCAAGCACTGAAACAAACACTAAGACTGATTTCTAAAAATCTCACCTTTAATATCTTAATGATGATGTTAGATCTGATGGAGCATTCTAAGACTTCCTTATTCATTGTTTTTCAGTTATGGACTAATTTGATTCAGCTGGGCTCCCTCTTTCTGGAGTTTTCACAAACTTCCGTCCTGATTTGCAATTCAATGTATTTAAGGTAAAATAATTATTTCTAATATAAGACTTAATATTAATTTTAATATAAGCAATTCTTCTTGAATTTGGGGTAATGGGGAAGTGTAAAACCTTAGACATACATCATTTAGAAGAACTTAAATATTTTTGGACTTAAAAAATATGGTTTGGTAACAGCAAAAATAAATAAAATCATATTTTATATTCAAAATTATGCAATAATAAATTAGGTAAAACTGAAAGAGACTATCAAAAAATTTAGAGATATGAATTAGCAACACAAAACAGATGGACATTACTATTTTGAAAAATTAGTAATTGAAATGAATAAAATAAATAAACATAATTAATTTTTATTATTTTAATTATTAGATTAATTTGGATTTATCAATAATATGCAGTAAGTTAAGCATAATTAAGGAAAAACTTATCAGAGATTTGCAGTCAGAATAACTCAAATTTAAAGATGACATTGAGATTTGTTTGTCTGGTAGAGGAGAAAACGATGATAAAGAATTAAATTAAGGATCATCATAATACAGTTTTACAAATAAAGATAAGCAGTATGAAAATTCTGCTGGCTACTTATTACAACTAGATTGTGGTCATAATGGTCTTTACAGTAGCAACGAATTAAATTACCTGGAATTCCACATGAAAAGATCTGGATTTTTATAATGAAATAGCAACTTAACTGTTAATCTGTCAACTAAATAACAAACAAAAAATCAATTATTTATTGTTGCTATTTTATAGTTAGAATTATATAATTATTGATTGATTTTATTCAAATTATTTATGATAATAATTGTAACTTAAAATACTTTATTTTTATTTATGAACTAAGATTATTTTATTAATTCTTAATTATTCTTCAATGTATTTCTTATTAAATAAATAATCCTAAATTTAATTTAATCTATCATCTAAAATTTGCTTTTCTCAACTTTAAATATTTAAAATGTTCATACTATAGCAAGTAGTGAGTGATGGATAACTTAATAAAATTTTACTTACAAAAAAACATTTTGTATTTTAAAAAATGAATCAATAAACATGTTAAATTATTGAGATTTTTGATTTTTAAATTCTACTAGTTTTTAAAATCTTTAGATTTGAGAATTTTTATATACTGCTAATTCTTATTAATTAAGACAATATTAAAAGAAGGTACAAACAATATTTTTTTCTAAAAATTCTAATTTTTTTTAAGCTAAACATTTGTCTAAATTTCTTTTAATTAAATATTCATTAGTATAGATAGCCTATCCAAAATGAAAAATGCATTTAACTCTAGATAATTTTTAAAAACTTTTAAAATGTTTTTTCAAAATAATTCAATTTTAATTAAAAAATAAGATAAATTCATTTACAAATTTTTTTATATTCCTCATTTTTTCTGGTTTACATAAAAGAGGAATATAGAAAAAGACCTAGAAATAGTGTTACTCCTACACTAACTTGTACACTTGTATAAAGGATTTAGGGTGGTATAAAGCTCAAAACTTATTCAAGATTTAGTAAACAAAAAAAAAATAATTATTTTTATTATTTTATTTAATTGAGAGTATTTTATTTTAATTTTAAATTTATAGTTATTTATTAATTATTATACTGTATATAACAAATGCATATATAAATGAAGAAAATAAATAATAAATTATTTTATTTAGTTAATTGAAATTATTCAAGCTTATGTATGATAAACACCATTAAATAGAGCAAAATTTATTGGTAAAAATAAATTGAATAAATGATTGATTGTTATTCGAGTTTTGTTCAGAAAATAGAACACTGTTTGCATAGAGATTGCTCACTTCTTATCAGATTTTTTACGTATCTTTAATTCTAGTTGATATAATCTTAACATTTTTTTGCATTCTTGTAATTTGGGTTTAGCTCTAACACTTTCTGGTAACTCTCATAAGCTGCTCTAACATTAAGTTAGTCTTCATAAATCCCTCCTAGATTGTAGTAAGATAAAAAATGTTTTGGGTCAAGTTAAATTGTTCTTTAGTAATATTCTTTAGCGAGCTAAAGGTTTTTGAAACCATTTCTATAACAATATCCTAAGTTAAAAGTAGTAGATATATGTTTAGGATCTAAAGTAAGTGCTTTTAAGAAATGCTAAATACAATTTAATATGCATCTTTATCACGGTAAGCCATAGCAATAAAATAATTAGCTCCAAAATGATTTGGATTAAATTCTAGACATTTCCTATAGAAATAGATGCATTCATCTAATTTTTCTTGATCAGTTTTTATCTAGCCCAATTGATAGTAAGCTTTTTCAAGACCAATTTTTGAAAATTCAATAGTCTTGCGCAAATAAAATTCTGCTTGTTAACGATCATCCTTTTAATAAAAGCAGTCTCCTAACATTCTATATGCATCTGGTAGGTTTGTATTTAACTCAAGAGCAGTTTTCAGATACTTTATCAGCTTATCACTTGTTTGGCATATTTCATATTCACAATTTGCTGCAAAAAGAAGTGAGGTAATATCTTTAGGATTTATTCTTATTGCATTCTCAAAGTATGGTATTGCTTAAGGGTACATTTTTTTATCTTTGTATATAATTCCAAGTTAAAAAGAAGCTATAGGTTCATCTTTATTTAAATTATATGCTTTCAAAAAATTTGATATTGCTTCATCATCTTTCTTCATTTTTAGATTTACAATTCCTAATTCCAAGTATGCTCTATGGCTATTTGGGTCGATTTGAATAGCTTTTTAGAATTCCTAAGCAGCTAATTAATCTTCGTTTTTCTACTTATGAATAAAACCTAAACAAATCTATGCGTTAACCATGTTAGGATTTTGTTCTAAGGCTCTTTTGTAGTAAATTTAAGCTCTGTCATATCTTTTTGTTTTTTCCATTTCTAAGTATCCAATTTAAATAAGAAGATCTACATTCACAACATCAGATTCTAAAATTGTTTCGTAATATTAAATTGCTTGAGGATATAAATTTCTTTCCACATAGATTTTTGCAATAGCTTCTAAAGAATCAATATCTCCAGAGTCTGCTTCCACTGCTTTCTAATAATACTTGATAGCCACATCTTTAGATTGTTATATACTTCCAAGGAGGTAGTTTATGTAACTACTATTAGGATAAAGTTGAAGAGCCTTTTGTCCAAAACTTTCTGCTTAAATATTATTCTGTTATTCATTGTAAAGTTATGTAATGTTAAATAAAGTCATCATATCTTTTTAGCAAATATCTAGAGCCTCTTTATAAGCAGCTAAAGATTCCTTCTAATTTTTCAAAATTTTATGATAAATATATCCTTTTCTAAATAAGATTTGTGGATCGTTTTAGTCCTTATTTAGTTAAATAGCCTTCTCGATTTCACTCAAGCCAAGCTAGTTATTTCCTTAAATACAAGATAAAACTGCTTTTAGTGAGTAAATTTAAGGTGAATTAAGCTCTAGACCTAAAGCTGTTTGCAAAGATTCGTTTGATAGTTAATATTTTTATTACAAGAAATACAACCAAGATTGATAGTAATGAATTCTCCAGTAATTTTATTAAATAGTTAAGCACTTGTCTAAATAGTTTTGAATAAGTTTATATTTGCGCTTCAAGCAATTCAAGATAATAATGTGAGACTATCCAAGCATGCAATCTACATCATCTTCATCAATATCACGCGCATCTTAGAAATATTATTCAGCCTTTTTAAAGTTACAATTTGCACAAGCTTCGAGAAATCCTAGGGTTATCAAATAATTAATATTATCTGGACTATTTTTTAAGTTTTTTTTGTACTTTTCAATCAAACTATCAGCCTCCAAATAGTTAAAGTCTATTAATCTAGAACTTGCTCCAGAAGATTTAAATTACTTAGAGTTATTAGAGAACTACTTGGAATTATTAGAATACTATTTGGAATTATTTGAATACTATTTAGAATTATTGGAGTACTGATTTGAGTTATTACTTTTTAAGTTATTGGAGAAGATATTGCTGAATTCATCTTATTAAGTAGAATTTAAAAATTAAGAAGATTATTTGCTTGATTTGCTAGAAATAATAATATTAGTGCTTGCTTAACTTTATTCACTATCATCGTTGATTGAAGGATGCTTCATAAAATCTTGCTCTTCCTCAAACTAGTTTCCTTCATCATCAATATTTTCAATAAACCATTAATGCATCTTTTCACGAATTTGATTTATATTTGGTCTTTGTTTAGGATCGCATATTAAAATATATTGAATGAGTTTATTACATTTTGCATCAAGATTAGGAGAATCAAAAGCAATCAATTTATCAAATTCAGAGCAACTAACTAAATACATAACTTTTTGGATCTGAAGCCCACCAAATAGTTTCAGGCATATACCCAATGCCCATATGTCTGCCTCTTTGCTTTGTTTCACTTCTTATGATCCTTCTTTGAGAACCTCTGGAGGGAAATAAGCGAAAACTCCCTTAGGACCTGCTGCTGAAAACTACATAGAATACTATGCACTTTAAGTTTTTTTAGCCAAACCAAAATCGCAAAGCTTAACAACTCCAGCCTTATTAATAAGTATATTTCTGACTGAGAGATCTCTAACAATATAATTTTGATTGTGTAAATATTCAACGCCATCGATTATCTACTAAGCATAGTATGTAAAATTAGCGTAAGGGATATGCTTAGTACCATTCTTTTTGATCCAGCCTTCGAGAGAAAATTCGCATAAATCCATCTAAATGAAGTGATATAGATCAATAACATATTCGTCTCTAAGCTCAATAATATTTTTATGACTACACTCTCTCATGATTTGAGCCTCTCTCTAGCAACTTTAAAGTTTAGCTTAGTCAATTTTCTAATTGTTTGAATCACCAACATACTAAGCTTTCACAGCATATTTAGCATTCTTTTAAGTGTCTTCAACAAACAAAACAGTACCGAAACCGCCTTTTCCTCCATCCTTCTTTAAAATTTTCAAATTTTTTTCAGTTTCTAAGTAATTTGCTAATTTAGTGAGTTCCTTTTCGTATTAATTTTCCTCCTCCATTTATTTATTTGAAACTATACTCTTTTGATCTATATAGTTTATTAACTATCTATCTAATACTTTAAAATTAAAAACTAAATATTAAATTAATTTTTTTAATTATTACTTTCAATATTTTTTATAGAGCTAAAGATACTGCAAGCAATCAATTATTTCAATTTATTTATGTAAGCGAAATCTTTAGTTTAAATAAGAGGTGTTTATTTATTGTATTTCTAATACAAAGAATTGAAGACCATACATATCAAACTAAATAGTGTCTAATATTGGTAAGGATAATTAAAACCATAGGTTTTGGTAATATAATCAAAGTTAATAACTTTATTAATATTAAATACACAAACTTGTTAAAATAAACAATAAATTATTCTCATTAAAATAAAAAAATTGCACTTTAGAATTCAATAAAAACTCTATAACAATTTTATTAATTCGTAAATTATTCTAATTATTTTGGTAAGTACAAAATTAATTAATTTAATTAAAATTTTTCTATCAAAATTATATAACTTTTTATTTTTTGTAATAAAAATGAAATACTATAAAATTTATAAATATACTTTTGAATGATTATTTATTATTAATAATCATATTTATTTTTAAAACATATTTTTATTTGCATAAATCAAATTAATATGGTTTTAAATAATTATTTGAATATCTAAACAAAAATTTATAGGAAATAAGAAAGTATTTGTTTCTATCCTTTATACCTAATCTAATTCATTACCCATTCAATTAAAATGGTAATAAATATTATCTAATTAAGATTAAGAAATAAATTCAGAGTACAATTTATTTGTTGAAATATTGCAGAAGTTAGTTATAAATCATATAAATAGCTATGAAAATCCCGACACAGAAGAAGGAAAATACTTAAAAAATGTTAAACCCCTTAAAATGAAGATTTTGGTGAAAGAATCAATAAGATTATCACAATAAGAATTTAATGACTCAGGAGAAGTTATTTTATGTTTATATTATGTATAAAATTTTTAATGTGTATAATTTCTGTTAAGTTGATAATTAATTTTTAAGTATGTATTTTTATTAAATTAAAATAATTAAATTCTTAAAAACAAATAAAAATTTTTTAATGATTTTTTAAAATATTAAATTTAGTTATAGACATAAAAAGCATAAAAATAGATATATGTAGGTATGTATGTATGTGTGTAATTTTAGGTAGGTGTGTATTTGTGAGTAGTAATATTATTTTTAATATTAACATTTTATAAATTTACTGTTATAATTCTCAAAAAAATGTGTTGCTTTTTGTTATTTATTTGTTTTTGAATATAATTAGTCAATCTTTAAGCCAGCATTTTTAGTCTTTAAAATTTCTTTTTAATAATTTCTTAAATTCACTAACAAAAAATAATCTCAGAAAATATCTTCCCATCTAGGATCGTACTTGGGATTTTTAATCTTAGCAACTTGTACTGGGTTGATTCCTTCAGCTTTAACCTATTCTGAAATGATAATACCTTATTTCTCTATTTGAGCTATCTTTTCTTCCTTTAATTAGCTTTCCTCAGGGGGAATCCAGGGAGCCTTTAACTTTCTTTCAAGAAGTTGGTGCTTTAATTTGATTTTATAAATTAAATTTAATAAGTTGTTAAATAAAAGCAATATATAATAATTTTATTTACCCAGTCAAAGTTCTTGAACCATGCATTTGATTTCAATGCATTATATGAACCTCCAAGTCTTATTTCAGGAATCTTATTTAACAATTAAAGCATCAATTGCTTAGCAACAGCATCCTTCATGTATGCAGGGAATTATATTTCTTTTTTAATGATTTCTTCGTAAATTTCATAAGGATCTTCAGCTTCTTCGGCGAAAGGAACATAACCGCACATAAATTCATATAAGCAAATACCTTAAGTATATTAAAAAGTTAAAAGTTAGTAATATTCTCCTAAAAAGTTATTAATTACCCACTGACCAAAGATCTACAAGGAAGTTGTAACCTTTACCAGAAATAACTTCAGGAGCCATGTAGTGAGGAGTACCAATGATAGTGAATGTTCTAGTGACAGTGCCTGCCTTGCTCTTCATAATTTTAGCAGTACCCATATCAATTAATTTAAGATAACCAGCATGATCGACCATGATGTTTTCAGGTTTGATATCTCTGTAGATAATATAATTTGAGTGCAAATATTCAAGTGTCAAGATAAGAGATCCAATGTAGAATTAAGAATCGTATGTAGAGAGTAAACCAATTTCTCTGATTACATCAAACAATTCCATACCTTATATGAATTCAAGCAAGAAATAAATGCATCTGTCATCCTTGAAAGAACGCAAGAATTTCATAACAAAAGGGAAATTATTGAATTCCATAACTTACTTTTCATTCTATTTAATTTGCAAAAAAATTTAAATTAATTTTAATTAAAATAAATAAATAATATCATTTTAATTAACAAAATAATAAAAATCAATATTTATTTATCTAAAATTATTTAATCTAAAGGGATGAAATGAGTTTATTGATTAATTAAATTTTAATTTAGATAAATTCTCTAACTTGAATATTTATTTAATTAAACTTTTTTATGCAATTTATTTAGAATTATTTTTTAAAACTAATAATTTTTCTTAATTTTTAAAGCAGTTGAAAAATACAAGGCTTGATTTGGGATTACTAACTTACTTATTTATTTATTTATTTATTTTTTTTTGAATTGAAATAATTATTTTGCTTTATTCTTTAAACATTCTTTAAACTCATAAAACAATCTTGCTAAATAAATGCTTTTTAATTTATATATATTAGCAATGTTAAATAATTAAGAAATTACTTATATGTGTTTTTCTAAGCTTTGCTCTACAACTTGGGCTTTTGAGACGCATTTAAGTCCATAAAGTTTCTTTTTGCCTTTTTCCTTGACTAAGAAGACTGAACCGAATTAACCAAAACCTAACTTTTTAATAACTATAAGGTCACTGAGTTTCATATTATTAACTTATGACTTTAAGTTAGATTCTTCAATAGCACTTTGTTCCTTAACTTACTTATTTTTATTAATAACATCGAAGGGAGATTCTCCAAAGAGATTAACCAACTTCTCGATTTTAATGCTACCAGTGATACACTATTCACCGAAAATAACTAAATTGTTGGGATAGACACTTTTATCATTTTGCATGAATGGTTCTTTGTCACCAAATACATGTCCTTTTTAGGCTACTACATCATTTCCTTTCTATTTAATTTTTACTATTAATTTAATATCCTTTATAATAATTTAAAAATTACCTTGATTTAACCTTCCAAAAGAATAATAATTGCATTTTTAATGGGAGTTCCTTGCTATATGACAACTTCTCCATCTTTGTGATGATTAATCTAAATATTGTCAAGAAGTTTTTCTTTTTGAGACTTTGTAAATCCTTGATATCCTTCTAATCTTTCGAGACTCCACTTTGAAATGTTCTTATAAATGATAACTTCTACTTGATCACCCAAAATTCTGGTAAGGACATCTCTACCGAGAGCTAAGCACTTGACGTCGCTTTAAGCTTTAACAGTCATTGCTCTTTTATGAACTCCTTGAAGCAAAGCGGTTTCTCCAAAAGAGTCACCACCTTGTAAAGTTCTAACTTCAGCACCTCCTCTCATAACGCTTACAGAGCCTTCCTTGATAATATAGAAAGATGAGGCAGGATCATCTTCGCTTACAATAATTTAGTCCTTCTAAAACTTTTGATCAATTAAAACTCCAGCTACTGAGTTCTTCTATTCAACAGTTAAATTTTCTATATTTAAATTAAATGATTTAAAAATTAAAAAACTGTTTTTTACATTAACTTTGTTCAAAAAAAGAAAAGAAAAATTAATAATTAACTTCATAGCAACTTATAAAAAAAAAATTAAATAAAAAGAATATTTCATCATAAAAAATTAGAATTTAAAAAGAAGATATTATATTTTTGAATTCGATTCTTAAAAAAGATTAAAAAATTAATTAATTAAAAACAAACACTGACTGTTTTTTATTTTTTCTATGAATTATAATCAATCAATCAATTAAATCTAAACTAAAATAGTTCTATCATAATATTCTTTTTTACTTTTACTGAATCTTTATATAATCTTTCTCTTTCTGATGATTTAAAAATTAGGGAGTGAAGCAATAACTAAAAAGCTAATGATAAAATAGTTTGTTTAAAAACCATTTTTTAAATGAACTCACTCATGTCTTTGACATATCAATAAAGTTATTCATATTAGACTTTAATTTTTGTTTAAATAAACTGCTTTAAAAATTTTTAATATGCTTGCTTTTTAGTGTTATTTGCCATTTTAAAAGATTCAAATAATATGTTTAATGGTATAATTAACTGAAGTTTCTCTTTTTCTTAAGAAAAATCATTGCTATGAAAATAATATTAAATTTTTGCTAAAATTTTTACAGAAAAATTTATGGTTTTCAATGAATTTTCTATTTTGTTCATATTCTTTTGTGATCATTTCTTCAACTACTCTTCTAAAGGTAGCTCTATCAATACCCCAAAGGTGACACTTTTGTAAAGCCTTGCAAGAAGCGCTTCTAGGAGCATTGTAAAGTAGAGCTAACTCTCCAAAACCTTCTCCTGGTACAATATCTCTCTTAACATTATCCTTAACACTGACTTAAATTCTTCCCTATTCTAATATAAAGTTTTATAATTTTATTAGACCAGTGTTATTGAACTGTATTTTTTTTAATATAATCCAATCATCTTCTATCTAATGTATATTTATTCGCCTATGATGCAAAATATCTAATTTATTTACCAAGGATGAAGAAAGTGGAGGCATTGTCTTCTTCTTTAATGATGGTTTCACCTTCTTAAAGCTCACAATAGAACATCTCATTGACTAATGTTTCCCTTTAGAGTTAAAGAATAAATTTAAACATAGAAACTAAAAAGGGTTTTAACTCTTTAAAAATAGTTGAGAACATTAAAAATGAAAGAAAATTTTATACAATTGGCTGTCTTGCAAATTATAGAAGACAAAGTGGTTTCTTAAGCATGTAATAATGAACTTAATGTCTTGATAATTCTTCTTTTTCTCTACTCTCTTGAAGTTTTCACAGATTTCAATCTCCATAGAGAACTCATTTTTAATAGCTGCTCTTTTATTACCTCTTCTTTTCTTTTTTTATAAAAGTAAGTTTAATTTACAGCTTATTTATTGCTTGCTCTTATAAGTCATTTAATATTGCTGCTATTCAGTCAGAAAAATTCTTCACTATGTCTTTTTGCTATTGAAAATTCTTCTTTTAAGACTGCTAACACAATAATATGACTGAAGAAATAGTTTTCAAGCTGTAACAAAATAAGGATTAAATAGAAGAAATATTTTAATTACATCAAGAGGAGTGGAAGGATTATTGGGATTTTTGTTCAACTCCACTCTTAAATCTTTGTATGATTGTAAAGCTATCTTTTTATCTTCCATTTTTGATGAATATTGTTAAATCTTTTTCAGCAGTTGTTTTTGCTTCTTTTATTTTTTTAATTATTTCTTTTCTTTTTAAGTAAAAGCTTGTTGATTGAATTTTTTATCGTTTTATTCACAAAATCAAATAATTTTTAATAAATTAATTATTAATCAAATTTTCTTAATATCCTTTAATCATAAATTTAAAAAATTGGATTTTATTTAGAATTATGATGCAAGTATACATAAATACATACATACATAAAAGCTTGCATTATTCTTTTATCAATAAAAATTCATTCAATTCATCTAAATAAAATATTGAGATATTAGTTATCTTCCTGCATTACATACAAATTGCTAACAAATTTATTTCTATCTATCTTAGGTTTACATCAAAACTTTGTTTCTCCTTCTTCTTACCTGAAATCTCCACTTTAATTCATATTAAACCATAGACTTACACACTAAAATATTTGCTATAAAATATCTTTTTATAATAATTTTATAATTTCTCATTATACATACCACTTTTTAGAAACTAGCAAACCTGATAAAATATTTTATTCTAAATTAAATCAAAAGCTCGATTACAAAAAAAAGAAAAAAACTAATTAGTATTGATTAGATGTAACAAATTCAACTCTTTTTTAGATAATTGACTTAACTTTCAAAAAATTTTGTAAAATAACTTTCTGGTTTTGAATATCTTTCTTTTATTTGCTTGTGAAAATAAATATCTCCATCCAATTTTGCAAATATAATAATAAATATCGTATAGACAATTAATTTTCTGAAAACTAGTCACAACTCATTCCAACAAGAACCTCAAGCATATCTTATTAATTAACACATTTCGCAAAATAAAAAAAATTATAAATCATAAATTTTAAATTATTTATCAACATTATAAAAAATCTTTTATCAAGTGTTTTCATAATTAATCAACATTCTCATAGCAAAAATGCTATTATTTCATTATGAATTCTTTTTAAATTTATCTATAAAAATAAGATTGAAATAATGCCGATGCTCTATTACAAAAGTACATTTTAGATTTATATCAAAATTTATCAAAATGCCAGTCGAACCTCTCTATTAATTACTTTCGAGGAGATAAAATAAAATAAAAGAAGAAAAAAAACAATAGCAATTTTCAAACTGAGTAAAGATTTAGCAATTAATTCTTATAATAAATAGATTTTAGTGTTTATTTTTACAAAAATCCTAAGTATAAAATGTATGTAAATGATAAAATAATTAATCAATAGTTTAAATAATTAGAATTATTATAAAAAAGATAAATTTATTAAATTTTATTTTAGTTAAAATAAACAAGTTATACTGAATTGTTTTTTTTCAATAAGTAATGATTAAAGTATTACTTTTTACCTTAAGATATTTTATTCAGCTTTAATCAATAAAGTTATGCAAAATAATTTGAAAAAATCATAAATATAATTTGAAAGGATATTTATATATTTTTATAAATTTGCGAATTAATTAATAAAAAATGCAAAACTGATTTTGTTCAAAAAGTTGTGGTAAACATAAAATATCATCTAATTTTCAGAAATTGCAAAAAAAATAAAAATATCTATTTAAAAATCACTGATAAATTAAAAAATAAATAAAAAGAAAATTAGATTGATTTATTATTCTTCTACAATTATCAAAACTATAAAGATTATGACGTGTGCTTTTCTTAAAAATTACATATTAAAATACTCCTCATTCTTTATTGAAAATTAATCATCCATTATACAATAATAAATTTAAATTAATCTATAATACTATTTTTTTATGTGTGTCTCCATAAAATCATATTTTTTTTAGCAAAAAAAAGATTGTTATCTTTTTCTTTCTTTTCTTTACATTTATTACCAAATATTTTTTTATTTTGCGCCAGATATTTTATTTTCTTTTAAATTGCAAGCTTTTTTTTTTGATTTTATCTAATAATAGAAAATAAATACTATTGATTTAGCAATCCATCAAAAAATTTTCTTTATTTTACTAATAAGCAAATAATTAAATTAAATTAGAATAATATTCATAGAAAAAATCATAACCATGAATTTATCTTTTAAAAATCTGAATATAAAATCATCTTTTTATGGTAGTTCATCTGTATTTTATAAATATATTAAAGTTATTACACTTTAATAAATTTTGAAAAAATTAAATATGCTTGATTTGACTAAGTATCTTAATTTATTCAGCTTGGTTATATCGATTAAATATGGATATTACATTGAAATAATATTTAATTTTAACTTACTTTTTCAATTCTAAAAGATAAAAATATGTATAACAAAATACCAATTATTTGTTTTTAATTAAATAATTTTTAGCTAAGCTAAGTAGAAGTAAGAAAGTTCAAAAAATAATCAAATTTAAATGAATTATGCAATAGGACCAACTGAGACATAAATTAATTTTTTTGGGTTGGGCCTAGGGAAAAATACACCTAAATATGTCAAAAAATATTTTATTCTAGTGAGTTCACATTGTCAATACTTTTATATCCAATCTCTTGTTCCTACTATATTTTTAAGTACATATCAGAAATATTAAGATTTAATAAAAAATTTTTCACTAACTTTTTTGTGATTTCTCTTGCTAAAAGCAAATATATAAATTCATATAATTTATTTTTTCGTTTTATCTTCTTATAATTAAATAAATTCCCATAAATTACTATTCAATATTTTTGAGAAAAAAAAAATAAATGATATAATAGATTAAATTATACAGAGAATTAGAAGAAGTAATCATCTATTTTTTTTACAATATACTTTAAATTTATTTTTGCTGATATAAAAAGTTTTTAAACTCTTCACTTTAATCTCACAAAGTTCTAAAAATTAATCTGAGGTATATTTAATTTATAATTATTATTATTCTTATTATGAATATTAATACTATATTGGTACATTTTATTAAAAATATTTTCTTAGTTATTTAACTTAATTTTATTATCCGTTTTTTATTATTTGATATTTTTTAGTCAGTCATTTTTTCTTCTAAAACCTTGACTTGATAAAAATAGTTTATAAGTTTTGGATTGTGATATTTTTACTTATAAAATTCAATTTAAAACAATTTAGCCCTTTTAATTTGCTTATAAGCTTTCTATTTAATTTAATTTAATTTACTTTTCTATTTCTTTTCTATTTCTTTTTTATTTTACTTGAGTTTATTTTTCTTGAATCTTTCTTAATTTAACTCATTTTTTATTTTCAAGTTTTATTATTATTTTTTATTCATTCATTCATTTCTTATTACTTCATATTTTTTCTTCATTTTTTCCTTCTAAATAACTAATTTAATTATTTATTTTTTGTTCTATATTCAAATAGTTACGAAGAAATTGGTGATATTGGTGCATCAAGTTTAGGTTTAGCTCTCACAAAATGCACTAATCTATCCAATTTGGCAATTGGTCTTAGGTAAATTAATTTTATTTGTTTTAGATTGTGATATTTTTACTTATGAAATTCAATTTAAAACAATATAGCCCTTTTAATTTGTTTATTAGCTTTTATTTGATTTACTTTTCTTTTTCTTTTTATTGTACTTGTGTTTATTTTTCTTCTATCTATCTATCTTTCTTAATATAATTCATTTTTTTTATTATATTTTACTTTTATTTATTTATTAATTTAATTTCTAATTAAATCATATTATTTCTTCTAAATAAATAACTAATAAACTAATTATTTTTGTTCAATATTTAAAAAGTAACAATAAAATTGGTGACTAAGGAATATAAACCTTAGGTTCTGCTTTAGCAAATTGCACTAAACTCTCTCATTTGACACTTGATCTAAGGTAAATTCAGTTTATTTGTTTTGGATTATTATAATTTTACTAAAAAAATTTTTAAAACAATATAGCCCTTTAAATTTGTTTTTTAGCTTTTTATTTGATTTACATTTTTTTTCTTTTTTATTGTATTTGTTTGTGTTAATTTTTCTTCTATTTATTTATTTATCTATCTATCTTTCTTAATTTAATTCATTTTTTCATTTTCAATATTTGCTTTTATTATTTATTAATTTATTTATATTAATTCATTTCTTATTAAATCATTGTTTTTTCTTCATTTTTTCCTACTTAATAACGAATTAATGATAAATTTTTTGTTCAATATTTAAAAAGATCAAATATAATTGGTGAAATAGGTGCATCAGGCTTAGGATCTGCTTTGGCAAATTGCACTAATCTATCAAATTTGGCACTTAATCTTAAGTAATAATAGTTTATTTGTTTTGGAGTGCGATATTTTGACTATAAAATTCAATTTAATTAAAATTTTCGAAGATCAAAACCCAAAATTTTTTAAAGTTTTGATAATCTTATTAGGAGCTTATAAAAACTTCAATTCCTTCTACTTCTATATAAACTTTACTTTTGGAGTAAATATTATTTTAAAATAACTTAAAGCAATCAATATAGCTCTTTTAATTTGTTTTTTAGCTTTTTATTTGATTTAATTTTCTTTTCTTTTTTTATTCTTGTCTGTTTGTGTTTATTTTTTTTCTATCTTTTTTAATTTAACTCATTTTTTTATCTTTAATTTTTAATTTTATTATTTATTTATTTTTCATATTTTTTCTTCATTTTTTCCTTCTAAATAACTAATTAATTAATTACATATTTTTCTTCAATATTTAAAAAGTGGCAATAATATTGGCGCAATAGGTGTATCAGGCTTAAGCTCTGCTTTAGCAAATTGCATTAATCTCTCAAATTTAACACTTTATCTTAGGTAAATTCAGTTTATTTATTTTGGATTATGATTTTCTTACTTATAAAATTCAATTTAAAACAATAAAATTCTTTTAATTTGTTTAATAGCTTTTTATATGATTTAATTTTCTTTTTCGTTTTTATCTTACTTGTCTTTATTTTTCTTCTATCTTCCTTAAATCAACTTATTTTTTATTTTTAAAGTTTGTTTACTTTTATTATTTATTTATTCAATTCTTATTAAACATATTATATCTTCATTTTTTCCTTCTAAATAACTAAATAACTAACTAGCTAACTAATTAATTATTTATTTTTTGTTCAATATTTAAAAAGTGGTAATTAAATTGGTGATTAAGGAACAGCAGACTTAGGTTCTGCTTTTGCAAAATGCACTAATCTCTCACATTTGACACTCGATCTTAGGTAAATTCAGTTTATTTGTTTTTGATTGTGAAATTTTACTTATAAAATACAATTTAAACAATATAATCCATTTAATTTGTATATTATCTTTTTATTTAATTTACTTTTTTTTTTCTTTTTATTTTACTTGTGCTGATTTTAATTTTGTCTTTCTTAATTTAACTCATTTTTTATTTCCAACACTTGATTTATTATTTTTTAATTAATTTCTTACTTCTCATATTTTTTCCTTCTAAATAACTAATTAATTATATGTTTTATCTTCAATATTTAAAAAGTGACAATAAAATTGGTGATTAAAGTGCATCAGACTTAGGTTCTGCTTTAACAAATTGCACTAATCTCTCAAATTTGACACTTGATCTTAGGTAAATTAAGTTTTTTTTATTTTTAAATCTACTTTATTATTTATTTATTTATCTCATTATTTATTTATTTATTTCTTTCTTTCTTTCTTATTATTTCATATTTTTTCTTCAATAAATAAAAAGTAACAATTAAATTGGTGAAATTGGTGCATCAAACTTAGGTTCCGTTTTAGCAAATTGCACTAATCTCTCAAATTTGACACTTAATCTTTAGTAAATTCAGTTTATTTGCTTTTAGCTTTTTTCTCTTTTTTATTTTAGTTATGTTTTTTTTTCTTCTATCTTTCTTAACTTAACTCATTTTTTTATTTTCAAAATTTGCTTTTATTGTTTATTTATTTATTAATTAATTTATTTCTTATTATTACATAATTTTTCTTCATTTTTCCTTATAAATAACTAATAAATTCTAAATGCTTTGTTCAATATTTAAAAAGATACAATGAAATTGGTGAAGTAGGTGCTTCAGGTTTAGGTGCTACTTTAGCAAATTACACTAATCTCTCAAATTTGACACTTAATCTTTAGTAAATTCAGTTTATTTGTTTTAGATTATCATTTTTTTACTAAAAAAATTCAATTTAAAACAATATATCTATTTCAATTTGTTTTTAGCTTTTATTTGATTTACTTTTCTTTTTCTTTTTTATAGTAAATATGCTTATTTTTTTTATGTTTATCTTTCTTAATTTAATTCATTTTTTTATTTTTAACATTTAATTGTAGTTTTTATTAATTCGTTTCTTATTAAATCATATTATTTCTTCATTTTTTCCTACTAAATAACTAATTATTTTTTAAAAAATTTTCTTCATTATTTAAAAAGATCCAATAAAATTGGTGAAATAGGTACATCAGGCTTAGGATCTGCTTTAGCAAATTGCATTAATCTCTCTAATCTGGCACTTAATCTTTAGTAAAAACAGTTTATTTGTTTTGTATTGTGATATTTTTACATATAAAACTCAATTTATAAGAATATATCCCTTTTAATTTATTTATATTTTTTCAATATTTAAAAAGATCCAATTAAATTGGCGCAATAGGTGCATAAGGATTAGGTTTTGCTTTAACAAATTGCAGAAATATCTCAAATTTGACACTCGATCTTAGGTAAATTAAGTTTATTTATTTATAAAAATTTAATTAAAAAAAAAAAGCCCTTTTAATTTGTTTATTAGCTTATTATTTGATTTATTATTTATTAATTTATTTCCTATTATTTCATTCATATTTTTCCTTCTTTTTTTCCTACCAAATAAATAATTAATTACAATATTTTTTCTTCAATATTTAAAAAGTTTCAATTAAATTGGTGATGAAGGTGTATCAGGCTTAGTTCCTGCTTTAACAAATTGCACTAATCTCTCACATTTGAAACTTGAACTTAGGTAAATTCAGTTTATTTGTTTTGCATTGTGATATTTAACTTATGAAATTCAATTTAAAAGAATACAACCCACTTAATTTGTTTATTACCATTTTATTTATTTATTTATTTTTCTATATTTTATTATTATACTTGTGTTTATTTTCTTCACTCGTTTCATTTTCTTATATTCAATATTGACTTTTATTATTTATTAATTCATTTCAAATTATTTAATATTTTTTCTTCATTTTTTCAATCTAAATAACTAATTAAATACATATTTTTTCTTCAATATTTAAAAAGCGATAATTAAATTGGTGATTAAAGTGCATCAGACTTAGGTTCTGCTTTAACAAATTGCACTAATCTATCAAATTTGACACTTGGTCTTAGGTAAATTCAGGATATTTGTTTTGGATTGTGATATTTTTACCAATAAAATTGAATTTATAACAACAAAATTATTTTAATTTTTTTATTAGCTTTTTATTTGATTTACTTTTCTTTTTCTTTTTTATTGAAAATGTATTTGTTTTTCTTCTATCTATCTATCTATCTATCTATCTTTCTTTATTTCTTTTTTTTCTTCATTTAATTGATTTTTTTATTTCTAACATTTGCTTTTATTAATTAATTAATTTCTTACTATTTCATATTTTTTCTTAATTTTTTCCTACTAAATAACAAATTAATTATATATTTTTTCTTTATTATTAAAATAGTAGGAATTAAATTGGTGCAATAGGTGCTTCAGATTTAGGTTCTGCTTTAGTAAATTGCATTAATCTCTCAAATTTGACACTCGATCTTATGTAAATTCAGTTTATATGTTTTGGATTATGATATTTTTACTTATAAAATAGAATTTAAAACAATAAAACTCTTTAAATTAGCTTATTAGCTTTTTATTTGATTTAATTTTCTTTTTATTTTACTTGTATTTATTTATTTTTCTTCTAACTTTCTTAATTTAACTCATTTTTTATTTCTTTTATCATTTGCTATTATTATTTATTCATTCATTTCTTATTATTTCATATTTTCTCTTCATTTTTTCCTACTAAATAACTAATTAATTATTTATTTTGTTCAATATTTAATAAGATCCAATCAAATTGGCGAAATAGGAGCATCAGGCTTCAGTTCTGCTTTAGCAAATTGCATTAGACTCTCAAATTTGAAACTTTCACTTCGGTAAATTCAGTTTATTTGTTTTGGATTGTGATATTTTTTACTTATAAAATTTAATTTAAAACAATAAAATTCTTTTAATTTGTTTATTAGATTTTTATATGATTTATTTATCTTTTCTTTTAATTTTCTGCTAATGTTTTTTTAATATTTTATTTTAATTTAATATAATAGTGGAAATAAAATCGATTAATCATAAGAATTGAAAGTAAAAAGCAAGTGTCTTAAATCAAAAAGTTTAGTTGTCTATGAAATAAATTTCCTATGGTGATATGCCAGCAGGCAAGTGGTGAAAAAGAATGAATAAATACAAAATATATGAATAATAGAAAATAATATATTTTACTATATAATAGTTTGTAATAAGATAATTTAACCTAAAATACATATGGTATTTTCTCTTCTATTAACAGGATCAAAAAATAAATTATTTGTAAATTTTAACCTCCTTAATTTTAAAAAATGTCAATATTTTTAAAAAAATTCAAAATTAAATTTTAGAAAGCAAAATTAGTTTAGAAAATTAATTATTTAGAAAGTTAAATAGAGTTTTATTTTTAAAAGATCTTTTTTATTTAAAATGAAAGTTTGCATTTTTTAAATTAAGGCAAATTCTTATTAATTTTATAAAATATTTTAAAGTGTTAAAATAAATTAAGATATTAATTGATGTATGAAAATTAAATAACTAATTTAAATTCCTTTATTAACTTAAAATTATTAATAGAAGTCATATTTATTGAGTTACAAAAATAGATTCCATTTTTAAAGCACTTTTTTAGAATTAATTTATTTGTTTATTCAATTTTAATTAAAAAATTATTAATTGTTTATTTAATTTTGTCTAATTTTTTGCCCACTAAAAGAAATTTGATTTTTAGGATCTACATTTTCATCTCTTTGCGAATTTTTTCTTTCAGACATTAGTGAAGAATTGGTATTAATTTTGGTATTGTTTTTTAGAGGTGGCTGAAAACTTGTATTGTTAGATGAATTTTTCAAGAAGTTAGATAAAGATTATTAATAAGATATATCACTTCCTGAAATTAATTCTTGACTTGTTCCAACATTAGCAAAAGAAAAAGTTCTGTTATGGTTGTTTGTGTTCGGTTATGAGCTTTTTTCATATCGCCTTGATGAATTCATGCTTGCCTGGCTTTAGTTGTTATTGTCAATTTTTTTAAATGAAAATAAATTTGTCTTTTCTTTATTGTTGTTAAATGCAAAGTCTTTTTAATTTTAGGTAAATTATTACTCTGTTTACTGAAATTAATTTTCTTATTAATTCAATTTAAGTATTTTATTTTTTATTTTTTAGCTGTTTGTCATTTCAGAAACTTTTTCTTTTAATTCAGCTCCTATGTTTTGTGATTAAGGCAGTGCTATTTTGTTAAGTTTTTACTAATTTATTATTATTTAACTTTTGGTTTCTGATTAGCTTTGGTTTTTATTGCTGACAGAATTTCTTTTTTAAGGTATTTTTGAAGAAGATGATTGATTCAGTTTCATTTATTGAAGGATCTTTTCTTGCATAGTAATGCTTCCACTTCTTTAATGTGATTGTGTTTCATTTTGTGAACCAATATTTTAATTTTGTTATTACTAGCTAATAACTTTGTTATGATTTAGTTAATATTGATTTGAATTAGATTAATTTCTTGTTTAAATATATTATTCTTATTGAATTACGTTTGCTTGATGAATATAATTTTCTTATTTTAGTACATTTACCTGTTTAACTGAACTGCTTAAATTCATATTTTATTAATTATTCACTTAAGAAGTGATTGGGTCATCGTTTTATGGAGAAAAAGAATTCTTGTTAATATCATTTAAATTAGATAAAGGGCTAGATTCATTATGTAATATATTTTTTTATTAAGCTGGAGCATTAAAAATTTCATACCCATTTTAATAGCTTTGGTGAACTTCTACTTAGGAAGTATCAAATTCAACTTTGCTTGCCTAAAAACTAGCTTCGAAATTTTTAACATGCTAATTTGTAGGACTCAAAAAGGCACTTAATTCTTTTTTTCTCGAAGATAGCTTCATTTTTAGATTGTTAACAGGACTTCTATCTTTTTCAGGTTGACTTTAGCCTCTAATTAGTTTGATTTCATCACAATATTGATCGTTTTGAACTAAATTGAACTAATTTTCCCTGCTTCTGACTTGATCTTGAGATTATTTTTTAATCTAAAGTTTCATTTAGCTAAGAATTTAAATTAAAATGATTTTTTAAGCAAATAATTTATTAAGATGATGATAATTTTTTATGAAAAAATAAGATTTTAAAGTAAATAATTTACTCGAAAGAAATATTTTAACCATTTGGAGGAGTTTAAACAAAAGTTGATGTCGTGTTATTGCTATTTCTAAAAGAGTGAATCTGTTTAGGATTTGGTATATTAGAGCTGCTCAAATCAAAAAAGGAATCAGTGTTACATCTTTTGCTGAGGAGACTTTCTTCACTAAATTTGATGTTATTTATAGGAATATTCAAATTGGAACACTTTAATTTCAACTAAGCTATTTCTTTTTAAAGCAAATCTTCTCTAACAGCTAGTTTTTATTCGTTTTCAGTTATTAACTTATCTCTATTTTCAAGTTTCTCCTTATAGAATAAAGAAGATTACTAATTTTAAACACAATCAACTTAAACAGCAATTGCCTCTAACTTTTTTTAAGCTTCTTCTAGCTCTTTGATTAATTCGTTGTGTTTACTCATCATACTTAGCTCAATTGCAGCCAATTCTTTCTTTTTATCTTCAATCTGTCTTTTGCTATCTTCTATCTCCTTGCATTGCTCTTAAAGCTGCACTTATTCTTGTTCTGTTTGCTACTCTTTCTCGTTTAGACTTGCAAACCTTGATTCCAAAGATTCTTCCTGCTTAATGTAATAATCCAATTCTTACTATTTAATCAAATACATTTAGTCATTAAAAAGATCTTTTTAACTTTCTTAATTCTGATGAATTAAATTATCTTTCTAAATTTGTACTTCATAAAATTCTTACTCAACAATTGCATTTTTCTTTACAATTTCTTGCTTAAGTGCATTTAAATCCTACTCAAATCCATTTAATTATTTTTCTCTTTCAAATAACATTTTTTCCAAATTCTATATTTCTTCTAATTCTGCTGCATCTTAAATACCTTTGCTTTATTATCTTTCACTACCTCTGCCAGAGGGTTTTTATGATCTATTTGTTTACTCTTCTTCTAATTGACAAAATGAAACTTGTTCGCTCTGCCTAAATTTCTCTTTTAGTTCTTCCTCTTTCTACTCCCGATATGCAAGTCCCGACTCCCATATATCAAAAAACTCAAAAAGAATTTTGAGTCTTTGAATTTATTTTTCCATATCAACTATTTCAGTTAAAGTAAAATCCTCTCTGTTGTAAATGCTTTAGTAGTTTTATGTAAAATCATTTTACATAGCTTTATTAATTCCTTCACATTTATTAGAGTATTTCTTCTAAACAGACATTTTAGAAGTTATTTTAAAACCAAATTTGTTAAAATAATTTTTGTTGTTATTAAGGCAATTCCTACTTATTATGTATTTATTTTTTTCTTATTTTTAGGGTATTTTATAAAATTAATAGAAATCTAAGTTAAGTAAAGTAACTAATATCCACAATTAATCTTTATTTAACAAAATCAATATGAACTTCTAAAATTTTTAAGCTTTAATATATCTGTTAATTTTATTGATTGTAACGTTAAATATCTTTATTTTATTTATTCTAATTTAAAAAGTTTTTGATTTATTATTTTTTAAAATATTTCATTAATTTAATCCAATAAATAAATAAATAAATAAATAAATAAATAAATAAATATAAATTAAGAAAAATTTAGAATAACGAAGAGTGTGAAAAAAATAATGGCAATATAAATATGAAATCTGCAGACTTAGATGACCAAAATCATAATCTCTAAGGAAGACATTTTGATTAAAGAATGAAAATAACCTGAAAAATAAAATTATAAAATAACAGAATTTATTTTTGTTAAATATGAGAAATAACTTATATCTTAGAACAATAATACAACTTAGAATAAATAAATTAATAAACTATTTAATATATGATATTAATTTAAAGATTAAATGTCATTTAATTTTAAATATATTTAGTTTTATAAAAAGTTATTATAAATTTTATTTGAAACACTTCATTAAAATATTAAATTAAAAGATTTATTTTGTAATCATTTTAAAAGCTATATTTTTATTTTTAAGCTGCTTAATTAATATTAATAAATTCATCAGTTTTAAAATTTTGCCTTTTGATTTAAAGTTTATTTTACTAAAAATAAATTTCTATTACTAAATTTAGCTCAATTTAATATAATTCGAAAAGAAATAGAAAGTTTTTAAAATAAAATTAATTATAACGAATATTAACAAACAGTCAATTTATTGATATTTAAACATTTTATAATAAACAATTTTTAAATAAAAGAATGAAATTCCTCTAAAATTTATGATTTGCTACTTTTGATTTTGATAATTATATTTAAAAATACTTAAGGTGATGGATGATGCAAAAATATTTATTTTTACTTTACTTTGTAAACTGTTTTTACATTTATAACATCTGTAATTTAAACAAGCTGAGTCTTATAACAAATTAATATTGATATTATCTATTTTTAATAGATGAGGAAGGTAAGTTCTAAAATAGTGTTTAGAAATATTATTTTAAATGGAGTAGATAGTATGAAAATTAATGTAAATTAATTATTAAATGAGTTTCACATGCTGATTTGAAACCAAAATTGTAGATTCAATTTAAAAAAGATGATCGATCAATCAGTCTTGTTATGTATTAATAAATTTAGAATGAATTTGATAGAAAAGAAGAATAAATGAAAAATTTCAACGTGTATTGTAGTTCTAAATTTTATAAATAGTTAAAATTGGGTTGAAAAAACATACATATTAGTAGAGATTTTAACTTTTTTAAGAAATAAATTAATAAATTTGAATAATTTTTAAAAAGAAAATAAATAAATAAAATCTAAATTAAGATAAATAGATTGATTGATAATTAAATATTGCATTTGAACAAATCATTTAATTAGCAATTAAATAAATAAATAAGTAAGGAAGAAGTCGAAGTTCAAAGACCTAATCACACTTTAAAAGCAAGAATAAGCATTCAGAGAAATAAACAAATAAATAAAAAATTAGATTTTAGGAATATGAAAATAAGACTGATCCACTTGCTGGTTTTCTTTAACGCAGCTGTATTCATCTTAGCTAATTAAAAGAATCCATATAAAGTTTTGGGATTGCCTACAACAGCAACTGATGAATAAATTCAAAAGAAATTCAGAGAGTTATCTAAAAAATACCATCCAGACATAAATAAAGACCCAAAGGCAGCAGAAGTCTACTCAGAAATAACTTCTGCCTACGAAATTTTGTCTAACCCGACTTCAAAATAAAAATACTTTGATGAAGTTGACAGATAAAATCAAAGATCTAATCAATTTAATTTTTAAAATTGGGGATACCAAAACTATGGCTATCACTAAAATTCATAAGTAAAACAATAAAATTACAAAAAGAAGTGGAATGAACTCTTCTAGAAGAGACATTCTTAGAGCTACTAAAGCTACTATCAAAATAAAAAACGTTCATATTAGCCTTCAAGTACATCTAAGTTTGGTTGGATTAAGGATAAACTATCTTCTTTACTATTTGGAGGTGGATTCAGCGATATTTTGATTTATGGAGCTATAATATTTTTAGTAATTAAGCTTTTTGGCAACTTGGTGCATGTGCAAATGATATGATTAAAATCTTATACGATCCTTCAATTTTAATATGTTTATTTCTATGAAATTTGCTCTCTTTTACTAAACTAAATAATAACAAAAAAACAAGAAAACAAACAATCAAATAGAGTATGCAAAACTCTTAAAAATATTGTGTACCTGTTTGAATAAGAATTTTAATTGGATCCTTTTATTTTTAACTAAATTTTAACTTTAAACTAGAATTCAAGCGATAAGTAAGCAAATTTCTTACTTTACTGTCATTTATAGAACTCATTCATATATTATTATTGACATGCAATCAAACAAATTATTTTAATAAAAATATATTGCAGGATAATTTTACAAACAGCTATTGTTATTTCTGTTTAGTTTATATCTATCTTTTATAAATAAATAAATAAATAAATAAATTAGTTAGTTAGTTTTAAAAATGTAATTTATTGTCTTTCCATCTTTTTGTTTTTTTGTTTGTTTTGTTTTGTTTTAGTAAAAGAAAGAACAAAGTATATTTTAGATCAAGTATTTTGGTAGTTTTTCTTTATGATTAAATAAATACTTACTTACATAGATATATCTATTTAAGTGATTTAATTTTATTTAAGAGGAAATAACTCTTTATATTATTTATATGTTGATTTTAATAAAGTATAAATTTGTTTAAATTATTAATTAGGGTTTGAAATAGAAAATTAAAAATTGTTCAAATATTTTAAGAAAACTAGAATTTATAAAAATACAAACAATTCAATTTATTTATAAAATACCATACTTAAAATAACATTTAATTTTGATAATTTAATATTAAATAGCTTATTAATATGCCAAATATGAATGTGAGTCAAAAGCAATCTATTCTCTATTCAATTAAGCTTTAGAGTTTTTTTACTTTTGTTACTAGCTTTTTTTTACTTTATTGGCTAATTTAGTTGAAGCTGTTATTTAATAATAAAATAATAAATTAAATTTATTTTGTAATAATAATATAAAAATTTTATCAGCTATTTATTTTAAATAAAAAACACATATTGTAAATAATATTCAAAGAATTTACTCTAACATAAGATGCAAAATTTAAAGTTTTCGTAAATTTTATAAAACACAACCTAAATTATAGGCTCCTTAATCTCCCAAGTTATTCTCTCTTTATAATATTATAAATTTGTTGATAAATAATTTAAAATATTTAAAACAATATATAAAACAAGAATTGGAAAAAATTAACATAATTTGAAAAGTAAAATCAATAAAGTAAAAGCTTTTAAAAATTAAACCTTAGGTCTAAAAAAAGGTATGAGAGTTTAGCAGATTGCGATAAACCATAAATTAAACCTTATATACCAGTTGCTCCAATTTATGTACCACTTTTTAATAATTGCCAATTAGAATAATGAGACAAGATAAATTAATTATTAAATTAAATAATAGTTAAAATAATTAAATTAGTTATTAAAATATTATTATTTACTAAATGTATATAGACAAAGTAGAGAGATTGGTGGATTTAGCTAAAGCATAACCTAAATTAGATAAACCTTCAGATGTAAATTTATTCTCGCTTAATTAATATATTATTAAAAAGTTCAAAAAAATGTTTAATGTTTTATTAATAAAAAAATTAATTAATTTTTTATTTTTGTTTCATTTTCTGAATAATTTAATTTTACTTAAGCTAAAGAGTTAAATTTGTAAGACTAGCGCTCTTAGCTAATCCAGAACCCATATTAGATATACCTTTATCTCCAATATCGTTAAGACTTATAATTAACAAAAAAGGTTTGAAAATGATTTGTAAGTATTAAAGCAAAAAATAATTACAAAAGAAAATGAATTAAATTATTCAATTTTCATTTTGGATTTTTAGTTCAAAATAAAATTATTAATTATGCTTGCTTTATAAATTCAATAAATATGATAAAAGGTAAATTATGACACAAATACTATTACGTTAAATCAAGTTCTAGAAGCTTAAGTTAAGGGAAATTTGATAAAGAAGAACCTAAGTATTATGCAGCATCATCGTTAATATGATTGTTACTATACATTTAAATTATTAAAATGGTTAATCCAAATAGTAATTTTAATAATTTTTAAAATTTCTTAAGTGATAACTTGCTAAAATAATTTTATGAAAATTAAAAAGAATTTCAATTTACTATAATTTAAGTGTCATATAAGTTAGATTTTAACAGTTTGGTAGAGATAATCCTAGTTATTGTGCTCCTGCTATACCTATTTCGTCATTCCTTTAATTAAGGTAAATTAGATATCATTTTTATTACTAAATTTGAAGTATTTCACTAAATTACTAAAAATAAAGAATAAAGTCATTTAAATTTTGACAAGATGCTAAACCAGAGCATAAACCTTAGACACCTAAGGAACCAAGTTGATTTTAGCTAATTATATAAAATAAGTTTATTAAAATTAAAGTAAATTTAAAAATAAGTAAGTAATTTAGCCCAAAAAATAAAATTTTTTTTTTTTTTTAATTGATATAGCAAAAAATCTAATTAAAATTTTACATATTTTTTTATATAAATTATTAAAAAGAAATGAAAATTTATTTGTGAAAAAGAAGTAAGAAAGTAAATATCAAATCTACTATTTAATAATTAATTATTTGTGAGAAATTAAAAGTTTTACTTAAACGAAATTATTAAAGTTTTTAAATTGATGCACTTTGCTAAAGCCTAACCTAATTCTGCTACCCCTTAAGCGCCAAAATTGTTTTTTCTTTTTTTAAGATAATTTAGTATATTTTAGATTAAAAAAACTTTAAAGTTTAGAAAAGGCAATTCCTTGATAAAATAAATAATTTAATAAAGAAATATGAAACCTAATTTAGATTTTAAATAATAAATAGTAGGAATGCCCAAAATCTCAAAATCTAATAAAATTAACTTATTTACAAAAAATAGATTCTCAAGCTCTAAAGGTTAGTGCATTATATCAAAGCTTTACTTAAGGCTTATATTCCTTAGATTCCTATTTCGCAAAGCCTTTGATATTAAATAAGTAAATTAACATTCTAAGCATAAAATAAATAATAATTTATTACATTAATTTTATATCTATATCAGTATGAGACTGTAAAGATGAGTTTAAGAACTTTTTAATAAAAAGAATATACTTTAGATTAAATTAAATCTATAAAAATAAATGTACATCTTCAAGTTTTTCAAAAACGCTACTTTCTTGCATCTTTTATTTATTTTTTACTTTTTTTATATCACTTTTTTTTAATTTTATAAAATAATTAATTTATTTTGGATTTAAAGATAATCTGATTAATAATCTATCAATAAATTAATTATAATTAGTTTACTCTAAATTGAAGGAAAATAAGACATTTTTTTAAGGAACTAAAATAAATGTAAAAATCTATTTAATAAATTTCATCAAAGTTTATTTTAAATCTCTTTAAATAATAAAAATAAAAATGGATACAAAAAATTGATTAGGATTATATATAGCTAAATTATATTTTGACATTTCGATTGCAAATCAAATGAAGTGTTAATTTATTAACTAACTAAATTAGTTAACTTTAGAATAGTAGAATAAAAATTTTAAAGTGATAATGCTATATTTTTAAATATTAAAACAATTTGATAAGCTTGACAATAATTTGTTATTATAATATTTTTATTCAAAAAAATTTACATTAAAAAAACAAAAAATTTTTGACAGCTAAATTTAATTTCACCAAAAGATATATTCACTTAATTTTTGAATGGTGTTGAAAATTGATACGCTTAATTAATATAACTTTTTTTATTATGTAAAGACTATTGTTATTTGAATTAAATATTACTTTTTGATTTAAAAATGCTTCAATTTTAATAATTATAAATTCTGTTTAATTTTTAAATAATTATAAATAATATTTATTTTGAGTAATTAAAAAATGCAGCTTTTGTGATAATATTTTAATTAGAAAAAAATACTTTGAAAAAATAATAATGAAAAAATAAAAATGAGATGGTTTCAGATAAAAAATAAATTTGTGTCAGAAAAATATTGTAAAATGTAATTTTTTAGCTCTCTTTACTTTAAGAAATTGTTTAGTTAAAATGGGCAGTAGTATAAAAGGTAATTAAAATAGAAGATACCTAATATCAAAAATAGTAAAAATGATGATTAATGAAATTTCGCAATATTGTGATATCATAATTCAGAATTTACGACAGGTTAAAAGGAAATTTCTTTTAGGATCTTTAAATGCGAAATAGTTGAGTAATTATTAAGAATAATCAACTATAAAAGAGAAAAAGAATATAAAAAGAAAGAGTAAAATAGAAGATATAAGTGCATCACTCTTAAATTAAATAATTATATATTGTGATTTCACTTGTATCCTGCAGCTAAATTGTTAAAAATTAAAGTCATTCTTCGAAAATAGCTGAGCCATTACTCCATCTTAATTTCTTTCTTTCTTTTTTGCTTTTTATTTAATTTTGACTACTATGGAGATTTTCTACTATTTCATAATTATAAAATATGAATTAAAAAAAGTATTGTATTGCATTATTTATATGTATGTATCTTTTATGCAAATGAATGGATTAAACACTTTGTCACACTATCTAAAATAATTGCACATAGTTAATATGTGATTTGCATGCTTATTGCATAGAGACAGACAGATAGGCAGATAAACGTTCACTTAATTAGAGATGCATCAAAGTAATTATACTTCATGATGTATTCATTGATCTTATATTTAGATAGAGCTAGGAAAAGAAAAGAAAATAAAATTAATAAGCAAGCAAATAAATAAAATAAAAAGAAAAGAAAAGATAAACCTTCAAAAACAATAATTAAATAAAATAAGAAGAAAAAAAAATCTTTTAAAAATAAAAGCATCGAAAAAAATGAGATCTGCCATCAAGAAATTATTGCCCTTAGTTTAATTAACCAAGACCATGCCCAAGTACTCCTTGGTCACTGTCAATGCTAAGAATAGCATGAAAATCAAGCAATTCTAGAGCTAATATCTCCTTACTCACACTAGCAAGGCTAATTTCGCAAGTGAGAATCCATAAAATCCTTAAACATGCACAAAATCAATCTACTGCTACTATCATTTTTCTAAAATTTTTCTTATTCAGAATAACTGATAAGATTTAAAATAAAAGTCATGAGCATTAAAGCCATAAAAATGCCTAAGTCATAGCTTCCTTAATTTTGAATGCAATTTATTATTTAAGAACTGATTATTGCATAATATTATAATTATTCAGTTCTCCCAATCGCATAATAAATGCAAGAAAGCAGCAAGATTGATTATAGCATCATTATAAATTAATTCAATTAACATATTCTAACTTTCTGTTTTATTAAAACTATAGTTAAGACTATCAATGTTCCTTCTATGGGTGACTCCATCACTGAAGGTCAAGTTCACTAAATGTTGAAGAGTAATTTCATTTACAAAAATCTTTAAAATGGATTAACGAATTTCTTCATTAAGCAAAAAAGAAAGAAAATTTAAAGAATTTTTTTTCAAAAATTCTCTACTTGATCAGCTTTTTCAAGTAGATTTCATTGATAAATATTTAATCAATTATTGTATTGAGACTACTTAAAAAAAAGATTAATAATCGATTAAAATAATGTCAAATGATATAATTCACATAGCATTTTAAACAGAAATTCTATTTATTTTTTCTACTTTATAAATTTAATTATCATAACATAAATTTAATAGAGGTTGGTGATTATGTTGAATTAGACGAAGTCGTTTGCAGCGTCGAAACCGACAAGACCCAAGTACCAATTCGTTCTCCTGAAGCTGGTGTTATCACTGAATTATTTGCCTAAGAAGGTGAAAACGTTAATGTAGGAAAGCCCTTCTTTGTCCTTGATACTGATGGTAAAAAGCCTGAAGGTGCTGCTAAGCCAGCTGCTGCCGCTGCTGGAGCTAAAAAGGAAGAAGCTCCTAAGAAAGCTGAAGCTGCTAAGCCTGCTGCCTCCACCCCTGCTCCTGAAGCTGCTAAAAAGACTGAAGCCCCTAAGGCTGCTTCCTCTTCTGCTGCTTCCCAAAAACCCACTCAAATGGCTATCCGTAATTAATTAACAAATAATTATAAATAGCAGCTGGTTTATTTTAAAACAAAAGCAAAAAAAAATAAATTGTAAATTAGTTTTCGTAAAATAAACAATCAAACTAAAAAGCAAGTTCCAATTAAGTAAGTAAGCAAGCAAACATCTCAAGCTGTAAGCAGACAAAAATAAAACACTTTAAAGAATATTATAAAAGCAATATCAAATATATTTTAGAATCAAATAAACAACTAAGTTACCAAAAGCAAATGAAATAATATATAAATTTTAGATAAAAAAATATTGAAATAGTCGTCATTTGCAACTTAAAAAAAGAATTTGCGAGAAACCAGCAATCAATAAATAAATATAAAAAGTTTAAATTATTAAATAAACAAAATAAAAATATGATTTTATAAATAACTTAGAATGGGGAGAAAAGAATAGAACTGAAACTAGACAACCCTTATCCAAGATGAGACAAAGAATCGGTTAAAGACTTAAAGACTCTTAGAATACATACGCTTTACTTCCTACTTTCAACGAAGTTGATATGAGCAACGTCATGGAAATAAGAAATAAATACTAAGAACAATTCCAAAAGAAACACAACGTTAAGCTTGGTTTCATGTCTTTCTTCGTTAAGGCTGCTACTGCTGCTCTCCAATAATAACCTATCGTTAATGCAGGTATTCGTTTTATTCTTTATTCTTATAAATAAACAAATTATTTATAAAAATAGTTATTGATGGAAAGGAAATTGTTTATAGAAACTACGTTGATATTTCAGTTGCCGTTGCCACCCCTACTGGTTTAATGGTTCCCGTTCTTAGAAATACCGAAAATATGTCTTTTGCTGACGTTGAAAGGGTAATTTTTTTTTTAAATATCAAAATTTTTAGCTAATTCTCAAAATGTTAAAAATAAATATTTAAATCATTCTTTTTTTAATCATAGGAAATTATCCGTTTAGGAAATAAAGGTAAGGAAGGATCCATTACCGTTGAAGATATGGTCGGTGGTACTTTCACTATTTCTAATGGTGGTACTTACGGTTCTTTGTTCGGTATGCCCATCTTGAACCCTCCTCAATCAGCTATTTTGGGTATGCACGCTGTCTAAAACAGACCCGTTGTTAGAGGTGACCAAATCGTTGCTAGACCTATGATGTAAATTTTTAATTCATTTAATATATGATCTTGAAATCAAGCATTATTTGAAAATTGAACACTTAATAAACGTATAAAATAGGTACTTAGCTTTAACTTATGATCACAGACTTATTGACGGTAGAGAGGCTGTTACCTTCTTAAAAACTATCAAGGAAATAGTCGAAGAACCCTCTAAGCTGTTATTTGAAATTTGAAAGAAATAATAGATAGCAAGTATAAATAGATGAAAAGAGAAATAAATTATTTAACGATAGTTAGATATAAAATAAAAACAACTAGATTTTCTATTTTTCTTCTCATCAACCACAAAATTAATTATTAATTGTAAAATAACTAAATTATATATTGAAAAAAGTAGATGAAGTAAATAAATCGGTTAGTTAGTTAGTTAATTACTTACTTAATTACTTAATTAATGAATGAATGCATTAATTCATACATTCATAATACGTATATATCATCATTAACTATATTCACACACACGTACCTACGTACTTACGTTTACGTTCATCTCTTTCATCTAATCTTTTTTATACTAATAAAAATATTCTAATTAATTATAAATAAGAAATATGAATAGTTAATAAAATTTATGTGTTTCTTCTCAATTTATACTCAGTTATATCTTATTTCTTACATTATAATTAGCATGAATTTATTTGTTCTAAAATCATTTCTTAAGACTAAATAAAAATATAAAATTATCTTTAAAATTTTCAAATAAATTATTATGATTAAAAAAATAACTGTAATTAAAATTCTTTAAAAGCAATCTCAAATAATTTTTTAATCAAGAATACAAGTTGATTTTGAAATCTTTTTATATTATTTTTTAAACATATAGATGATATAGATTATCATTTTACATATTATAAGCTTAAAATAATTTATATAAAAATATATTTATGAATTATCAAATCTAAGCAATCTTTAAAATTAGAAAATTTGAATCAAGATTTTATTTTAGTAAAATTTATTTATCCTCTAGCTTTTATTTAATATTTATTATTTTTAAGTTTGAAAAAAATTCATGTTTCTGCCAATAAAAATTAAAAATTTTTAATTGCATTTATTTTTCTTTAACAAATAAGTAACAAATAATTTTGTACTATTTCTATTTTTATTTATATAATATATGATTATAATTTGAATATCAAATTTTTAATTTTCAATATTAAGTATTTATTTTGCTTAAAATCTAAAATATAGATTTATTTAAATTGATTAAATATTTTTTGAAAATATAAATTAAAGTGTTCAATTTTTAATATGAAGTGTGATTATATTAAATTCTAAAAAAATAGGTATTTAATTCATTTTTAAGTGCAAATTAATTTTAAGAGTAAACATTTTTAATAGAAAATAAATTACATTTTAGTAAAATAAAAAAGTATGCTTATTTATTATTTTTTATATAATGTGATTTAATATAAAATAAAGTTAAATTTAGTTTAGATTTTGTTTGATCAAAAAACCTAAGTTCAGTAGAAATTTTGAAAAATTTATTTAATTTTGTTTAGATTAAATATATGGTAGTTTAATGAAATAATTACTTACAAAACTTAAATCAAATAAATTAATAAAATTTATATCTTTCTATTTCTGATTTTTTTATACTTTTTTATCTTAGAGTTAGTTTTAAATATCTTAGATATAAATGATTAATTATAGAAGATAAAGATTATAAAAACTGTTTTATAGTGAATTCAATTAAATTTAAATAGTTTTAGTTCTTTAGTAAGCATTGGACTTTACTGCTTTACACTCACTTAAAATTGTTAATAGCAATGAAATTTAGATAAATTTTTTAATTTAGACAAGATAGCATATCGATTGTTAAAATATAAAATTGAATAAATTTAAACAAGTGTGTGACTATTATTTTATCTTCTTTTAATAAAATTTGATTCTTACTTTGTTAAGTTTACCTTCTATTTCACTCTTACATTAGCTATGATTAGAGTAAATAATTTACTGCATAATATTTAGAAAGGAATAATAAAGATTGAAAAGGTTATTGATTAAAAATTCATAGAAAAATATTGATTTACTCTGAAAATAAAATTTTTAGGAATGAAAATCTTTAAAGGATAAAAATTAATTTGATATCAATCTTATTAACTTTTTAATATCTTTTTCCTGATATTTAATCATTTGATCGGGAAAGCTAATGACGTAGCCTTATTTTAACTTTTTAATTGGAATTTTTCTCTCACTTCTTTAAAATAATTATTATATTTACTTAGTTTTTGAAGTTAAATTATATTAATAATTCTATTTTAGTATTATTGTTTATTTAGTTTAAACATATTTTCTTAAATATCTTTTTGAGCTATAGAAGAGAATTTTCTTTATATCTTTTCCTGTTCATGAAAGTTGTCTTAAAATATTAAAAAATTTTAAGAATAATTCCTACAATTAGAATTAGGATATTTTTTAATCAGCAATATGAATATTTATTTGAAATACTTATAGCTAATACTAATTTTATTTCTTATGCTTAATATTAAGAGTAATTGAAGTAAATTTATCCCATTAAGTTGCTCATTTTTATTATAAATCAAGTTTATAAATGATTGAGATTCAATTATTCATTTTTTCATACGCACAACTTCTATTTTATTTAACGATATTACCATATGAGCAAGCATCTTTTAAAATCAAGAAATACAGATTTCAATGCAAAGGGTAGTTTTAAAAAAGTAAGAATAACTGCTAATAGAAATGTATCTTACATAAAAAAATGCTAACAGTAAAAATTTGTCAAGAAAGCACAAATAGTGATAAAAGGAAAAAAACAAGTAAGTAATAAAAATAAATAAATTTATTTTGTGATTTCAATTTATTATTAGTTTTTGCTTCTCCAGAATTTTTATCTAAAAAATTGTTCACTATTTTGATGAGTAGTTTCAAGTAATAGTGTAAAGTGTAAAATTTTTTAACGCTAGATGTTTCTTTTGTTTTTTTTGTGATTTCATTCCTTAAGATATGCTTTTGGAAAAATTGGATGATCAGGATTTTTTAATGTAGTTTGCCAAAAAAGAAGCAAGTAATTAGAATCATTTCAGATAGATATTTCCTTTAAGAATATCATGATTGATTGATTGATTATAAAAATGAAAAGAAAAGTGGGGATATTTATTTATTTGTTAAATAAGTTGAAATGTGAATGAATGAGGGAGGAAAGCATTATTAAGGGATTAAGATTTGTTATGATGGAAATGCACAATTTTTGAGCACACTAAATAAATAAATAAATAATTGTGAATAAGTAATTAATATGCATTGCCATGCGCTGATAAATTATAAAAGCTGACAGTGTACTTTAAAATTTACATAAAAAATAATATCTTTAGTAAATAAAAATCTAAAAAGAAAAAAAAAGTTTAAGAAAATCAAAAATAAAGAAATACAATTAAAATGTCTGGTTGGGATCAATATATCTAATATCTTTTGGCTGATAAGAAGTGCGAATCTGCCTACATCCTCGGTAAGGATCATGCTAACATTTGGGCTTGCTCTACTGGTATTGCTGCTGTAAGATATATTAGATTTTGCTTCTTTTTGGCCTTTTTTGCCATTTTAGTCACTCTATGATTTTGTGACTTCAATATTAATTTCATGTATTAATTTTCCTTTTTACTAAACAATCTAGCTTCCTACTTACTAAATCAATGTCGAAGGTAAAAACTTCAATGTTAACGAAGCTGAGCTCTTGGTTAAGGGTAATTTTTCTTTTAATTCATTAACTATCTCATATAATTGGCTGATTATCTTCAAGCTTCTTCTCTCAAAAACTCTTTCATTCCTATGAAAATTATTAGTGTTTAATATTTTTAAGATCCGAAGAACAATAAATAAATAAATAATATCCTTCGAACAAAAATTAGCAAACCTTCAAATCATTTAATCAATAAATAAATAAATATATAAGTACATAGCAACTATGCAACTAACTAATAAGGAATGAAGTACTCAATTTTTAACAAATATTTGCCAATATTCATCAAATTTTGATTAGCTTTCCTCTTTAATATTTACTAATATTAATAATAATATTCTCTTTCGTTAAATATTTTAGCTTTGAAGAACAACGGTGTTCCCACTGATCCTAATGTTGGTTTAAGAATTAAGAATGAAAAGTACTACACTGTCAGATTCGACGCTGATGCTGGTACCTGGTATCTTAAGAAGGTATATAATTTATTATTATTTAAGTTAGCAAATTATTCAAAGCTATAGCTATTAGGTGTCTTAAAAAAATAAACTAGCCAGCCATTTATTTATAATATTTGTTTTCATGACTGATATTAAGATATTTTAGAAAATAAAGCACCAAGCACTCAAAAAATAAAATAATGCAAAAATTAATATTATTTTTCAAAAAATAATTTAGGATTAAGGTGGTGCTTGCATTGCCGTTACCAAGTAAGCTTTAGTTATTGGTACTTTCAAAAACGACATCAAAATGACTAACGGTCAACCTCAAAATCCTGGTGCCGTCAACGCTGCTTGTGAAAAGCTCGCTGAATCCTTAAAGTCCGCTAACTACTGATTTGATTATTAATAGTTAAATAAATGATAATAAATTTATAAAAATAATTTAAATTGATAAACTTGTCATGATGATTTTTGTGTGATTTCATAGAAATATTATTCATTCATTTAGCTTTTTTTTAGATTATTCTTCTCAATATATTTCTACTATATAAACAATTTTAATTAGTTAATCCAACAAATTTGATATTTTATGCAAATAATTAATCATTTTTAAAATTTTCAATGGTTAATGTATTTACTAATTTATTGTAGTAAATATCTAAAATATCCATGAATCTCACAATATTTTCTTTAAATATTACTTTAATTAAATTATATACAAAACCTTTTTTAGGCTATTTCATTTAAGAAATTTTGTTTAATTTTGTATATTCAAATTAATACTTAAAATTAATTATTTAAAAATATTTATAAATCATATTATTAAATCAGTTAAAATATTATTAAGCATATTAGTTTTTTATTTTTGTTAAAAACATAGAATGATTTAATTGAATCCCTATTATAAACTTTACTACAAAAAAATATTTATATGCTTAATAAAATCCTGTTTATTAATTCAAAAAGCAATAAATTAGGCTTTGAAATTAATTGAAATGACTTTTTAATGCTTTTTAATTTAACTTAGTCATATATTTTTTTATGAAGGAAATTCACAATCAAACTATAAAATAAATTGAAATTAATAAAAAAAATAGTAGTTTTTTAACTAAAAAGGAATTGAATGTCCATCTTAAAAATATTTTTTTTAATGATATTCTTCATATTTTTGAATAGCTTTCCTCTTTAAACATTATTTTTATTTAAAATACAAATATTTTTAGCTAAACACTATGCTTTTATAACAATGGCCTTCCAACTAATAGAATTGTAGGTTTTAGAAATAAAAATCAAAAGTATACCTATTTAATTTTCGAAGCTAAATATTGCACTTGGTATCTCAGGAAGGTACTTAATTTATATTATAGCTACTGTGTGGTTTAAAAAAGTAAACTTATGATTTAAAATTTTTGTTTTGATGATTCATCAAAGTAGATTTTTGATAATTAAACACGAATTACTCATAAAATGTAAAATTTAAAATCAATTTTTACAAAGATAACTTAAAATTAAGGTGGAAATTGATTGAAATTATCAAAAAAACGTGGGTACTTATGAAATCTGCATCAAAATGACAACAATCAAGATAAAAATATTGGTACAGTCAATAAAGTTTGTTGAATCCTCACATAATCCTTAAAACATTCCACCTCTATTTTTATAATCAATAATTAAATATAATTTATTGAGTCTTTTTAGATGATGGATCATAATTTATTTCTTTGATATAAAAATTTGTAATTAGTTAATAAAGTACAATAATTAATTATTTATTTTTAAAGTATGAATTGTTCTTTTACAGAATTTTAATTTGAATTAGTAATTTATACAAAAAATATTTGAATATTTTTTATTTCATTGGAGATTCATAATCATTACTTAAGGATTTTACACTAATAATAGATTATTTTTTGCAAAAAATCTAAATTTATTACCATATATTTAAACTATTAAAATAAATATCTTTGTTTCTTTTTTCTATTGTTTAACAAAAACGATTGTCGCATTTTAAAATTTTAAATCTGGAAGAAAAAAAATCATAAAATAAAACAAATCAAAAAAAATGTTATATTTAATGAAGTAATCAAAATTTTTATTTTTGATGTTTCTTTTAAGATTTTAAAAATTTTAATCTACGTAGAAATAGATAGAAATTTAAATAGAATTTTGTCAGTTATTAGTTTTGTTTATTAGTTTATTTAGTTATCTAAATTTAGGTAATGATTTTGTGCGTCCTTCTAATTTTTTTTCATCAAATCAATCGAATCGAGACATATGATGTTATTAAAAAAGAATAAATGTTTAAGAAAAATGTTTGTTTTTAGTTTGATAGGGGAAAATTTTATTTAGACTTTTAATTAAAAATTCTTGAGTAAATTATCAACTTTCACTAATTAATTATTAGGTGTATTTGTTTAAAATACTTTGAATATATATAATTAAAATGAATTCTCAAAAAAGTATTATTTGCTTTTAATACTTAGTAGTTAGTTTAGCTTATCAGAAAGTAATACTAGCATACATAATAATTTTTTTCAGGTTTATATTTATTTGGAGGTATGCGATTGATTTGGGAGATAGGTTGATTAATAGTCATTAATTCAGAATTATTTTTGAATTCAAAGGTAAAAAGTTAGAAATTTTGAGAGAATATTTTTTATTAAAAAAGGTGTAAAAAAATTTTTAATTCTTAACTCCCTCCCTTCTATTTTTTCATCTGATTTGATTATTTTTTGATGCTTGCTTGCTTGATTCATATCTCCCAGTCTCTTTTACTTGCTTTTTATTTTAGTTTTAATCAATTTTTGATTATAATTTGAGTTCAAAGCGTTCATGATAATTATTATTATATTGGAAAGGTTAATAATTATTATCATTTGTTTAAAACAATAATAACAAAAGGGAAAAAGATTAGATACTTATTAAACATTAATATTAATATTCAAATAAAAACTCAAAAAAAAAAAAAAATAAATAGAAAGAAGAATAATAGAGAAGGAGAGAAGAGTTAATCTCAAGAGGTAGAGAAGAAGATAGTTATAAATCAGAATTAAACTCAAAAAATAGAAAAATAGTAAAAAACTCACAATAAATTAAACTATTTCTTGAACAATTAGTTAGAGAAAGGAACTCTAATTTTTTCAAAAACCATGTAGCAGCTGTAGAAGCAGCAATCTATCCAGAATTAAGGGTAGAATTACCCTCTAATGATGCAATTTTAAATAATGTCTAATAATTCAACTGCATCACAGCAGTCTTCAAATCAAAACTCTCCAGGTTCATCTCAGAATCTGAAAAATAATTATAATTCTAATGCATACCTTAACGGGAGTAATCAAGGAAGCAGCAGCGGGTTGATGGGTGCGTAAATTTCTTCATCTGTGCAGCAATAATCGGTTAATTATTAAAAAAATAATAACTCTTAGTTTAATTAAAACTTTTAATTAGTTCCTCATCCAAATTCATTTGCAGCACAAATGGCTAAAGAAAAAAACTTTTATTCTTTCAACAACAAGCAAACCAACAAATGCGGATAGAACCAAATCAGTTAATTTAGTTAGAATATTACCAATAATTTAATGCAAACTAATGACTAATTTACTACCTACTAATAACAACTGCAGCAGTAAAGTTAAGCTTCTTAGAATACTTTACATCAATAGCAATAACAATAACAATAGCATAATAGCAAGCAATAATAATAACAATAATTAAAACAGTAACTCTAGAATTAGCACAATCATTAATCAGGTTCAAGTTCTACATCATCTTCATCCTCAACATCTTCCTCCTCTAATGGTAATTAGTAGCAGTTTAGATACAAAACCCATAAGTGCAGACACTTTTTAAGTGGCAACTGCACTATGGGAGAAAAATGCAATTTTGCTCATAGTGATAAAGAATTGAGGGATCCATAAGACCCACTCCCTCCTAACGTTTTAGTAGGGCAGAAGATACAGATCACTAATTTTAAAACCATAAAATGTCGCTACTATGACAATGGATATTGTAAAAATTCAGAGAAATGCTCCTTTGCTCATGGAAATCAAGAGCTATTAACTCCTGGTGTAACATTAAATAATATTAATGCTTTCCCTTAATAGAACTAAATTTAGTTAAACGAAATGCAAAAAGAGTAAATGCGCAAAGAGTCTATTGAATAACAAAATAATTTAGAATTTTTCAAGAATAATATCACAGATGTTATTAATGAATTAAAGTATGGTTTTACTTCAAACCATATTGTCCTTTAACAACTAGACGACGCATAATACTCTTTAAATCAAGATAAAATAGAAAGTGCCCATTCAATTCTGCTTAAAATATTCGAAGATCCATAGCGCACAATCTAGGATAAGTAACTCATTCTGAGTACAATTAAGAAATACAATGAATACTACAAAGGAATAATGGAAACAAAGTACAAGCAAGATTAGTTAGGATATAATTAGTCAAACTTTTTTTAGCATTATTCTTTCGAAGGATTCTCTCTTGATACTCAGAATGCTTATATGAATGGAAACTAACAAAGTAATGACAACAGTCCTCCTTCATCTAGCAAACAAATCAGTTTAAATGAGAAGGTAATCTCTTAAACCTCATAATAGTATAGCAGCCACAAATCTGAGAATTACCATAATTCTCTGCATGCAAATCATAAGAGTATTTCATCAACAGGCACAAGCAATAGTAATTAAGGAAATGGAAGTAGCAGTCAAGAAGCTTAAAACAGCTACAGCACTTATAAAGACATTTCCTCATTCAATTAGTGCTAAAATGGAAGTACTACTAGCTCTAACTGCAGCAGTAATGATAACAGCGATTGCGGAAGAAAAGAAAAATCATCATCACCATCTTATATTAACAACATGGGTTCAATTAATTAATAAGGCTTTTCTAATAATTTCTTATATCAAGATTATGATTAGAAGATTTTTAATTAAGATTAAATTTCCGACTAGCAAGACTTCCAATCTTTTAATGAAATTAATTAAATATTCAATAACTATAATATTGAACCAACCATTCAGCAAGCAAAAAATGAAGGCTCATCTGAAAAAAGACAATCTGAAGCAGAAGCGCTTCAAAAACAGAAATAAATATAAGACATTTTTTCAGAAGAGAATTAAAATGCGATCATCTTTAAAAACACTTGGGTAACTAACATTAATTTTATACTTATTTACTATTTATAAAAAGAGAGCAGTAATGATTATTAAAATATCATTCAATATTCATTCATTCATTCATACATCATTTATCTAAATTTTCTATAAATTTCTCATATTTTTTACAATCAAAAAAGTAAAAAGCTCATAAAAATTAATCAATAAAAACTAACAAAAGCAAATAGAAAAATCCATAAAAAATCTTTACTTTTCCTCTTTCAGAAATAATCAAATTAATAATTTTGTAACTCTAATAAATTAAGTTTTAATAATATTAAATTAAATATGATTTTATTAACAATTATTTATAAAAAAACAGATAGACATAAACAACATCGAGTGAGATATAAGAAAAAATAATTTTAATTTATAAAATTTAAAATAAAAAATCTATATTATATTTGTTCTCAACAGAAGACACTCTTTCCTTTAGAGGAGTTTACCATTTCTTAGAGATCCCTATAAATAAATAAATAAATAAATAAATAAATAACAATAATAATAATAAATTGACAATTGATACATTTAGTAAATTAGTTAGATGACTTAAAAGAAATAAAAATAAATTATATTTACCATAGTTATTGCTGGAGATTAGCGATTCTTTAATCCTTTTCCCTATTGATACATATTTAGATACATAAATAAGTATATTATAAGATAAATGAAATTAAATCTCAAAGAGAATTAGTTACATTATTTATTGCTTTTAGTATTCGATGAGGCTGTTTTATCTGTCAATCATTTCAAACTAGGCTTTGACAATTTCAGATTCATGTTACATACTACCTCCTTATTTTAAGTGATTATCTACTACAACAACACGTGAGCTGGTAACACTATGCTTATTTTCAAAGATAGGTCTTGCAGCTCTTTTAATCACTTCATCCTATTCTATATTTTGGTTCTTGAGCTCTATATAGTTAAAATATGAATTAGTTTAATTTAGTTAGATTAGCGAATGTGTAAGTAAATTAATAAATTAATGAATGAATAAGAGAAAAGATGCAATTGTGAAAATATTAAAAACTTAAAAAAAACAATAATAATAATAATAATAAATGAATTACAAAATTCTTAAATCTGTCTTTGCAGTTCAGATATTTTCAAATCTTGCTCTATTTTCTACTAATTACTTGCTGCATAATCGTTTGTTGCCTTAGTATACATATCGCTTTATATTTATAAAATTAGTTAAATAAAATAGTTAGTTATTAGCTCGTATAATATATAAAATATATATATATATAAAACAAGTATTTATATCATCATAAAGAAATAATCTTCTTACTTTAAAGTTCCATTTTGTTATTGCAAATTCTTTATTATCATTTCTTTCTATTCAATCTTTTTTAAAAAAATTTACTTATTTTCTATCTTAGAAATTATATTTTCTTTGAATTTAATCATTAAATTTAAATGAAAAACATTCAGATTAGCTTTTTAAAAATTATAAATTATTTTTACTTCTTGTTGCAAAACTAACTTCTAAGAATCTAGACTTTCTTGCAAGGTCAAATATTGAGAGCGTAAATTATCATATTGAATGCTTAAATAATTTAACTTTACGTCTGATTCTTCCAACTTTTTGTTGTCAAAAAACAAAGTTCTTAATATGAAGATAATATTTTAAATTATTTTTACTTGCTTTTGAACTTTTGTGCATTTTTATTTCCAGTATTCTATTTCATTATTTTTTCCATTCAAAATAGACTCGAAGTTATTTTCTTCAATTTATGTTACGAAGCTGTTAAAATAAAATACAAATTAATCAATAAAAAATAAATAAAAGATATTTCATTATAATTACTATGGTTGCTAATTTGTACTGAGATAAGGAGAAAGTCCATTATTTGGAGTAGTGCTGACTTTCAAAGGAGACTTGTTAACTTGTTAATCAAACTTTTTAATAAAAAATTAAATTAATTGCATTAGCTAAATCTCTTAAATGAATTCTTACTTGATGCACACTGTTTTTTGGCTTCCATTAATCTAAATCTAATTGTTCTTGTTAATTTCTGTTTTTTTAGATTTAAAGTTAATAAATTTTAAATTTCAATATGTTTTTATTATGATTACATTGCATTTTAATTTAAAGTAAATTGAGTTGAAGCTATGATTGGATTAGCTTCGCTTGCTGGTTGAGTTTGTCTAATTTGTTTAATTGGTTCAATTTGAGAGTTATAAGTGTTATATTCTGAAATAGCATATGCTTTAGGCTATTGAGCATTGAATTAAGAATTAGTTACATAACTATAACTCTAAACTCCATATATATCAGGTTTTTAGGTCACAGGAGCTACCTAACTAAGGCTGTTAGCCTATATTTAACTATTATATTGTTGATTTTGTTCTGCATAACTTAATGTTGTCCCATTGATTTAATCTGGTTTTATCACTGATTAATAAGGATTGGAAGAGTATTATAAATTATTATAGCTTAATCCTAGTATTAATTTTAATAATAGTATAATCCTAGATTGATTTCATTATATAATCATACCTATAACCTAAGAGTTTTAAATCATTTTTTCCTATTGCTATTTTTATCGGTTTATAAATCTAAATGCTTTAATTTGATTGATAAATAAATTATATTTTGATATTTTGCAGACTTATAGTTCTATTTATCTATATATCTATCTATTTATTTATTAATCAATCTATATCTTTTTTAATAGTCCCTGACTATTTTTTATTTGATATTCATAAGTAAGTATATGCTTTTTAATTTCTTTTGAAATAATATTTTAGTGCTAAAATACAATAAATGCATGCTATTAAAATCTTTGAAATTAAATCATTCGAAATATGCTTTAATAAGATTATACTTAAGATATTGAGAATATTTGTTTATAGTTATTTATTTACTTATATTAATTACTTACATTTATCATTCCCACTTAATTTTTTCTTTCGATTTTTAATAATATAATAATAATAGTGTATAAAGTTTCTCAAATTTTCAATAAATAAATAAATATCATATCAAATTTTAATTTATCAAATTATATATTTAAGTTTTATCAAAAATAATATTCATCAATTTTGAATTTTTAAATTTGGGATGATTATTAAATTGATAAATCATCTCGACAATATCTATTAAGTAAACATCATTTATCTTTGAAATAGATCAATAAATTTATAAAATTTGTATAATTAAACAAACAAAATCAGTTTATGATTTTTTTACATGTATAATAATATATCTATATGATATAGCTTTTAAATTAGACAAATTTGTTAATTTTATTTAATGTTTTAAATAAAATTAAACTAATTCAAAAACATATAAAAAAAAATTAAAAATTTAAATAAAAAATTAATAAAATTTTGAAATAATAATAATAAATTAACTTTATTGAATATATTAAAAATTCATTTCTAAATATCTTTTATTGAGGTATTCATTAAATGAAAATAAGAAAACTATTTTTGTAAAAATAATAAATAGATGGAAATTTTGAAAATATTGTTAAATTATAATAAAAAGATTTTTCTATGATTTTTAAATAAATTCTTTTTACTGTAATTTCTCAAGTATGTATTTAGGTTAATTTTTTTTTTTTAATTTGAATAAGACCAATTTTCATGAAAATAATGAAAGTCTTAAATAATGAGGAAATAAAATAAGTGCTTAAATTTTTATTAAATTAATAGATTTCTAGCAAGAAAAGTATTAAATTTTATACAATAATGGAATTAGAAATGATTTTATCATTAAAATTGTTATTTTTATTTAAAACTATGTATTTTAAAAGCTTTTAACAAACATATAAAAAGTTTATTTTATTTTATTAAATTTACGAGCTTTAATATCTTATATTTTTTATAATCTAGAAATTACTGATTAAATTAATAGTTTATTAATTCTAATTTGGTTTTTCGTGAGAATAATTTTCAATAATATAGAAATCTAAATAGTACTTTTCAACCAAAATCTCATTTGAAATCAAATTTCTAAAACTTTGATTTTTCTTTTGTTTATGACTTCTAAAGTTTGTTTTTAAAATATAAAATTGTATATTTTATTAAAATAAAAATTTAATTACTGTGGTAATATGAGAGTCTAATGAATCTTTACTATTTTACTTTATTAATTTTTAATTTTTTTTTAATATTTAACTCATTCCTAATGAAATTCTATTTCCTGCAGTGCTAAGACTTATTTTCTACCTGAAACTAAATTCATTTTAATTTAACTCTTCTTTAATAGTTTTCATCACTTCTGAAACTTTTTTCCAGTTTTTAAAAGGACTACAATTATATGAATGCCCAATTTTAATCCATTAAAAGTAAGAAGGAAATTTTTATTTTATCTTGAAAATAAGTTTTTAAAATATATTTCTATCTTTTTCTTCTGCTGGAATAGACTATATTAATATTAGCTACAACATTTTTAAAACAAACTAAAAGTTTAAAATTCCTATAATGAAAGTGACTATGTAAGAAATTATATAGTTATCTGAGAGACTTCCAACAAAAAGCAAATAAATAGTTATTATTACTAAGAAAGTAGATTCCTGCTCAAGATTATTAAATTTTTACAAAATAAATGGCTTTAATTTTTTCTAAAGGAGTAAAAATAAGAACATAACCCCAAATAAAACAGTACTCTTAAAAGTGATTTAAAAGTTAAAAATATTAATAGCGATTATACCTGTAGAACGAATAATTAATCTTGCCAAATCCCAGTAATATTTGTCATCTACATATTCCTTTTATAAAAAAAGGTTTAATTAAAATAAAATAATTAATTTATTTAGAATTAGTATATCTTTTATTTAAATTATTTAAAATATTCATTTATATTTGTTATAATTTAATATAAATACCTGATATAGATAACCATATCTAAAGAGTATTTTAATGGTATGCATTTTTTGCTTATAATTTCTTATCCTTACAAATAAAAAGAGAGGAATTAAAACTATCCAAATTAATCCTAAAGGTAAAATGCAGATATATATGTACTTCATATGCTCCCTCTCTAAGCATGTATAATTTAAATCAGAAGATATGTAAGACTATGAGCCAATTTCCTAGCATGATAGAGATTAGGTTATAACTTTAACAACAGAAGGCTGAAAAAATAAGTATATATTAATGATGTTTGTGTAAACAGCCTATCTCGAAGAGTGAGAAGTATTTTTTTCGAAAATATAGCTAAAAAGTTAAATAACTATAAATAAGGCAATTGGTTAAAAGTTGATCCATAACAAGCGGACTATATAATTTGGAACTGCTAAATTTTTAGAAAATAGTAAACAATCAATAGAATAGATTGTAATTTAAGAGGTATCTCCCCCAGTTAAGTTAAAAAACGTAAAATAAGTTGGCAATGTTATGTTTAAACTGTTAACAATTCCTAGAAATTAAAAGTAGTTAATTAATATTTTAATAAAAGAAGATTAAGAAGTTTAGGTTCTTTAAAGGTTAGGAGAAACAAATCTTAATTTTGATAAATATTTAGCCATGATATATTTTCTTATTAGAACCATTTCATTATTAATTTTAGTATAGATTTGAATTAAAATAAAAGCAAAAATCAGAAATATTAAAATAATATTCAATGCAGAATAAAAATGTACACAATCATTGCACACTTAATTGGACTTAGAGTACTAAGTACCCCATATTTCGCCATTAACATCACATTCATAACAAATTGGTCCTATATGACCCTTTAAGCATCCGTTTTTCGATTAAGGGTCTTCTGGTATGCAAAATTAAGATTACTAGCATTAAATTATCACATCTGAAAGATTACCTGTTCTCCAATATCCATTTTAAACTTATATTTAAGAACTTTAACAGGCAATTGAACCAACAGGACATCTCTTACAATTAATGCTTTGAGCAGAGTATGGATCTATAATGCTGTAGAAACCTTTTTTCATAAATATAATTATAAATCAATTAATTTTCAAAAATTTTTAGATAGTTTATTTTAAACTTTTTCTTTTTATATCCTTTAAAAAAATTAAACTATTTCATTAATTAAAGAAAGAATCCTTTACCCTTACTTAACGTCTTTGACGTTTAATTAATGGGGATTGATAGTATTCAAAAATTAAAAATTATTTTTATTAATTCATCTTTAATAAATTTTATATTTTTAAAAAAAAGAGAGATAAAATTGAATAAATAAATAATTAGTTGATTTGTTTTAAATTAAGTGCATATTTTATTAACAATTTTGTACCTTATCCGCATTCGTAACATAAGGTGTAATTTCCAGATTGTTAGAGTATTTCTCCAATTTAACACTTTCTGAAATTGACAGTAATTGGAAGATTATATCTTGATTATATTACTTACTAAATATCTGTCTAAAATTAAGGAAGGAGCTAAGCAGACTTTATATTTAAAATAGCACTAGATGAAGGCTAATAAGAATAGGACAAGTCAAAAATAAATGCAAAATGCGTTAAAGAATATACTTGCCTTAAGTCTCCTAATAAACCAATATTACTGCTTTCTGCTTAGAGTATGTAAATTGACATTTCTTCTAAAATGTCTTAGCTGAGTTAAGGATATAGCTACAAATTAACAAATGAAACTTCTCTCATTTCCTCATCAATAAATCTAATTAATATAGGTATTGGCGATTTATATCCACTTTGTACATTATCTAGAATATTTTATTCTAAAGCTTAATTATTTTTGTTTTTCATATTTAAAAACTTAGGATATGATCCAACATTTATTCCATATGAAGTAGCATTATTTTTGTAAAATTAATTATTTTTTTTTAAAAAGCTAACTCCACTTTACATTATCACCAAAGGTTAAAGATTAATGTATCTGATACCTCCTCCAATAAATGCCAAATTTTAGTTGAATGTATTGTTTTAAATTTTTAAAATGTCGCAATTATTTAGCAATACAGCTCCACCTGAACCTTAAAGAGCTTAGTTCTTTATATATTAGTTGGAGTTAAAAATATTAAAATTACTATTTTCACAATAGATCGCTCCTCCTGATCCTAAAGTTGCTGTATTAGAAGTAAATAAATTGTATTCGAAGCTACTAATTTAGCTATTTTATATATAAATAACACCTCCATTTCCTTTTTTTGAAGAGATTTGTGAAAAAGTATTTTTTTGAATTGTTACTTACTTGCAATTAATAATTTAAATTGCTCCAGAACCTTATAAAGATTAACATTAAGATACTGCATTAGACATAATAATAACATTTTATGAATCAAGAATCTTCAAAGCTGAAGAAGAAGGTCCATTTGTAGAAAGTTATTAATAAATTGTATTTAAAATATTTACATTTTATGAATTTTAAACTAAAATAGTACTACTTAAAGAATTTTCTATTGAGCTAAAATTTGAATTTTAAAGCAATATTGATTCATCAGCAGCTAAATTTATGAGGGAAAATTATTATAAAGCATCAGTTAGCAAAACATTTATATCTGTAAACTGGATTTAGTCTAAAATAATAATGTCAGAAGTAATTTAAATGAAAGATTACTGGACAATCTAAGAGGTATTTACTTTTAAATTAGTTATGGTTAAGTTTTTGCATAGTATGATTTATATATCTGAAACTTGATAAGATGAAAGAAGTAAGTATCTCATATTTTTAATTTATTGAAGTTATATTGATTGTAGGTAAGTACTGCAAACTCCTAAATTAGTAAATATTGTGCCATCTTGATCATTCTAAATATTTACATTTTAAATAGAACTTTTATTTATGCTTAGTGATTCATAAACAAGTTCAAAATCAAAAATAGAAAACTAATTTGAGCTATTAATATTAAAATCATTAATTTAAATGTCGTCAATATTTACTTTTTTATTATTTGAAAAGTAGAATATTTTTTATATGAAACTACTAGTATTTTTAGTTTGAAATTATCTTAACTAAGGTATTTGGTTATTATATATTATCTGATACAATGAAAGCAGTTGTATATTAACAAACTAAGTTGATGAAATGACAAAGGAAGATTATTAAATGAAGTTAGTTTAAGATATTTAAATATTTTTCAAAGTTACATTTTATACTTAATTTATAAGTAAAAGTTAATCAAATCCAGAGCAATCACAATTAATTACATTTATATTATTGATTTGCAGTTTTTCTATATTTTAAAGAACTATTAAAGGACGTCCTAAATTAAATTTGCATGAAATTAAATTTACTTCTGTAATAATAACCATACTGATATTTGTTATATTAATCTAAGTTATTGTTGGCAATGTTTAGTTTTCATAGTGCTACAAATTTATTTTTTAAATAACCAATGTTTATACATTATTAATTTACACACTTGCCTCTGTTAATGTGATATTTTCGAGTAAAACTTATTTTATATCAGGGAAAATTATATTATTTATAGTGAGATTAGTTTGAATATCATTATTTTACAAGTAATTTTAATAATTTTGAGGTGCAGTTTGCATTTCTAAATTCTTTATTTAAATAAAAGAAACACCTTGTTGAATATTAAATGGATCCTTGATATAAACAATAATATTTTGTTCTTTTGGTGCGATGATTAGTTAGAATATATTATTCAAAACATTTTATTAAAGTTTTGGGAGGTATAAATTTTAGTATTTAGATATATTTATTGTTATACCTTTAAGTTTTCTTTACTAACTAATAAGATAAGAGCTCATTTAGTTGAGAGAAGTATCATCTTAGTAATTAAATTACTATAGTTAATAATTTAAAGAGCATGATTAAGTTTATTGCTGGCTGTATATATCTAAAGCAAGTCTATACAAAAACATTCCTTCTAAAGTAAATCCGTTAATATTAAGTTAATATTCATTGCTGCTATTCTCATTTTCTTAGATTTTTACAAAAGAAAATGCTATTATTGAAAACTAATTAATTTGCAAAAATGCTTTTTCTGTAGGAAGAGAAACAAATGGAGAAAATTCATAAACAGAGAGTTTAGTTATAAATTCAACCAAAAAAAAGTACCCAACTCCTAAGTATCTAATATTCTTCAACTCTAAAGTTGAATTAAAATACCTAAAGTTAAACAAAAGCTTTAAATCTTATCTAAAATAAATGTTAGCAAAGTGAGAAACGACTGAATAAATAAAGTTATCATCGAAATACAAATTAGTTGAGAATGAACTAATAAAAGAATTTGCATGTTTTTAAAGATTAAAGTCATAAACTAAGCTTCCTACCATGTGATTTTACAAAAATATTCTTTTGTAGATACTGTCTATTAAAATATTTCCAAAATTGACATTAAATTCCAAACCTACAGAAACAATTTCTGAGATTAGAATGTAATCATAAATTTTTATCAAGTTATTCATTAAAATAACAACTTAAGAGTTACTTAATTGCTGAATGCTTAGTATTCTGGAAGGCATAACAATTTAAGCTCTAATATTGCCAGAAATACTTTTACTAGAGTCATAGCTTAAGTTCACAATATTTAAATTTTTTTAACTACCAGAAAAATCTGTAAATAAAAATGTTGTTAAGTTATTAGCAAATAAATACTATGCAATACCTTATTTTAATACTATTATTTCATTGATTTTAACAGATTTTTATCTTTTTTGAAGCTATAGTACTTGTTATGACTAAGAAAGTAGGATAACTTAATCTTAATTTTCAAAGAGTATTTTTATAATATTTTAAGCAAGGAAAAGCTAGTCTATCTAATTAATAAGTGAATTACTCAAATCTAAAATGGCTATTTCGTTATCAAAAATTGCATAGATAAGTAAGTTTTACAAATCGTTTTCAACTATTCGAATGTATCCTGAATTCAAATTATTTCTCATCCAAGTGGAAGTTATTGTTTAATTTATAAAGAGATTAGCTTGAGAGTTGATATCATTTAGTAACAAAAAAGTATTGTTATTTACTTGGAAGAATCTGGGATTTATTTGAGTAGGAAATTTAGCTTGATTATTATTAAGTAAATAATCATAATCAAGTAAAACATTTTAATAATATGTAGAGTATTATATTATATTTCTATTCTAAAAAAATCTAAGCTAAGTCACAAAAGTGTCTACTTAGTAAAGCTCTATGTTATTTCTTTTAGTATTAATAAGATATACAGTAAAATTAGAAGATAATATGATTCTTTATTTGTAGCTATCCCATATTAAACGTTTTTAAAAAGCTTATGAGTCAGTTTAATTAAGCTAATTTTAAAGTAAAATTTATAAAATTAAAAATAATTTTAAAGAAATTTTTTATTATTACTTGATATTGTGATATAAGATTATTTGTAGAGTAAGAATACTGGTTTAAGCAATTGTTAGTATCATAAAAAAATATTAGCTTATTAACTTAGTCTATAACTGCATCTGAATAAGGAAAAAAGGCTACACTTAAAGATATTTTATTTATCAGCTGATGAGTTTTTTAGTCATACAAACCGATATAAAGAAGATTAGAATTTAAGAAGATATAAGTTTGCTTATCGTCTAAAAAGAAGAACTTAATTTTTAATAAAATAAAATTAATGTAAAGATTGAAAGTTAATAGTATATTTTACTCTGTAATTTATGCTTTGATAATCTGTACTTGGAGCTGGTAAGGATAATGCTATGTATTGCATTGTATTGAGATCAAGCGTCATAAAAATACAATTATACTTTTAGACATAGATTAAATAATTATAGTTTGGATTTAAAAAATACTGTGCACCATAAAAATTAGTATCATATATTGATTTAATATATGTTAGGGTATCAAGAGCAAAAACTCTCACTGAAATCATTTGGCAAATGATTAACTAGCTTGTTTAAGTATTGATAAATAGATATTATTGATAATCTAAAAACGAATAGTTAGGAAGACCTAAATATTGTGGATTATCTTTATAGCAAGTTCGTCGAATAGTCTATTTTTACATTTAGAATACTTAATATGAAATAAAAAAATATTTACATTCATATCTAAGATGCAGTCTTCATCTAAGTTTGTTGAGATAAGATAGCCTCTCTTCCAATCAAGCTAAATCGCTTTGAAACTCTAATTTGGTAACTGATACTTGTATTAATATAGCTTATATAAAATAATAATAAATATGAATTTTCTAGTGCATATAAAATTACCACTTAAAAAGTTGTTGCATCGATACAAATCAAGCTTAAATAATAAACTACAACAATTAAATTATTAGGTTAATAATAAAGAATTTGTCTTGTAAATAATTCTTATATCGCAAAATTATGATAAGATGGGTAGAATGTTTCTATAGTTTCTTGAGGAATCACAGAATATAAAAGTTAATTATTTAATGAATTGTAAATATTAATAGATTAAGGAAGTATTTCAACCACATAGTTTAGATCACTTACAAAATCAATAAAATAAGATTAGTTTTTATTTATTGATTTAGTTGTCTAAATCATAATTTATTTGATTTTTTTCACTTAGACTAAATTAAATGAAGAAGTTATAATATAGTTGTACCTCAGAAACTATGTCTAAAGTAAAAATGATCTACTAATTGTATAATCCACCATCTATTAATATTATTTTAGTTAGATAATAGGTATTTTTATGAAGAATTAATAGAATTTAATATAAATTTTAAATTTTTTTCAATTAAACTATTTTTAATTTCTTGGGTAAATTATTTTTTAAATTATAACATAAGATATTTAAAATGTTAATTAAAATTTAATCTTAATTTTTATAATATTTTGAAAATTTTTATATAAATTCTTTTAAAAAAATAGTGTAGTTCCTTATTTTGAAAGAGAAGTAGGCTCAACTATTTTACATCACAATTTAAAATTTTAACATAATCATAGAAAAAGTTCTTAATTAGGCTAATTTTATTGGGTTATAGAGAATATACAGTATTTGAATGAAGAATTATTTAATACTCAAAAATTATCAATTAAAAAATCAAGAAAACAATAGAAAAAAATTACTTCTGCGTAAATTAAGTTGAAGGTATTTAAATCATAATGAGTAGTTGCTTAATTATTAAAAAAAATAACTTCATCTTATTCTGTCATTGCATCTTAATTTGATCCATATATTGAAGGCTTCGTAAATAATTATTATCTTATATTATCATAAAAAAGCTGATTTGCTGTATTTGTAACTATTACTAAATAGCTATCATTGTTAGGTTTATAAATGTATATATATTTGTTTCTTGGCTATATTCCTTACTTTTATTTTTAAAAAATTTTTAATTAAATTAAATTAAAGATGAAAGTAAGTTTACACTTATCAATGTGTTATTAGAATAAGTAAAAACTCCATCCTATTAAGTTGAGCAGGCAGATTGAGTATAATAATATTAAAAGTTTTACGAGAAATATATGCTTGCTGCACATTAGAAAGGGTAGACTGTATAAGTAAGAGTTGTTAAGTTATAAAAATATAAACCATTATAACTAGATATTAATGCTTGTTAAGTTTATTAGTTTTCTTTACCTGAAAAATTTGGATCTATTTACTTATAATTTGGAGTAGTTAAAACCTGTTTATTAAAATTATTAACATATATATATATTTCTCAAATTGTTTTTACTTTTCTTCCCTATAAATCGTAAAAGTATGCTGTGTAATATTAGGTTGAAGTCAGGTAAAAAATAATTAAATATTCTACAGAAATAGTTTAAATGTAATTTGTGGCAAAACTTTATAAACTCTTCTATAACTTATATTTGTTAGAACTAATTTAGTCTAAATTTAATTAGTATTTATTCAATAAACTATATTTAATATGAAAATAATAAATAATTATTTACCAATACTTTTTGAAAAAAATAAGAATAGGAAATTTTTTTAAGTATCTGTAATTTATTTATAGTATTATATAACAGCAACTATAGACCCAGAATTTGGATAATAGAATGGCTACAATACATAGTTGATTTTACTCAAATCTACAATAATTTCAGGGAAAGACTGCGCATAAATTATTTCTAAAGTTTTCATGTTAATTATCTTGATTTTAAAGGTATACATTTCAAAGCCAGTAAATAAATATGTTCCGTCTGGCAAAATATTGTAATTGTAGAGTAATTATGTTGATAGCTCGCTGATTGGATACCATATTCTTACTTAGTTCACTATTTTCTTTGAAACAGTGTTGTAAATATAAGCTAATCCATAACTTTTCAACTCTAATAACATTTAAATTTCAGGGTATTCAATAAGCAAATCAATTTTATTAACCTTTACAGTGAATTTAGATAAAACTTAAGAAGTCACTGCATTTTGTGCTATGATAAATATACTTTTTTACTAGTTTATTATATTGAATGAATTTAAAATAAAATTTTTCTAAATAGTCTACCAAACATGTATTTCTTAGTTTATGTAATTCACATTAAATTTTGATGAGGCACAGAACTGAGGATTTACTTATTATAGCTATTGTATAAATTCTAATTAAGAATAATCAGCAGAAAATTAGTAAGACTCAACATAATTTGTAGTACAGAAAATCAATAAGCGGCCAAAAGAATAGATTTAAGTGGTGTTACTTGTTTGGCTATTGAGCTAGGTTTGAGAATATTATATTTGGTTACTTTATTAGTTAAAATTATACATAGTAAGTTTTAAATTATTTTAAGGCGTTTCAGCACTTACAATAAGAATAAGCTTTTTTTTAAAATTAAAATACTATTTAATTTAAAAGTAAATATTATAGAAATCTTACATCTGATTATGGGACCAAGTAAATGGTAAAAATAAAGCTTGTCATTTAAATGGTTTGCAGTAAGTTTAAAGTCATCTAACCATAATTAAAGTAAAGTAAATTAATCTATGTAGAAGTGTATAAAGTCCAATAATATAACGAATTAAGTTGGATTAAATTGGCTGTTGAGTCTATACTTGATGAATTGTAGACTGATACTTTTTGAAATGGAGAAATCTAGTAATAAGTTATAGATTAGCTTATCAAGTTTAAGCTCAAAAACTAATATTAGTCTTAATTAGTGTATTACTTCACTTAAAATAGAGAAATTTAAGCAGTAGAACTGACATCTATCATAAAGTAAGTAGAATTTTTGTAAAATAATAGGTCGATTTCATAATTGGCACTTTATGATAATATTAAATTCCAATCATTTCCTTTCTAAAAGCTTTTTATAAAATTTCCAGTGTTTTTTGTATTATTGTAAGTAAGAAAAGATTGTAAGATAGTTGTTCCATTTGAGTTGTAAAATTTCAGTAAGTTAAGAGGTTACAATAAGCAAGTGACTATATTATTAGCTAATTCCAGCTAATTTTCATATAAGCAATCTACGACCTAATATGTTTGTTAAGTTTAAATGAATAAATTAGATGTAAAAGTCAAATATTTTAAATAATTTGTTTAGCATAGCAATCAGTAAAGTAAATAGAAATTAAATATATTTCTTATTGATATGATAATTTTTTTAGATTTTAAAGAAAAAGACAAATGGGTAAAAATTATATTTAAAACATAATTAATTTCAACCTATAAAAATAAAAATTAATTCAGAGCTGAATTAGAAGATAGTATAATAAATTATCAAAATAAATTGGATAAATATAAATCTATAATTATTAAATTAAAATTAGTTTATTTGATTTTTTTAAAATATTAATACACTTTGTTGTATTACTGAAAAAAAATATGGTTTTATTATTTTAAAATATTTTAAAATTTTGGATTTAATTTAAATTAAACTCGTAACAAATACTTTTAAAGCTTTTGTTTTAAAAAAGTATAGTTTTGACTAGACGAAAATATATAAATGATTTAAATCACTGATAAAAATTAATTAAAATTAAAAATAAAAAAATGATTTAAGAAAACAAAAATAAGAAGAATTTTTTTATTTAAATATCTTATTATCGAAAGTTTTTAATTATCATAATAGTAATATTTTAATTAATTATTTATTAATTTATTTATATTATTATAATAATAGGCATTAAATTTATCAAAAGTAAAATCTAAATACCTAAAATAGTTTAATGGTAGGATTATTGTCCTAAAAAACAAGGACCATATTTTTGATTTTTCAAAATTAATAAAATAAAATTTTGTATGACTACTTTCAAAAATATATTCTTAAAAATCATTTAAATTTTTTAAAAAGTAGAAAATACTATTAAAATAATTAAGCGCTTCAAAGATTACTATTCTTGCAGTAGAATAATTTTAATCCTGGAAGTGCTATATGGAATACTTTTTTGAAGAAAAGTTAATTTTTAAAACTTAATGCTAAATTTATTTTAATATTCTTTGCATAATTTAATCTAATAAATAAATAATCGTTTTACTTAATAGGTAGATATATTTAATTAAAATGATATCTATGCTTATAACTAAGGATAGCTATATTAAACAACATACCCTTGTACATCTACTAAGGTAATTGCATCTTTTTTAAGTAATTATATTAAAATTAAGTAAATAGTAAAGAAAAATGTTGATAAATTACTCATAGTTTTATCAAGCAAAGAGGAAACAATATTGTTTTAATTTTGCAACTAAGGTATTTGTTGTATCTAAGGGCATTAAGCTTTTACTTAACAACTAAACGATTAGTAGTCGATATCAAAAATCTAATCATTGAAGCACCCATAATTGCATTGGCTTTAATCATCTTAAATTTATCCTATTTAGCTGCACTGAGAAATACAATTTTGCTATTTTAAATAATAGTTTTAATTGATCATGTTAAGAAAAAATAAATTTTACAGGATCGTTAGGGTCTTTTTAAAATCCATCAAGGCATTGTAAACATTAGGTACTTGAGCATTGGCTACAGTATTAGCTTATACATGAAAAACAATTATTAGTGCTTTAATCTAAATATGTTCCTTAAGGACACTTCTTGAGGCATTAATATTGAATATTCAAGTAGAAGTAATTTAAACTACATGATGTACATTCAGAAATTTAGTTTTCAGAGCAACTAAGACAGGATTTTTTACAGCAATAGTTTTTTGTAGGATCACATTAAAACTAACTTAAAATTGGTTAAATTAAAATCAACAATTTAAAAATGATGATCATTTTTTGTATTTTTTACAAATTCTGATTTGAATTCTATCTATCTATTTTCTTTTATTGAAATTTGTTTCTTTATCTATATTTGAATAACAAAGATAATAATTTAAAAAGCATAGATATTTAAATATTCTTTACAAATAAAAAAGTCAGTTTAAATTAAAATTAATAGACTGTACTTTATTTTACATTTAAATCTAATACAAATGATATATATGTAACACTAATAAGTTCAATGTAAAAATTTTTGATAAAAAGATAAAATAAACACTACTTAATGCGAGTATTTACTTGGACTAGCAAATCTTTATCAATAGATTCATACTTTATTATAGCAATATTTTCTTTAGCAAAATAGCAAAATAGGATATACTAACTTATTCTCGATTGACAGCTTATTAATACCAATAATTGGTGAATTCTGACAAAAATAATAAATATATCATCACATTTTTATTAAATTTGATTAAAAATCTTGATTTTTTTTTTTGGAAAAATTTATTTTTTTAAATGAAAAAAGTTATTAAATTTTTTGGGTAGCTTTTATTAAAAATATCTGAAATATCAAGGTAAAAGAAAATAAAGCATAATTTATTTAGTTATTTTGGCAACACTATAAAATAAAATTGCATAAAGTAAATTTGTAATTTAAAAAAAATATAAATCCTAACAAACTTATAAAAAATTAAATTTATTTTATTTTATTAATGAGCTTTAATATGTTATATTTTTTTATAATCTTGAAATTATTGATTAAATTAATAGCTTGTTCATTCTAATTTGGTTTTTTTTGAATATTTTTTCAATAATATTCAAATCTAAATAGTACTTTTCAACCAACATCTCATTTGAAATCAAATTTCTAAAACTTTGATTTTTCTTTCGTTTATGACTTCTAAAGTTTTTAAAATATAAAATTGAATATTTTATTAAAATAAAATTTAATTACTATAGGAGACTCTTATGAATCTTTACAATTTAAATTTATTTATTTTTTATGGTTTTTTAATATTTAACTCATTCCTAATGAAATTCTATTTCCTGCAGTGCTAGGACTTATTTTCTACTTAAAATTAAATTCATCTTAATGTAACTCTTCTTTAATAGTTTTCATCACTTGTGAAACTTTTTTCCAGTTTTTAAAAGGGCTACTATTATATGAATGACTAATTTTAATCCATTAAAAGTATAAAGGAAATTTTTATTTTATCTTGAAAATAAGTTTTTAAAATATATTTCTATCTTTTTCTTCTTCTGGAATAGACTATATTAATATTAACTATAACATTTTTAAAACAAACTGAAAGTTTAAAATTCCTATAATGAAAGTGACTATATAAGAAATTATATAGTTTTCTGAGAGACTTCCAACAAAAAGCAAATAAATAGTTATTATTACTAAGAAAGTAGATTCCTGCTCAAGATTATTAAATTTTTACAAAATAAATGGCTTTAATTTTTTCTAAAGGAATAAAAATAAGAACATAACTCCAAATAAAACCATACCCTTAAAAATGATTTAAAAGTTAAATATATTAATAGCGATGATTCCTGCAGAACGAATAATTAATCTTGCCAAATCCCAGTAATATTTATCATCCACGTATTCCTATTATATAAAAAAGGTTTAATTAAAATAAAGTAGTTTTTTAGAATTAGTAAATCTTTTATTTAAATTATTTAAAATATTCATTTATATTTGTTGTAATTTAATAAAAAAACCTGATATAGATAACCGTATCTGAAGAGTATTTTAACGGATTGCATTTTTTGTTTATAATTTCTCATTCTTGCAAATAAAAAGAGGGGAATTAAAACTATCCAAATTAATCCTAAAGGTAAAACACAGTAGTATATGTATTTCATATGCTCTCTGTCTAAGCATGTATAATTTAAATCAGAAGATATGTAAGATTATAAACCAATATTCTAGCATGATAGAGATTAGGTTATAACTTTAACAACAGAAGGCTGAAAAAATAAGTATATATTAATCGTGTTTGTGTAAACAGCCTATCTCGAAGAGTGAGAAGTATTTTTTTCAAAAATATATCTAAAAAGTTAAATAATTATAAATAAGGCAATTGGTTAAAAGTTGATCCATAACAAGCGGACTATATAATTTGGAACTGCTAACTTATTAGAAAATAGTAAACAATCAATCGAATAGATTGTAATTTAAGAGGTATCTCCCCCAGTTAAGTTAAAAAATGTAAAATAAGTTGGCAATGTTATGTTTAGACTGTTTACAATTGCTAGAAATTAAAAGTAATTAATTAATATTTTAATCAAAGAAGATTAAGAAGTTTAGGTTCTTTAAAGGTTAGGAGAAACAAATCTTAATTTTGATAAATATTTAGCCATGATATATTTTCTTATCAGAATCATTTCATTATTAATTTTACTATAGATTTGAATTAAAATAAAAGCAAAAATCAGAAATATTAAAATAATATTCAATGCAGAATAAAAATGTACACAATCATTGCACTCTTAATTGGACTTAGAGTACTAAGTACCCCATATTTCGCCATTAACATCACATTCATAACAAGTTGGTCCAATATGCCCCTTTAGGCAACCGTTTTTCGATTAAGGGTCTTCTGGTAGGCAAAATTCAGGATATTAGCATTAAATTATTACATCTGAAAGATTACCAGTTCTCCAATATCCATTTTAAACATATATTTAAGAACTTTAACATGCGATTGAGCCAACAGGACATCTCTTACAATTAGAATTTTCAACAGAATATGGATCTATAATGCTGTAGAAACCTTTTTTTCATAAATATAATTATAAATCAATTAATTTTCAAAAATTATTCGATATTTTATTTTTAATTTTTTCTTTTTATTTTCCTTAAAAATAATTATACTATTTCATTTATTAAAGACCCCTTTACTCTAAAAATTTTTGATGAAAAAAAAAATCTCTTAAAGTCTCTGACCTTTAATTAATGGGGATTAATAGAATACAAAAAATATAAAATTTTTTTATTAATTTATCTTTAATAAATTAATTTTATTTTTTTAAAGAAGCTAGATAAAATTCAATAAAAAAATAATTAATAGATTTTTTTTAAATTAAGTGCTTATTTTATTAAGAAGGTTCTACCTTATCCGCATTCATAGCATAAGGTGTAATTTCCTGATTGCTAAAGTATTTCTCCAACTTAACACTTTCTGAAATTGACAGTAATTGGAAGATTATATCTTGATTATATTACTTACTAAATATCTGTCTAAAATTAAGGAAGGAGCTAAGCAGACTTTATATTTAAAATAGCACTTGATGAAGGCTGATAAGAATAGGACAAGTCAAAAATAAATGCAAAATATGTTAAAGAATATACTTGCCTTAAGTCTCCTAATAAACCTATATTACTGCTTTCTGCTTAGAGTATGTAAATTGACATTTCTTCTAAAATGTCTTAGCTGAGTTAAGGAAATAGCTACAAATTAACAAATGTAACTTCTCTCATTTCTTCATCAATAAATCTAATTAATATAGGTATTGGCGATTTATATCCACTTTGTACATTATCTAAAATATTTTATTCTTAAGTTTAACTATTTTTGTTTTTCATATTTAAAAACTTAGGATATGAGCCAATATTTATTCCATATGAAGTAGCATTATTTTTATAAAAGTAATTATTCTTTTTTAAAAAGCTAACTCCATTTTTCATTATCACCAAAGGCTAAAGATTAATGTATCTTATACCTCCTCCAATAAATGCCAAATTTTAGCTGAATGTATTATTTTAAATTTATAAAATGTCACAATTATTTAGCAATACAGCTCCACCTGAACCTTAAAGAGCTTAATTCTTTATAAATTAGTTATTGTTAAAAACATTAAAATTACTATTTTCACAATAGATTGCTCCTCCTGATCCTAAATTTGCGGTATTAGAGGTGAATAAATTGTTATTGAAGCTATTAATTTAGCTATTTTATACATAAAGAACACCTCCATTTCCTTTTTCTGAATAGATTTGTGAAAGAATATTTTATTGAATTGTTACTTACTTGCAATTAATAATTTAAATTGCTCCAGAATCTTATAAAGATTAACATTAAGATACTACATTAGACAGAATAGTAACATTTTATGAATCAAGAATCTTCAAAGCTGAAGAAGTTCCATTAGTAGATAATTATTAATAGTTTATATTTAAAATATTTACATTTTATGAATTTTAAACTAAAATAGTACTACTTAAAGAATTTGCTATTGAGCTAAAATTTGAATTTTAAAGCAAGATTAATTCATCAGCAGCTAAGGTAATCAGGGATAATTATTATAAAGCATCAGTTAGCAAAACATTTATATCTATAAACTGGATTTAGTCTAAAATGATAATATCAGAAGTAATATAAAAGAAAGATTACTGTACAATTTAAGAGTTAATTACTTTTAAATTAGTTATATTTAAGTTTTTGCATTGTATATTTTATACATCTGAAACTTGATAAGATGAAAGAAGCAAGTATCTCATGTTATTAATTTATTGAAGTTTTATTGATTGGAGGTAAGTGCTGTAAACTCCTAAATTAGTAAATATTGTGCCATCTTGATCATTCTTAATATTTACATTTTAAATAAAACTTTTATTTATGCTTAGATATTCCTCTACAAGCTCAAAATCAAAAATAGAAAATTGATTAGAGCTATTAATATTAAAACCAACAATTTAAATGTCATCAATGTCTACTTTTATATTATTTGAAAAGTAGAATATTTTTTATATGAAACTATTAGCATTTTTAGCTTATAGTAACCTTAACTAAAGATTTTAGTTATTGTATTAGATATCCAATAATTAAAGCAATTTTATTTTAACTAACTGAGTTGATTAAATGGAAAAAGAAGATTATTAAATGAAGTTAGTTTAAGATATTATAATATTTTCCAAAGTTACATTTTATACTTAATTTATAAGTAAAAGTTAATCAAATCCAGAGCAATCACAATTAATTACATTTATGTTATTGATTTGTAGTTTTTCTATATTTTGAAGAACTATTAAAGGACGTCCTAAATTAAATTTGCATGAAATCAAATTTATTTCTGTAATAATTACCATACTAATATTTGTTAAATTAAGCTAAGTTGTTGTTGGCAATGTTTAGTTTTCATAGTGCTACAAATTTATTTTTTAAATTACCAATGTTTATATATTGTTAATTTGCACACTTGCCTCTGTTAATGTGATATTTTCGAGTAAGACTTGTTTTATATCAGGGAAAATTACATTATTAATTGTAAGATTTGTTTGAATATCATTTTTTTGCAAATAATTCTAATAATTTTGAGGTGAAGTTTGCATTTCTAAATTCTTTATTTAAACAAAAGAAACACCTTGTTGAATATTTAATGGATCCTTGATATAAACAATAATATTTTGTTCTTTTGGTGCTATGATTAGTTAGAATATATTATTCAAAACATTTTATTAAAGTTTTGGGAAGTATAAATTTTGGTATTTGGATACATTTATTGTTAAACCTTTAAGTTTTCTTTGCTAACTAATAAGATAAGAACTCACTTAGTTGAAAGAAGTATCATCTTAGTAATTATATTACTATAGTTAATAATTTAAAGAGCATGATTAAGTTTATTGCTAGCTGTATATATCTAAAGCAAGTCTATACATAAACATTCCTTCTAAAGTAAACCCATTAATATAAAGCTAATATTCATTGCTGCTATTATCATTTTCTTAGATTTTTACAAAAGAAAATGCTATTATTGAAAACTAATTAATTTGCAAAAATGCTTTTTCTGTAGGAAGAGAAATAAATGGAGAAAACTCATAAACAGAGATTTTATTTATAAATTCAACCAAAAAAAAGTACCCAACTCCTAAGTATCTTATATTCTTCAACTCTAAAGTTGAATTAAAATGCCTAAAGTTAAACAAAAGCTTTAAATCTTATCTAAAATAAATGTTAGCAGAGTGTGATACGACTGAATAGATAAAGTTATCATCAAAATATAAATTAGTTGAGAAAGAACTAATAAAGGAATTTGCATGTTTTTAAAGGTTAAAGTCATAAACTAAGCTTCCTACCATGTGATCTTGCAAAAAAATTCTTTTGTAGATACTGTCTATTAAAATATTTCCAAAATTGACATTAAATTCCAAACCTACAGAAACAATTTCTGAGATTAAAATGTAATCATAAATTTTTATCAAGTTATTCATTAAAATAACAACTTAAGAGTTACTTAATTACTGAATGCTTAGTATTCTGGAAGGCATAAAAATTTAAGCTCTAATATTGCCAGAAATACTTTTACTAGAGTCATAACTTAAGTTTACAATATTTATATTTTATTAATTACCAGAAAAGTCAGTAAACAAAAATGTTGTTAGATTATTAGCAAATTAATACTATGCAATACCTTATTTTAACACTATTATTTCATTTACTTTAACAGATTTTTATCTTTTTTGGAGCTATAGTACTTATTATGATTAAGAAAGTAGGATAACTAAATCTTAATTTTCAAAGAGTATTTTGATAATATTTTAACGAAGGAAAAGCTAATCTAATTAATTAATAAGTGAATCACTCAAATCTAAAATTGCTATTTCGTTATCGAAAATTGCATACACAAGTTATTTTTACAAATCGTTTTCAACTATTCGAATGTATCCAGAATTCAAATTATTTCTGATCCAAGTGGAAGTAATTGTTTAATTTATAAAGAGATTAGCTTGAGAGTTGATATCATTTAGTAACAAAAAAGTGTTGTTGTTTACTTGGAAGAATCTGGGATTTATTTAAGTCGGAAATGTAGCTTGATTATTATTCAGTAGATAATCGTAATCAAGTAAAACATTTTAGTAATATGTAGAGTATTATATTATATTTCTATCCTAAAAAAATCTAAGCTAAGTCACAAAAGTGTCTAATTAGTAAAGCTCTATGTTATTTCTTTTAGTATTAATAAGATACAAAGTAGAACCAGAAGATAAAATGATTCTTTATTTGTAGCTATCCCATATTAAACGTTTTTAAAAAGCTTATGCGTCAGTTTAATTAAGCTAATTTTGAAGTAAAATTAATAAAATTAAAAATAATTTTAAAGAAATTTTTTATTATTACTTAATATTATGATATAAGATTATTTGTAGAGTAAGAATATTGGTTTAAGAAATTGTTAATATCATAAAAAAATATCATTTTATTAACTTAGTCAATAACTGCATCTGAATAAGGAAAAAAGGCTACACTTAAAGATATTTTATTTATCAGCTGATGAGTTTTTTAGTCATACAAACCGATATAAAGAAGATTAGAATTTAAGAAGATATAGGTTTGCTTATCGTCTAAAAAGAAGAACTTAATTTTTAATAAAATGAATTATTGTAAAGATTGCAAGATAATAGGATATTTTACTCTGTAATTTATGCTTTGATAATCTGTACTTGGAGCTGGCAAAGATAATGCTATGTATTGCATTGTGTTGAGATCAAGAAGCATAAAAATATGATTGTACTTTTAAATGTAGATTAAATAATTGTAGCTTGGATTAAAAAAATACTGTGCACCATAAAAATTAGTATCATATATTGATTTAATATATGTTAGAGTATCAAGAGCAAAAACTCTCACAGAAATCATTTGGCAAATAATTAGCTAGCTTGTATACTAATTAATAAATAGATATTATTGATAATCTAAAAACGAGTAATTAGGAAGACCTAAATATTGTGGATTATCTTTATAGCAAGTTCTTCGAATAGTCTATTTTTACATCTTAAAATAATTAATTTGAATTTACAAATTATTTACATTCATATCTAAGATGCAGTCTTCATCTAAGTTTGTTGAGATAAGATAGCCTCTATTCCAATCAAACTAAATTGCCTTGAAACTCTGATTTGGTAACTCATACTTGTATTAATATAGCTTATATAAAATAAAATAAATATGAATATTTCTAGAACATATTAAATTTACCACTTAAAACGTTGTTGCATCGATACAAATCAAGCTTAAATAATAAACTACAACAATTAAATTACTAGGTTAATAGTAAAGAATTTGTCTTGTAAATAATTCTTATATGGCAAAATTATCATTAGATGATAAGTATGTTTCTATGGTTTCTTAAGGGATCACAGAATATAAAAGTTAATTATTTAACGAATTGTAAATATTAATAGATTAAGGAAGTATTTCAACTACAAAGTTTAGTTCACTAACAAAATCAATAAAATAAGATTAATATTTATTTATTGATTTAGTTGTCTAAATCGTTATTTATTTTATTTTTTTTACTTAAACTATATTAAGTAAAGTAGTAATAATATAGTTGTACCTCAGAAACTATGTCTAAAGTAAAAATGTTTTAGTAATTGTATAATCCAGAATCTATAAATATTATTTTAGTTAAATAATAGGTATACAATTCAATACAAATTTTTAATAAAAATTTTTAAGTGTTTTCAATTAAACTCTATTCAATTTCGTGGGTAAATTATTTGTTAAATTATCAATTAAGATATTTACAATGTTCATAAAAATTTAATCATAATTTTAATAGTATTTTGAAAATAATTAAAAAAATTCTTTTATTTCAATTTTTTTGAAAGTTAAGTAGGTTCAATTATTTTACATTACAAATTTAAATTTTATTAAATATTTAAATTCTATATAGTTCATAATAAACACCAAACTTACCTTTCACATAAATTTTTAGGTATTTCGGTTGGTATAAGATTTTATGTGATTTTTAAAAATAGAGGCTAATTAATTTTATTGGCTTTTTGAGAATATACAGTATGTGTTTGACTGAAGAATTATTCAAAACTCAAAAATTATCAATTAAAAAATGAAGAAAACAATAGAAAAAATTACTTCTGAGTAAATTAAGTTGAAGGTATTTAAATCATAATGAGTAGTTGCTTAACTGTTAAAAAAGATAACTTCATCTTATTCTATCATTCCATCTTAGTTTGCCCCATATATTGAAGGCTTTGTAAATAGCTATTATCTTACATTATCATAAAAAAGTTGATTTGGTGTATTTGTAGCTATTACTAAATATCTATCATCATTATATTTATAAATGTATATATACTTGTTTCTTGGCTATATTCCTTACTTTTATATTTTAAAAATTTTAATTAAATTAAATTAAAGATGAAAGCTTACACTTATCAATGTGTTATTAGAATATGTAAAAACTCCATCCTATTAAGTTGAGCAGGCAGATTGAGTATAATAATATTAAAAGTTTAGCGAGAAATATATACTTGCTGCACATTAGAAAGGGTAGACCGTATAAGTAAGAGTTGTTAAGTTATAAAAATATAAACCATAATAGCTAGATATTAATGCCTGTTAAGTTTATTAGTTTTCTTTACCTGAAAAATTTAGATCTAATTACTTATAATTTGGAGAAGTTTGTATCTATTTATTAAAATTATTAATATATATATATTTTTTTTTCAATTAGGTTTTTACTTTTCTTCCCTATAAATCGTAAAAGTAAGCTGTGTAATATGAGGTTTAAGTCATATAAAAAATAATTAAATATTCTACAGAGATAGTTTAAATGTAATTTGTAGCAAAACTTTATAAGCTTTTCTATAACTTATATTGGTTAGCACTAATTTAGTCTAAATTTAATTAGTATTTATTCAATAAACTATATTTAATATGAAAATAATAATTAATTATTTACCTATACTTTTTGAAAAAAATAAGAAAAGGAAATTTTTTTAAGTATCTGTAATTTATTTATAGTATTATATAACAGCAACTATAGACCCAGAATTTGGATAATAGAATGGCTACAATACATAGTTGATTTGACTCAAAGCTACAATAATTTCAGGGAAAGACTGCACATAGATTATTTCTAAAGTTTTCATGTTAACTATCTTAATTGTAAAGGTTTTCATTTCAATGCCAGTAAATAAATATGTTCCGTCTGGCAAAATTTTGTAATTGTAGAGTAATTATGTTGATAGCTCGCTGATTGGATACCATATTCTTACTTAATTCACTATTTTCTTTGAAATAGTGTTGTGAATATAAGCTAATCCATTACTTTTCAACTCTAATAACATTTAAATTTCAGGATATTCAATAAGCAAATTCATGTTAGGAACCCTTACAGTGAATTTAGATAAAACTTAAGAAGTCACTGCATTTTGTGCAATGATAAATATACTTTTTTACTAGTTTTTTGTATTGAATGTATTTAAAATAAAATTTTTCTAAATAGTCTACCAAACATGTATTTCTTAGTTTATGTAATTCACATTAAATATTGATGAGGCACAAAGCTGAGGATTTACTTGTTATAGTTATTGTATAAATTCTAATTAAGAATAATCAGCAGAAAATTAGTAAGACGCAACATAATTTGTAGTACAGAAAATCAATAAGCTACCAAAAGAATATATATGAGTAGTGTTACTTGTTTAGCCATTGAGCTTGATTTGAGATGATTATATTTGGTTACTTTATTAGTTAAAATTATACATATTAAGTTTTAAATTATTTTAAGGAGTTTCAGAGCTTACAATTAGAATTAGCTTTTTATTAAAATTAAAATACTATTTAATTAAAAAGTAATATTATTAAAAGCTTACATCTGATTATGGAATCAAATAAATGGTATAAATAAAGCTAGTCATTTAAATGGTTTGCAGTAGGTTAAGAGACATCTGACCATAATTAAAGTAAAGTAAATTAATCTAGGAGGAAGTGTATAAAGTCCAATAATATAACGAATTTAGTTGAACTAAACTGGCTGTTGAGTCTATGCTTGATGAATTGTAGACTGATACTTTTTGAAAAGGAGAAATCTAATAATAAGTTATAGATTAGCTAATCAGATTTAGACTCAAAAACTAATATTAATCTTAATTAGTGTATTATTTCACTTAAAACAGAGAAATTTAAGCAGTAGAACTGACATCTATCATAAAGTAAGTTGAATTTTTGTAAGATAATAGGTCTATTTCATAATTAGAACTTTATGATAATATTAAATTCCAATCATTTCCTTTCTAAAAGCTTTATATAAAGTTTCCAGTATTTTTTGTATTATTGTAAGTAAGAAAAGATTGTAAGATAGTTGTTCCATTTGAGTTGTAAAACTTGAGTAAGTTAAGAGGTTATAATAAGCAAGTGACTATATTATTTGCTAATTCCAACTAATTTTAATATTAGCAATCTACAACCTTTATTGTTTATTAAGTTTTAAATGAAAAAATTAGATGTAAAAATCGAATATTTTAAATAATTTTTGTCATAATAATCAGTAAAGTAAAATGAAATTAAAATATTTCGTACTAAGATGATTAATTATTTAGATTTAAAAGAAAAAGACAAATGGGTAAACAATTATATTTAAAACATAATCAATTTAAACCAATAAAAATAAAAATTAATTCAGATAATATGATTGTGAATTATAAGATAAAATAATTAATTATCAAAATTCAACACATATAAATCTATAATAATTAAATTAAAATTAGTTTATTTGATTTATATTAAATATTAATACTAGGGATGAGATGATATATCAGAAAGAGAGATATTGACCGATTTTTTTTGAAATTAAAAGTAAAATTCTGACAAGATGAAAATATATAAATGATTTAAATCCCTGATAAAAATTAATTAAATTTAAAAATAAAAAAAATGATTTAAGAATAGCAAAAATAATAATAATTATTTTTATTTCAATTCTTGGTATTATCCAAAGATTTTAATTATCATAATAGTAATATTATAATTATTTATTTATATTATTATTATTATAATAGTCATCAAAATTATCAAAAGTAAAATCTATATGCTTAAGATACTTTAAATGTAGGATAATAGTCCTAAAAAATAAGAACCATATTTTTGATTTATAAAATATTTTATTTTTTTTTAAATTTTGTATGCCTAATTTCATATTTATATTGTGTAAAAATCATTTAAATTTTTTAAAACATGTAAAATCATAAAATTAAATTAGTTAAGCACTTCCAAGGTTACTATCCTTGAGATAGCGATACCAGAAGAATTTTAATCCTGAAATTAAGTGCTGAATGGAATACTTTGAAGAAAATTTAATTTTAATATTTTATTGAATTTAAAATGACAATAAAATATTTATAAATCTAAATTTATTTTAATTTTCTTTGTAAAATTTAATCTAAAAAATCATTTTACTTGGTAGGTAGATATATTTAGTTAAAATGCTATCTATGTCTATAGCTAAGGATAGCTATATTAAACAACATATCCTTGAACATCTACTAAGGTAATTGCAGCTTTTTAAGTAATTATATTAAAATTAAGGAAATAATAAAGAAAATTGTTCATTAATTACTCATAGTATAATCAAGCAAAGAGGAAACAATATTGTTTTAATTTTGCAACTAAGGTATTTGCTGTATCTAAGGGCATTAAGCTTTTACTTAACAACTAAACGATTAGTAGTCGATATCGAAAATCTAATCATTGAAGCACCCATAATTGCATTGGCTTTAATCATCTTAAATTTATCCTATTTAGCTACACTAAGATATACAATTTTGCTATTTTAAATAATAGCTTTAATTGATTATTTTAAGAAAAAATAAATTTTACAGGATCGTTAGGGTCTTTTTAAAATCCGTCAAAGCATTATAAGCATTGAGTACTTGAGCATTGGCTACAATATTAGCTTACACATGAATAACAATTATTAGTGCTTGAATCTAAATATGTTCCTTAAGGACACTTCTTAAGGCATTAATATTGTACATTCAAGTATAAGTAATTTAAGCTACATGATGTACATTCAGAAATTTAGTTTTGAGCGCAACTAAGACAGGATTAGTTACAGCAATTGCTTTTTGTAGGATCACATTAAGACTAACTTAAAATTGGTTAAATTAAAATCAACAATTTAAAAATGATGAACATTTTTTGTATTTTTTACTATTTGTGATTTGAATTCTATCTATTCTCTTTTGTTGAAATTTGTTTCTCCTATTCTTGAATAATAGAGATAATAATTTTAAAAGCATTGACGTTTAAATTTTCTAATGGAAAAAAAAAATCAGTTAAATAGACTATTCACATTATTTTACATATAAATCTAATAGAAATGATATATATGTAAAACTAATAATATCAAGATAAAATAAATAAGATAAAATGATAGAAAAAATACTACATAATACTTTTCAAATATTTATAAAAAAAATAATTAATCATAATTAAACTATTAATAATTCTATTATAAATTGATTTCAAAATAATAAATATTTCCTTAATTATTAATTTAATATTTCTGATTTGAATTCTATCTATTCCCTTTTGTTAAAATTTGCTTCTTCAATACATTTTTGAGTAACAAAGATAAAAATTTAAAAAACTTAGATTAAAAATAAAAAATCATTTAAATTAAAATTAATAGACAACAGTCTATTAAAAATTTAAATCTAATACAAATGATACACATTTAACACTATTATGTTCAACATAAAATAATTTTCATAAAAAGATAGAATAAATACTAATTAATGTGCTTTTTATAATCTATAAAAAAAATAATTCATCATGATTTTTACTATTAATAATTCTAAATTAAATTTTTTAAAAGTTTCTGATTTGAATTCTAAACGCTCTCTTTTGTTAAAATTGGCTTCTTCTATCTATTTTTGAGTAACAAGAGGTTTTAATTTAAAAAACATAGACTTTTAAATTTTCTTTTTGAAAAAAAATGAAAAAGTCAGTTTAATTAAAATTAATAGACAATACTTTATTTTCCGTTTAAATCTAATACAAAGGATATATATGTAACACTAAAAAATTGAATATAAAAAAATTTTGATAAAAAGATAGATTAAACACTACTTAATGTGCTTTTTATAATCCATAAAAAAAATAATTAATAATAACTATTAATAATTCTATTATAAATTTATTTCAAAATAAGAAATATTTCCTTTATTATTTATTTAAAGTTTCTGATTTGAATTCTATCTATTCTCTATTGTTGAAATTTGTTTCTTCTATCTATTTTTGATTAACACAGATACAAATTTAAAAAATATGGATGTTTAAATAAATATTCATTACAAATTAAAAATAAAAAAGTCAGTTAAATTAAAATTAATAGACAACAGTCCATTCAAAATTTAAATCTAATACAAATAATATACATGCAACTCTATTAAGTTCAACATAAAATAATTTTGATAAAAAGATAAAATAAATACTAATTAATGCACTTTTTATAATCTTAAAAAAAAATAATTCATCATGATTTTAACTATTAATAATTCTATTATAAATTTATTTCAAAATAAAAAATATTTCCTTTATTATTGTTTAAAAGTTTCTGATTTAAATTCTACCTATTTTCTTTTGTTAAAATTGGCTTCTTCTATCTATTTTTGAGTAACAAGAGGTTTTAATTTAAAAAACATAGACGTTTAAATTTTCTTTTTGAAAAAAAAATAAAAAAGTCAGTTTACTTAAAATTAATTGAATATACTTTATTTTACATTTAAATCTAATAGAAATGATAAATATGTTACACTAATAATTTCAATGTAAAAAAACTTTGATAAAAAGAAAGAATAAATAATATTTAATGCGCTTTTTATAATCTATAAAAAAGATAATTAATTATAATTATAACTATTAATAATTCTATTATAAATTTATTTCAAGATAAAAAATATTTTGTTTATTATTTATTAGCAGTGATTAAGTATTTTTAAAACAGCAAATTGCTATACCCTATATGAATAAAGCCAATAATAAATATCTCAAAAATTACCTTTTATTTTTAAATAAAAAATATCTCTGCCATTATTTAGATGTAGTTATTAAAGTATTAATAAGATTATATAGGAAGCTTTTTGCTTAAATTTGAAGTATTTTTAAGAAAATATAAAAAGCATAATTTTTGTAAATTTATGAAATTTTTAATAGACTGGCCTAATTAAATTACTGATTCATTCATCACTTATTTTGCTAGATATATGAACTAAAGATAATTTTTTCATCTTTTCTATACTAAAGCTGATGTATTTTAATAAAGAATCTTCCTTCTACCTCAATAAAATCAAAATCAAGAGATTATTTATTAATGATCTCTAGTTTTTCAAAAGCCTTAGAAATCATAAAAATACCATCATTATCAATCCTTGACTTAGATAAATTTAAGTCTAAAGTTTATAAATTCATATATTTGGAAAAGTGTGGTCTGACTCTATTTTTTATAAGGCCTAGCTTTTATAATTTTTTTACAAGGAAAATTCAAACAAACTTATAAAAAATTAACTTTATTTTATTATAATCATGAGCTTTAATATGTTATATTTTTTTATAATCTAGAAATTACTGATTAAATTAATAGCTTATTAATTCTAGTTTGGTTTTACTTGAGAATTATTTTCAATAACATCCAAATCTAAATAGTACTTTTCAACATTTCATTTGAAATAATATATCTAAAACTTTGATTTTTCTTTCGTTTATGATTTCTAAAGTTTGTTTTTAAAATATAAAATTGTATATTTTATTAAAATAAAATTTAATTACTGTGGTAATATGAGAGACTTATGAACCTTTACTATTTTACGTTATTAATTTTTTATGGTTTTTTAATTTTTAACTCATTCCTAATGAAATTCTATTTCTTGCAGTGCTAAGACTTATTTTCTACTTAAAACCAAATTTATCTTAATTTAACTCTTCTTTAATTGTTTTCATCACTTCTGAAACTTTTTTCTAGTTTTTAAAAGGAATACTATTACTTGAATACCCAATTTTAATCCATTAAAAATCAGAAGGAAATTTTTATTTTATCTTGAAAATAAGTTTTTAAAATATATTTCTATCTTTTTCTTCTACTGGAATAGACTATATTAATATTAGCTACAACATTTTTAAAACAAACTAAAAGTTTAAAATTCCTATAATGAAAGTGACTATGTAAGAAATTATATAGTTTTTTGAGAGACTTCTAACAAAAAGCAAATAAATAGTTATTACTACTAAGAAAATAGATTCCTGCTCAAGATTATTATATTTTTATAAAATAAATGGCTTTAATTTTTTCTAAAGGAATAGAAATAAGAAGAAAACTCCAAATAAAACCATCCCTTGTAAATAATTTAAAAGTTAAAAATATTAATAGCGATAATTCCTGTAGAACGAATAATTAATCTTGCCAAATCCCAGTAATATTTATCATCCACATATTCCTTTAAAATAAAATATTAAAAAAGGATTAATTAAAATAAAGTAGTTGATTTATTTAGATTTTTTAAATCTTTTATTTAAATTACTTAAGATATTATATTTGTTTTTATTTAATAAAAATAATTGATATAGATAACTGTATCTGAAGAGTGTTTTAATGGTATGCATTTTTTATTTATAATTTCTTATTCTTGCAAATAAAAAGAGAGGAATTAAAACTATCCAAATTAATCCTAAAGGTAAAATACAGGTGTATATGTACTTCCTATGCTCTCTGTCTAAGCATGTATAATTTAAATCAGAAGATATGTAAGATTATAAACCAATATCCTAGCATGATAGAGATTAGGTTATAACTTTAACAACACAAGGCTTAAAAAATAAGTATATATTAATCATGTTTGTGTAAACAGCCTAACTCGAAGAGTGAGAATTATTTTTTTAGAAAATATAGTTTATAAGCTAAATAATTATAAATAAGGCAATTGGTTAAAAGTTGATCCATAACAAGCGGACTATATAATTTGGAACTGCTAAATTTTTAGAAAATAGTAAACAATCAATTGAATAGATTGTAATTTAAGAGGTATCTCCTCCACTTAAGTTAAAAAACGTAAAATAAGTTGGCAATTTTATGTTTAGACTGTTAACAATTGCTAGAAACTAAAAGTAATTAATTAATATTTTAGTCAAAGAAGATTAAGAAGTTTAGGTTCTTTAAAGGTTAGGAGAAACAATTCTTAATTTTGATAAATATTTAGCCATGATATATTTTCTTATCAGAATCATTTCATTATTAATTTTACTATAGATTTGAATTAAAATAGAAGCAAAAATCAGAAATATTAAAATAATATTCAATGCAGAATAAAAATATACGCAGTCATTACACTCTTAATTGGTCATAGAGTACTAAGTACTCCATATTTCGCAATTAACATAGCATTCATAACAAATTAGTCCAATATGCCCCTATTAGCATCCGTTTTTCGATTAAGGGTCTTCTGGTTGGCAAAATTAAGATTACTAACATTAAATTATTACATCTGAAAGATTGCCATATCTCCAAAATCCATTTTAAACTTATATTTAAGAACTTTAACATGCGATTGAGCCAACAGGACATCTCTTACAATTAATATTTTAAACAGAGTATGGATCTGTAATACTGTAGAAACCTTTTTTTCATAAATATAATAATAAAATCAATCAGTTTTCAAAAATTTTTATATTGTTTATTTGAAATTTTTTCTTTTTAATATTCCTTAAAATAATTATACTATTTCTTTTAATTAAAGATCTCTGTACCCTTAAAATGTTGATGTAAAAAAATATCATTATTTTTTCAAAAAACTAGGGGGAAAGGTAAGGTATGATTTTAATTAATGATAAAATTTTTTAAGATAATAAATAAGTTATGTACATTGAATTTTGTAAATATTCTATTCCACTTAGTAATTTAACCCCTCCTCTAAAATAGTATCAGTCTAAAAGAAACTTTTATTCAAATTGAATAATGAAATAATATATTTTTCCAATAAATAATATTCTAAAACCCATTTGTATCTAATTATTATTTTGTTATTCTAATTTTTTTCTAACCTTCATGTGACTAGCATCAATTTCATAAATATATATTTTCATTAAAAAATCAATGAGTCCCTGCTATGATCTCCCCAATTTATGAAAAAAACAACTCAATTTAATTTTGTTCATAGTTATTATAAGATTTAGGATAAAACTATATTATGAGCTTTTTAAAATCTATAAAAAAATAATTAATCATAATTATAACTATTAATGATTCTATTATAAATTTATTTCAAAATAATAAATATTTCTTTTATTATTTATTAACAAAAAGATAGAATAAATTAAATATATAATGCTCTTTTTAAAATCTATAATAAAATAATTAACAGGATTATATATATTAATAATTCTATTTTTTAATTAAACTACATAATTTACATTCATAAATTTAGTTTTCAGAAAAACTAAGACTGGATTAGTTACAGAAATTATTTTTTTATAGGATCACATTAAGACTAGCTTAAAATTGGTTAAATTAAAATCAACAATTTAAAAATTATGAGCCTTTTTGATTTTTTACAATTTCTGATTTGAATTCTATCTATTCTCTTTTATTGAAATTTGTTTCTTCTATCTATTTTTGAATAGTCTACATAATAATTTAAAAAACATAAAAGTTTAAATTTATTTAAATAAAAAATCAGTTAAATTAAAACTATATACACTATACTTTCTTTTATAATTTAATTCTATTAGAAATGATATATATTTAACACTAATAAGTTCAATGTAAATAATCTTGATAAATAGATAGAATAAATACTAAATAATTGGCTTTTTAAAATCTATAAAAAAAATAATTAATCATAATTAATAAAAACTATTAATCATTCTATTAAAAATTTATTTCAAAATAAAAAATATTTAATTTATTATTTATTTATTAACAGTGATTAAGCATTTTTAAAACAGCAAGCAAATTGCTATACTCTAAATGAATAAAGCCAATAATAAATATATCACAAAAATTAAATAATGACTAACCTTTTTAATTTTAAATAAGAACATCTCTGCCATAATTTAGGAGTAGTTATTAAAGTGTTAAGATTCTTCAGTTTAGAATATGATTACATTAAAAGGTTGTTGCTTAAATTTGTAGTCTTAGAAGAGAATATAAAAAGCATAACTTTTTATAAATTTATGAGATTTTTAATAGATTGGCCTAATTAAATTACTGATTCATCACTTATTTTGCTAGATATAAGAACTAAAGATAATTTTTACAATTTTTTCATCTTTTCTATACTAAAGCTGAGGTATTTTAATGAAGAATCTTCTACTTCAATAAAATCAAAATCAAGAGATAATTAATTAATGCTCTCTAGTTTTTCCAAAGCCTTAGAAATCATGGAAATACCTTCATTATCAATCTTTGATTTAGATAAATTCAAGTCTAAAGTTTATAGTTATGTAAAATTTTGTATGGTATTTGCTAAGCTTAAAGCCCCTATATTTGAAATGAAGGAGCTACCTAACTTTAAAGTGCATTTTTCTAGTTTTGATAAATTTTTCATAAATTAAAATTGATTGAGCTAAGAATCACCTATTTAATTTTTACTAAGATTTAAATATAATTTTCTTAAAAACTATAATTAATTTAATCCAGATTAAGTTAATTCAGCAGATTTATCACTAAGTTCACAATTTTAAAGGCCTAATGTAACATCAGTTAGATTATTCATATATGAAAATGAAGTACCTAGATTCTATGCCACTATTTCTGATATAGAAAAATCTTAAAAAGTAAGTATAATTTATTAAAGATTAACAAGATATTTTAGGCTTTAAGCCAATTTTACAAGCCCATCTTCAAGCTTTTAATAAATTTTTTGGTGAATATCTAATTCTAAATGAGTTAAATTTGACATTTTTTCTAATGCCTAGCCTAAGAAAAGTATTCCATAATCAGATCTATGCTTGCAATTTAGATGTAAATTCAAATTGTTGAGCATTTTTAACTCAACCAAAGATTCTCCCAGATCTTTTAAAGATTCATCTAATATCTTATTATTATTTAAGTTGAGTTTTAATAAATTTAGATTTTTCAATTTGAATAATGCACTAGTAATTGCTTTAAATCCTATCTAATCAATTTAATTATTTTCTAATTCAAGAGAAAATGATGTAAGTTAATATTAATTTTCAATAGAAGATATAATAGCTATGATTCCTTCATTATTAACATTGTTAGAGTTCATACCTAATTATAATTATGATAAATTCTTTAATTTTTTTAAAGAGTCTGATATTAAAAGAGAAGGTGAATATGTAACATTTGTTTCTATCTGAGCTAAAAGTTTTGCATTTAATAATCTCAATTTTTTCTATTTTTCATTTATTAAAAAAGACAAACAACTTAAATCTTATTATTATTATATGTAATCAACAATTTATTTATGTTTAGTTTAAGTTAAATTTTAGTAACTTAAATTTATCTCTAAATGATTTATGCATGTCTAACTTTCATGCAATTATTTTTAAAAATACTCCCATGTTTTAAACCTTTTCTCTTCAATTTGGTTATTTTCACTTACTTATGAATATTCTTTTTCGCTGTTGTTTTATTTCATTTTTATTTTATTGATTTAAAAGTTTTGATTTATTAAAAATAAATATTAATAAATAAATTAAATATAAATGTTTATATATTAAATAATAGATGGACTATATCTTTTTAATTGACTAATATGAAAATATAATTTTGAAACTATTTTTCTTAAATGATCTAAATTAATTTTTAAAATAATCTATCTACATTTTTATTGGGATAATATATTATTAAATTTAAGCTTTAAATTAATTTCAAAGTAGCTGAAAAACATTTAATCAAAATGAGATCAAAAACATTAGTTTAATTGTTTATCAGTAAAAAATATAGATACATTTCAAAAAAATAAAATAAAATATTTAACAAAAAACATAAAATTTTATTTAACTTAATTTTGAAAATTAAATTATTAAATCTTATTTGTGCTAAGTTGCTATTTATTATATCAAATATTTTTTTTATTAAATAATCTAAATTAATTTTTAAAATAATTTCTCTACATTTTTATTGAAAAAATATATTATTAAATAAATATAAACTTTAAATTAATTTCAAAGTAGCTAGCTGAAAAATGTTTAAATAAAATAAAATCAAAAAAATTAGTTTAATTGAATATTATTCAATTTATTAAAAATATAGAAACAATTCAAAAAAAAAAATAACTATTTAAATTATATTTTAAATTTAAAAATTAAAATATAACTTATAAATATCTTATATGTGCTAAGTTGCTTTCATATTTTTTTTTTATTAAATAATCTAAATTAATTTTTAAAATAATCTATCTACATTTTTATTGAAATAATATACTATTAAATAAATATACTTTAAATTAATTTCAAAGTAGCTAGCTGAAAAATTCTAAATCAAAAAAGATCAAAAACGTTATTTTAATTATTTTTCAATAAAAAATATAGAAACAATTCAAAAAAAATAATTTAAATAATATTTTAAATTAAAAAAAAATATAAATTTTTAACAAAAAACTTAAAATTTTATTTAATTTAATTTTTAAAAATTAAAATATAACTTATAAATCTTATTTGTGCTAAGTTGCTTTCATATCAAATATCTCTTTGTTTTATAAATAATATTTAAAAATTAATAAGTATTTTTATCGAATAAATATTATTTTTGCTGTTGCTTTTTGATATAATAAGTAAATATATATATTATTTAGTTAAAAGTATTTTAGATACTCATTTGGCTTAAAGAATTAATTTGAATTCTTTCTTTTCTCTATACACACTTTATGTTCTTAATGTCCTTTATGTCTTTTATATTAAATCTTGGTTTTTAAACATTTTAGATACAGCTAATGAAATAGCATTACTTGAAAAGCTCATTTATCTTTTCATTTACAAATTATTATCTTCTGAATTAAATTGTTTTTTTAAGTTTTAATATATCAGTGAAACCTTTTTCCAATTCTTAAAAGGGCGACTAGAATTTTGATTACCCATTTTAACCCATACGAACAATATAGGCAATCTTTATTTTAGATGCACAAGAATGTTTTATAATTTATTTCTATCTTTTTCTTCAACTGGAATAGGCTTTATCAGAATGAGCTAAAGCATCTTTAATATAAAAGCGATATTCAAAATTCCTATTAGTATGGTGACTATATAAGATATAATATCATTATTTGATAGAGTTCCAATAAATAGCAAATAAATTGTTATTATAACCAAAAAAGATGATTATTGCTCAAGATCATTAAATTTTTACAAAATGAATGGCTTTAATTTTTTCTAGAGAATAAGATAGAAAAACATGACACCAAACAAAACCATACCTTTAAAAAGTACCTAAAAGTTAAAAACATTAATTACAATAATTGCTATTGAACGAATTAATATTCTCGCTAAGTCCCAATAATATTTATCAAACTCGTATTCCTAATTTATATTTTTAATAAGAGTTAATTTAACTAAAAAATATTTTGATTTATGAATTATTATAAATCTATTCAAAATTTAAAATGATATTAAGAAAATTTATGGATTTGTATTATAAAAAAAATAAATATTACTTAATAAAGATATCCATATCTGAATAGTATTTTGATTGTATGCATTTTTGGCTTGTAAATTCGTATCCTATAAAACAACATGAGAGGAATCAAAATTATCCAAATAACTCCCAGAGGTAATATAAACTACAGTATATATGAGATATGCTAACTATCTAAGCAAGCATAATTCAAATCTAAAGAGATATAATTTTGTTCTCCAATTTGCTGACAAGAAAGTGATTAACTTATGACCTTAACAACAGACGGTTAGAAAAATATATATATAACAATCAGATTTGTGTATAGAGTTTATCTCTGTTAATGAGCAATATTTTTTTACGAAGTAAGTTAATTTAATAATTCTATTAAAATAAACAAGGCTAAAGGTTAAAAGTTAATCCACAATAAGCGAACAATATAGTTAGGTAGATTTATATCTTTCGAAAATAGTAAGCAATCCATAGAATAGATTGTAAGTTAAGAAGTATCTCCACCTGTTAGATTAAAAAAAGTAAAAAAAGCAGGTAGAGTTATATTTAAGCTGTTAACTATCATTAAAAATTAAAAGTAGTTGAGTAATATTTTAACCAGAGAAGCTTAAGATGTTTAAATTCTTTAAATGTTAGGAGAAATAAATCTTAATTTTGATAAATATTTAGCCATAATATATTTTCTAATTAGAACTATTTCATTTTGAATTTTCATAAATATTTGTATAAAAATAAAACCTAAAATGAGTAGCATTAGAATAATATTTACTGGGGATAAAAATTAGTTGCAATTACTACAATCTTAACTAGTCTTTGAATACTAAGAACCCCATACTTAACCCCTAACATCACATTCTTAACAAATTGGGCCAATATGACCTTAAATGCACCCATTTTTTTATGAAGAATCTTCTGGTTTGCAGAATTCAGATTATTGGCATTAAATAATTGTATCAGACATATTATCTATTCTCCAGTATCCATTTTAAACTTGTATTTAAGAACTATAGCAAGATTTTGAACCAATAGGGCATCTCTTACAATTTATTTAAGTTTCAGAATATGGATCAACTATGCTGTAAGTACCTTATTTAGAATTAATTAATTATTTTTAAATTGAGGTTAATTAAATATGTTGAAAATTAATTATGAATTAAAAACATTTTTTATTTTTATATTATTATTTTAGTTAGTTAGTAAATTAAATCAAACAATTTTTTAATTTTGAATGGAAAAAAAAAATTTTTTTTTTAAGTTGAAAAATTTATTTATTATTTTAATTTTAAAAATTAAGAAGAATTATTTAAAAAAATAAATTTGTTGATATAAATTAATCAAAAGATATTTCTTTTGTTTACCTTATTCACAAGTTTAGCACAAAGTGTAATTTCCAGATTTTTAAATGATTTCTCCAACTTAGCATTTTCTGAATTAAATTGTAATTGGAACGTTAAATTATTATTGTATTACCTTTTAACTATTTGGTTAAAATTATGGAAGAAGCTATGCTGATTTTATATTTAGTATTGCACTTTATGAAGGTTAATATGAATATGACAAGTCAAATATAAATGCAAAACTTTTATAAGAATACGCCTGCTTTAAATCACCCAATAAGCCAATGCTATCGCTTTCAGCTTAAAGAATATAAAGTGACATTTCTTATAAAATATCTTAGCTTATTAATGGTTAAAGAGACAAGTTAATGAAGGACATCTCTCTCATTTCTTCATCTATAAACCTCATCAAAATGGGAGTTGATGACTTGTATCCGCTTTATACATTCAACACAACACGTTATGAATTTATTTAGTTTTTATCATAATAATTTTTCTAATCTAAAATTTTAGGATACGAGCCAACATTCATTCCATATGAAACTGCATTATTTTTGTAAAACGAATTAGCTTTTTTCAAAAAATTAACTCCACCCTGCATTATGGCTAATGGCTATAGATTAATGTATCTTATTGCTCCTCCAATAAATGCTTAATTTTAGGTAAATGAATTGCCTTAAATTTGTAAAACATCACAATTATTTAGCTAAACTGCGCCGCCTGACCCTTAAATTGCCTAATTCTTAACAAATGTGTTTGAATTCAATGTATTAAGGTTTGTGTTCTGACAATAGATTGCTCCTCCTGATCCTAATAATGCAGAATTCTAGATAAATTAATTATCGTCTAAACTATCAATTTAACTATTTAACACATAAAGAGCTCCTCCGTTTCCATTTTTAGTTTAGCTGCTCTATAAAGTATTATTCTTAAATACTACTTTTTAACAGTTATTAATTTAAATTGCTCCAGAATCCATTTAAGATTAACACTGAGATACAGTATTAGCTTATATATTAATATTTGTTGAATCGAAAATTGCTAAAGCTGGTGAAGTTCCATTTGTACTTAGTTACAGAAAATTTGTATTTTTAATATTTACATTTAATGAATTTTATATTAATACAGAGCTACTTGTTAGGTTAGCCATAGTACTAAAATATGAATTCTAAAGTGTCAGTGAATTAGCAGCAAGTAGTGTAATGAATGGAACATTTTATGAAAATTAATCTGTTGTTTAAAAATATATTTTTGTTGCTTGAATATTGTCTAAAAGGATATTAGCAGATACAATTTAAATAAAAGATTAAAATGCAATTTAGCTGCTAGTTACTGTTAAATTTGTAATTTTTATATTTTTGCATTAAAATAATTGTGCATCTGAAATTTGATATGACTAAAGGACTAAATATCTCATATTGTTTATTCCTTATAAAAATACCTATGAAAGTTAGCTGCTGTAAACTCCAGAATATGAAAAGACAGTTCCAATTTGTTTGTTAATTATTTAGGTATCTTAAATATTTGTTTAGTTTATACTAAGAACTCCTTAGATAAGCTCGAAATTAAAAATAGCAAACTCGTTCAAAGAGTTGATATTAAATTAAGTCACTGTTATGTTACTGAAACTTACGTTAATATTATTTGAAAAATAAAATATTTTTAAAATTTTGACACTACTCTACTCAGTTTATAAAGATCTATATTTAGGTAAGTTATCATTATTATATTGAATTTATTGCATTTTTAATAAGCCTATATAAATAAATTAGGAAGAGGAGATAGTAAAAGAAGATTGTTAAGTAAAGTTAGTTTAGGATATGAAAATATTCAACAAAGTCAAGTTTTATACTTAATGTATAAAGAGAAGCTAATCTAGTCCATTACAAGCACAGTTAGATACAGTTATATTATTGATTTGTAGATTTTGAATATTTTGAAGAATTATTAAAGGATTTCCTAAATTAAATTTACATGAAATTAAATTTATTTCTGTGATTATAACTAAATTCACGTTTGTTATATTAAGCTAAGTTAGGGTAGGCATGGTTTAATTTGAAAAATGCTATAAATCAATTTTTTAAATTACTACACTTTAAATGTTATTAATCTGCAAATTAGCTTCATTTATTATGATGTTTTCAAGCAAAATCTATTTTATATCAGGGAAAATTTTGCTATTTATTACGAGATTTGTTGGGATTGTGTTATTTTAAATGTAATTATTATAATTTTGAGGCGAAACTTGAATTTCTAAATTTTTTATTGAGATAAAAGATATCCCTTATTGTTACCTAAATGAATCTTGTACATAAACAACCGTGTTTACTTCTTTTGGTGCTATAATCAGTTAGAAAATAGGATTCAAAATATTTTGTTAAAGCTATGGGATGTGTATGTTTTAGTTTTTAGAAATATTTATTGTAATTCCATTTAGCTTTCTTTATTAGCTATTTAAATAAGAGCTCATTGAGTTGAAAGATGTATCATCTTGATAATTATAATTCTATAATTAATAATTCAAAGAACAAGTTTAGGTTTGTTACTAGCTGTATATATCTAAATCAATTTTATATGTAAACATTCCTTCTGAAGTCAATCCTATTACATTTAACTAGTATTTGTTGCTATTTACTTCAGAGCTTAAAAGTTTCAAGAACTGGAAATTTATAATTGTATACTAATTAATTTACACAAAGGCTTTTTCTGTTGGAAGAGGAACAAAAGGAGAGAACTCATAAATAGAAAATTTGGAGATAAACTCAACTAAAAAGAAGTACCCAACACCCAAATAACTAATATTCTTTAATTTTAAGGTTGTATCGAAATGTCTAAAATTATATAGGAGCTTTAGATCTTATCTGAAATAAATGTTAGCAGAGTGAAAAACCACTGAATAAATAAAATTAGTATCAAAATACAAATTAGTTGAGAAAGAGTTTATAAATGAATTTGCTTATTTTTTTAAATTAAAATCATAGATTTAGCTTCCCACAAGCTAGTTTTGCAAGAATATTCTCTAGTAAATATAGTCAATTTAAATGTTACCAAAGGAGACATTAAACTCTAAACCAACTGTTGCGAGTTCTGATACTTATATGTAATCGTAAACTTTAATCAAGTTGCTCATTAAAATAACTACTTGTGAACTATTTAATTGTTAAATACTTAGTATTCTAGAAGGCATCATAATTTAAGTCTGAGACACAAATTTAATATTGTTATTTGAATCAAAGATGAAGTTCACAATATTTATGTTTTATTAATTTCCAGAAAAATCTGTAAATAAAAGCTGTGTTAAATTATTTGCAAAAAAATATTAAGCAAGACCTTGTTTTAGAATAATCACTTCATTTACTTAAATTGATCTTTGTCTTTTTTGAAGCTATAACAGTTATTGTGATTAAGAAAGTAAAATTATTAGGTCATTATTTTAGAAAAGTATATTTATAATATTCTGAGACAAGAAAACCTGATCGATCTAAATTAGAATTGCAGTGCTCAAGTCTAAAATGACTATTTCATTATCAAAAATTGCATAAACCAATAATTATGAAAGGTCATTCTCTACGATACGGATGTACCCAGAGTTCAAATTATTCCTGATCCATGTCGAAGTTATTGTCTGGTTGATGAACAGATTAGCTTAGGAGTTTACATCATTTAATTAGAAAAATGTAAAGTTGTTCACTTAGAAAAATCTGGGATTTATTTAACTTGGGAAAAAGTCTTGGTTATCATTGAGGAGATAATCATAATCAAGGAGGACATTCTGTAAATAAGTAGAGTATTATATAATATTTCTACTTTTAAAAAGTCTCAGTTCAGTCACAAAAGTATCAACTTGATTAAGCTCAATTAAATTTTTTCTTGTACTAATTAGATAAACAGTTGTATTAGAAGACAAAATTAGTCTCTGCTTGTAACTGTCCCAAATCATATACTTATAATAAGCTTAAGCATCTGTTTAATTTAGCTAAATAATAAATAAATTAATTTGATCTTTTAAAAAAACAGAATTCTTTGTGATAGTATAAAATTATGAAAAATTATATTTACTTAGAATTGTTACAAAAGCTTATTTTCAGAGTAAGAATACTTGTTAACACAGTTGTTAGTGTCAAATAAAAATATGAACTTATTAGATTGGTCAACTATTACATCTGAATAAGGGAAAAAGTTGACACTTAATGGTATTTTATTTATAAGTTAATGAGTCCTTTAGTCATATACATAAATGAAAAGATAGTTAGAATTTAAGTATATGTAACTCTGCTTATCATCTAAGAAAAAAAACTATTTTTAAAATAAAAATAAGATTTAATAAAAACAAATAATTTAAAGATTAAAAAATAAATAAATATACTCTATAATTTATGCTTTAGGTGTCTGTACTTGGAGGTGGCAATGATAATACAGTCTTTTGCATAGTATTTAAATCAAGCATAGTAAACACGTAATTATAACCATTACTGTAAATCAAATAATTATAGTTTGGATTCATAAAATATTAGGCTCCAGCTAAAAGTGTATCATAAATTGACTTCACATAACGTAAGCTGTCAAGAGCAAATACTCTTATAGAAATTATCTGACATATAATCAATTAATTTGTTTATTTATTAATAAATAGAAATTGCACATAATCGGTAAATGCTTTATCTGGTAGTCCTTAATAAAGGGGATTATCTTTGAAGCAAGTTCGTTATACTGTCTTTTTATAAATTGTTAGAAATATAATAGTAATAATTTAATTAAATAAATAAATATTTACTTTCATATCTAATATGCAGTCTTAATCCAAATTAGTAGAAATAAGATATCCTCTATCCCAATCAACAATAATACTTTTAAACGAAGCATTCGCTAGAATATACTTGTATTAGTATAGCTTAAAAAAATAAGTTTAAGTATGAAGATTAAATAAGTAAATTTTACTATTTGAAACGTTGAGGCATCAATACAAAATAAGTTTCTGAAATAGACAATAACTATTAAATTACTTGGTTAGTAATAAAGAATACTTCTGGTAAATATTTCTTATGTCCAAAAATTATCATATGGAAAAATAGTGAAATATGTTTCAATTGTATATTAAGGAATTATGGCATAAATAAGTTAATTATTCAAGGCATTATAAATATTTATTGATTAAGGAAGTATCTCAACAACATAGTTAAGTTCACTGATAAAGCTTATAAAAAAAGGTTGATTAGATGAAGATTTTGTGACTTACAATTTTATTTATTGAACCTTTTTAACTTAAATCAAATTATTTATTGAAGATTACACATAGTTGTATCTTAAAAATAGCGTTTGAAGAATATTTGGTAAGTTGATAACACTATCCTATTAATAAAAATATAAAAATAGTTTTAATTCTTTATTTTTAATATTTATTTCTATTTTCAAACTGTAAAGAAAGAAAGAATTTATCACAAATAATTTTGACCAATTAAGGTAAATAAATTACTTCTAAATATATCAAATTGAGCATATTTTAGTCATAGTGGGTAACAGCTTAACTGTTAAAGAATAAAACTTCGTTTTATTCTATCATTCCACCATTATTTGATCCATATTATGTGGTTTAAGCAAACATTTGCTATCTAATGTTATCATAATAGATCAGACTAGATGATGAAGTCTTTACCATTAAATAGTTGCCATTGTAAAAAGATTTGTAAATATATACAAACTTATTTTTAGGTGAAACTCCTTACTTTAATATAAAAATAAATAAATATCAAGTATAAACAATAAATTATTTAAATTTACGCTTATTAAAGTGTTATTTGGGTAAGTAAAAACTCCATCTTGATAAGTTTGGCAGACTGATTACGTATAATAATATTTAAATGTAGGTGCGAAAAAAAAGCTTCCTGCACAACTGAAAGATTAAATAACATAATTAAGAGTTGTTAAATTATATACATAAATACCAAAGTAGCTAAATATTAGTGCTTACTTTGTTTGCTCATTTATTTACGCTTATCGGTTTGGATCTATAAGTAAATAATTTGGTGAAGTTTAAACCTATTTTAAAAAAATATTTTAATTGAATACTTGATATAAATTTTTTACTTTAGTCCCTTGCAAATTGTAAAAATTGGCTGTGTATTTTTGAGTAGCAGTGAGGTTAAATAAGATTAAGTATTCTACAGAAACAGATTAGATGTAGTTGAAGCCATAAATTTAGAAGCTTTTAACAAATTAATACCTGTTAGAGCTGCTGTTTTATCCTTGATAATTTGAAATTTTAATTGAAAATAAATTATTTTAGTTAATAAAATTACCGGTATTCCTAGTAAAAGATAGGAAATTATAGTTTTTCTAAGTGTCGGCAAGCTATTTATAGTATTAAAGTACTACAATTATAGAATCAGAATTTGGATAGTAGAGTGGATTTTAAACATAGTTGATATTGCTGAGCTGTATATTTATTTCTGGGAAGGTCTGTGAGTATATTATTTCAAATGTCTTTAAGTTAATTATCTTGATTGTAAAGATATACATTTCAAAACCAGTAAATAAGTATGTACCATCTGGTAAAATCTAATAGTTAAATAGAATTTATGTAGGCAGCTCATTAATTTGATACCATAATCTTATTTAGTTTATTATTTTCTTTGAAATAATGTCATAAATATAAGCTAACCCATATTGCTTAATTTCACAAATTCTTTGAATCTCTGGAAACTCAATAAGTAGATTAAAGTATGCGTTTCTTGTAGTGAATTTAGACTATGCCTATGCAGTCACTGCATTCTGAGGAACGAAATATACATTTTTTTAATTAGTATTAGAATTGAATGTATTTACAATAAAGTTTTTCTAAATAGTTTGCCAAAAATGTACTTCAGAGTTAATATTCTTCACACTGAAAATAGATTAGGCACATAGAGCTGGATTTGATTATTATAGGTACCCAGCTAATTGCAATTAAGAGTATCCAGAAGAAAATTAATAGTATCCTATATTATTTGTAGTACATATAATTAACAAGCTGTTAATAGCATAAACTTAATTAATATTGCTTATCTGGTTATTGAAGTTTGGCTAAGAAGGTAATATTTGGCTGGTTGATTGTTCAAAGCTGTATAAATTGAACGATAGACTACTTTATGTATTATTTCTTGTAACAATAACAATTAACTATTATTAAAAATATAATTGCTAATTTTAATAATACTTATTTAAATTTTAAAAAATTACATTATTTTAGGGAATCTAAAAAATTGAATATATCAAGTTGTTTAATTTGGTTACTTGTAACTCAGTAATAGTATTAAAATTTTGGTTAAAGTACAGAAGGTTAACCTGCGTTGAAGTATACAGAATCCAATAATACAGAGGATTTAGTTAAATTAGCTTTGTTGTTGGATCGATGATAGATGAACTGTAAGCAGGCACCTTTTAGTAAGGAGAAACCTAGTAAAAAGTAATTGATTAGCTAGTAAAATTCAAACAAAAAGACTAAAATGAAGTTTGATTGCTGTATTATTGTATTTAAAATAGCTGAATTTAATTCGTTGGGCTTGTATCTATTTTAAAATAGGTTAAGTTCGAGTAAAACAAGAGGTCTATTTCATAACTACCGGTTTATGCCATTATAAAATTCCAATCGTTTCCTTTATAAAAACTTTGGATAAAAGTTCCTGTGTTTTAAGTGTTATTTTAGGACATAAGAAAAGATTGCGAGATTATTGTCCCATTTACATTATAAAATTTGAGAAGATTTAAAGGCTGCAGCAAGCATGTTACTATATCCTTAGATAGTTCTATCTAATTCTAATATTAGCAATCTACAACCTAAAATATTTTAATTTTATTAAATAATAAATTATTTTAATTTTTATAAATTGGTTAATTATGTATGATCATTTCAGTTTATTTTTCAAAATATTCTTTCTGATAATTACTTTTTTTATGGGTTATAACAATTTTAAAAAATAAAATAAAACAAATAAATAGTTTATTTAATTTCGAAATATTTTTTGTTTATAAAGACTTTGTTAATGTTTATAAACTATAAAAATGAATATTTAATAAAATTAGTAAAAAAATATAAGTTTGTTTGCAGTTTAAGAAAAAATTTATTAATTTTGAGTTAAAAGAAAGCATACTTAATTATTTCTTCACATTAAAATGGAAAATATTATATTTAAACTATAAAATCGAATAAAAAAATGCAGTTTATTTTGCATAAAAATAAAAAAATTTGGTGAAGAAGAGTGAGGGAAGTGAGGGGAGGGGATGATCATAGGTGGGAGTAGGATTTATAGTATTGCTATTCTCTGATAATTTTCATTTCATTGAAAATAAATTCCATTCCCACTTATGATCACCCCTGTCCCTACCCCAAATAACTTATAAAAAATGATGATAATAACAAAAATAAATACCTAAAATTAATAGTTATTTTGAAAAAATTCATTTTTGATTTGAATAATTTGAATTAACATTTTGCTGATTAATAAATTGATTTTAATATCAAATTTTAAAAAAAGAGAGTAAGTTAGTTTTACTTAGTAAGAAGTTATGTTAAGTAAATATCCTGATTGTATTTGCAGTTGTGGATAACTATATTAAACTACATTTCCTGAAACATCTATTAGAGTCAATATAGCTATTAATTATTTTTTATTTGTATTTAAATGAATATGATAAAAACAAGAATAAGTTATTTATTACTCATTGTTTTATCAAGCAAAGACGAAACAATATTATTCTAATTTTAAATTTAAGGTATTTACTATATTTGGGGACATTAAATTTTAACTTAACAGCTAAATGATTAGTAATCGGTATTGTATATCTAATCGTTGTCACAACCATAATTGCATTAACCTTCTTCATCTTGAATCTGCCCAAGCTAGCTACATTGAGATATGCAATTTTGCTGATTTAAATAATTCGTTTGTTTAAATAGATTTCTTTTTGTTAAAATATACTTACAGGATCATTTGAGTCTTTATAAAAGCCATCTTTGCATTAGAAACATTAATTGCTGGAACACTGGTTACAATATTAGCTAGCACATGCGATGCATTGATTAGAATTCTAATCTAAGTAAGTTCCTTAAGGACATGTCTTCAAGCATTGATATTAGATATTTAAGTAGAAGTAATTTGAATTACAAGCCAAGCATTAAGAAATTTAATTTTGTGAACAGTTAAAGCAAGATTAGTCACAGCATGAATTTTTTTAAGGGTCACACGGAGATGTCTAACTTTCAATAGGTTGAAGAATTGTAAAAATTTTCAGGAGAAAGACAATAAAATCTATTTATTTTTTTAGTTTCATTATACTCAAAATATTGTTCTTACTTTTTGTTTGCTAACTTGTTTTATTTTAATTAAATTATTTCAAATTTACTATTATTTGTTGTATTAATTAATTTATAATAAAATATGTAAATAATAATGAATTTATGTTCTGGAAAAAAATTTTTCAAAAAACAAAAGAAATAAGTTTAATTTACATTAATTAAGTTTTTATTTTTACAGATAAGTTAAAAAATCATCTTTTTAATTTATAGTGTTAATAATCTTTTCAACTTATAATGTTAATTTAATCAAATAAAATATAATTTGTAAATTATTGATACTAAAGAATTCAGATCAGCCTTTTAATACATTTAAAAAATACATATTTTAATAGAAAAACCAAAAAATTTTATTGATTACATTATATTACATTATCACTATACTTGTATAGTTTATGCTGTATATATACATAAATAATATCATAAAATGTATGAAAAGTCTTTTTTTTAAATGATCTTAACAAGATAATATTAGAAAACTAATTGGAAATTTACATGAAAATTAATTAATTTCAAAGTATTTAAAAACAATTTAATCATAATAGAAATAAAAAATTCATATTTCAAATTTGTAATAAATCAATATAAATTTTTCAACCAATTAATTATATTACAAAATTAATTCAGTAAAAATAATTAACTTATCCTGAAGTATTACTACTTACTTAATTTATATGATTATAAGGTTTTTAATCCACTTTTTTTTCAATTTTCATATTTGATGTAATTGCTTTTTCTATTTCTTTTTATTAAATTACAAATTTTGAATATATTTACAAGTGTACTTCTATTTCATTTGTAACAATTTTTTATTATTTATTGCTGCTTCTTTTAAGTTAAAAAATGAGTTAACTTATTGTTTTTAAAATTTTATCTGTAAATAAATTAAAAATTAAAATTATTTTTAAAGCTTTAAGTATTTTGATTTTGTTGTTCACAGAGATGTAAAATAATATTTATGAATAATTATTAGACAAGAATTTTTAATTCATATCAATAAATTGAATTATCTTTTTTTTATGTAAAAAATAAAATTACTATTTATAAATTATTTTAAATTAATAAAAGATATTTTAAGTTATTTAAGCTAATAAACTTAAATTCTGTAAAAATACATATTTTTTTTTACATTTATACACCATGAGCATTTTAATCTTATTTTTCTACTAATCTTTCAATTTAAATATATTTAATATTTAATTCCTTTTTTAAATACATTTTATACTATTATTTTTAATAGGAAAGGCATTTAGAATTTAGAGGTATTTTAACAATTGTTAAGTTTCGGTCGATGTATTCACTTTGCTATGATCTAATTCTACCATAAAAAATGCAAATTTTAAATTAATATAATTAGATATTCTTGTTTTTAATTTATCACTATTCAAAACCTTATTTTTACTTCGATAAATTTTATTTGAATTTCTTTTCCATTTAATATGATCTATGCATTTATTAATCTAATATTAATGTTATAAAATATTATTAAGTCTTTGTTTCACTTTTCAATTACAAAATCATTTTGCCATTTCCAGTACTAAGGAAATTTATCTATAAATATTTTAATATAAAATTAATTATTTCAACGATTTTTCTAAATATTTGATGATTTTAAGTATAAAAATGTAAATTAATATGTCGATTTAATAATCGTTAATCTTAAAGAATGTAAACAAAATTATTAATAATTGATTGAACAATAAAAGAAATTTTTTATCTAATCTTAGTGGAATCTAATATTCCTTAAATATATTTCAAAAAAAGTAGAGATTATTCAATAATTTTTACAACTTAAATTCCTTTTTATAATTCTGAAATATTTAAATATGTTCCTCAAAATTTTGTAAACATAAAACAAGTATTTATTTAAAATTTCATTTTATATCGTATATAATGTAAGTAAACAGTAATCAAAAAAATTTACTTGTGTTCTTTTACATAATCTAAAATGTTAAAAAGCGGTTGATTAATTATCAAAATTTTAAATAGTTATTTAACTGCTTGGGAAATGTTTATTTTTCATAATAGGTAATAAATAATCAGTTTTTTTTAATTAAATTCTGTTCTTGTCATAACTCAAAAAAATAATGTTGGCTAAATTTTGTTTTCAAAAATAAATAGCAGATCGATTTCGATGTTTATAATATAAAATTATATTTCTATTAAAATTTTTGATTCTTACTTAAAATAATTCTGAATAATTTTTATAACCTCCTAAAATAAGTAAACAGTAATCAATAAATATACTATCGCTTCTTTATATTGATTAAAAGGTTAAATATTATTTTTTATCAAAATTTTAATTAATTATTTCAACAACTTGGGAAATGTTTACTTACTTTTAAAAATAATTAGCTTTTTTTAATTAAATTCTGTTCTAATTCAATAAACCTTAACTCAAAAAATAAAAAATTAAATAATATAATCAACAGATTGATTTTGATGTTTATTTTATAATTTTCAATTTAGATTAATATTTTTTGTTGTTTTAAAAAACTCAAATCAAGTTATTTCATGATTATCCAAAAATAAACAATTTTTTATTTTAATCTAAAAAGTATATTTCTTTTTTTGTTATTTTATAATTACATAAATTAATAAAATAAAAATAAAAAATAAATTAATTTAATCTTATTTTTCAAATTTATTTCGAATAAAAACAAATAATTTTCTCTTGAATTAAATATTTTTTCATAATCGCTATGAAAAAAATAAATCTTTTATAATTTCTTTATGAAATAATTTAATATTTATTTAATTTTAGGTATTTAATTATTTGTTGCTAATTATTATAAGTATTTTCTTTCAATCAAAATTAAAGCGTTTGAATTTGAACAATGGAATAATAATAATATTTGATAAAAGCTGCTTTTATATGAATAAATTAAAATTTATTGAGATAATTAAAAGCTTCTTCTAGAATTAAAAATTAACAAATTGACAAAAAAATTTTCAAAAAATATTTGTTTTTTTATGAGTAAAGAAATAATTTTATTAAATGATAATTAATAATTTTAAAATTATTTAAAAAGTTGGTAAATTTTTTTGAAATTAATTTACAAGAAATATGATTGATTGATTGTTTAATCTAAATAATAAAGCAAACATAATCAAGATTTTTTAATGCAAAGGCTAATTTTAAAGAATAAAAAAAGCTAAAAATGAATTTTCAAGCAAAATTTAATTAAAAACTTGTTTGCAAGTTAAGAAGCAAAAATTATAATAAATATAAATCCTTTTTAGATTTAATTTAGCAGTTATTATTCAAAATAATAAATGCATATAAATAAATAATCTATTATATGAAATATTTTACTGAAAATTAATTTTGATTATATTTTAAATACAAATACTTATTAACTTTATTATTTGAAGCGATTAACCATTGTTTAATTCTTACATAAAAATTAGGACTCAGTTAGATTGTTATTAATAATAACATAATGAATGAATGCATTTATTCATTTATTTATTTACTTTATGAAGAAGAGAAAAGAATCAAAAATAACTTAAGAAGTATAAATAGTTAGAAAAAATCAACATAAAGAAATGGAGACAATAGAAATAACTTTAAATTATTTAAATGATAGAATGAGTTTACTGCAATAATTTTAAAGTGCATATTAAATAAGATAATACTTTTATATGTAATGAAAAGCAGCAACATTTAAAATTATTATCAGCTAATCAATATATGAGGACTAATTTATACATTGCATCCTTCATATACTTACTTACTACATTCTTAATTTATAGCTAGCTAGTAATTTAATAATTATATTGTCTTAAGTAAGAAAAGAAATCATCTTAATCTTCTGGCTTCTCTTTCACATTCCATAAGTTCGAGGACGTCACCGACTCTGCAGGCACCCTTGACGTTTCTAATAAGTTATCTACCTTCTTCCTTACCACTGATCAATACGACTCTAACTTGGGTAATACCACCTCTGGAACCTATAAAAATAGATAAAAATATTATTAAAATTTCCTTCTTTCATTTCTTTAATTTCATCAATAAAATCATCACAAAATCTAGTTGATAAGCGAAAATTCCCAAAAAACCATTTTATTTTTTTATTCCTTTTATGATAATTCAATCATTTTTCTATCACTGAACATATTAAAGTCGCTTTTATTTGTATTCAAATGAATATATATTTTGAGCATTATGAATTAATAATGCTCCCTCCTCAAATGGAGAAATGGCAACTAATTTTCAAAAATTTCATCTAAACTTTTCAGGAAATTTTTCGCGTTCACTATTTGAAGTGATTCATATCTTAAATTAATTACCAGTCTTTCCGAGGACATCCATAATTCTAGCCTTAGTAGTTTCTTCGGTATTCATTTTGTTTCAAATATTTTGATTCTTTATTACTTTTTTTAATTGTGTTTTTTTTCTTTTGTTTTTAATTATCCTTTGGATAGTTTTCCTAAGCATTAAAATTCTTTAATCCCTTTAATTTGATATATAATTGATCCTTTTCTACAAATTATTTTGGATATTTAATTTTTTATCTTTCAAACTCATTTCTTTCTATTAAATCTATTATTCCACTCGCTTCACTCCATTTGCTTCATTCATTCGTTTTATTCCATTTCATTTCATTCCTAACTTTTTGTTATTATTTCTCTGTATTCCTTATTCTTTTCTTCTAAACTCGCATTTATTTTTTGTCTTTTATACTTTAAAATTTAAAAAAGAAAAATTGCTATTTTAAACTATTCTGTTTTTAATCTATTTTAAAATAATTTTTTAGTAAACAGATTAAAAAATATTTTTTAAATAAATCAAATTTTTTTTCTTAGATTTTAAATTGAAAAATAAGATGAAGATTTATTTGATGATCTTTAATTATTTTTTTTATTTTAATAAGATTAAATTTTGTATCTAATTTTTATGAGAAGGTTTAAAAAATGGAAGGAAGATATATAGATAAACATTAATTATTTTTTAAAGTTAAATTAATATTTTAATAGAATGAATAAATAGTAAAAACTTTATCTAAAAATAGCTCTCAGAATATAACTTAAAAAATAAAGATTTAAAAGCTAATAATAAAATTAATTAAAATTATTTAACTGTATGAAAATATTAAATTATAAAAAATGATAAAAATTAATTTTAAGTTATGCAATAAATATTTAGTTAATTAATTTTTAGTATTTTAATAATATCATTATACTATGAACTAACTAAAAAACACAAATACCTGTAAGAATATATAAAAATAATTGCTAAAGCAACAAATTAAGTTATTTATAATTATTTGAGTCAGCCTTTCTTTTTTCATAAACTGATTCTATAATAAATATCTTCTAAAAGAATTAATTTATGTATGTATGATCTTTCTCAGACAGTAATGGGAACATAAGCATAAGGGAAGAAATCTTCAGTATCTTCTAATTCTTCCTTAGTACCGTACATACCAGCATCTAGTTTAAATGAAATTAATTAAAATATTCAGAATTAAAAAAATAAATATTTATACCCAATTAAGCACGGTCTGCAAAAAGCTTTAACAACTTTTGTTGGACTTATTTTTCTTTTCCTGGAGCAGGTTGAATCAAACAAGTAGTATTGTTAGATTTCTAACCGAATTTGGCAGCTATTTCAACAACAAGTCTAAGGAACTATTAAAATTAATTATTAAAGCAATTTGATATGATTCAATTTATTTATTTACTTTAAGGTGGATATAAACTTCATAAAGATTACCAAAACTCTTTTCACAAGTTTGTCTTAATTTTCCCTTTTTAGTTAAAAAAAAAATATAATTTATTATAAGGATAAATAATTTAATTATGTAAAATTACGCTTTAACTATTAGCTTGAGTCTAGAAGGCTGTTCTTTGTCTTTCTCTTTCAGCACAGTCGTTTTCATTATATTAAAATTCCTTAACAGTGACTTTTAGCTTTTCTCTGCTTGCAGAAATGAATTCTTCTACAGGAGTTTTTTGGCGCTTGCCATTTTCATCAAGCTTTTCGCCTTCTAATAAAATCTTCTTTAAATTCTTATAGTCTAATTTAAATATAACGATTCTCCAAACGGTATAGTCTTTGTCTTAAATGCCTTCAAATTACCTATTTATTAATTAAATATTAAGTCAATTCAATTGATTGATTATAAAATAAATAAAAAACATTTTCAAATATTTATTATCTTTGTGAAATTTACATTTAAAAAGATAAAATTAAAAAATAAAAACTCAAAAAAACATAAACACTTATTATAAAAAATATTTTAGAGTTTCTAAGCTTATTTTCTTAAAATAATAAATGAACAAATCAACCATTTTTGTTAAATAAAATTGCCTTATGCAAAGGAAGATAATATCATTTAAAGTAAAAATAGAAAAGAAAGAATGTAATGAAGTTTATCTATTAATTTATATGATTATTTATATATAAATTACTTGGCAGATCCAGGGACAACACAGTGGTGCATCAATTCATATTGTTATTAAAAGTGTTCTAAAACATTGCTATTTTTATTAAATTTAATGAATATTTGCTAAAATTTGTGTTGCTTTACTTGGGAACAATAGCTACTACAGTAGTTAAATTTTCAGTATAAATGAAATCCTTTTCCTTGACATATTCTTTTCTAAAAACATCACTCAAATCCTTAACCAATAAGTTTCCTCTTTAATTATTTATTTATTTAAATTTAGATATTGTTTGATTATTTTTTTAAAAAGGGCTTTTTACTCTTTGAGGGCGACACTGTTCAAGTTATTTTTGGCTTCTTAAAGAACTTGTTGCTTTTAACGAATATCGTTATCAATGGTAGTTGCTTTCTAAGTTTTTTAAGATAAAAAATTACTTATAAAAGTTCAAATTTTTCATTATTTTATTTAAAAATAGATAAGTTTTTTGTTGTTGCAAATTTCTACCTTGAATAATTTGCATTTTTAACTTGAAAATAAATAAAGTTTATACAATAAAACAAATTATTTTTTACTTGTTAGAAACTCTTCAACAATTCCATTAAAGGTTAACTTCTGGAGAAAATATTATTATCCCACTTAAAATCTTGAACATATTGACTCAAGGAAACTATTTATTTTATAATTAAAAAAATAAAATATAAAATATGCTCGAGAGATATTGATATCTCTTTAATTTCATCAAAATTGACTTATTTAATAATTTATAAATAATTTCTATCAAAAATCCATTAAGAATTATAATTGATTGAATAGTTAATATATTTCTCTTTAGCTATTTTGACTTATTTTTTTATCTTTTTATTATTTTTCTTCCTTGTTTTAGCAAAATCAAATTCATTTATAAAAGTGATTAATTACCAGAACTACTTCTAGTATTAACTTGGAATTCAGCGTGTTGAGATTCAGTAATATCCATATATGTTCTTTCGATTTTCTTCAAGATACTTTCAATGTGTGTTTCCATTTTAAGCATAGCTTCATTGGAAGAAATTAACTAATCAACATTGCTCAACTTGAAATCCCTTATTTGAACCTATTTAATATATTTGAACAATCATTTAATTTATAAATCGCTTGACTGCAGGGTTTTATTTTTAGCAGTTCCCTTTAAAATTGCTCTTTTAAATTTCACTTAAATAAATTTGCTTCAAAAAATTATATTTTTTAATTGTTCTGCATTATATTTTTTAATAATAATATTGCTGTGTCACTACTCTTAACTTTGCTTTGTAAAATAAATTTGCTAATTAATAAAATGCTGAATTATGTTAAAATTCATATTTTGCTTGTTGAAACTAACTTTCAAAAGCATGATAAATTAAAAATGAACCTCTCTTTCTTATATTTATTAATTTATTGTATGATGATGGAACTATTCGCTAAATTAAAACTAATTTCTTTTTAATGTTTAGACTTTACATCAATCCTATTCTTAATGGTAGCCAAGTTGCCTAATTCTGTGGTGATTCTTGAAAAGGTTTTATCACTATCACCAAAAAGATTTTCAGCACCAACCAAAAAGTAAACCATTTACTTAATAATTTTTATATTTATTTAATTTATTTATTTCTTTGCTTTGATGAATATTATTTATTTTTTTATCTTTCTTTTTATGATCGCTTTTAATATCTTCTTAACCTTAGTTAGCTATACTTATTATATTTCTTTTTCAATATTTTATTTAATAATTTACTTTCATTGCCGCTGATTATTCCTTTATATATCAATACTTTTTTATTTATTTTTTAATTTATTTATTTACTTGTTTCTTTCTCTAATAATCTTATTCATCTTTCATTATTATTAGTTTATAAATAAGCAAAAAAAAAAATTCATTAATAATCGATTGATGAGTGAGTGAGCGAGTGTTTCATTGATATCAAATCACCAAACATATTGAAGCCCTTTTTATTTTCTTTTAGTCTTTGCAGAGCCTATTGCAACCTATATTCTCCATATGGTAATCTATTAAAATCTTTAATATAGATAGATTATAAGATTAACTTTTTTTATTTTTATTTAATTTTATTGATTCACATTAAAAATAAATTAATTTATTTATTTATCTTGTAATATTTGTCTTTTACAAAACAATAATATTGTAAAATCTTAAACAAACCTTAGTCCATATCAAAATAATTCAGGAAGATTTCTTTTTATTTTATGACATTTATTTGATATTTTATTAATAACATAAAGATTTTTAATATAGTATTTGATTTCAAATTCTTTTATTTATAAATATTGCTCTTCCTAAATTATCTTAAATCAGTTTATTAATAATTTTTTTAAATTTAATCTCTAAAATTGAATTTTAAACATTTTCAGTCTAAAATAAGCATATTAAATTTCTTTAGTAAATTGTTTTTAAGAAATTTGCTTACAAAAAATTATTTTAAATTTAAAATAACCTCGATTCAATCACTAAACTCAATTTAAATTTAAATAAAATTTAAACATATTTAAACCCTTTTTATTTTCTTTTGGTATGTCTTAGTAGAGTCTACCTCTGCCAATATTCTCCATAAACTAATCTATTTTATTAAAACCTTTAATATGGAATAGGATGTAATAGAATAAATTAGATTTAAAATAGGGTAGGATTGATAAATCCTTGATTAATTTTTTGAAGAAATAAAATCCTTTCTATTCCATTCTCTCCCCCATTAATAGAGATAAACTACAAGATTAGCTTTTTTAATACACATTTAAAAAAATATTAATTAATTGATCTAACTTGTACCATTTGTCATTTACAAAAGAATAATATAGTAAAATCTTAAAAAACCTTAATCTATATTATCTCATATTATGAAGACTACTTTTATTTTATAAGATCTATTTGATAGTTTATCCATAAAAGAAATATGTTAATTATAAATAATTTTTTTATTTATAAAAATCTTACAAATTATCTAATATCCGTTAAATAATATTTTTATTCACATGGATTTTTAGAATTAATATTTAATAAATTTTAATCAAACATTTTCAATTTCTTAAATATTTAATTTTAAAGATGCATTCCTTCAAAAAAATATTTTAAATAAAAAATAGCTTTTAATCAATTACCAAACAAGATCAATTTAAATAAAAGCAAAAATTATTATTAAATATTCAAATTCTGGAATTTAAATTAAAATCATTCAAAGTTTAAAAAAATATTTAAAAAAGTTTCTTTAAACTAAAATAGACTAAAAAAATTAAGAAATGGTTTCCTTAGCATAAAAAATTAAAATCAATTCAAAAATAACAATTATTGTAATTTTTTATCAATTTTATAAATAATTATCAATTAGATAATTTAAAAAGTTTAATTTAATTTTTTAAATTTAATAAATATTTTAAATAGATTCAGTATTTGATGACAATTTAGTAGATAAATTTAAAATGAACTATTGAAATAATTTTAGTTATTTCCAAAAAAAAATTTGTATTGAATTTATAATAGAAGGCTTTTATAAATTATATAAAATATAAATTTGACACAATCTCAAACAATTTTATTAGCAAATACATATTTATAATTCAAACTTAAAAGTATATCCTATTGCTCTTATCAATCAATCAAAAGAAACCATTCATTTATTTAATCACATTTTTGAAAAATTTAAAACTTTGTTTTGGCTGAATCATATATTCATTCATTTATTTATTTACATATTAATTTTAAGAAGTAATATTGTGAAATGCATTGTTTTTATTATTGATTTATTATTTGCTAATTAAAATTGAAAGAAAGGAAGAGAATAAAGGCTTTTGATTTTTATATTAAATAAATTAAACGATTTGCAAGATATTGATTCAATTTTGAAAGAAAAGTTATTAATTCAACATATTAAAATAGCTTTAGGTCATGGCTTAACAAATAGTATAAAGTCTTTAGGATGAAGGCACCTAAAGTTTAAAGTTAGACTTCTCCATGAAGTAATAATTAGCATTTATAGTTCATAAAAAAATCATGAGATATATGATAAACAATTAATTATGTTGCTCATAAGATTATGCGAATTGTAAAAAATATCATTTTCAAAAATGAATTATTCGCTTAAAGAATATTTAATTAGTTACATAAATAAATATTGATTTTTTTAAATCTTAACTTAATAGAAAGTAGCATTTATACATTTCATATAATCTCATATTTATCTTTTTTACTTTCTTTTTGTTTTAAAATGTTATTTATAATTTTTGATTTAACTTAACAGGTATGTTTTAGGCTATAGAAGCGACTTTAAGAATAACATTTTTTAGTATACTATGAATGATTAAAATCGCATAATATATCCAGCAGGAAATACGATAGTTATTAGCAACAATGAAAATAAGTAGTAATTTATTAATTGCATTCCAGGTACCAAGGGTATAACTTGCATGACTTTGAGTCCAAGCAAAAGGTAAATAATAAATTAGCTTTTAATTTTTATGGCTACCTACTAGATTATAAGTAGCACAAATCATTTCAGTTGAAAAAGAAACGATTGTGAAAAAATAACAAGCTGATCACAAATTTCAAATTTAAAAAAGATGTTATTTATAAATTGATTAGGTTATTAGCTTGGTCAGAAGATTGCGATTCAGGTATTATTGTAGTTTTCGACTTAATCAAGCTAGATAAGTTAGAAAAGGCTAAAAATTAGAATTATTAGGAGCCATCTGACAAGGATAAATTAGATAAGTAAGCTGAAAAAGATAGAAGAGATAGATTCGAAAAGGAAAAAAGAGAAAAAATTGATAAGCTTCAAAAAGAAGTTAAGCGTATAATTACTACTTTAGACTGTAAATCTCGCCATTATGTTGCTTTGGATTTCAATAAAATAAATGAAAAAAGAATTGTTGCATTGGTAATCATAATATATGCCATTAATAATTATAAAATCTTATTATTGCTTTGAAATAATTAAAACACCAAAATTTTTGAAAAAACCTAAATTACTTAAAATGAAAGCAAAAACGATAAAAATGTCAATATAAGCTAGAATTTATAACATAACACAAATGAATAGAGATAGATAGGATTTTTTAAAAATTAACAAAATAAGATTAATTTAAATAGAAATTTTTTAAGTTCACTTAAAAACATAATCAAATATATACAGCAGAATTTTACAATAAAATGACACTAAAAAGTAAATTCCAACAAATATTTAAAAATCAAAAATCTATTCAGCATCAAAATATTATTATACAATGAATACGATTATAAAAAATTGAATTATTTTATTTCAATTAAAATTTAAAAAGCAACTCAAGCAAAAAAAAGAAATTGAGACTATCTTTTATCAATGTATTAAAAATAAATATACATTTTATCAAAAAAAATAATTGGCATAGTTAAAATTTATAAAAATGTAGGATTAAAATACATTTAAATTAGTAAAATACTGCATAATTAAATTTATAACTTTAACAGTTTTAAACAGATAAAAAGGAGGATTATCGATAATAATTTTTTCAAAAGCAAAAAATGAATTGAAATATTAATATAGCAGTTATTTAATGTATTATTATTAATAATTATGTAGAGCTGTGCTCCGGATTGGTAGTTGATATATTTCTAGCTTGATAAGTAAAAAACTGTCATTATTAATCAAGTACCTTTAAAGGTTGGGGATAATATGAGATATACTCACTGCTTCTTCCATCCTAAAGAAGAAGATTTTATAGTTGCAATTGGTACAGGAGCTATTAAACCTTACAAACTTGGAGCTGACGGTTAATTCAAATAGAAAGATCCTCCATTTGTAAAGAAAGAAAGCAAAGATCAAGCACATTCTCCTAATTATCTTTCTTATTGCATTTTGCAAGATGGTTACATGGTAATTGGTACAGACATGGGTGAAATTCTATTATTCCAGCCTTCATGTGAATTTAAAACAATCCTTGCTTCTTCCCCAAAAAACGAATAATTTGCAATTCAATGCATTTAGCCTTACTCTAAAGGTTTCTTAGTTGGAGGAAAAGAATGCACTATTCTTTTTTATGAAAAGGATGTTGATTTAAAAAATCCATACAAACTTTGTTCTAAAAAAATTTAAGTAAATTTAAAATTAAAAGTTAAAATGATAATCATTGATGTATTTTTATTACTAGTTTAGAGATATGAAAGCTATGATAACTTCATTGTTGCTCACTCCTAACGAAGAAAAGTTAATTGTCGGTGTTGATAGTGGGTAGTTATTGTAAGTACCTTTTACATCAGATTCTATGCAATTAAATGAAGAAAACTCTAAGTGTGAGCCCCTCTTCATGCCTTTCCATTCAGATAAAGTTGATTTATTTATGATATAAATTAGTACTTAATAAACAATTAACAAAATTAGATTACAGGACTTGATGTTTGTATCAGAAAATCATTAGTAGCTACTTGTAGCGTTGATAAAACTGTTAGAATTTGGAACTACAGCGATAACCAACTTGAAAATAGCAAGGAATTTGAAGAAGAAGCTTATGCAGTAGCATTCCATCCTAGTGGTTTCCATATTATTGTAGCTTTTACTGAAAAAATTAGATTGATGAATATCTTTGAAAATGATTTAATTTCATTTAAAGAATTAAGTGTAAAGAATTGCCGTGAAATTTAATTCAGTAACGGTGGTCACTTTTTCGCCATTACAAATGTTTCCATGGTTCAAGTATTTTAATTTTACACAGGAGAAAATCCTTCCAACTTAGTATTTAGAGGGTCAGGAAAAGTTAGAAGTAACACTTAGTTTTATTAAAAAATAATCAATTAATTCATATATTTACTTATTTATTTATTTATTTATTTATTTATTTATTTATTTATTTATTTATTTATTGTTTTTATATATAGCTATTTTCTGGGAAGAAGATGATTAAGGTTTTTACACAGGTAGCACAGATGGTTTGGTAATTTACTGGAGAGTAGACGATAACGGTCCTTAAAAAACTTAGATTGCATAATTTAATAATTTGATAATTACTTCAATCACTGGATTATACAATCCTGATACTACAACCTAAGGTTTGGAGAGAATTCTTTTTGTTTCTGGTGTAAGTTCAAGCTAAGAAAATGAAGGCGAGAAATGTGTTTACAAACTAGTAATTTCTTGTAGATAAGTAAAAAGCATATTAATCGTATATTATTACAATTTGAATAATTATTTATTATCATAAATTAGGATAAAGAAGGAAGAGAGATTACTGATAATACTCTTAAAAAAATTTATTATGTAAGCTAACCCGAATAAAAAATATTTACTGGGACAAATGTTTCTTAAATAGCTATTTCCCATTCTAAAAAATTATTTTTCTTTGCTACTGAAGACAGACCAGGCGCTATTAGAATTACTAAATATCCATTTACTAATGAAATTATGGAAATATAGAGTCACTTTGGACCAATTACTCGCATGAGAATTTCTTTTAAAGATAATTACATTTTTACTGCAGGAGAAGATGGAGCATTGATAATTTATGAAAACAAAGAAAAGGAATACTAGGTAAAAATCGAAAATGAAAGTGTAGAGGCTGCAGCAGAGGAATTCTTGATTCCTAGAGACCAATATAATGATCAAAAGAGAGAAATTGAAAAATTAAAGAGATAGTTAAATGAAGAAAGAATGAAGTAAGAGCAATAAATTAAGGAAAAAATGAAAGACAGAGATGATAAAATAAACTAGCTTGAAAACTAGCAAAAAGACTCAGATAACAGAGATCTTAATAAATACTAACTCTTAGAAAGGGAGAAAAATGAAATGATTGAATCATACGAAGAAAAAAAACGCATGATGAAATTGCAACATGAAAACAACAAAAGAGTAAATTTTAAAATAAAAATATTTTTTATTCTAAAAACTTTTCAATTTATAAAATATTTTATTTAAGCTTTTATAGAGAAATTTTTAATTGAAAATTTTTTTTTTTAAAGTTTGTTTAAATAAAAATTTGATTTTGTTTTAGGAAAATTTTAAATTTACTTTTAAAATTATAAATTAATTAGACAATAGAAAATGAGTATAAGAAGAAGATTGCTTTGGAAATGTCTCGTAATGAAGAGTTAGCAAGAGAAAAAGAAAAAGAGGAAAAAAGATTCTAGTCTGAAATTTAGTAGTACTAAGAAGAGCACTTGAGATAGATGGAGGAGAAGAGAAGACATTATGAAGAATAGTTGGCTATCGAAAAGCAGCTTTACAACGATTTGCACTTAAAAAGAGAAGAATTAGCGTATAAATTTGATTAAAAGAGAAATAAATTAGAGATGGAGGCAGAAGAATTAATTGATCAACTTAAAGAAGAAAATGAGTCAAAGATGCAGGTTCTATTTAAAAACCTTGAGAAAGCTGAAAGTAAGAAAATTAATTCTTTTTACAATTTAGATTTATTTAATTTTAATCAAATTAGTTAAAAAGATGGACAGAAGAAACGACTATGATACTGAAGCTTAAAAATTAGAAGAATAAAAGAGCAAACTTAAAGGAACTATGGAAGATATTACTTCTATTTAGGAGACAAATAAGATGCTTTAGAAAGAAAAAGAGAGTCATGCAAAAGAAATTGACGAAAGAGAAAAAACTATTCGTGATAAGGGCAGAAGAATTTATGAATTGAAGAAGAAAACTTAGGAGCTTGAAAAATTCAAATTCGTACTTGATTACAAAATAAAAGAACTTAAGAGAGATATTGGACCAAAAGAAGAAGAAATTGCTAAAATGAAAGAATAAATAGCAAATATGAACTCTGAAATTCTCCACTTTAAGAGAACCAATGCCAACTTAAGTAAATAATTAAATAAATAAATGTGTTGTTTGATTACTTATAATTTTATTAAATGAATTTTAATTTAGAACTGATTGTTACCGATCTCAGATTAAGACAAGAAGGCATGAAAAAAGAAATCGAGGATTAATCAAAAGTCATCTAATAAAACAACCAATACATTAAAGCATTCGAACAAGATATGTCTGACTGTCACCAACATATTGCTGTAATAAATTTATTCAATAATATAAAATTAAATTTTTTTTGAATGCTTATTTTGATTCTTATCTGAATTCTAATTAATTAAATCAAAAGGATTACAAAAAACTCAAATAAAAAGTACTCAATTTATACAACTAATATGTCTAAGGAGATGATTCAAAGAAGAAGAGACTTGAGAACAACGATTAATAGAAGGAAATTATGAAAGAAAGAGCTCACTTAGAAACATCAGTAAATAACTTGAAGATAAAGCACGATAAAAACTAATCAGTCCATAAATCAGTAAATTTAAAAGTGATTAAATAGCAAAATTTAATTATTTTTTTACTATGAATAGGATACTACTATAATTATGAAACACAATACTTTCTTAATCTTCGAAATTAATCACTTGAAGAGAGAAAAGAAGAAAATTTTGGAAGATAAAGCTAAAATGCTCATGCAAGCTACTTAAAAGAAGAAATAAGACGGAACATCGAGAGTGGATATCGATTCATTGGAAAAAGAGATCTAAAAGAACGAAGATGAAAAGAGAAAATTGAAGGAAGACATTGAAAAACTAAGATAATACAACGATTAAATTAAAAGTAATGAAATATCTTTTTAGTCTTACTAAAATGTTATTTTTTATTAAAAATTAGATCAATTAAGACAATAAATTTAGAATCAGTAAGACGATGACGAAGACAATTGAAAACTGCTGTTTCATACTAATTATTTTATATACTAAACAAATACTTATGTCACTTACTTATTATCAATTTTAATTTCATACATAATCAGTTAGTTAATTGATTCTACTTTTTATTTGAAAAATCGATAAAATAATAAATATTATCTTAATTGTTTTTCCATCTATTTTTTTATAAAGATTTATTTCAATTATATTTTATTTGTTATTGTTGAAATATTTTAATTTTATAAAACTATTTATTAATATGTATTAATTATAAAAATAAAATTTATTTTTAAAGAGCTAATTTCATATTTAACGAATAAAAAAGTTTGATTTATTAATTGTGAGAATGAATGAATGAATGAATAAATGACGATATAGATATTGACGTAAATAATTAATAAAAATTTTTAATCACTCACATAAAAAATATTATTAAAAAAAAAAATTACAATTATTAAATTTATAAAATCTATAAAAATTTAAACATAAATAATAAAACATTTAGAAATATTTAGTAAGTAATATAATGAAATAATATATTTTTAGAAAATTAAAAACGCACAAATGCAAAATAGCAGCTGTTAAAAAAATTTAATAAAATCTTATTAGTATTATTTTCATTAATTTAATAACATTTGATTATCCTTCCTTTTCAAGGTTTGCTTGTAACCAACCTTGAATTTAAAATTTGGTTGATTATTTTCATTCATTTATTTATTAATTTGGAAGATAATTAACTAAATGGATCAATTAATTGATTGAAAACACTTCTTATTTAATTATGTTTGCTCACATTCATTTTTTTCTTATTTTTTTTGTTCACTTTTTCTTGTGATTAATCAATCTTTCTATGATCATTTTAAAAAAGATAGATGATAAGTCAGATTGATAAGTTGTTTTTTTAAATAAAAAATTTTCATTTGCAAAAAAAAAATTAACTACTTTTTTTATAAAGAGGTAAAAAGTAAGGATAGAATATATTCTACAAAAAAAGGTTTACAACTCCGAAGTTAAAATAAATCAAAAACTTGAAATAGGAGATAGATAGATAGCTAGCTAGCATAAGCAAATATTAGGATAGCACTAAAATTAGAGTCAAATTCATCTTCAATTTTTTAACTAGAAACCTGTGATTATATTTTGAAAAGTTTTTAAACTGACTTAGACATAATTAATAAATCAATCAATACTGAATAAGAAAACAACCATTTATTAGTTCAAAACATAGATAAAACAAGAAAATGACAAGCAAACTTATAAACGCTACTTTGTCCAAGAATTATAAGATAGTAAAGAAATTAGGTAGCGGTGCTTTTGGTGAGATTTTTCTAGCTATCAATCGCCAAAATGGCGAAGAATATGCTGTAAAAGTGGAAGAAGCAAATAGTCGCCACCCATAAATCATGTTCGAAGCAAAGCTTTACAATTATTTAAATAACGGAAGCTCTTCTGAAAGTGGTTTAAATAATAGTATCAGTGGAACCTCTTCATATTCAAGCTCTGATAAGGGTATTCCTCGTGTATATTTTTGCGGATAAGATTAGGGATATAACATTATGGTAATGGATTTGTTAGGAGAGTCTTTAGAAGATCTTTTTGTAAAAGTTGGCCGTAAATTCTCATTAAAAACAGTTTTGATGTTGGTCGACCAAATGATTTAGAGAATAGAGTTCATGCATTCCAGAAATTTCCTACATAGAGATATAAAGCCTGATAATTTCTTGATGGGTGGTCCTAAAAGAAGCAACAAATGCTATTTAATAGATTTAGGTTTAGCAAAGCGCTATATAGATAAATTTGGCAAGCACATTCCTTATCGCGAAAATAAAAATTTAACAGGAACTGCGAGATATGCTTCCATAAATACCCATGTTGGTATTGAACAAGGAAGAAGAGATGATTTAGAAAGTCTTGGATATGTAATAATGTATTTCTTGAGGGGTATTTTACCTTGGTAAAATTTAAAAGCAGAAGGAAAGAAAGACAAATACGAGCGCATTATGGAGAAAAAAATGCAAACTCCAGTAGAAGTATTATGTAAAGGTTTTCCCACTGAATTCGCCACTTATCTCTAATACTGTAAAAATCTTCGCTTTGAAGACAAGCCAGATTACTCCCACTGTCGCTAGCTATTTAAATAAGTTATGACTCGTAATGGTTGGGATTACGACTTTGAGTGGGATTGGAAAGATTTAGTTAAAAAAGGTAATTCTGCTTCTATCCATAACACAGGTAACAACAATAAGCAGGTAGCAAAATCACCTTAGCCAGTCATTGAAAATGCACCTATCTAACGAAATGGAACTCAAAACGAATTTGAAGAAAGAAAAGATTCACAGAACGCTGTATTGGAATACTAACAACTTCAACAAATGGAAAAAGATCTTCAAAAGAAATTAGCTTATCCACCTCTAGGCTAGAGCAATTCAAAATAAATAGGAAACTCAAAAGGCATCTAGTAACCATAGACAAATAATGCAAATAACAATGGATATGGAAGATAAGGGACAGGACTAGCTTAAACCCAAAGCAGCTAAAAAGGTATACCTCCAAATACAGCAGTATTAACTTCTGCAGTACAAAACAAACCAAGTGCCTCAAACGATTAAAAGAACATTAAATAATAAACACCAGGAAATTAACAGCTAAAGAGTGGTACACCAAATACTTCTAATCAAGTGAATAATTAAGTTGGAGGCAATAATCACATATATGGCACAAGCAGAGGATCACTCCATAACCCAATAAGCAGTTCAAATCGTTTTTCATATGGTAAAAGAGAGTCTAACGGATTCCCATCAAGCTATGCAAATAACTAACCTTCTACATATAATGGACCTAAAATAGTTGTAAATAAAGCCACTCGCTGAGATTGTAATATAAAATATTTTAATAATTATGCAAAAGAAATCGATATCAGTTTGAACTTAGCACATTATAAACATACATTAGTAATTCACACAATATATAAATAAACAAATAATATATAATCCAGCGAATAGAACAAATTAATTTTTTATATTAGAAACAAGATAAACTATTTGGAAATTAACAAACATGCAAACCAACTATCATTTCAAAGCCAATAAAAATTTTCAAAAAAAAATTAATTAATAAGAAGAAGAATAAGAGGTAAATAAATAAATAAGTAAACCATCAAAAATGTTTTCATGATATTTATAGTGCTGAAAATTAATTAATTAATTGCTTTAATTTCTGGTAATTATATCAATTTCTTGTATGAAAGCTGAATTCTAAAATTAAATACTTTGATATGATAAACAAATGTTAGTTACCTCTTTGATACTATTAATTTTATAAGTATAATTATTACACAGACTATTTACACCAAAAATGTTCTACTAAGAAATATAAATAATTTCATACAGAAATAAATTCATAAGTAAATAATTAAAATTCTAGGCAATATTCAAATTGATCTATTTCTTTATTTTTGTTTTAAGTTGCTTTAAATTATACTAAAAACTAGTTAATTTCAACTATTTTAAAATTCATTTTATAGTAATAAACCTAATAAATAAATATATTTGCATACAAATTTATATCCAGTAAACTATGAATTTTCATTCCAAAGTTTAAAACTTTCTTTATATTGAATACATTATTGTTTCTCAAAGCTTCTCAAATAAAATATTGCTTCTAAAAATTAAATTTTGAAAAAAATTAGAATTATTTTGCTATTGGAAAATATTGAATTTATTATTTTTTATTAAATGATTATTTTATATTTAAAGTATTATATTTAACTCTTTTAATAATCAATTTCTCAAATAAGAAAGCAATTTATTTTCAAATTAAAATGTATTAAATATTTAAAAAAAGAAATCCCAATCAATATTTAAATTAGAATCAAATTTATTTAACTAATTAAAAAAATCTTAAATTATTCATCGCTTATAATTAAAATAACAATTTTATAGGCTAAAATCTAATTATTATTGTAAATTATTTTTTTAAATATTTAAAATTTCATGTTTTAAATCTGACTTAAAAATATTTTAGTTTATTTTTGAGATTTTAGTTTCAAATAAATAAACATTTTTTACTTTTCTAAGTTAAAAAATATATTTTTTTTTAATTAAAATTATTTAGTTTAGTTTTATTTGATGAGATTTATTTTAATTTTTGAACACAATAAAAGTTTGAAAATAAATAATAATTCATCTGTGGATGAAAATTTTGAATTTTAAAACAGTAATGCCTCTTTTTTTAATTGAAAAAAAATATAGGTTGATAAAGAGATGGATACATAGATTGTATAATTGATTTTTATAATATTTAGCAAGCATTTATTTAAATGTAAAATGCATAAAACTTATTAATTTTTTTTTTGAAATTAAATAATATAGGAATATTATTCATCTAAGAATCAAACGAATAATTTAAAGATATATTTTTATTAATAAATCATTTGCAATTTTCAATCATTTAAAAATAAAAAACCAATAAATTAATAAATTACAAATACTGAGGAATAGTCTTAGTTATTATAAATAAAAGAATAATGAGAAGTAATTCCATTAAAGAAGCTAGGGCAGTTTAACAATCTAATAGCAATCCTGCTTTTGGATAAACTTTTTCACCTTTAAAAGGATAGGAAAACATATATTAGCCAAAGGATGAATAGTCATTTCAAGCTTATAGATATTAAAATGAGGATGAAAGTAACTTATATCAATTGATATTTTCAAAAAGCTAGAAAAATATTGCTTTTAAATAATCATTGTATTATTTAATAAATAACTGTTTTTTTAAAAAAAAGATGGAGATTTAGATCCTTCTTCAACTCTTATTATTGAAGACTTAATGGCAGTAATATAAAAATTTTAAATTTATTATTTTAAAATCATTAATTGATATTAATGTTAGGGTTAAAAGGAATGGAAAGCAGTTCCTGAAATTGTTAAATTAACTCTAAAAGCAGTAAAAGATGTTTTAAAATCACAAGGAAAAATGATTAAAGAATTCGAAAAATAAATTTCTTCTAAAGTAATTTATAAATTTTATATTAAAAGGCCAAAAAACATATTCTAAAATCTAAATTTAAATAATAGGCTTCTAAAAATGAATTAAATACTGGACTATCTCTAAAAGCAAATGTTTCAGAAGTAGGCAGATAAGTTTCTGCTCTGGCAACTTCTGTTGACAATAAAATAGCATTTGAAGATGTGTAACTTATCTTGAGGGATTACGCTCTCAAGTCGGAAGTGGCATTTTAGATATCTTAAAAGGTATTACATAAATATACTTATTTCATTCAAAACTAAATATTTTTTGTTTGAATTTTTTGAAGTTTATTTGGGGAACAAATACATTAAACAATTAAAATGTTTTAAAGCAGTTTTAGAATCAAAAAAAAATAGTTTAGTAAAAAAATAACAACTTTTATTTTATTAATTTATTTTTTATTAAGGTTGTGGTAATTCTTAATTAAAATGTTTTTACTATTTAACTAATTTTAGACAAATGAAGATGATGTAAAAAGGATTGTATCTAATTCTTAGGTAGATAATGAATTAAATGATTAAATTTAAGTTTTAGGAGCTAGATTAGATGAATTTTAAAGGGAATATGCTAAAAGCTAGATTAATAATAACTTTTAGAATTAGGTTATGAAAGATGTTGAATTTATTATTGGATAACTTGATACAAAAGCTAATATTAGCGATGTTTAGGAAGCATTAGAAACAAAAGCAAATAAATAAAGTGTTGCAAATGCTCTTCATCGTAAGGCAAATAGAACAGATATTGATGTATTGATTGAAAAGAAAGTAGATGTCACTGAATTGTAAAACATTATGCTTTTATTAGATTAAAAAGCAGATATCAAAATAGCTCAATAAATAACTGAGTTATTGGATAATAAACTTGATAGAAATGAAGTAGAAGATTTGGTTGTTGTTATATCTGAGAAGGTTAAAAAAGACTAATAAGCCGATGTTGAATAAGATACACAAGTGAAGAGAGCCGGTAAAAATAAATAGAATTAGCAAAAGGGCAAAAAATAAAATCACAAAAAATCTAATAGAGATCAAGATGACTACGATGACAATGATGAAGAATAAGGTATCTAACACTTAAGAAATTACAAAGGCTAAGAAGGTGAATATGATGATAACGATGATGATGAATTAGAAAATAAATATTAAGATTTAGATGATGAAAGTGATGATGGCATATATAAAAAATAGAATAGAGCTACAAAATAGAAGAATAAAAATAAAGGAATTCAAGATTATTACTTATAGCAAATTTAGGATCTTAAAAAGGAAATAGAAAATATAAGGGTTAATGTCAGTGAGTTCAATTTAAGAAGTACTTAATTCTAATAGGAATTTGATAAGGTGAAAGAAGAAAACTACTCAAGCAAATAAGAAAATGAGCACTTGAGGGACAACTTATAAAAGACTAAAAGCGAATTATTGAGAGAAATTAAACAATTTAAAGAGATGCTCACTTCTCAGGAAGAGTAGTTTAATACAGTTGTTGAAAGGAGAGTGGAAAAGTAGATTGATAATATTCGATAATAAATAGAAGAATTAAGAGTAGAGAGTCAGACTCATAATCAAGACACTTCAACAGCATTGAGGGCTCAATCTTCGAAAATCTTTAGCTAGTACTAGAACTAAGTTAATAATCTGTTAGAATAAATTGAGAGTTTTAAAATATCTGTCGAAGAATTGCTTTAAAAAAAGGTAGATAAATCTGAAGTTATTGAATTAAAGCAGTCTCTCTACGAATAATTTGAATCTAAAAACGACTTCACTGAATTTGCTAATAGATTATCGAATGACTTTTTATCTAAATTAGTTTAAGTTAAGGAAGACATATTTTAATCAATACATTAAATTGAGTTAGAATTTAAAGAATCTATTTCGATGAAAGCAGATTTTAAAGAATATCAAAAGACAGTCTCCTCTAAAATAAACCTCAATTAAGCAGAACAATTAATTTAAAAGATGTTCGCTGAATATGAGGTTGAAGTCATGAGACAACTTATCAACAACTTAGTAAGTGAGACTGATGCTAAACTAAATAGATCAGATTTTGATGAAAATATAAAGTCTATCAAAGATACTTTTGATCGTATGTAGAAAGACATCCTTCTAAAGGCAAATATAAAAGACGTAATCTCAATCGTTGATACCAAAGCAAGTAAATTCATAAACGATAATAACTTGATGATATTAATTTTAAATAGATTAATGAATTTTAATTGAATGATTGATAAGAATATTTTATAATTTAAATAGATTTAGAATTCAAAGAAAAAAATGAAATTTAATATTTTTACTTTTAATAAATTTAGGCATTAAGGACGTCAATAACTCAATTTAAGAAATCCATAACGAATTAGATATAAAAAGTTCTGTTGAAGATGTTGATAAGATAAAAAATGATTAAATGATTATAAATAAATCTTTGTGCATAGAAAATATTGTTGGAAGATGGATTTGGAAGAGTGGATAGCTTAAATCTGGTAATGCTATACCTTGGGAAGTTGAAATAGTAAACACCTTATAGGATAATTTCTTGTGGGAATAAAATAAAACTAGCATATTAACAGTATCTCCTGGGCTTTATTAGGTACTTTTATATAATGAAATAGATATATTTTATGATATGATTTTTAAAAAAATAGATTTAACTAGGGTTCTTTAGTTCAAATAGACCTACAATTTAATTATTAGTAAATGGGGAACCAGTATTAGTTTGTGGAAACGATAATTATAAGTAAAAAAGTTAAATTTAACAACTTATATTAATTTTTAAATTTATAAATTGTAGAACAATAAGTGGCAATGTAATTGTAAAGGAAAATTGTAAATATTAAGAAAGTACTATCGTTGGTACTTCTGTTAATGAGTTCTTTACCTTACCTCCAAGAGCAAGAATAAGCATTGTTTATCTAAATGGAGACAAAGGAGAGGGATTCATTGGCTTAAAACGCTTATGATCGATCCATTTATCCTTTTAACATAAACAAATTTTGCTTAATGAAAAATAAAAACACTATTTTGATTATTTATATTCCCTCCATTCAATTATATAATTTAAAATAATTAGCATTAATAATGTATATTAACAAATAAATATATTAAAAATTTATATTGTTGTATTATAAATTTAACTATTATTGACTTTACTTTCCAACCAACACAAGTCTAATATTTAGTTTTCTATCAATTTAAGCAAAAATATTATCCACTTTCATAAAAAAAATATCCTCGATAAAAATTTAGATTTAAATTAATCCTTTTGTATTAAAATCATAAAATCTTATATTTATGATAAACAATTTTTAAAATACTTAGTAATTTATTTAAAATAATTTATTATTTGATTAAAATTGATTACAAATTAGCTATAAAATTAGTCACATTTTTAAGATTAGTTGGTGTTTAAAAAGGTATAAAAAACGAAATTAAATTTACAAATATGAAATTATTAAAATTAATTCAAATAAATATTCAATAATTAGTAAAATATTTTTAACTTAATTAGTATTCATTTTATAAATTAACAAATATATATAATTAATTTTAATAAAAGTTTAATTTTTACTGTGTTTCCTTTCCAATACAAATTAAATATTTAGTTTTCTAATAGAATAAATCAAAGTAAAATTTTTTATAAATGTTTAATTAATAAATTATTAAAAATTTCAATTTTAAAAAAAATATTTTTGCAGTAATAAATAAATAAATTAAATTGATGCATGTTTGTTTATTTATAAATTAAAAAAAAAGAAAATTTAGAAAGTATTTTAAATAGATAAATATAACTGAATTGATAAACATTTTTTTTTAAATATAAAAAAATAATATTAAAAGTGGTAATAGATTTTAAAAATAATTTTCATTAAAAATAAATAAGTAATTAATGAATGAATGAGTCAATAAATGAAGACTGATTGTTTGTTGTGGTTTCGTTTGAAAATATCTAAATTGTATAACTCTCCAAAAAATAAATTAGAAACAATATCTATGAAACAGCAATATTAGTAATTATTTAGCTTTATTATTATTTTTTTTGAATTACCATATAAGATACTTTGCAATCAATAATAATAAAATTTTAATTAGAATAGTTAAAAGTAAGTAAGTAGAAGAAGGCAAATTTTACTAAATATTTATTAAAAGTCAACATGTCAGAGTAGGAAATCGAAGCTGAAGAAGGTTAAGTTGTGTAGCCAGAGGAAGTTGATGAGGAATAAGATGATATTTATCCTCCAGAAGAAGAATAAAGAAGACTTACTCATGAAATATTAAAAAAAGGATTGGAAAGAATTGGCAAGATTTGGACAGGAAAGAATTATGCACTTGTAAATATGAACTGCGAAAAAAAGAAGATAAAAAATTTATTTAATATTTTGTTCGAATATCCTCATCTGCGTCAAATTAACTTTAGCAATAATTGGATTTCAGACATTTCCACTGTCACTAGTATTAAATATCTCACTCATCTTAATTTAACTAACAATTTTATTGAGAATTTGGATGCATTTAGAGTACCTGATACTCTTACTTTCTTGGAGGATTTAAATTTAACTGGAAATAAAATAAAAGAGCTTGTAAATATTGAAGCAAAAAATCTTTAAAGACTTAACCTTAGCTCTAATGAGATTACAACTTGTGAAAATTTCACAGGACATCAAAGCATTAATGTTCTCATTTTGAAGAAGAATAAACTTAAAAATCTGAAGGGTATTCAGAATATGAGAAACCTTGAATAGATTTATGCTGCAGAAAATCCAATTACAAATTTTTATGACTTAAATAATCTTCCACATCTAAAGAAGTTGCATTTAAGAAAGACTGAGATTAAGAATTTGGATACAACTAAACCACAAGAAGTGCAAAAGGAAGAAGGGGAAGAAGGAGCAGAAGAAGAAAACTAACAAAAAGAAGAAAAGAAAAGAATTATTTTAAGACCTGAATAAGATTAAATAGAAAAGGAGCTATTAAAATAAATGCCTCACCTACCTTTATTGCATTATATAAATCTTAGAGAAACTAAAGTTTATGATGTGAAAGAAGTTTTTTTGTTTTAAGCATTCCCTAATTTGACCTCTATTAATGTACTGGGTACTGACTTAGCAGAATCTACTGAGCATTCAATCAAAGAAGAATTAATTATGAATAATAAATAACTCAAACACATCAACAAAGAAGTAGTTGAAGAAGAAGAAGTTACAGAAGCACTTAATAAAAGAAAAGAAAGGGATGAAGAACTAGTTAGACAGTACGAAGAAGAATAAGAAAGATTAAAAGCTGAAGAAGAAGAAAGACAAAGGTTATTAGAAGAAGAAAGAGAAAGACTTCTCGAAGAAGAAAGATAAAGAAAAGAAGAAGAAGCAGCAGCTGCCTAAAATTAGCAACAGTAAGATGAATGATAAATAAACACATGAGCAGCTTACAAAGATATATTTGTATAAATTAATATAAAAGATACATAAATATGCAATGCATTAAGTTATCAATTTAAAGTAGTTTCTATTTTTTTTAAGTCTTCAAATTAATCTTAATTGCATTCTTTTTTATTCAATATCTTACTCAATTTAAGCAATTTGCATTTCATAAAATTGATAATTTACTTAAATATGATTTTATGCGATTATATTTTAAAAAAAACTAATTAGTATAATTGATTCTACATAAAACATATACAATATTCTTATTATATATTATAACTGCTAATAAATGTATCAGCTTATTAAATAAGACAATTTACATCAATATTTAAAATAAGAGATTTTAAAACTTATAAATAAATTTTAATTTAGAATTATAAATTAAGCAAATTTATGAAAATTTATCTTTTAAGACTTTTTTTTCTATTAAATTCTTAAAAAAATAAACAATATAATTGATTCTATATAAACCACTAATTATATTCTCATGGCATTCACTAATTACTAAAATATGTATATCATTTTATTACATGTAGTAACTTTATTCAAATAAGATAGGATATTTTAATTTTTATAAATGAATTTAATAAATTTTCATTTAGCTTTTTTTAGAATAATTTTCATAAAATCAATAAACTGCTGTAAATTTATAGAATGATTTTATTATATTAAATTGTTAAAATACTTAAAAATTTTATCAATCTTTCTTTCTTCTTAAAAAATAAATTACATTCTAATAATATTTTTTAATTATCAAAATAATATCAGTTTACGAAGAATTAGCAGGTAATACCATTTAAATATAAAAGAAATGTTTAAAAATAAGTGAATTTATTATTCAATTTCTATTTAGCATTTTTAAGAATAAGATAGATTTTTATAAATTGAGCAAATTGAAGTAAATTTATCCAAAATAATTATTTTCTACTCAATTTTGAAAAACCAAATAATATAATCGATACTTCATAAAGCATAAAACATAAAACAAATTTTTCTTTTAGAATAAAAATGTTTGTTGCCTGAGCAGAAATTATTAAGAAATTAGAAAAAATTTGATTTCATTAGTAAAATTTATGATCTTAGTAAATTTTGATTTGGCTGATGTTGTTTAATTTTCATCAGAAAAATTTTATCTTAACTTAAAATACTCTTAGAGTTTTTAAATAAATAATCTTTTTTAATTGTTGAAAAATGAAGAATTAATACAAAATAATAAAAATCTATATTCACATAATTAATTTCAAAAAAATATAATCCTAAATGAAATTTTGTACTTTAGACTAAGTAAATTAATTTTTTACAGAAATAAGATAAATAATTATTTTAAATTAATTAGTTTTTAAATGATAAAAAATTTCTTTGCTTTAGTTATTCTTTAAGTAAATTTAAATTATTTTTTTATAGTTAAAAGAAAAAATAACTATCGTAAATCTTCATTAATTAATACTTCCCTTACCAATATTTTTCCAAGGCCAAGGTCAATATGGACCCATTCAGAGGGTTAAAATTTGGGGGGGGGTTGGTGTTAATTAATGAGGATTGATAGTATTTACTTTCTTAATTTTTTAAAAAAGATAAAAAATTCAAAACATCTAAGTAGATGAATAAATAACTAATAAATTATAATAATTTAAATATCTCAAATATTTAGAATTAGATATATCAGAGTAAATATTGGTTAAACTCCTTTTAAATTTAATTCAATAAATTTTATCTATTTATTTATTCCCTTAGCTTTGTAATTATGGTTTATCTTAGTTTGGAAATTCTATCAAGCTACAAAAGAATCTTACGACTTTAGAATTCAATTTAAAGTAATGTTTTTAAATTAATATACTTTTTCTTATATCAAGAGATATATCGACTGAATAATAAATAATTAATTACTTTTAATCAACAGAAATGGCTTTATGAACTCATATTAAATTATTGAGTTTTTTAATCAAGTGAAGTAATGTACTTCTATTACAACTAAGATCATTAAACTTAAGTAAAATACCTTATCAAATTTAATTAATTGAAGTATTAAATTTAAACTTTTTATTTGTATTTAAATAGGGCAAATTTTTTAAGTGAAGATGTAAAAGACTTTGCATATTTAATATCTCAGTTTTAAAACCTTAAGACATTAAAATTAGATTTATCTTTACAATTTTGACTTTTAATGCTTAAATTCACTTTAATTGTAAAAAAATAGAGGGAATGCTATCAGTCCATAAGGTGCGGAAAATTTATGGAAAGGGTTATCTGATTGCCTACCTAAATCTTTAACATTTAAGCATAAATTTCTAGTAAAATTTACTTTTTTAAATTAATTCTTCTTCAAATTTATAATAGATAACTTATTCTTAAATGCTTTTAATTAATTAATTTTAATTGTTTTTTATTTTTAAGGTTTAACTTGATATAAGACCAAGGATCATTTAATTTATGTAAATGGTTGAGTCTTTGCAATGGTCTTTTAAGTTTACATCTAACATTGATATATCTAATTATTAAATTGGCTTTACAAAAAATAGCTTTTAATTTATTAAATATTTATTTTTTAATTAAAAGTAAAAATGAAGTTAACCAATAAATTGAAAAACAGCTAATTAATAAATTATTTAAACAAAATACTTTTTGACATATAAAATTGTATCATGAGCAATTAATTACTAATAATTTTTTTTTCAACTTACATTTATTTATTTAATAACTTTCTAATTTTATTAAATGTAATACAAAAATCACTTTTTTTATTTTTAATGATAATAACCCTCTTAAATCAAATATATATTTTTATTCAAAGATAATTTCATATCAATTAACAAAAATCACTTTTTTTATTTTTAATGATAATAACTCTCTTAAATCAAATATGTATTTTTATTCAAAGATAATTTCATATCAATTAATATTTTATCCTTATTTCTTATCTTTAATAAATATTTACCAAGCTTAAAATTATTTGTTAATCGATCTAAACAAAAAATTAGGTTTTTAATCCATTTATTCTTGCATTCAAATTTTGAAAGATATTTTAAGAAAAGTGTATTTATTACACTTTGATTAAAAAAATAGGAAAATTTATAAAATAATAAATAAAATTTAATGTAAATAAGACTTGAAAAATAATTTAGAAATTCTTTTTCAAATATTTTCTATTGCTTTATTTATGGCTAAAACATAAAAATTATTTAAATAATATAGTGGAAATATAATTTTAATGATATTCAATTGAATCTTAGCATATGGGGAAATTAATTAGATTTATTTACCCTAAAATAAATTATCAAAAGAAAAATTTAATAAATAATTTATTTAAAATAGATGAGATCATTTGTTTAAATTTAGTTAGAAAAACTAATTAACTTTTTCTACTTACAACTAATTTTATTAATGTTTCAAACAAAAAATTTATTAATCACCTAATATTTATTAAGCAAGATGAATAAAATCATTAAATTTAATCGAATAAGCAAAATAAAATGATATTGAATGACAATTTATGGGAAAATTAGTTTTATCTTGAATCTATTTTTTAAAGAGTTTCTCGAAGAAATAAAATCAAATAATTTTGAAAGAGTTTTTAAGGAAATTGAGAAAATAAAGAAGAAAAACAAGTATAATTCATTTCAATATATCAAGAATTTGTATATTTAATCTAAAATAAATGTTCTATGGAAATTATTAAATAAATAAATAATTTAAAATAGATACAATAATTTGTTTAAATTTTATCAGAAAATTAATTAAATTTTTCTGTTTAAAGCTAATTTTATTTTTTTCTTTAACAAAAAAACAAATTTATTAATTTTTTAATATTTATCAATCATTATGATGAATTTGATCAATTAGGTATTCAATTTCCATTAACAAGTAAATTTTTCGCAATCTCAATAAAAAATGAGGTCTAAAGCATTATAATTATTTAATATACATAAGATATCAGTCAGAAAAATGAATAAAAAACAACAAATTTATATAGGATAAAAAATTTACATTAAAATTTTTTTTTTTTGATGCCTTACCAGAAATTATTAATAAATTAGAAAATAATTAACTTAATTTACATCAGTAAAATTTAATCTCTTAGTAAAATTTTGATTTTGCAGATATTGTTTAATTTTTATCAGAAAATTTTTATCTTAATTTAAAACATTCCTAGAGTTTCTATTTAACACTAACTTTGAGCTTATGAAAAATTAATAATTAATTCAAAATAAAAAAATTTAAAATAACTTAAATTCAAAAAATAAAATCAAAACAAATGAAATTTGGTGCTGTAGACTAAGTAAATTTATTTTTAAAGAAATAAGTTAACTAACAATTTTCAATAAATTAGTTCTTAAATGAAAAAAATACTCAGGTTTAATCACTTCAGTTATTCTTTAAGTAATTTTCAATTTTTTTATTAGAATTTAATTAAAAACAAATTAAATTGATTTACTTACTTACTTTCTTTCTTAATTTCTTAATAAAGATAAAAAATCGTAAGTGCCTAAATTGCTAAATAGATAACTAATAAATTATAATAATTCAGATATCTCAAATATTTAGAAGTAGATATATCAGAGTAACTAACAATTCATTATATCTTTTTTTTAATTTAATTAAATATTTGTAGGAATCCTTAACTTTGTTATTATGGTTTATCTTAGTTTGGAGATTCTATTAAACTATAAATGAACCTTACAACTTTAGAACTTAATATGAAGTAATATTTTGAAATAAATAGTTATATTATTAGCTTTATCAAGATACTTTTTTGACTAAATGATAAAATATTTTAATTAACAGAAATGGCTTTACGAACTCATATTAAGTTATTGAATTTTTAAATCAAGTAAAATAATGCGCTTCTATAACAACTATGACTCTTAATCTCAGGTAAAATTGCTTACCAAATATAATTAATTGAAATTGGTTAAAACTAAAAAAATTTTTATATGTTTAAATAGAGCGAATTTTATAAGTGAAGATGTAAAAGACTTAGCATTTGTAATATCTCAGTTTTAAAACCTTAAAACCTTAAAATTAGATTTATCGTAAAATTAATTATTGAATTTAAATGCATTAATTTACTTTAACTGAATAAAACTAAGTGGTAATTCTATCAGTCCATAAGATGCTGAAAATTTAGGCAAAGAGTTATCAAAGTGTCAAAACCTTAAACATTTAAGCATAAATCTCTAGTAAAATTAATTTTTTTGATTAGTTCTTCAATCAAAATATTTAGCAATAAATTTATTGTTTAATTACTTTTAATTAATTTAAATTTATTTTTGTTTTTATTTTTATTGCAAAGGTTTAATTGGATATAAGACTAAGGAGCCTTTAGTTTATGCAAATAGTTAAGTGTTTGCAAAAACCTATTAAGCTTACATTTAGATATATCAAAGTATAAAATTTATTCTAAAGATAAATAAACTTATTAATTTTTTAATTAAAAAGTAAAAACGAAGTTAGCCAATAGAATAAAAAACAATTAATCAATAAACTATTTAAATCTAAACACTTTTTAGCATATAAAATTATAATATGAAATAATTACTAATTATATTAATGTCAAATTATATATATTTATTTATTTACTAACTTACTTACTTATTAACTTACTTATTTATCAAAAAATACAAAAATTGCTTCTACATGTCTTTTATTAATAATCCATTCTCATTAACCAAACACATATTTTATTAAATGAAATATTCATTGATTAAATCCATTTTTGTCAGTAAATAATTGTGTTTAATTAATACTTTCCAAATTTAAACTTTTTTTCATCAAATGAAAACATAGAAATTGATTTTAAATTTCATTCTTTCAAGTAATTTATAAATCAATATTTTTGACTTTATATTCATCTTTTAAATTTTTTGATTAAAATGTATTTTATGTTTTTTAAGAAAAGATTGAAAATCTATGTTTTGATTTTGCTAATTAAACTTACAATGTTTAAATTTGCTAAAATTTGTTATTATTTTCAAGAATGATTGTAGGGATAGAATAATTTCAAGTAAAAAAATATAAATTTAATACATTATAGTCAGAAAAATTATTAAATAAAGTTTTTTAATTGAAGTATATTGTTAAACTTAATATATAATCATACCAATCCAATCGATATATAAAATAAACTTATTCTTTAAAAAATAAATTGTAAAAATAAACCAAAATTATGTAAAATGGAAAAAGTTAAAAGACATTTTAAAATGATAAAAATAACTAAAATTAAATTATAAACAATCTATTTTAAAATAACAAAAAGTAAATAAAATTAAATTATAAAATTTACATATAAAAACAAAGGAAAAATATTTATTATTTGTTTATTTGTTTGTTTTTTTGATTGTTTTGCATTTATTTTGTTGTTTAAATTTATTATAGATAGAGGTAGTTTAAATTCTTAAGATTTAATTTTTTATTGAGTGTTAGAAAATAGCAGACAGAAGATTTTAAAACTTGCTAAAGTTATATAAATAATTATTAAACTTCTGATGAGACGATACTTTTTTTGATAAGCAAAGAATTTAAGATTTTATTTGTGTTGTTAATTTTTTTGTTGAAATTTTAATTTTAGGTTTGAAATAGATTAAATTATTTATTAAGTTTTTCTTGATTTTTTTATCAAAATAATTTTTGTTTACTATTATAATAAATCTCTGTATCTTCTCTAGTATTAATTCCATTATCGGTATCAGTGGCAAACCCACCATTTTTAACTTGAGAGAATTTACTTTTTATTTATTTATTGGAGCTGGCAGCTGTTAATTGAGATTACTGATTTTAAGAAAATTAGCTATTTCTTTGTTGGTTTCTTATGTTGCTTGATAATTTAGAATTTTAATTACTGCTCTAACGACTGCTTTTAATTGAAACCTTATCTCCTTTATTTTAACTAGGGTTGGGTCTATTTAACTTAAATCCTGTTTTTCTTATTTCTTTGGAACTAGATGAAGCAGATGGATTTAAAATTAAAGGATGTTTATACAATTTTCTCCATTCATGTTTTATTTCAGTTCTATTGTATCTTGCATAATCAATTTAGTCATCTTTAATTAAGTCTATCTTGAAAAGAGGTTACCTTAAAATAAAGAATATAATAAATGAAAACATAATCAGTATTCCTGCTATCACCATTTAGTACCAATCTTGCTTTAAGTAAAAATCTATTAGAAATTAAATTTAGAAAAGAAAGACACCAATCATAGCATATCTTAAAGCACTGTTAACCTATTTTTTTAGATTAATAATTTAATTTTGATAATTTGCTTAAGATTTATTGAATTTACCATCAGTCCAGAGCTTTCAATCTCCCTTGTATGAATAGTAAGTAATAGATACGAGTCTAAACAGTGCCTTAAAAAGAAGTACAAGTATCCAGATCCCAAAACCCATCCAGAAGAAAGCCTTTTTATCATAATTTAATACATTAATAAGTAAAATCTAAATATTTTTTACATAAACTATAGAACGATTGATAAAACCATTAGCATCTAAGAATAGAAATACCCATACTAAAATACTTCATCTCCAGTTCTAAGATAGCTTTCATCATCATTTTAAAAAATTCTCTTGTGATACGTCAAGTAAGGACTAAAATAGTTCATGACTAAGTCTCCGATTCTGTTTATGTAAACAAAAACAGATACTGCTGCACTTTGAGAAATAATAATCGAGTAGACCATACCATGATCTGAGGTATATAATCTATCAAATGCTTGTCTAAAATCAACCTTAATATTTCCCATTAATATTTCGTACAAAGAATCTTTTCATATTTAAAAAATGTGATTTTAAAATTTAAGAAACACTTCAAAAAAAAAAAAATTAAATGAACTTGAGAAAAAAAATTATTAATTTGGGATTTAAAAACAGCTTAAACGAAAGTGTTTTTTTAAAGAGTAAAATAATAAAAAAATATGAACAAATAAAAATGAAAGATAAATAAATTAGAAAAATAATAAAAGAATATTATAGAAAGAAAAAAAATAAAAATATTTTTAAGAAATACCTTGAGATGCCATAAAGAAAGCTGGTACAATAACTACATTGAAAATGAGATAGAGATAATATTTACGGAAAATACTAATTTGAAATACTGAATGTCTCTAAAACTTTTCTTGGTAAGCTTTTATTTATTTTTAGCAATTATAAAAATAATTTTAAAAGAAAAAAATTTACTAACTAAATCAATAAATAAGATAACAACTTGATTTAACATCACAATAACTAGAGCAGGAAGATAAAGCTTAAGTAGAGGACCAAAAGGTTTTGGGATGTAATCAGTCCATCCGAATTAGAAGAAATCTATTCTAAAATACTTTTAAATGAATGCAAAAATAGCTGCTGGAGTTGAAAAGAACAAAAGCATAAATATAAAGAAAATATTTATCAAGATTCTCCTCCAAAACTAAATTCCTCTTAGCTCACCTTCTAAATTAAGCCAGGCAATATCTGCAGGATCTGGAATCTCATAGCAAATAATAGAAAAACTAATTAAAAATTTATTTTTATTTAAATTAATATTTTAATAACAAAGTATGAATACTCTTTATAATTAGCCAACATATCGCTATCAATACTCTGTGTTCTTGCTCTAGAAATATGTGTAGAAGTGCAGCATTTTGTGCAGCAATTTTTGACTGCTTCAAAAGCAACTTAAAGAAATGTTTTATTAGGACTATTTTTATAAAATAAAATTTATTCCTAAAAAATACAAAATAAATATTTACTGAATAAAAAAATATATAAATAAATAAAGTAAAAATAATTTAAAACAATCATTTTGTTAAGGTTTACTAACTGTATTTATTTATTTAATTATTTAATTTACCTATATTTCTCAAGACAAAATTTAGCTGCTTCAATACTTTCGAAGTTTACAATTGCATATCCAGAGCCTGAATATTTTTTTTTTGTCTCTTGCTCAATCTATTTAAAAAAAAAATATTTATTAAAATATTTTTAATTTATATGAGTAAAAATTTTTTTTCAGTTAAAGATGAACTTTTAGTATCTTGTAAATGATATTTTCTAATAAATTTTATACTAATTATCCTTAGTAACTAATATAACCTTGATTTCATAATTTGTTTTAGTTTTTTAAGTTCTAAATCTCAAAAAAATATGATTTGATATGACTAATATTAGTGTAACATTCGAGGGTTTGCATTACTCTACCTACATTAATTTGTAATTAATATATACCCCTAAAAACACGATTACACTAAATTAATTCTGTACTTTAAATTTGGAAAATTATAATTAATTTTTGCTTTTAGGTTCTATTTAAAGTTTTAAAAAAAGTAAAATCTGGCTACCTTTTATTTAATTGAAATTTTTTTATTCTCAAAACTGAGTTTGTCTAAATACTTTCTTGGTACACATAACTTTAAAAATATTTTTCTTAGGAAAGGAACTTCACCATGCATGACTTATTATCCAGTTTCAAGGTCTCTAAGTTTTTAAATGAGTTTAAGCATTCTTGAATAAGCAGGTATTATCATAACTTAGTCAACATTGGCATATTTTCCTTCATCTTGAAGATCATTGTCTATTTTATGCCTTAACATCTCCCCATTTAAATCATTTAATGGCACTCCCTCTACCATTATAGTCCTCAATTTCATCCAATCAACACCTTTACTACTAGTCTTTCCAAAAAGAGTATCAATTAATTAGTTTTAAAGATGCTTCCTTATATAAATGAGCTTATTGATGAATAAAGCACTGATTGTAAACATAAAAATTGAGAGTTTGTAAGGGAGAAATATCGAATCTATATAGTAATAAATATAAGGATTTAGATTCAAAGAATATAGCAAAGTTCCTGCTCCCCAAATAAGGCATCCTAGCAATATAATTTACCCTAAAAATTATAAAAATTTTCTCTATAAATACAGATAGCAATATCCATCAAATCCTATGTTTTCTATCCAATACTTTGGGTGAAAATCAGATATCGCTTTGAACATTAATGAAATAATATCTCTAAAGCCTTCAGCTTTGTAGACTTCTTTTCTATTATGAAGGAAGGATTAACAATCAGATTGAATATTTCCTTTTGGGACATAATTATCAAAGTTATCAACCCAAACAATTTTCCAAATACAAAGACCAAAGATTAATATAAAGCTATTTAATCCCTACTAGGCCAGAAATACATAAAGATTATTCATTTCTTGCCTAAAACGATTTAATCAAAACCTTTTACTTGCTTTTATTATATTTTATCTTGAACCTAATTACTTAGTATATTATCCCTTAGCAACTTCCTTTTAAGCAAACAAACCAACTTTCCCTTTTTATTTACTCTAAACCTAATAACTTCTAAAGCCACTTTATTTTATTATTTTTACTTCTCCTATAATCTAATTTCAATAAATATACTACAGTCTGTCTTTAAAAATTGAAATGAAGATTTCTTTTCTTTTTTGTAAGACTAGATGCCTATGTTCTTTCTAAAACCTGCTAAAGATTCTTAAATTTTGCTACTTATCTTTTAAACTGAGTAAGCAAGACTAACTTTTAATTTTTTACTTATTTATTATCTGCACAAGTGCACTATTTGATAACAAAGGAGTATCTTAGTTATCTTTATTTAAATTTAATATTTCTGTTTTTTTTTCTTTTGATCGTAAAATCAATATAATTTGATAAAATCATCACTAATTTTTATTCTTAATGGGTTAAACTATACTCATTAATTAATAAATAAATAAATTAATGAAAAAATAAATCAATCAATAAAGAATCATAGAAACATAATAACATATAAACTAGCAAAAAAAAAAACACAAAAAGAATCTAAATATTAAGAAATTAATCCGTATTTAATTTTTGCAAACAAAAATTTAACACAAATAACTAGATTCATACATAATGAAAGACACAAAAGTTTATTTATACCTGAGATTATGTTTATTTTTAAAAATTATATATCAAAGGACTGATTTAATTTTTTGATTGTTATTACTTCAAATTAATATTTTCCTTGCTCCTCAAACAAAGCCAAATTTTATAATTTTTCAGTAAGCTTAGTTTATATTTTTACTTAAGTTTTTTACAAAAAAATTTTGTTAATTTTATATTTCTTTCTCAATTCATTACCATTAATTTTTATAATTTATTTGTTATTCATCCATTAAAAAAATTAAACAAAATATGTATTTTTCAGATGGCATTACTGTAAATTTATATATTTGATGTTCCTCAAGCAAATCTAATTTTTTAATTTTCCTGTAAACTTAATTTATATTTTACAGAGTTTAGTTAAGAAAAAGATTTATTAATATAATATTTTTTCTCAATTGATGACCATTAGTTTTAAAATTTATTTGTTATTTATTCATTTAAAAATAAATATATTTAAATATGCTAATTATGAAAACAAAAAAATAAAAATACTAAATAGTTTTAAACAGCTTATCATAATCACTTTTAAAGCTTCCAAAGACTACTGAAAAATTATTTGTTTTTAAATTAATTATTTTTATTAAAAAAATAATTTTAACAAGAAAAATGGTTCCATTTTTAATTATTTTTTTAATTTACAATAAATTTTGTTTTGTTTAGAAAGGCAAAACAACCCTTATGATTTTTAAATTTGATTTAAAAAAATGATTATCATATGCCAATTCTACAAACATAAAAATTAATCTAATATCAGCTAAATATTTCAAAAAAATCAAGCTAAATAAAAATTTCATTTTATTAAATTAAATTAATTCTTTAAAGTATTTTATTTAGATAGATTGTTTATTTCAATCATGATTCCATATAAAATAAGTATATTAAATATTTAAGATGATTGTTTTTAATCAAATATATTGAAATAATCTTTTATTTTAATTTAAAATTATTCTATTTGATGTTTTTTTGTATTAAAAAATATTATTACCTGCATAAATAAAATGTATTAATTTACAAATTTGCACATTTTTAAAAATGAAATTTCTAATATTGAAAGATTGTAAAGTAGTCAGCAAAATTAATGATAAAAATAGACACTGATAAATATAATTAATTATATATAAAGTAAAGTTTTTTGAGAGAAATTACAATTATAAGATGCTAAATTTTTATTATAACCTAATTTATTTTAACAAATCTATGCTTATGTTTATTTATTTATTTATTAATTTATTGTTTAATTGATTTAGATTCTTTAAAAAAATTGTGTCATTTTTCTTCTTTCTTAGTAAGATTATGTTGAGGCTAAGCATATGGTTCACAAATATTTAATCCGTATTACCTCAATTAGTTTATCAAATCGTAAGTTAAAAGTTTTGAATATTCGTCTTTATTATTTTTTTTATCTTTTTTACTTCTTTTATCCATCTGAACATATCTTGATTAATGAATTTAGTTAATTACTTCATCTAAAAACTTGTCTGTTAGCATGCCAATCATTTTATAAGTTGATTCATCAGTACTTTCAAATCCTACTTCTTCAAGTATCTTTTATACTAGGATAGGAGGAATTTTTGCATTATAGTCAACCATTTGTTGCATCAAATAATCGAATTTCTTGTTAGGCTCAACATCTTATGGCTATAAAGTAGATTAACTTGATTCTTCCATTTTCTAAAAGTTTTTATAAATTACTAAAAATTTTTATACTTTTTAAATCAATCAATTATAATAAATCAAAAATTTTTGTATCTTTCGCTCTAATTTTTATAATTAAATTCTAAGCAAAAACCAAACAATCACCTTTTTAACAAAAAATATGAATTCCTTTTTATTATGTAAAACAACATTTAAATAAATATTGAAATTAGTTTGATATGAAAATATTTTATTATTTCTTTAAACTTTCTATTAAACCATATTTTTTAATGATTCAATAAAAATCTTTATATAATTTAAAAATCTAATAAAAAAATATATTAGCTCATTATTATAAAAATGGTTTGATATTTTTAAGAGTATAAATTTTGCAGCACAAAAAATATATTATTAAAATAGTTCTTTTTAGGTTTTATATTTGCTATCTAAGATATAAAATAATTTAAATTTATATTAAAAACACACAAATAAATGAATTTTAATAATAAAAAAAGTTTGTAAAAAAAAACTTCTTATATTTAAAAAAAATTATTTATAATTTCTAATTTGTTAAATAAAAAAATATAATTGATTATTAATTTCATTAAAATATTCTCTAAAAATTTATTTCATATTTTTTCAAAATTTAGTTTTAGTATTTTTTCTTCATATTCTTTCAAAATAAGTTTAAACATTTTAAGCTTATAAGTGGTTTATCAATAATTAATTTTTTTACTAAATAAACATTCCTTCTTAGTTAAAAAAAACATTTTTTAGTTCAAAAAATATAAATAATTAAATTTTTTTTGCTGAAACATAAAATTTAAAATAATTAATTGACTTGAGTGGATTTTATTATTTTAAGAGGTAATTGAATAAAAATTACAAAGAATAACAAAAAATGGTAGAGTTTAAATGATCAATAAATGAGATATTAATTAATTAAGTTTTGATAATATTTTTTATTGTTGTTTTAAAAAGAGTCTTTTATATTTTTATTTTTTCAAAAACATTTCATAATATTTTATTATTATAGAAAATTACTAGAGCAAGAGTGCAAAACCCAACGTCAGCTCCCATATGAGCAAGTCCATTTGCTATGAAACCTACTTTATTGTTAATCAATAAGAATACTCTACCTGCTATCCATACTACAAGAGTACCTGCTATGGCAAAGTAGGGATTAGTGATGTGCATGACAACAAAGAAGTGATAACTTGAATAGTGCAAGGCATAAAGAAGTTGAAAGATTTCTACATTCTTATTTGAAAGTTTATTTGTTGGTCTATTACTTTCTACATTATATTCGAGTTAAGAGTTATACTAATCATTAATTCTATTTTCTAAGTCATTATCTTAAAAGTTATGGAATTCTCCGCTGCCTTACTCCAATCTGTCATCCTAATTTTCATTTTCGTTATTATAGCTATGATTTAAGAGATCAAAAATAGCTTGAGGGATAAAGTTTCTCCAGTACCATTCTTCTAAAAAAGGATTGCAAAATCCAAAAATGATGACCAATACAACAAAGTTTAAAATTTTTTTATCAAAATTAACATGTATTTCATCAATTATCTCCTTTTTAAAATAATTCTCACAGATATCATAATTAATAACAATTGCAGCATATATGACAGAAAAAAGAATAAAGCCAACTATCATCTACTTTTTTGGGTTTTCCAATCTGTTTCTAAAGTAGTATGAAAGCTCTTTTTTCTTTGGATCTTTCAAAATAAATTTAATGTAAATTGCAGGCATTATAACTAAACAAATCGAATTGTAGAGAAAGATGGTCAAAGTGTACATATCAAAGTAAATCAAACTGATGCACATAATGATTATTGGAGTAACCATATTAATCTCTAAATATATTAACTTCCATAAGTTCTACTTAAAAGCTTAATCCATCTTTTTGTGAGAAAATTAAATTATCCTTGTTTAATATAATTAGCAATATAATTAATAATTATTCCTAAAATAAATTCTAATGATGTGAGAATAACCTAAAATAAGTAAATTTCAATCGTTTTCAATAAATATCATATTGCTTACAAAAAAATTAATATAAATGTGTAATTATATATATGAATATTATTTTAAAAAATGAAAGCAAATCAATAATAGTGAATGATTAAATAAGGAGGGAGTTTTTTTGTCAAAATATTCAAATGTTTTTTGTTTGATAATTTTTTTTAATCACTTAAACTCTCTAATTTTTACAAAATTATTTTTTTATTTTTAAGATTGATCACTTACTTGTATAGTTATTACTTTATTAATCTAAGATCAGTTATTAATTTTAATGTTATTTTATGATTTTATAAATAAAAATGATGAGGAATGAGGTTTAAAAATATTTATTTTTTTTTTTTTAAATGTTGATACATTAAATTTTATAAAATTAGCATAATCATTTATTGAGATATCAATAATATGAATGTATTTTTCAAAGAAATTTTTACTATTTTATTTTGCGATTTAGGTTTATTAAGCTCTTCATAATAATGATTTAAAAAATATTAAATATTTTAGTAATAAAGATTGAATTTGAAGTAGGCTATTTTATCAAATGGTTCTTATTATTCTACTTTGATAAAATCTGCATATTAAGTTATTATAATTATTTTTATTTATTTCAAGAAATATTGTTTTTTTTCTTTTATTTGTTTCAAACCAATTACTTAAAAAACTAAAAACCATTTTTTATATTTAAAAAAGACAAAACTTATTTAATTAACACATTTCTGAAATTAAATCTTATCAAAAATAAAAGCAACAATTAATAAATCTGATATTTAAATTTAAAAAACTAAAAAATATTCTAAATAAATTTATGGTTTTCAAATTTAAGTAGATATACTGTTCTAAATTTAAATGCAAATTCTTATATTTGTTTTTATTATTTATTTGATAGAAATAAATTATTCTTCTTGTTTATTATTTGAATTAATATTTTAGATCAAAGAAATTATATATTATGGATAGGATTAAAGTTTTAAATTGTTAAATACCTTCTCATGAAGAACAAAATATTGTTGCTGTTTGTATGAAAAAGGAATGCTAGTATCCTTCTCGCTTAATGTGTGTTTCTTGTCTGATTTCAGATCATTGCGAACACGGAAAATTTGGAATTAAAGTGAATGAATTCAGCAACTCTAAAAACTTAAATGATGTAATTCTTAATTGGAAAGGAGAAAATGAGTTGTTTTCTAAAATGATTTATGGGTTATTGAATTTTTAAAAATAATTGGATGTTTCTAAAATAATTTAAGAGTTGGACAATTTTGAAAGAGAAATTATGGAAGAAGTCAAGAATTTTAGGAAACAGATTTTGAATAGTGTATATGCGAAAAAGGAGTAGGGTGATGAAGAATAAATAACAGTCTTAAATTAACTGTCTGACTTTTTGTAAATCAAAAATATTTAAAAGTTGTTTAACCCTGAAATATCAGTTTCTTCATGTGAAGGATAGCTAATTTAAGACTTGAGTAATGATGAAATAAATAAGAAATTAAGCGATATTGTTAAAGAATAAAATGATAACAATTCTTTGTCTTATCAAAATTGCATGAATTTACTTTTTAATTCATAATGTATTTATTCATACTCTTTTAATTTAGAAAAACTTTATGAAGAATAGAGTAAAATTTAATTGAAAATTAAAAACATTTCTAAAAAAATATAAAAATATGTCTAAAATTATTGCTTTTAGGCTTCTTAAGCGTATTGTTCAGAAACAACTGTAAAAGTTTCTGGAGAAAATAATAGACGTGTAACTTTCACCAATAATTAATCATATAGTGTAGCTTACTTAAACTGCCCATTTAAGATAGACCAGAAACCTATTGAAATGACTTTTTAATTTGATAATGGTTTTAACAATAAGCATTTTTGTATAGGATTAAGAAAAGAAAATCTTAAAGATGAAAATTCATATAACAAAACTCCCTACAAATGCTTGCATTGTTAAATTGGCGATGGTATTCTTGAAGACAACGGAATACACAATTTTAATAGTAACAGAAACAGTTTAATTATTTAATTTTTACCAAGTTAAAAGCAGCTATATATTTATTCAGAAAGGAGTGAGTGTAAATTATCCATTCCTTTTGAAGATAAAAACGATTTATTTAGACTCTATTTTTGGAGAGGTGGAAATAATGTAAATATTTCAGTAAAATTAGTTAGCATAACTTAAATTTGAAATGTCTTAAATTAAATAGTATACATATAATCTATCTATAATCAATACCTTATTTCAGTTTTTATTTATCTATTTATTGATCATAACCATTTTTAAAAATAATTAATTTAAATATAAAAATATATTCATAAACTAACATTTAGTAAGTATAAACTTAATTTTTTTGCATCAAATACATAGATTAAATATATATAATAATTATTTTCTATTATTTTAGTATGAGTTACTTTATAAATAAATAAATATATTTCTAGCAACAGTCAAAATTTTAATAAATAACTGGCATATATATACAGTAGATTCTAATTAACAAAGACTGCCTTGGAAAAAAAAAATATTTCTTAAAAAATGAAACTTAATGAAATTTGATATAGTTGTTCATTCTTTAAGGAATTATATTTAATAACAATACCAATAGTTATTAGATAATTAATTATTAAATCGTAATAAATTAATTATTAAGTATTAAGTTAAGGTAATTTATGTAATTACCAATTCTATTTCTTAGCTTAAAGGAGAGGAATATTATTTTTTTCAATTATTAATTAATTTAAATTAAGAAATAATATTTTTGAAAATTTGAAATAATAAAAAGATTTCACTTCAAATGATTTGAATTTACTTTTATGAATATGTTTCAAATACTTAGCTTTCATCCTATATGAATGTATTTTAATCTTCTAATTCATAATTATGAAAAGATTTTTGTGAATTCATGAAAGGAATTTCTTCTCCTATAATTCTCTTAACTACTCTTCTCATTTTTTTCAAATTTTCACGGACTCTTTTTTAATGGGCAGCCATATTGAATAGATAAAATTTGAAGCACATTTTTTTTGCACATGAATATTTTTAAAGCTTGAGAATTTGTGTTTCGAAAAGTGAGATGATAATGCAAATTGATAAATAGACAGCAAAAATTAATGTGCAGATTAAGCTGAAATAGAGCAAAATTTAGCTTTCTAAGAGGAATTAGGTGTTGTTATTTTTTTCATTAGTGAAGATAATGAGTGCAAAAAAGCTAAGGATGATTATACACACAGATATCACTTCTAATTTATTCATATTTGAAATAGCGAAAGGTTTAATTATAATTAGAGGAATCATATATGACAAAAGACATATTATATTTAAGCTATTCATGAATTGAATGCTTTCTAAAAATACTTTTTGTATAAGCAAAATAATGATCTTAATTGAGAATCTCACAAGTTCCCAATAATAATACTTCTCCTTGTAATCTCTGTATAGAAATCCTAAAGTAAAAAGAGTGCTGATTTTATTTAAGCGGTTTTTATTTCTAATAAGTCCAATTACTATTATTGTTGGTAAAATTATACTGTAAATAACAATACCAGCAATAGCGTAGTGAGAATGTTGCTTGGCCTGCTAACACTGTTAGGTTAAGTCAAGTAGTGAGTATTTTTAATTATTACCATATGTCCTGCAAAGAAGAGCATCAAGACAAATGCTAAGAATGGGGTTATAAAAGGATATAAATAATATATAGATACAGCTGAGTGCTATAATGTATAGAAATTATTTTTTACCCATCTTTTATCTCAAAAGCATGAATAAATAAGGAGTAAAAACTACGGGCAGAATTATCATAGGGATGCTGAGATAAATTAGTAATTTGATGAAGCCAATTTCTGAGTTTTCGTTAGGATAATTTTCCTTTATTGCACACTCAAGTGAAATAGCACTTGTTTTTAAAGGATCTGAGAATTGCATTTGCTAGTCTAAGAGCAATCCCTTCAAGTTAATGTTAAGTTATTGTTAAATGAAGTAGGCCATACTTGCATTAAACGAGAATATTTTGATATAAACAGAAGACTAACCCATATTCTAGTAGCTTCTACCTAGATAAACTATTCCAAGCTTTGACAAATATGATCTTGTGATGCTTTTAATTATGTTAGAAGTATTGCTGTATATAACCAAAAAGAGGAACACGATTATTCCTATTAACAGCAAGAAAATTTTAACTTGGTTGTAAGATATATCTTAACATTTAGTACATGCAAAATAGCCACTCTAACTATAGGATTAATTCCAATATTATGCATGAATGTCACAAGAAGAACATTCTACGCCTACCCTACCTTCTGAACACAAACTATTTCCAATTCCTGATCCGCCTACACAAAAATTAAATTAACCACATTAGTATATTTCTTCCCTTTTGATTGTATAGAATTCTCTATAAAAATTTTGATTAATTTCTGAGTAATTACCATAGCACTTAGAAAAGTACTTAGGGTCACATTAGTAGCAAGATTTCTGCAAGCCAGTTTAATAGCTAGCAAACATATCAGGGCAGTATTAACACTAATATTAATATGGATTGATATAGTTGTAATATTAGCCAAGAGTGCAATTCGTTATTTCAAAATTAAGGTCAAGTTTGAAATGTTAAAGCAGTTGCAACGATATTGAAGAATAATTTTTGTTTGATTTGGGCTAGAAAACTAGATAAGCTTGATCCTTCATAAAGTTTATATTGATAGGCAAGAACGAGTCTTTCACTTCTTAATCTTCATTTGATGTGAGTGTTTAGTTAATATAATAATACATATTATCGAATTGATTTTACTTATCAAAACATTCAATCGTTTTATTCTATGTATCATTTTCAACTGATACCAAACAAACTTGTAAAACTAAAATGTAATTAATGCCTGGCCTAATTTAAATAGAAGTAGAATTATCATAATCATACTATTAAATAATTGAAGGCATTTCTGCAATCTCTGAATTATATTCCAACACCTTCAATATTTTAATGGTTGATAGAGTTAAAAGTCTATTTGATAAATAAGAAGATTTAACGTTGATTAATTAATTCAATTTATAATAATCAATTAAATTATTTGAATAGTTTTCATCGATCTATCCAGCATAAGCTCCTCCAAATGCAGCAAAAGAGTTTACTATGGTTACATTATAAATCTTGATCTAAGATTGAGAGTATATTGCTCCTCCAAAATTCTGACTGAAACAGTTTTCAAATACTGTATTTGTAATCGATTAAAAATGAAAGCTTTCAAATCTGTTAGATAATCTAATGCAACCTCCATTTTACAGAATATGCATATTCTTAAAAATGCAATTGTCAATTGCTAAAGACTTATAATTATCTCTGCTATCTAAAAAACGAGCGTTAGCCTCTCTAAAGTTGGCAGTGATATTGATGAATTAAAATTAAAATTCTATTATTTCTTCGCTTTCTTTAAAAAGTGGTTCTATCACTACAAATGAAGGTTATTAATCATTTTAAAGAAATAATTTTTACTTCAGCAAATCAGTTTCAAGCAAATTTTAAGGTTTTTATAAATATTTACAACTTTCATTGGGGTAGATGTCAATAGTAGAGTTGGAGAATTCCAAATTTTAAATGCTATTTAAGTAAATTATTCCCCAATTAAAGCAGCTTCCATAAATATGAAGGTCAGATATAAAAACATTTTCAATTTATTGAAGATCAATAAAATATATGTTAGATACAAAAATATTCTTGATAGAAGCACTTTAAAGGTAAAAATTTTAGATATAATAAGCTCTGATCAATTAAAAATTAACATTTTAACTTAAATTTATATCTAAGTTGTTAATATGGACTTCTTATATTTTTTGAAGAAAAAATTAGTTTTTCGAATAATCACCAGATTACATATATGAGAGATCAATTTTATTTAATATAAATGTATTGATAGAGATAACTTTCAAATAAAATTCCTCTTCTTTCGAGTTTTTAAATTCATTGATAGTGAGTGTATTAAATAGGGTGATTTGTAAATACAATTTATTATTTAACAGAGAGCTCTGAGAAACTGATTCATTTGGTATTTCATTTCCAATATAGATGTTTCCTATTTTAAAATTTTATTAACTCAAGATAAGTTAAAGATCATTATCCATTGATCCAGGGAAAATTTGCAAAGAAGAATTTAGATAAAATTCAGAAATAAATGATGAATTTCCTTTCATTATGAGAAAGTATTAATCGCAATTAGTAACAATCAGTTATCTAATGTTTAGTTAATCATATTCTAAATTTAGGTAATAATCATAGTGATTCAACCTGTCAAACCATATTTCATAAATAGTTAATTTTTTAGCCCATATATAAAAGTAATAATCAAATAGCTTACCTCTGTCATTTGAATCTTTTTACAAAAATAAATTAGTAGAATATTTTATCTTTTTGATTAATATTGTTCCCTGAGATTTTAAATAAAATACATCTGATATTCTATTGATTATAAGATTGTCAATACCTACAATCTAATTACCATTAAAAACAAACTGATTACTTTTTTGGATGCTTTCTATCTGCTACTTCTCATATTGAGTGTAAGTCATGTTATTTATAAGTAATACTTAACAACCTAAACTAAAATCCCCAAATATTTAATTGGCATATAAATTGTAAATTCTAGCTTCCAGAATATTTGAATATACAATTTTACTGGTTTTTATTGTTTTTTCTATGTAAAATTTATCAATTACCAATTTATCTACTTAATTAATTGTGAAATCACTACTTTTATTCATTACAAGATTAGAGATAACTAAAGTCTAAATAATTTCCAATCTAACCATATAACCTAAAGTATCTTTAATTGTTATATTGCCAAATTCTGCGAAGGTTACATTAAAAACTGTTACTAAAGGAAAGTTACCTGAAAAGCTATTTCTAATGTTCTAAAAATCCAAGCTAATGTTTACACTTTACTAATTAACAAAGGTTAACTATTTTTACGCAATGCAATCTTTAAGCTAAAAAAAAATCTAATCAGTGAAGTTTAATATGAAAATATACTACTAATATTCTGCGTATTATACATTCTACTTGTCTAGCTATTCATAAATATCATCATCACAATAATTAATGGGATATTCTTAGAAATTTGCACTTACTTTAGCCAAATTAAGGATAGTAGTACCCAGGAATAACAATAAATAAGTTAAAATCATGTATTGTTTTTTTGATTGATTTTATTCAATTTTTATAGATTGATAAATTATTATTACAATTTTAAGTAAATTTCACATCTTAGAAAACATTTGATTCAAAAATCAAATCAAATCAAAAAAAACAAATAATGCATTAGGAGATTGAATTTAACATAAAGAATCTAAATAAAAAAAATTAAAAATTGTTTTGTTCCTCCTAAAACCTAATCAATCATTGATTGATAGATATCTAGATTAATTTACCAAAAAATTTTTTATCATTCATGAAATTGGAATATTTTTTTATATTTTAAATTCTGATTAATAATTTTTTAATGAATAAAATAAACAGATAGATTAATGACTGGACAAATACAAATTACATTTTTGATATTTTTATTATTATTAAAGCCATTTAGTGATTAATAATTTTAAATGTTAAATAGATATACGTTTTAATAATAAAGTTATAAACATGTAAAAAATAATGGTCAAATTAATTATTCTGGCTATTATTTATCCCTATTTTTCTGATCGATATAAGAAATTTTTTTATAAGGTTAGGGGATTTAACTTTAATCAATTTTATATGCTTTTTAACTCTAAATTTTACCTTTTAATGTAAAAGAATTAACTTTTTATCATATTTAGTCTAATAAAAGGTTTAATAGTAACTTAAAAAAAACGATTAAAATAAGAATACTTTATTTTAAAATATTAAATAATTTTTAAGAAATAAAAAAGTAAACAATAATTTTAAAGTCAAAAAAATGAATTGAAATAAGTGTGAATTTAGGGATACTAAAAATCTAAATTTTTAATTAACAAAAGTTAAGTACAAAGTATTTCAACCAAAAGGCATTTATTAAATTTCAGTAATACAAAGTGCCAACTCTTTTAAACTATTCACAAATTTTTTATTTTAAGAAAAATGTAAATTAAAAAGTATAAAAGAATATCTTTATAAGTAAATAATTTGGGAAAATAAACATAAATAAATAATTAATCAAGCGATTATAATTTATTCTCAAGATTACCAAAATACCAATTAAATATATTTTTTATTTTTATTTGAGTGAAATATAAATTAATTCTATTAATAAATATCAATTTAAATTATTTATTTGTTTTAGATATTTCTAATAATAAGTTGTAATTTATTATAAGATATTTTTAAATTGTACCTTTAATTTTAGTTAATTTCAAAATTAAAAATTACAAATATGTTTTTAAGAGAAATAAATTGCTTTTTTAATTTTCCTCAAACCTTAAAGTTGTAATCTTAAATTAGATAATATCAACAATAAATATGTTTTTTTTAGGATTTCTTTCAATTTGTTGATAAATAATATATTTTTCTATTCAAAAAGATAAATTTAGTAATAATTATAAAAATAAAAATAAATTAATTGATAAATGATTTACTTTTATTATAAAGAATAAATGACATATAATATTGAAATTATTTTACATTTTAACTAATTAAGAGAAATTTAAGTACAGTAAAAACTATCTAAAGTGACGACTTTGAGAACCAATATTTTTATTCAAATTATAAAGGTTCTAATATTGTCAATAATTATTATGAATATTACTCTTTTTAAAAACCTACCAACAATAAGCTTTTGGAAATATTATTAAGATGGTCGGTCACAACTATAGTTTGACTGTATTTATATAGTGAATTGATTATATATTTATTAATAGTTTTTATTAAGTAATACTTATTATTAAGCGAATATATTGAACGATAGATTTTGATTGATTTTTATTTAATATCAAATGCAAATTTCACTATAATCTGCTACTTCATTTAATTCTTTAGAATTTGATTATATTAGTTTCTGTATTTAGAATAAGTGAACTTTTTTTAGTTTGTTTAGTATAAATAAACTAGCTGTCTTACAGAAAGGAGATGAAGAGGGTTTAGAGAGAAGACTGCTGCCAATTATATAACCAGTTATTTAATCTCTTAGATGAATGTTTGTCCTTTGCATTTTAAATTATTTAGTAGATATATCAAATATTAACTCAAAGCAATCAACAAGAGGAGTATGCTAAGGAGTTGCCACAGCCAAGTTAAATTCTTAATCAAAATGTACAAGCGAATATCTTGCAATACTGCCATATTTATAGTTTTTTTTAAGTCCAAAATTTATACTATGAACTTACTACATTGATATTGCCCTTGTTTGCTATTAATTGCTAGTTTATTCATCTTCTAACAGAGGAACAGGATCAATAAGATGGAATTCATGTGTAGTGCTACATATTAAAAGATATTTTTACAGTTTATTTAAAGTCTGGTTATGATTGTTGACTGTAGAGTTTATGACGTTTGTATACTGAATGTCTTGTATCTGAATATTAAAGTTAATAACATTTTATTTTAAAGCCCAGTTAACGCTCCATCCCCAATCCTTAAACTTAGATTATGCTATTTGCTCACAATCTGAAACTCTATAAATTCTCACTGTTTAATCTATACTCACTGCAGCCAAGAATGTTCCACAAGGACTAAACTTTATGCATGGAACATTGTGGTGTATCCCTTCAATTACTTTCCTTTCAGGTTTTTCAGCTAAGCCTAATTAATAATCCTAAAGATTGTATATATGAGTTAAGTCCCAAACAGATATTTTATGAGCATTTGACCCACAAGCAAGTAAAGCGCAGCCTTCCAACAAAAGGGCGTCAAGACTCCAAGTAGAACAATCTGAAATGTTTTCGTAGCGATTATCAAGACTAAGTGGCTATTACTTTAAATTATTTACATTGAAAACAGTTATTTTTCCTACCATATCTACTGTAACTAAGATTTCCCTATTTTTAAAATAAGCGAGTTTTAGCTAATTTATCATATTATCTCCTTAATCTTGCACTTAAAGAAGTTCATAATTTTGCTTAAAATCAATGCTACCATTCTCTGCAATCTTGTAACATTTAATTGAATATCCACAACCTACAAACAAACATTTGTTGATGTGAGAAACAGCTAATAAATTCATTCTATATGGTTCTATTTCAGGACAATTTGCAAGATCAGTTTCATAGCTCAGTGAAACTTAATATTTCTGAGTTAAGTTTTTGTAAAACTCTTCCTCATTCTATTATGACTGCTACTACTATGCAAACAGAGTCTGCATAAATCTTTAAAGATTAGAAATTTAACTCAATTTTCAATAAACTAGTTTAAATTTTTAAAAGTTATTTTTAACTAGTAAATCTGCCTTCCTTGCTTTTTTGAAAACAGTTTAATAAAAAAATATAAAAATTGCAAATAATTAATTGACTCTAATTTTTAATTTGTATTTGTGTATGAATGTAGGTAGGGATGTTTGTTTTTATGCTTTTCAAATTTTTTATAATTTATATAATTCTTTTTGATCATAATCAGCAGCTATTTATTTACTTGTACTTAAATCAAAAACATTAATTGCTTTTCTCATATTTTGTTGTTTATTATAAAAATATTAATCATTCTAATTTTTTAGTATTTATTTTCTATTTAATTATTATAAATATTATTATTGTTAAACATTAATTGTTTGGTTTTTTGTTTGTTGTTTTACATACTTATTGTTAAGCTTTTAAATTTGCAGAAATTTATTTTTTAATTGTTTAAGGAATAGATTAAGCACTGAGTAATATATAGTAATAGCTACATTTCAACTATTATTAAATACTCATCAAAAACATAAAAAGTAATATCAGATAAAATTTTTAAAAAGCTCCATATTTAATATTTGAATGGGTAACTCTTGTTCTTAAAAATATGGATAAAGTGTTAAAACTTAAGAATGTATGGAAATAATCTTAAGAGATCAGTTTTAAGAAGGTAGTCAGAATGATCTGTACGAACAATTAACAAAAACAATGAAGTAAAAAACAAAGTTTAAAATTCAAGAATAGGCATTTACTTGCTTCAAAACTTTAATCGAAATCAATACTTGTAGTACTAGCTCTACTATGGATGTAGAAATGGATGAGAGAAGTATTTTGAATTCTATTAATTCTAATGAAATTATTAGACATTACCAAGACTTTAACAATTACAAATATTCAATCTAGCAACTCGAATAAATATTAGAATCTCAAAAAATGTTTTCTGAAAAAGATGTTTAATTACTTTAGTAGCATATTGGGAAAGGATCGCAAGGTAGTGTTGAAATAAACTTTTTACAATTAAGTAAAGATCGTTTTTAAATTGAACCATAATTTATCCCTATTGCAACTAAAAAATTTGAAGATAAATTCTAATTTATTAGAGAGAGTGCTATTCTTACTCAATTAGATAAAAACATCAGACCTGTTCTAGCTTTTATAGGAAATAATAAATCAGAGATACATATGGAGCTATGCATGTGCACTTTAGGTTAATTCAAATCTTATATCCATAAAAACAACCTTGTTACAGATAATCTGTTGATTTCTCTACTCTTAAATCTTCTTCTTAAACTCTAATATCTCTTAAATAAGGGTATTTTTCATGGTGATATCAAGCCTGAAAATATAGCCATAACTCTTAGGTAAGGTCATGCAGCTGTTATATTTTTAGATTTTGGGGCATCGTCTTGGGATGCTGAAGATTATTTGAATTATTATACTCCTGCATTCTGCAAATTCGACATATTTTAAATGATTGACAGCGGATAAATTCTGAATAAAGATTAAATAAGATATGCAGAAATATTTAGTATATGTAGAACTATCTAATATGTTATGCTTCCCTAAGCATCAGAATCCCTCTTTAATTAAAAGAACATTTCTTAATTCATTCAATTATTTGAACATAAATTTCCTAGTACCATTACATTTCTCGAATGTATTCTACTCAATAATGTAAATAGCTAAATTAGTGAAAGTTAATTGCAAGTTTTATTATAAAACTTAAAAAATGTCACACATAATATAAATTTTGATGAGTAACAGCTATTTCAATAATCATCTATTATTAATCAAATATGAAATAAAAATAAAACAAAATGAATTTTATACTAAATAAAAGAAATCTAAATAAACAAATAAATAAAAATTTAATTAATTAAAAAAAATATTTTCAAATTATTTGTAAATAATAAAATGATAAAAATGCTTAATTATTTTTATATCAAAAATAAAAATTAACCTCATATGTAAATTATTTTACAATTCTATAATATAAAATCTAAAATTAATATTTGTATTTTGTATTAATCTTTTACTTTTGTTCTTTAAATTATCATTTTAATTTTAAGGAACATTTATTCTTTAAAAAATCAATCTGAACCTTTTTTTATGAATAATAAGCTTTTAATAATAAATAAGAGTTAAATTAAATTTATAGAGTGTAATCACACGTTAAATTATATTTATTTTTTTTATAATAAAACGATTCCTTGGCATCTTTTTTTTTTTAAATAAATATATTACAGAAATTTATTCTGTAAATATTCTACCCAATATAATTGTTAAGCCTTTATAGCTCAGCTGGGAGAGCGTAAGACTGAAGATCTTACGGTCCTCGGTTCGATCCCGAGTGAAGGCATTTTTTTATTTTGAATTTTGTGTTTTAAACTAAATATAATTTATTTAAATAAAAATTGTGTATTAAATTGAAAAAAATTACTTATTTTTCTAATACCCTAAGGTTATTTTATTTAGTTGCTACTTTTTTCATTATATAATAAATATATTTTCTTTAAAAATTTTATTTGCTTAAATCTAATTTATGATAAAGTTGATTTTTTAGTTTAGTATAAAGTTAATTTTTTAAATTTTTAATCAAACTTTAAATTTTTATTTTTGATACATTTATTTCATATTTAAAAATTATTCTGTCAAAATTCAAACTAATATTATTGTCAAGCCTTTATAGCTCAGCTGGGAGAGCGTAAGACTGAAGATCTTACGGTCCTCGGTTCGATCCCGAGTGAAGGCATTTTTTTTATTATTATGAAATCCTTTTTTATGTATTTTTTATGATCTCCAATTTATTCAATAATAATTAATTAATTAATTAATCTAAAAAATATTAAAATTGGTAAGTTCTTTCACCTTGAAAAATTCTTGAAGTTAAATAATTACAGACATATTTTTATACAAATTAATTTATTTTCTTAATATTTCCATTTAGAGATGATAAATTTTTTTTAAAGAGTATTATTTATTTATTAGTTTAGTAAAACAATTCGAATCTTCATCTTCTGAATTTTTTTTTTATTAAGTTTGTTCACTTATTTTATATTAATAAATACATGTAAGTTAAAAATACTAATACAAATAACAAGCAAAATCAACATTTTTTTTACAAAATTACATTTTAATTCAGTATCTTCGATAATTAACTTTATATGTCACTAGTTTTTATATTTTTTTGCTAATCATTCTAAATTTATCAAGTGTAACTTGCAGGACAATGCTATTATTATACTTTTTAATTAATAAAAAACTTAAAAATAAATTTTACCTGTTATCTAGACTAAATTAAATCAAACTTTTGCTTCTGCTGATACCTTTTGCCAACAAGATAAATCCCTCTTCTCCAAAATGATTATACCTATAAATAAATAGTATTAACAACTCAATATAGCTTAAAAAATAATATACATTAACTCTAAATTAAACCGTTTGAGGTTAGGGCATTATCCTATTCCAATTCCAAGTTACTGAGCTCCATTCATTCCAACTCTATTCGCTCTGTTATTTTTTCAATAAAAACTCATTATTTTTTAACCAAATATATAAATCAGCATTTACTTAAGAAATAATGTTAACTCTATTAGATTTTGACACATAGATATCGCTTAACTAAGCCTTACAGCACTTACTTCACTAATTTGATTGTATCTTTTAGTTAATATATTAGATTTATTTTAAAAATTTAAAACTATAAAAATAAATAAATTTCAAAAATATATATTTAAGGGTTTTTTGGCTTTTAGTAGATTAAACCGATTTTTTTACCTAAAAATCAATGCTTTGCCTTGTATTTTTAAATACCATAATTCCTCATTAATTAAGACAACCTTTAATTAAGGCCGTTTTAGAAAATTTTTGGAAACAAATATTTTTTACTTAATCGCTTAAAAATATAAAAAGGAATTTGAACCCCGTTTTATTAAAAAATGATAAATAAATTGTAAAAAATATACTCTAAAATTAAAACTATTTTGGTGAGCTTTAAGTGATTTGAAATTATTCCATCTGCTAATCCTATTAGACCTTAGTTTGTCAATTAACTTTCTCTTTAAGAATATTTTTTTTTAGGAATATTAAATAGAAAAATTTTTAAATACCTTAGATCAAAATAAAAAGACTCTAATTTACTAAGCATTGAAATTAATTATCCTAAATGCTTGGCTCCATCTTTGACAATACTATAACTTTATTGTGATTAAAAATGAAGTTTTAAATTAAATTAAAAACTTATGAAAATAAAAAACCTGAATGTTAAGCTTAGATAGGTAAGCTGCTCAAATTGTGAAAATACTTATTACATATAATTAAAGTCCTCTTCTTACAATTGACAATAGCTGTATTTTAGTAAGAATTAAGTATATTTTAAAAAATTTATTTATTTTTTTTAAAAATCAAAACCTAAATGATAAGGTTAAAGAAGTTAGATCTCTGCAATTAGAAATATGGTCACAAAACATCTTGACTCCATTTTAATCATATTTATTTGCTCTATTAATTAATTTGATTATTTTTTAAAAAGGTATATTATTGTTTTAAATATACGCCAAGTCCAAATTCAATTCTTTAAGTTATATACATTGACCTACAGCTTCACCTAAACTCATTAATCCTTGGTTACCAACTTTATTTATACTGTTTTATAATTTTAACATATACAAATCAATAAGTTTAAAAATGTAATTTTATTACCTTAATCCTAATTTTAATTTTTATGAGTTCAAGTGTTCTTTTTTAATTAATTAGCTTATCTAGATCAGATCTTCATCATTTAAATCATTAAAACTACAATATTAATTTTTTATATTTTATATTTTAATTTTATATAACATCTAATAAGAATTGATTACCCTAATCTGTCATCAAGACGAAATTGTTTTTTCTTTTATCTAAATTTAAAAAAATAATTTATCAACAGAAAGTTCTACAACTAAATGTACTTTTTCTTTGCAGTGCATTAATTACCCATGATCAATATATTTAAATATCAATATCTTAAAAATACTCTCTTTGTTTAAATACTTATTAATTTTTTGCCTATGTTTTCTTTTTTATCTTTTTTTTATTTTTACTAAATATTGATTTCAAAAAATTTTTATTAAAAAAAAATATTTAAGCTAACTTTTTCATCAACTAATAAAAATAGACAAATAAATTTTGCAAACCTTAAATTTTTACCTCAATTTATTTAAATAATTCAATCAAAACATCAATTCATGCTTTTTAAAAACGAAGTGATTGGAAAAATTATGAAATAAGTTTTTTAAATTTGAAGGATAATTAAAAGATCTAAAAAGCTTGAATGAATATGAATGGATGGATATATATATAGATAAAAATTTATTTTTAGAAAATTTACAACAGGAAAATTGTAAAAAAAATTGAAATAAAGAAAAAAAATAAAATAAAAATAAAATTAATACATAATTAAAAATCTCTTCTACAAAAAATAATTAGAAAGGAAATTTTTTAACAAATTTGAAACAGTTTTTTCATAAAATCAAATAGATATTTTGTTTAAACAGATTTTAAAAGCTAATTAAATAATAAGAATCATTATTTTATTTGATTAAGTTTAGTTAAGACTAGCTAGATATTCTTTTTTAAAAGCATCAAAGCTGATTAAGGTTGATCAAAGCAGATAAAATGACCTGACTCATATACTATGTCAAAAGTGAGGTTTTCAATTTATTTTGAGGAACTGATTTTATCTCCTTTACTGTTTAATATTGTTTGCATTTCCATAGATTTAAACTTTTCAGCATGAAGCCAATTTAGTCTATCTATCCATTGTTATTAGCTTTTGTAAGGAACAAGTAAATCCAAATCACCATTCATAATGTGAACGTGAATATTATTGTTTAAAAGAAACTCAATTTTAGGAGTGCTATCTTGAACAATATTCCAGTTTAGAAAATTGTAGCTTTCTTCAAAAAATTCGTTGTATGGTTCTTTGAGTGTAAGTTTAAACATATCACAGGTTTACTGCTAATTCATAAAAGCATCTAAATTAAAATTACTGAATTACTTATTGCAGGTTTTATAGTTATAGATTTTATCTGCAGATACATTTTTAAAAGTAAAGTTAAGATATTACTAGTAAACTTGTCGGAGAGTCAAGTTATCTTTAGAAGAAAGGGGAGATTTAAAAGCTTCAATTACTAGCAAATTGTTTTAATATTTTTCTTCAGTGATTAGATTTAAATCAAACAGGTATTGATTTTATTCTAACATTACATAAAAAGGCTATATGTTAGCATCCAAAAGCCCAACACCAACTAAATTAAATTAGTTTCCATCCTTAACAATTTTTTCTGCTATAGAAGGAATGTATTTACCAGCAAACGATTCTCCATATATGAAAAGAGGATTATCAGTTCTGCTTATCCCTAATTACTTCATACAACTTTTTTCATTATCATACAACTCAAGTAGAGCCAAACAAAACTAATTAGCTAGTTACTCTAACGTGGCAGGGATATCGTTTGCTATTTTAACATAAGATAGGCCTACACCAATAGGTTAGTCAATAAAGACCAAATTAAAATAATTTGTCCAAGAATTTTCATTTTTGATTTTTTTAAAAACATCCTTATTAACTTCTCTGATATATAAAGGGCCTATTCCATTGAAATTTGAATTCTAAGAAGACATACCAGGACCTCCACACAACCATATAATTGTAGGATATTTATTTAAGTCTTATTTTTTAATTCCTTTAGCACCATAGAATAAATATCCAATACAAGAAGGATATGTTGAAGATTTTATTTTTAAAAACCCTGAATAAACTTCCCCATCATATTCTTTTATCTTAGCTTTATTGCACTCTGTTTCATAAGTTTCTGAATATGTTGGCTTTTACTGCTTGTCTGTAATTCTAAATTGTTATTCAAACATAAAATTTAATTTTTTTTTGTTTTGGTTTGATGTAAATTTTTTATACATAAAATGCCAAAAAAATTTATTATTAAAAATTAGTCAAAAATAAATTATTTTTTTTAATTATATATTTAAAATTTTTTGATTAATTTAATGAAAGAAATTATTCATATAATTAAAAATTTATTTGCAAATTTTAAAAAATGTTTTTTTTTTAAAAGATTAAATTAAGAACTTAATAGTTCTTCATTTTAAGATTTAATTTAAAAATTATCTTTATAAATAGTGAAAATTTAATTAATTTTATAATAATAGTTGATTTCAAAAAAAAAAAATAGCAAAGTTTGAAGGTTTAATAAATTTTGCAGATTTAGACTTAACTAGATTTAAAGAAGATAAATTTTATATTTGAGCTTAAAATTTCTTCATTTTATGATTAAATTTAAAATTTACCCTATGATCTTCCTTAGAAATTGATTCATTTTTTTATTTTCTTATTTCTTAAGATTTTTATTTCAATTTAAACAATTTAAATTTTATACCATCTAAAAAATATTATTTAATATTAATTGTCTGTCTATCTAGCTTTCTTTGTATTATAAATATTAAATAATTTAAATATCTTTTTAAGAATTATTTAACTATGATTTTGATATACATTTATTTCTTTTATATAATTTTGCCTTATTTTTATTTATTACATTTATATTTGCTCTTATAAAATTCACATATTTATATAATTTTTTTTACATTTAAAATATATTTATTTTTTCAATTTTTTAGCTTTAAATAGCTTTCTTATTTAAAATGCTAAAAAAAATTAATTAATTACATTTGCTTTAATTAATTAAGTTTTTTAATATATTATTTGATTGTTGTTTAGTTATTTACCATAATTAATATCAAATGATTAAACTTATGTAAGTTCACTTATTTTCCTAATTTTTATTAAGAATATAAATTTACACTATAAATTATAAATAATTAACATATCATAATTTAAACAATAGCTTTAATTAAGTTTGGCTTCATAATATTAATTTAAATTCCTAGAAAAAATATTAATATATATTTGCTTTTAAACTTTTTTTTTGAATTTTCTATCCTCATTCATTTGAAATGACTATTCCTATCTATGTTTGTTTTTAATATTCTAAAAATTAATTGATATTAAACTAAATTTTTCAATTTAGCAATATAAATATTCAAATAATTAATTTAAAAATATTTTATGTTCAAACAAACTATTTTGTTTTAGGATCAAATATATATTTTGAATTAACATTTTTTAATAGAAAAAGGATTTAAATTTTTGAAAAACTAACTAATGAAACAATTTAATAAAATACTTAATATATAAATGATGGAGAAGACATATGTATGTATTATTTTATAAATATAAGTTATTATTGAAAATATAATTTAATTTTTTATAGTTTATTTTTTAATGGTATTCAATATATTTATTTTAAATCAAACTATTCAAAGTTAGATTAAGGCCTTGCTAGCTTACTTTAAGATTTCAGATTCTGGGTTTTAACTGATATGAGTTTTTATTCTATTAACAGCTTCGAGGGCTAAGCTATTAACATTAGCATTGCTGCAAATAATAGGATTGTTTTCTTGTAATAATTTAAGAAGTAATTCATGTAAATTTTAAGCTTCAACAACATCTTCTTTCAAAGGTAAACGAGGTAAACATTTAGATAAGACTTCAGATCTGGTGGCTTCATCTTGAATTTAGAATACAGCAATCTTGAATAAAGATGCCAAAATATTTTCGAAGACACAAGCAACTTCTGGTTATTAGAATGCAGGGTTAGTGAACAAGCCAGATAAAATAGTAAGTGAGTCTTGGTAGAATTGTTAGAATTAAGCATGAGTGGATCTCTTGGCAACAACTCCTAAACCAAATACAGCAGTTTACTTTATATCGTTGTTTTCATAATCCTTAGCATAATCTAAATATTTCTTGGCCATATCAACGTAGGCTCTTTAGAAAATCTATTTTAAATATTTAGTTAATTTAATATGTATTTTATTTGAAAAAAATATACAGGCTCAGAACAGTATTAGAATAATTCACTGAAGACGCAAAGTGCGAGGTTGATTTCGTTGTCAGAGCAGGTTTCTTTAGTGAAGGCAGCATAGTAATCAGGTAAAAAGTTATTTACAATGACGGCTTCTAAAGTAGGGAAGAGCTTAACAGTTTAAGGAATGAAATCGAGCATGCCTTTATTTTTTATAATAAAATTAAAATAAATAATTTTTACTCTTGAAATAATATTTTTTTACCATTTAAAATGGAGTTAGCTTCATCGTATTGTTCTTCGAAGAGAGCTTAAGCATCATCGTCCATGTCTTCGTTAGCAAATTACTTGATAACTTATTTTTTAAGATCAGCAGCGATCTTCAAAGATTAAGCTGCTTATTGAGTGATCTTTTCAACAACTTCAAGATTGATGCCAGAATTGTTGACAAAAGTTTTATAGCATTCAGCAATATTAACAATAAGAATGTAAACATCATCGGCATTGCTTTAAGAAACAGAGTTAGTTAAAAGTTGTAATAAAGTAGGAGCAATGTTGTTAAAAATTGCAGATATTTTAGCTTGGTCATTTCCACAAGCAGCCATCAAACACTTAAAAGTCTTAATACAAGTTTCAGAGATATCTCTAGAGTGCTTGAAACTGATGTGCTTAGTGACGATTTCCAAAGATTATTCAACATAAGGAAGGAATGCAGTCTTGGTAGCATCAGCAACAGCGTATAAAGTATGGAAAGCTTCAATCTTTTATTCTAAAGCAGCCATATTCAATTATAAAGTCTTCATGCCGCCCAACAAACCTAAATCAAAATTGTACTTAACGAATTTGCTCTTGTCATAATCTTCCTTTTAAGTAGCACCATCGATAACATCTTCAGCAACAAGATCAATGCTGATGCTGGCACCTTGAAGGATCTTCTAAATAATAGCAGGTAAAAACTTGGAGAAACCTTCTTTCATAGCATCAGCAATTTGTGCGTAGACAACTAAAATGGGTGAGTGGTGAGGATCATCCTTTTCCATCTTTGCATCATTTTACATAGAAAGGAGAGCATTCATGATAATTTCACTGTCTCTTAGGAAGAGTTCTTTGTTTTTGCGAACAGCAGTTAATAGGTATCCCATGCATTCAATAGTGTGAGTACGGATACTAATTTATTGAGCATTAGTGGCAGGTAAAGTTTGGATGAGAGTCTATAAACCAGGCATGAAATTATTGTAGTACTTAACAAATTCAGTTTCTAAAGTAACAGCAACAGTAGAAAGACAAATCAAAGTTTCTTCTAAAGTTCTTTGATTGTTTTCGCTCAAACATTTTTCGAAAGTTTAAGAGACACCTTATAACAACTTATCAGCATAAGTTTTGATAATTTCGCAGTCTTCGTCTTATTCAATCAATTCCTTGCAGAAATTGATGATAGATGAAATACTTCTGTGTTTCAACTTTGAGTTAGTGCTCTCTAAGTTCTTCAAGATGAAGTTCAAAATAAGATCTCCGTGGTTTTGTTGAATATCAGGCTATTTTAATGAAGAAAATATTTTTTAATTTAAATTTTGTATTTTTTTCATAAATTTTTTATTTCTTTTTTATTAAGTTTTATTTCAAAACTAAAGCAAATTTATCTTAAAAAATGCTAATTTTTTGTTAAAGTCTAAAATTTCGTTTAATTAAACCATTTTTATCAAAATTGCTTAAATTAATTTTGTGCTAAAATTTTTAATTTATCAAAATTTTTTACTATCGTTTTAGTTTTATTATAATTCTAATTTTTTTCAATTTTTGTTTGTAAAAATGTTTTAGATAAAATGTTTACTGTGAATTCAGTGCATAAAAGGGAGTAAGCTGTTAAGACGCTATATTAGACTCTTGGGTGAGGATTTGATTCTTGAGATTGAACCATACTATTATATTTTTATTTTTAATTTAATTAAGTTTAAGATAATAAAAATGTATTACGCGACAATTTGGGGTAAATCATTCTTGAAGTTCTCAGCTGTGCCTTCAGTTAAGTTAGCAATTGCAACTAAACCAGCATGAATAGTATTCCAGCTACCAGCAGCAATACATTCTTTAATTAAAGGAATGAAAATTGGAAGCATGTACTTGTTTGTCAATTCGTAACCAATTTTAGCAAGGGTTTCTTCAGCAGCACTTGCAGGATCATTTTTTGAGAGAGCTTCATCGTCTAATTCTTCAGTCCATTCTTCTAAGCTAAGGCTGTCTACTTCAGCCATCATCTTGATAAGGGCAGGAGCTGTCTTAGTTTTGAAGATGTCTCCTTTTCTAACTTAGGCACTCTAGCTTGAGCAAATTGAAAGAATGCCAGATAAACCTTGTTTAATTTATTAAATGAATTTTATAAATTAAATTAAATTAAATTCAATTCAATTTTTAATTTGATTATTTTTTTATGATATTTAAATTGCTATTTTTTTTTTTTTTGCTTATGTTTATGGAGAGATTTCTAAAAATAAATTAGATGAATTATGAATCAATTTGTAAATTTTAAATAAATAAATAATTATTCTTTCTATATTCAGATATAACATTTTTTTGTTATTGATTCATATTAATCAAAAGGAAGAATTTTTTCTTTTTTGCTTTCTTTAGTTGAATATTCTGATTGGCTATTTTAAAATAATAAATATCTAATTTGCTTTACCTTTAATTCTAAGAGAGTCTGAAAGTTGCTTGGTTGAAATAATTTCAGTAAATAAGTTCAATAATTCGTAAGTAATGGGCTTAACGAATTTAGGGTGAATGTCAATCAAATCAACCAAAGAGTTCAAGGAAGTAGATCCGGCTTCTTCATCAGCTTAGATGCATTCAACACACTTGCTAATTAAAGTAGGGAAAACGCCTTCGAAGTTCTTCAAAAGACCTTCTTCTTCAATAGAACAGAGGAAACCAGTCAAGCTCTTGAAAGTTTCAGCTCTTACCTATGATAAAAAATAAAATTTTAATAAAAACACATCTTTTTTGCAAGCATTTTTCATTTTATTGTAAAGATTTTAATAGGAATAAACTAATTATTCTAAAACAAATCTTTTATGTGAAAATCATATTACAATAGAGAGAACAATCAATAAAGTAAGTATTAAATCTACTTTTTTAAGAATTTAAAATATTTAATGTTCAATTACCTTAACATCAGAGTCTTCCATGAACTTTGAGAAGATTGCAGAGAGTTCTCCTGAATATTTCATGAGTTCTTCATCATTAAAAGAGTATTCACAAATTATTTCTATGAGATACATAAGACCAATCTTTAAGTTAGAAGTGGTAGCTTGAGAGAACTTTTAAATAAGTTGCATTAATTGACCTAAGCCATTCTTGTTGGTATAGAGCTTAACCAAAATTTCGCAAGCTCTCTTAATGTAGAGGGTTTTACGATTTTCGTTGATGGATTATTCTACCTTCTAAACTATTTCTCCTAGAATATTATCGGAAATCTTTTATAAATTTTCATCCTTATCAATGTATTGCTTTTTCAATAACAAAGCAGCTAATTCGCAGAGCTTTATTTAAGTTTTATAAAATGAATGATTGATTATCTAAAAAAAAGAGGAGAAACTAGCATAATGGGAGAAAAGAATTAATTATTTACTTTTTCGTCTTGTAAGTCTAGGGCTGAAAGATATTGCTAGATGCCACCTTAGAAATCTTTTTCAGGGATAGAGTTGAGGAATTGTTCAGCTTGAGATCTTGCATTCAAGTCGTTAGCAGAAAGGAAAGTCTGAAGAGCTTCTGAGATATTGCTAAAAGACATTTTAACTTAATATTATTTTTGTTTTTATTTTGATATATTTATTTCGCGGAATTATTCAACTTTTTAGGCTAAATTAAACTTTTTGATTTTATTTTTTTATAAGATTTGATTTTTTTTGATGAGATATGTAAACATAAAAATACTCACACATTATTCAGCTCATTAAATTATTGATTAAAATTTAAGAATTTTTTGATTTAATTACAAATTAACTAAATCATTTATGCCAAACTCATTCCCGCACACTCCATCATAATCAAATCGCTTCATTTTTTGGAGGGATATTTATTTTCCTCTTCTTTTGCTTTGTTTAAATAAATTCAATTGATAATAATCTTAATTATACATATCTCACTTAGTATATTGAAAGATATTTAAATTAATCTACATATTATCAACCAACACAACAAGATAAATGCTACTATAAAATTTATTACTGGATTATTTTTTTAATTCTTTAAACATTCATTCTTTATATTTCAAATTTTATCAAACAAATAAAACAAGAGAAAAGTTTATTTGCTAAGACTAATCAGTTTTTTTTATATTTTTTTTTTAAATAATTTTGTTGAAAGTGCCTAGTTATTATTTTGAACCTAATAAATTGATAAATAAATAATTTAATCCCAATATTTTTAATAAATAAAAATGTCTCAATAAGCATTTAATTTTAAAATTAATATTTATCATTTAGACTATGATTTTTTAGTATAAAATTTAGTATTTAAACATATAGTATTTCATCAATAAATAAAATAATAAGTATTTAGCATCAATTTCTGAAGAAATATAACATTCAAGAAAAATATTTCAAGTAATAACTAGAATTTTAAAAATATCTTTAATAAAAATAAAATATACTAATATTTAATAAAACAAATAAATTCTTTGAACATTATTTTTTTCAATTATTAAATTAAGATCAAATTTTGATAAGATTGAATACTATTTAAATTAATACAAACTGAAATGGTATAAATATTAGAGTGTTAATTTGTCTTAAAGTTATTAAATCGGTCTTACTAGTTCTTTTTTTAAAATGATCTATTTTAAAAAGTTAATTGCTTAATTAACCTGAAAATAATAAATTTATTTTAGCATAATAATCAGTTTAAAGAAAAAAAATAACTATTAAAATTGAGTTAAAATATTTTTATATATCAGATATTTATGTATATAATTAACTATTTAAATATATTAAAATTAAATAATTAATATTATTTTTTATCAATTTAATATGGTTTTTAAAATGATAAATTATTTCCTATAAAATGCTAAAAATAGGCTTTTACTTAAATTTTTTTCACTGAGCTAAAAAAACTATCCAAATATTTAAAAATTTTGTAAATTGAGGTTGATCTACTCCTGCTCAGTTATGGTTCAGTTCATCAGTTAGGTTTAAATTATAACTGATTTGTCTTATTTATAGAGAAATTACATAATTAATTAAATTGAGTTAGAAAGATAAAAACTAATTTAATGTATTAAATTTCTCTATGAGTATTTAGCTAAAAATACAGCTAAATTTTTAGATTTAAATATTATTTTATATTTATAAAAATTTGATTGATTAATAAATATTAAATCTATTGAAGAATATAATCTAAATATGAGCTTAAATGAGAAATATTTCATTAAAATTAAACATTTCCAATCAAAATAATTTTGATAAAAAATAAAATTTATTTATTTTTTAATAATATAATTTTTAAAATAAAACATATTTTATAATTAAAATTTTGACTGAAGCTATTCTTTTTAAATACTAATTTTTATTTATTGAAATTAAAAAAAACATTAACTTAATAGTTAATTTTTTATTGAATAAAAAAGTCTAATTAAGTTAATAATAATTTTTTTAAGCAAAAAAAATAATCAATGAAATTAATTTATAAATAAATAACTAAAGATTTTAATTTAAAAAATTAATAAAGTAAGTAAATCAATAATTGAAGTAAAGAGTTACAAATAAATTTATTATGAATTAAATAAAAAATATTTAATTGATATATTATAAATTTAAAGTAAATCATCATCTAATAACACTCGATAATAATAAAAATTTAAATATTAAATTAATTTTATAATTATGTAAAAAAAATTATTTTAAGTCTTAAAATTTTGCTTTCTCAGATATAAATTTACTTATCAAAAATAAAATTAAACGAAATTATAAATTTAAGTTTACAAAGTAATAAATTTTTATTTTTTCTCAAAGAAAATAGAAAAATTCTTTTTAAAATTCATAATAGATAGATAGAATGGATCAAATAATAAAAATTCTAATTTTAGAATTTAAATTTGCATCTGATTAAATTAATTTGGCCAAATATAAATTTATGAATTGAAATAATAACATTAAAATTGAATGTTCTTGATCACTTTAAAATGGCATATTTTCAGAGAAACTTTATAACAAATTATTTGGTCAGAAAAATCGATTTGATTTTGAGAAAGAAATTTTAGAGTATTTGAATGCTAGACAATTTACTATTTTTTTGTTTATAACTTAAAAATTTTTATTAAACACGTACGTCATAATTAAAAATTAAAAAGATATGTTTTTTTTAAATTATTCGATTTATTTATGAAAATATCAATTAATTATTGAGTTTTTTATTTTACTCATTCGCAAATCTTTTTACAATCTTAGAAAAGATATTTAGGAATAATTAATTAATTTATTATTTATTTGTCTATTAAATTTAAATTTTACAATTAATTTTAAAATTTGGTTTGTTAATTTAGAAGCGATAAATAAACAAATAAATGAGTTCATTCATTCATGATATTAATTTATTTGATGAAATTAATTAAAGCAATACAAATAATAAGTTTTATTGATAAATTTAATTCTTGGTTTTAAACCAAATATTTTTTATGAATGTGTTTTGTATGTTTACATGTATTTTCATTTACTTTAGAGACGCTAAAGAAACATCTTTTTTGTTAGTATCTCTTTTACAAAAGCAAAATTTAAAGTCAAGTGCTTTTTTATCAATATTCAACGATAGAATCAAACTCCTTAAAGATTTTGGCATAAGTTTTAGAATAAAATCCTGCATTTTGCTTAAGACATTGTGCTAATTTTTCGTTGAGCATGCTATAGCATTCTATTTAATAAAAGCAAATATTCTAATATCGCTTACAAATTGTAAATAAATAAAATTCTAATATCAAAAATAAAATACTTTTATTTTATTGAAATTTAATGCAAAAATAAACTCTAAATATTCTAATATCAAGTGAATTTAAAACGTAAAATTTAGTTTTATTTATTTTATAGCGATTGAAGAGGTTTTCTTGATATTAAAATTCTTTTTAATTCTAAAAAATAAAATGGAATTGTTTATATATTTATACATTTAGTGTCTAGATTGACAGATGTGCATTTGGATTCTTCTCTTTAAAATAAGTCCTAATTAATAATAGAAAATATTTTTTAACAATTAAAGCTATTTAGGTATTTAAAATGAAAGAAGCTGATAATATTTTTTAAAGGCCTTTTTAAAATATCCTTCTATTGTTTAAAGAAACTCTACTTATTCTATAAGAGAGTATAAAAGCAAATTTATTTATATTTACTTCGCAATTTTATAGTTTTTCTCCTGTGATTTTTTTAAAGGTCAAATAAGGTCTTAGGCAAGATCTAGCGCATGATTCTGACTCCTTAATGCTAAGGGCTTCATTTGCATAGCACTTAACTTAGCATTCGTGAGTTATTTTCTAAATATAATTGGAAAATTCAGTTTATTTGTTGAAATTTAAACAAAAAAAACCATAACATAAAATCTTATTTCAACTCTTTATGGCATTTTGATAATATGGTGGGGGATTTTAAAAACTGCCTAAGATAATGAGAACAAGAAGAAAAAACCTTAGAAAGATAAGATTTTTATAGCATTAAATACCAACAATTAAAATAAACCATTTTTAAATATAAAATGTTGATGAATATTTAGTAAATTTTAAAAAAGCTGTCACAAAATTTCATACTTTTAAAAGTTTGTATTCACTTGTATAATCGTTGAAAAAATTGGCGTATTTTGCAGATTTTTCTTTGTATGCTTCCTTTATTGCAATTTAAATATCTGTGGTTTGCTAAAAATGTTCATGTTGTTGAGGAGCAACATACTCGGGTATTGTTTATTGCATATTTGCTTGTTGATTGGATTAAAATTCCTATTAGTTAGTTGAAGATTGGCTAGACATGTGTTATTTATTAATTCTTGGTGAAACAGATGGAATTATTAATAGTACTACTTCAAAATATCAAAACTCAAATAAATTATGAATTCTTTACAAAAAGTCAATTATTCATTCAAATACTTCTTTTTTAGAAAGTAAGTATCATCACTATAAAATAAATTTATTTGCAAATGAAATTTAAAGATTGTTTGATTGCAAGATAGATGGTGAGCGAATAACTCAATAAGACTAAAAAATTAGATGCTTTTAATCATATTTTTTATATTTGTAGAAGAAAAAATTCTAAAAAAATACGAAAGTAATAGAAAAAAAATTTAAACTTCCTTAATAATTCTAAATTTCTCACAAAAGATTTTTTTTTTTTCGTTGGTTTAGTCTAAAATTCTATTAAAAAGAAATAAAAGTGTATTGTCAAATATATAATTTGATCGATAATGCTTCTATTTTGGAATTTAAAATATATTGTATGTTGTCACATACTATTTGCTATGTCATGCTTTTATTACTGATATCATGTCTTCTTTTTTTAGTTCATAAATAACCTAAAAACTCAATCCATATTTGTTAGTAATTAGCTTTTACAACTGTTTTATATATGCAAAATATTATATTTACTTATACTATTTATATCTAAAAAAGCCTGCTTTTTAAATATTTCTATTATTTTTCCCACAAGTTTTTGGATTCTCAATAACAAACTTTAATACAAAAATTCAAATTTTCTAAAAAAAGTTAGCTATTATTGATTTTGTTTGCACTCATTCATTCTATTTTAAATATAGAAGACTGAAGGAGTTTTAAAAATATTTTTATTTTATGAATTGTTTTTGCTTTTTTTAATTTTAAATTCTATTTTTTGCTTCAGCTTTGGCTTATCAAATAACTATACAATAAATGCGAAGTTTTTCTTATGAGTAAGGATTTATTTTTTCAGTTTGTATTTTGAATTTTTTATGAGATTGTGTCATAAACTGCTTATGCTATGGCTTCTTTTGCTTGTTTTATACTTTGAGTGGACAGACATATCACTAATATGACCTTTTTATAAATATCTAGAATGAAAAATATGGAAATAAGGTGAAGCTTTTAAATGTGGAGTGGTGGAAAGTAAAGAAGATAAAAATGTCAAAAGATTAAGAATTTTAATATGTTAAAAAGAATTATTGATATTAAAATTAAGAAGAGAGATGATAGATGCCGATTATGCAGTGAAAAGATTGAAAATAATTAAAGGAGGTATTACAAAATTAAAATTTAGATGCTAATTAATGGAAGTGAAGAAAGAAAAAGAAGCAGTAAAAAATATTTTTAAATAAATTTGTTATTAAGAAAAAGATTCGATTAGAAAGTTAGAAGGTTAGAATGTTAGATATTACTTCGATTATTAATAAATTGGAAGGAGTTAAGAGAAGATACAGAGAATTATGAATGAAATCAAATTAAAAGTAGAAGCGAAGGATTCTAGAAGTGGTGCAAAAGTTAATTGATTATTAACTGGCGAAGAAAGATATGAATCTTCTCGAATAACAAAGAGACTTGAATTTTTTAAATTTTCAAAAGTTAAAGATATAGTGAATAGTCATAATTAATTAAATTAATAAAAAATCCTAATTTCTTTCTCCAAAAAGAATTTAAAAACAAACAAAATCAAGCAAAATAAACATAATAAATAAAAATGGCTGACAAGAAAGCTGAAGGTGGTATCGGTATCGGTATCGATTTAGGTACTACTTACTCCTGCGTTGGTGTTTTCATTAACGACAGAGTTGAAATCATTGCTAACGATTAAGGTAACAGAACCACTCCCTCTTACGTTGCATTCACCGAAACTGAAAGACTTATTGGTGATGCCGCCAAGAACTAAGTTGCTAGAAATCCTACCAACACCGTTTTTGATGCCAAGAGACTTATCGGTAGAAAGTTCAATGAAACCGTCGTCCAAAAGGATATCAAGTTATGGCCCTTCAAGGTTGAAGCTGGTCCTGATGACAAGCCCAAGATCGTCGTTAAGCACAAAGGTGAAGTCAAGAAGTTCCACGCTGAAGAAATCTCTTCCATGGTTCTCGTTAAGATGAGAGAAATCGCTGAAGCCTTCTTGACCAAGTAAATCAAGAACGCCGTCATTACCGTCCCTGCTTACTTCAATGACTCCCAAAGACAAGCTACCAAGGATGCTGGTGCCATCGCTGGTTTGAACGTTTTGAGAATCATCAACGAACCCACTGCCGCCGCTATTGCTTACGGTTTGGACAAGAAGGGTCAAGGTGAAAAGAACGTCCTCATCTTCGATTTGGGTGGTGGTACTTTCGATGTCTCCCTCCTTACTCTTGATGACGGTATCTTCGAAGTCAAGGCCACTGCTGGTGATACTCACTTGGGTGGTGAAGATTTCGATAACAAGCTCGTCGAATTCTGCGCTGCTGACTTCTTAAAGAAGAAGAACATCGATATCAGAGAAAACCCCAGAGCCATGAGAAGATTAAGAACTCAATGCGAAAGAGCTAAAAGAATTCTTTCTTCTTCTGCTCAAGCCACCATCGAAGTCGATGCTTTGGCTGATTCCGAAGATTTCATGATGGTCATCTCCAGACCCAAATTCGAAGAATTATGTCTTTCTATGTTCAAGGAATGTATCCCCCCTGTCGAAAAGGTCCTCAAGGACTCCGGTATGGCCAAGAACCAAGTCCACGAAGTCGTCCTCGTCGGTGGTTCCACTCGTATCCCCAAGGTCATCCAACTCATTACCGAATTCTTCAACGGTAAGGAACCCAACAGATCCATCAACCCCGATGAAGCCGTCGCTTACGGTGCTGCCATTCAAGCTGCTATCTTGACTGGTTCTGGTTCTGAACACATCCAAGACGTCCTTCTTCTCGACGTTACCCCTCTTTCCATGGGTATCGAAACTGCTGGTCAAGTCATGACTGTCTTGATCCCCAGAAACACCACCATCCCCACCAAGAAGTCCCAAGTCTTCACCACTTATGCTGATAACCAACCTGGTGTCCTCATTCAAGTCTTCGAAGGTGAAAGACCCATGACCAAGGATAACCATCTCTTGGGTAAGTTCAACCTCGACGGTATTGCCCCTGCTCCCAGAGGTGTTCCTCAAATCGAAGTCTCCTTCGATATTGATGAAAACGGTATCCTCAACGTTACTGCCACTGATAAGGGTACTTCCAAGTCCAACAAGATTACCATCACCAACCAAAAGGGTAGATTATCCCAAGATGAAATCGACAGACTTATCAAGGAAGCTGAAAAATTCAAGGGTGAAGATGAAGCCTTAAAGAAGAAGGTTGAAGCCAAGAACGGTCTTGAAAACTACACCTACTCCATCAGAAACTCCCTTAAGGACGAAAAGCTTAAGGACAAGTTCTCTGCTGAAGAAAGAGAAAAGGTTCAAAAGCTCGTCGACGAAACCTCCAAGTGGCTCGAAGAAAACCACAATGCTGAAGCTGAAGAATACAGCCACAAGCAAAAGGCTTTGGAAGAAGTCTTCAACCCCATCATGATGAGAGTCTACCAATCTACTGGTGGTGTTCCCCCTGGTGCTGATATGGGTGGTGCTGGTTTCCCTGGCAGCGGCTCTGCTCCCACTGGTGGTGCCTCCAACGTCGATGAAGTCGATTGAAAAACCAATTCAACTTAATTCATAACAAAATATTATTTTAATTTTTCTCTTCTCTATAAACTCAATTTAATCCTTTTAATGTAATTACTTGTGCATATAATGTCTATGTGTAAGAATATAATAATTAATTAATTATTATGTCAAAATTAATCAAACTCTTCATTTCTTATTTCCCTTTTTAGAATTTTCATTCGGAATTTATTGCACTCATATTAATTTTAAATTACTTAATATAAATCAATCAATTTATCATTCCAAAATAAAAGGAAAGAGCACTATTTACTCCAAACATAAATTAAAATCTAACTATGCTCATTTAGATTTTTATTTATTTTTCTATTCATTCATTTTAAATTTCAACAACAGTTTTTATAAAAAATAATTCAATTTTAAAAATAATTTTAGATATTGGTAATAAAAAAGTTTGATAATCAAAATAATTCATTTCTTAGTGACTTACAAAAAGCAAATATAAATCAAAATCTTTTTTTAAAAAAAAAAACATTAACAACCCATAAGGTAAATTAAAATTATTGAGTTAATATGGATTTATTTATCATTAATATTTTTCTCTTCAAACATTTAATTTGATTTTATAAAAAAAATCTTAAAATAGTTTATTTTATTTATTAATTAATCTAAAACTTTTAATTTCATGATGAATTTATTAAAATTAATTGGTTTTATAAGTTAACTTAAGATAAAAATATTTGTTTTATTTTATATTTTATTTATATTATTCCTTTTACATAAAAATTTTAAATACAAATTTGTGATTATCATAATAAATATATTTGAAAAATTAGTTAAATTTTTCTAGCTATAAATAATATTTTAGTTATAATTAATATTTTGTATTAATTATGAAGAGCATTAATTTTTTAATTATCATTTCTCTATTTATTTTACATCAAAATGCCAAATATTGTCTTGCATATATTCTATTTACTAAATCTAATAATTTTAGATAAAATTTTGAGATTAGCATTATAAATTTATATCAAATATTTCAGAGGAAAAAAGAATATTTTTATTATTATTAATATTTTGTATTATTTATGAACTACATAATTTTTAAACTCTAGGTTGCATTTATTTACTCTATTTAATTTGTTTAATGTCAAAATTGCAAATATTTTACTATATTTATTATACTAATACCTTATAATTTTGTTTATGTTCTATTTTTAATACTAATAACAATTTTAAAAAAATTTATTTCATTTTTCGTTTAAAAATGATGCCATAATTTATTATTTATAATATTGTTGATATTTTAAAAAATTAGAATTCAAATGAAGTGAAAATAAAATAAATTATGAGAAATAAAAAAAGATTTAACTAAATACAATGCATTTATTTATAATTAAAATAATTTACAAATCTATATAAATATAATTAGCTTAATGTTAAATAAATGTTAAAACACTATTTATTTAGTATAACTAAGTATAACTAACTAACTATCTAGCAACAAGCATCAGTTATTTCTTTTGAGAGATTCAATTTATTGTCTAAGGGATTCGTTTTTCTAGTTTTGTTCTTTAAGCTATAATTTTATTGTTGAGTAATTATCGCTATTTTAAATATGCTTTTCTTTTAGTTTTTCGATTTCATCATTAATTTTTTTGATTTACTCCTTGTATTCTTCGATTCTTTTGATTTCTTGTTACTTTTGTTCCTTTGTATATTCTGAAATCTTTATGTATGAACTTAAACTTTCTTCTTATCTTTATAAATCCTTTAAATTCTAAAAAAATGTTTCTGAATCCCATCTCTTAATTTTAAGTTGTCTCAGTGTTTCATTGCATTTATTAATTTTATCTCTTAAGCTACAATATTCCTCTAAAAGACTTCTAGAGTAATTTACATCAGTTGGCTATAAATCTGTTTCAAAATAATTAAAATTCATCATTTTTTATGCAAATAAATATATATTTAATATAAAAAATTAAGGTAAATTTAGAATTTTACATTTTTTCTATTCATAGTACTATAGAGTTAGAGTATTTTACTCAACTAATTTTTTTATTTCAATAATTTATTTATTCTTAAAGTGTACTTTCATGCACATCTTCTTCTCCCTCAACTGTAAATATTCATAAAAAAATCAATATTTTTCTATTCAACTACAATAAATTACTTATGCATCTCTAAATTCCTTTTCTTTCTAATCGAATTTCTCCTATCTAATCTTGTCTAATATTTTACAAATATAAATTATTTTAATCACACATTATAAATAAAATTCTAAATAAAATGATCAGCCAAGCTTATATTTAATTTATAAAGAACGCATAAAAGTTTACCTTCATCAATTTCTTCTACCATACTCTTCTAATTTTATTAGGCTTTTTATTGATTATTTTCTGATTATGTATCAATATTATTTGCATTTTAAAGCTCTAATTCCATTTACTAAACTTATCTTCTTTATTCATTTCCATAACTATAATCCTAGTTATTATTCTATCTATTTTCAGTATCTTGCTACTAGTTACCTTCGTCTTAATCAATATTGTATAAAAGCATTTCTTAAATATTTATTTTACTTTGAACTAAAATTGTATTTTATAAACTAAAATATATATATGTAATTGTCTAATTTCAATTAATTCAATAGCTATTAAAAATATATCTAAATTTTCCTTTTGATCAAATATATGTTTATTTGCTTATTTATTTACCTGTTAGTTGTTATTTTTTAAAAGCTAATTATAGCTTAAATATAATCAAATAAATCAATAAAATTTTAGCATAATATTCTAATTTATAAATAAAAATATCTAGTAAAGTTTTTTCAATAAAGAATAAATTATTTTTTTAAATTAGATTTAAATTAAAAAAGTGCTAGCATTTTATAAATAAAATATTGATATATTATTTTTAAATTTTGATCACAAAAAATAATTTCTTTATTCTCAATTTTCTTATTTTTATTTCTCAATAAAATATTTATGTGTTTAATAAAATGGAATTAAAAAAAAATATAAGCTTTAAATATAAAATAATTATTTTTATGCTCTAGCTCTTTTAAGGTAAGATTATCAAGATCGTCCATCCCCAATTTACAAAAGTAAAAACTAAAAAGAAAAATAAATTAAATTCAAAAAAATATATTTTATAAATCATCATTAACTGAATATAAATAAATTTAATGTTTTTTAATAAAACAAAATCATCAAAAGAATGAATACCTTACCTTGATTTAAATTAAAAAATATTACTTTGATGATGTAAATAACTCTTTTAAAATAAGATCATTCCAAATTTATAAAATTAAAAACTAATAATAAGCATAAATGAAAAAAAAGATATTTATAAACACGCATTAAAAAATATTAATTGAATAAAAATAAATGTATTGCTTTTAATTGAATAAATTTATCAAAAAAAATATCTAACTTTAAATTTAAAATTTCATAAATAACTCTTTTAAAACAAGACCATTCCAAAAGTAAAAACTAACAACAAAATTTAATAGCATATTAAAAAATATTAATTGAATAAAAATAAATATTTTTGCTTTTTAATTGAATAGAGTTATATTTTATTGATTTTTTAAATGTTCTAAGCTTATAAGCATTGTCACATATTTAAAAATCTAAATAATATTAAAAATATTAACTTTTCTGCATAAGAAAGATTGATTGCAAAAGTGAAAGAAAGGTAAAGCAAACTTAAATGAATGAATACACATACATAAGTAAATAAATACACACGCACAAATAATCAATAAATAAATAAGAACTATTTTAATTTTATTTTAGTTATTTATTTTTTTATATATTTTTGATTAATTAATTTTCTTATTTTAGTAATTTAAAGGTTAAATGAGCGGTTTATTATTTAACTAAAGAAATAGTTATGAATGAATATTTCTTTCTTTCATACTTGATTAGAAATTATTATAAAAATTTATTCATTTGCTTATTTTTCACTTGAAAAGATGCGTTTGTTTGTTTACTCATAACTTAAACTCTATCTCTTACGTTTTAAAATTTTAATTATTTTTTTATTTGGATTTTTATTGTTCATAGACATACGTGCTCAGTCATCGTCTGAGTAATCGGAGTCACCTCTTTGACCTAAATTCAAATTAAATCCTTTTTCTTCTTTATTTAATGGCTTGATTACTCCTGATTTAACAATTCTTCTTGTGAGTTCAAGAGTGGTGAAGTCATCCTTAGCACCCAATTCACCAAAACCTACAATTCTATCCTTGGCGACACCATCAACAAAACATACGATAGTAGGGAGAGTTCTAATTGCTAATTTTTGGATGAAGAAGGGAGCTTTTTCTGCATTTAAATAGAAGAACTTGCACTCAGTGTGGGTGTAAGCTATTTGTCTCAAGTGCTTGTCAATAATCTTGCATCTTTCGAAATCGTTATGATAGAAATGAACAACAGAGAATTTATTTTTGGTTACACTGTTTAAAAATTCTTCTTCTTTGATTTCTCTGTACTCGCCAAATCCGCTTTTTTCTTGTTCAACTTTAGCATTTTTTTTATTGAATTCATCAATTCTTTCAACTTTCATTCTGCTCAATATCTTTTCAGCTTCTTCATCAAAGAATTCATCATCTTCGAGGTCAGAGTCTTCTCTAACTCTTTCTTTTGATTTAATTTCAATACCCTTAGCCTTTTGAGGTTTCTATTGGCCCATTTACATTTTAAGTTTATCTCTAATAGCTTTTTCCATTACCTAAATTGATAAAAGGAGTTAGATAGGATCTATAAAAAAACATAAAACTAAGCAAGTTTATCCATTTTAAAAACAGTAAAAATGAAATACATACCACTTCGGTAAGCATGTTTCCCATCAAGCTGTTGCTCATCGCTAAACAAATACTTCTTTTTAATGATTAACTATATTAATTAAGCTTTTTTTGCTCTAAATTTTTGCAGATTGATCTGGTAAATAATTTTGAAATTTTAAAATATCAATTTTTTGAATGACCAAAATCTTATAAAGAGTTTGTTTCTCACTTGATTGTTTTTAAGTTAAAACTAATTAAATAATTAATTAGTTAATTATCTCTTCCATCAAAAGTTGTTTCAAAAAAATTTATATATTTAATTTAAATAAATTAGACATTTTTTAAGTGAATATATAAATAAATAAATATTTTTATATATTTGAATAAATCTTTAATTTATTTATTTGTATTATGTGTGAATAATTAATTGCTTATTAATTGGCTTATCTATAAGGGCATTTTTGGAAATAAATTAATTAAATAGTATAAATAATAAAAAACCAAAAAAAATTTGCACTCATAATTGATTGTCTAATATAATAAAATTTTATCTTTTTCTTTAAAAACTGTTTAAATATTAATAGAAAACTGGATATACTCGAAAGACTAGCAGTAAATAAATAGATGATAGTTAAAAGTTTCAATTATCTATAAGTCTATATTATTATAAATAAGGAAGATATTTTTAAAAATAGCTTTTGTGTATTTTTTTTTAATAATTAAATTCTATCATTTCTACTTAATATTAGGCAATTTCATAACAATCATATTAATATTAATAATATTATTTTAATAATTTCTTTTAGTTTTAATAAGGTCAATTAGTTTCAAAAATAAATATAAATTAAAAATCTTCATCCCTCATTTTTAAATATCTTAAATATTCAAATAAAGATTATTTTAATGGATAGATACTCAAATATAATATTAATCTAATTCATTAAATTGATTGACAAATAAACAATTTATAAATTTATAATTCTTTTACAAGTTTAACTAAATGTTTGTCTAATTAATTAAAAATCTCCACAATTTACAAAAATTAAGTAATTCTCTTTTTTAAATCTTGAGATTAAAAAAAAAATACAGATAGACCTTATAATGATTACTTTGCAAAAAAAAATTTTTAAATCTCTTCTAATTCGTCGAGAAAAAGTAAAGACTGTTATATAGAAAATAAAACCTATTTAAAAATGAAATAAAAATATGCTTATGGCGTTAAAATTTGGGTGATAGGCATATTCAGATGGAAAAATATAATCTTATACTTCTAACTTTAGGATAAATTAATTGAAAAAGCCAAACCCTAAATCTATATAAAAATCAATCTTTAAATGATAAATACAGGTAAAAATTATTAAATAAAATGACATCTTAGAAAGCATTATCTAGATTATAATGAATTTAATTTTTATACTCTGCTGTTTAAGATATTTTTTTTTATTATCTCATTATTACTTTACATTTATTTGATATATTGAGAAAAGCTTTGAATGCAGTAGATGCACTTCGAAAATTAATTATTGCCTTTCTATCTCAAAAAAATTTGAAGTAAAAATGAATTTAAAATCATACAATTTGTTTTATACTTTCGTTTATATTGATAAGAAGAAAAAAAGATTAATTCTGAAATTGAATACAAATTAAAAATACTTTTTTGGTAAATATAAAAGCATTATTTTTAATTGAGCTTATTTTACTTTCATGTGATTCAATGACTGACTACTTTTGTTTTTAGAAAAAAAATCACTCTTAAAATTTATTAATAAGTGTTATAATAATTTACTTCCTATTAGATCTAACTAACTCTTTGAATTTTCCCCTTATTTTTTAGCAATTTATTCCAGAAATTTTTATTACTTTGATTAATTATTTAATTAACAAATAAATAATTGAAGAAACTTTTAATTATGATGATAATACATCCATCCTTACAATAAAAATAAGAAGAAAATAAATAACAAATTTATTTCTAATAACTTCATTATTTTTAGATAAGTTAAAATCTCTATCATATAGTTTCATTCTCAAAAATAAACTACATTAAAAAAGGAGCATTTAAATAGTAAATGTCAGCATATAATTTAATAAACAACATTTAATAAATAACAAGAGTAAACTAGCTTTAATTTTGTTTTTGGCATTCCACATAAAAAAATAATTTTTAATCAACTATTTATGATTTTTAAATAAATGATTGATACTTTTTTTAATCTCTGGATTTCCCAAGGATAATAAACGCTTTATATAAATTTCGAAAAAGGAAAAAAAATTAAATAATCAAGAGAATGAATGTATTAATTTTTACTTCTAAAATTAAATAAATGATCAAGAAAAAAAAAGCTGGAAATAGTAAAGAAAGTAAAAGTGGAAAGATAAGATAAAAAGTATTAAGCAAGGAAAAGCTTAACTTGACAAAAAATATGTTGATATAATTTGATTGAATTTTTGAGTCTAATTACATCACAACTAATTACTAAAGAAACAATTAATTGATATGATTTGGTTTAAAAAAATTATCCCCACTTTATTTAGTAAACATGATAATTTTAAATTAATTTTCACTTAGTAGAAGAACTGAAAAGACATCAGTGTTTTTTGATCAGGAAGTTAAAGAAATGTATTTTACCAACTAAATAGCATGTAAACTCCTGCGTTTACTTTGTAAGAAAATAAGTTAGTTTTTATTAGAAAAGAGAAACAAATCTTACTATTTTGTTTGGGTCTTGATTTAACTACTAATATTTGCTATGATTAATAGTTTTAAATTAATAGTTTATTTTAATTGATTAAAGAAGTATATTGCAAACTATCAAATTTTACAAATTTTATATTTAATTTTAACAAGAGTAAACATTTATAAGAATGTTTTCATATAAAAAGTCATATTTTTCTTACTTTATCATAAGATTTGTATATATATTTTATTGAATAGGATTAAGAAATAGACATCTAAGGTTAGGCTATTTAAGTAGATTACAAGATTAAAGAGTTACTAAGCAAAATTAATTATGATGGGTCATTCATCTTACACTTTCCATTTAATAAAAACCATAAATTGATGAGAAGATAAGTTATCTATCTATAACCTTTAAAATATTTGAGGGTAATTAATAATTTTTTCTTTTATAAGTGCTTAATATCTATGAATATTATACTAACAAGATTATCATTATTTTATCTTACAGATATAAAAACTACTTAATTTTAATTAAATTTGAAAGAAACTTACTTCAAAATAAGTAATAAAAGATATAAAATTTGTTAAATTCACTACAAAGAAATGGTTAAAAATTCTTCAAGATTTTAGTATTTATTGAATCACTTGATCAATTAATAACCATTTAATATAAATAAATATTATACAAAATTTGTTTATAAATAAATTAATTTTAGTATATAATTTTAATAATAATAATAATAAAATAGTTAAATTGTAAAAGTATTTTTTTAACACCTCTCAATAAGGGTTTCAAAGAAGTAGATGGGTCGAATTAAATTTAATAAATAGCTAGAAAATAAAGCTCAAATTTTTTTGTTATTAAAGTGAATGATTATTTATTTCATTCGCTCCTAAAACCAATCTCAAAAGTTAAATTTTCCATATATTATTAATCAAACTCGTTGTCGAGTTATTAATTTTCCATCTGCTATTCGTTTTATTCCTCAGTTTAAAAATTTTATTAGTTATACAATTAATTAATTAATAAAAGCTAGCTTGCTCTCATTGCTTCTAAAGGTCCTTTTTATAAATTTTGAAGCTATAGTGTTTATTCATCATATTGGTAAGTTTCGCTTAAATATGAGGAGTTAAATAGAGTATTGTTATAGTTACTCTGCCCATTTTCAAATTCAGATTTATTAAATTATGTGTTATTTTCTTTAATTTGGTCCTCCTCCAAACTACTGTGTGGTAGACATTAACTGTTGAAGCTTTGTTTTTCTTCTTCATATTGAGAAGATTTTTACAAATTTTATTCAAAGGTAACTTATAATTTATCAAAGTGCTCCTAATTTTGAAATTGAAATGAATTTATTCTGTAGAAGAGTTTTATAATAGACTAATTTTCGCTTTTAACGAATACTTGAATGGATTTAGAATCTGAATACTTAAATTCATCTGCTTAATTAGATAGATTAGAATAGTGATTTGAAAATTTATTGCAAATTTGGCAATTAGTTTAAGACGGACAGCAAATTTCAACAACTTAAAATCTATCTTGTAATGTCTTAAGAAAATAAGCATACTATTCATCATTAAAATAGTGTGTTTAATTAGGTTTAATGTGATCTTATAAATTATTGGTGTCTATATTATTTTAAAATATTTTTGATTAAAAAGATGATAATTTATTTATTTATTACTCATTTTTACAGCTTGATTCTTAATCTTATCGAATTTTTTTTTTTTATTTCAATTAAAGCTAACTTTAACTCGCTCAATCAAAAAATATAAATATTTTGAAATTTTATAAGCTCTTTTAAAATTGGAATATGATAAAAAACGTTTTAATTATCTAAAATATCTTAATATGTTAAAATTAACTTTCTTTAAAAACTACTCACTTTTTCATTTAAAATTTTCTAACTTTTTGACTTTAAAATTTTCTAACTATTTAGATTTTTAAATTTTCTAAATTTTTTTGACTTTAAAATGAATGGATGAATGATAGTTAGTATATATTTGTTCAAATAATAATTTTAGTTTACTTTTACCAATATTTGAAATGCTTTTTTTATATTTTATATAAATAAATTATTAAGCTTTTTTACTTGGATGCATAATATTCTATATTGTTTTAATATTTTATATTTTGAATTTCATAAATTGTATTTTATTTATTCTAAACAAAACATTTTACTATTACAAAGACTTTCAAAAATGGTGATAAAAATAATATTTATTTGAAAAAAGCAAATATTATTTGAAGTAAAAAAAATAAAAATTGATAAAAATAACTTCAAAATAAAAAAATGAAAAAAATGAAAATAAAAGTAAATATAATTTCATAATGCCTTACAAAAAATTTAAATTTACAATGAGGGAAGAACGGCAATCAAAAAAATCAAAAAATTTAAAAATGTTTGTTGGCTTATTCTCTAAACAAATTATCAAAAACTATTATTGTAAATGGAAAGATCTAGTTTTATTAATTTAGAGAATAATTTTAAAATTTGAGAAATAATAAATTTTTAGTTTATATATAATTATACAGACAATCTAGATGGTAACAGCTTGCGCTAACGTCTAGACTTATATAAACAAACTCTGATAAATGGTTAATCTACAGGGTATTCTAAAAAATTAAAAAGATGAAGATGTATTTTGAAAAATAGTAGTAGCTGATGCTGGCTGATATATCATTCATATTGATAATTTATTGATAGTCTAATCTAAAGTGGGATCCATTATTTAGCATGATAAACTTTAAAACAGAGAAAGGAAAACATTTAATTTATTAATATAGGACTCAAAGATCTCTAAAAAATATTTTGCTGAATCTTTTTGATTGAAATGTTTTAGAGTAAGCGATATTTAGCAACAATATCACAAAGAATTTAACAATAAGCCATAATAATAATATGAATAATTTTTCAGTCAAAAGTTGAAAAATGTTTACAAATTTTGAGAGAAAAAAATATATAAATGAAATTCCATGCACAGCAAGATAACAGCTAACATAATTATATAAAAGTATCTCAATTAATTATAAATGCTTAAGCTATAACAGATAAATGATTTTATATATTAATTTTATTATTTACATGCATACAATAAATAAGATAGAATCTGATTAGACAAATAAATTGATGAAATTGTTATATGAGAATGAAAAATAACTTCAGATATCTTAATTAAAATTATTTTAAGCTGTTAGCTTCAAATTCAACTTATTATTTATGTATTTAATAAGAAGTTAAAAGTATAAATATTGATTTTATTCATCTTCATATAAAGTTAATCTTCTATATTTATTTTACTTAATTATTTGTTAACTCTTTCTTGATCAAAAGCAAACAACAAGAAAAAGATTTTTTAATCAAAATTTAATTAATTAATTTTTTCAAATAGATTGTTTGGTTACAAATAAGCATAAGTAATCATTACTTATATACAGAATTACTTTATATATTAACAAATGATTTTCTTTCAGGTTATATGTAAATCATATTATGAAGTAGAAATACTTTAAAATAGATAATATTCTTCAAAAATATATTTTCATTTCTTTGCGATATCATTATTTTTAAATCAACTTACCAAAATTTATAATATATTTTAATCTATTATTTTAATAATTTTATCTAAATTGCTTATCATATCAAATAAAATACTTAAGATTTTTATTTTCAATTTTATTTTATTTGTTGTTTAAAATATTAGCAATAATTTCTCAATGGTTATTTATAAAATAATTCAAGATATATTTAGCAATATTTTATAATTTGAAATAAGTTATATTAGAAAAAAAATAAGAATTTTGTGTTTTCTAAATTAATTACTAAATAAATAACATTTCCAAATATATTTTGAAAAAGCAGCCACTTCAAAATTCAATAAGTTTAATTACTTAAAATAATATTCTTTATATATTTCACTTAATCATTTATCTTTTTTGATGAATAAATTCAATTTATTTTTAAATTACTTTTACAAGAAAAATAAAAATTAATTTTAAAAGGGTGATACATTTTTAATTAGAGTTAGAATTTAAACAACTAAATTTAAATAAATCTAAAGTAATTAAGCAACGCAAATCAAAAAAGAAATTTATAAATTAAAACCAAGTCACTTAATATCAATCTATGAAATTTTCAAAATTAGAATTTAAAAAGGTTTTTAAATCTTGCTAAGAAATAACTTAATAAAAAAAATAGAACTTGTGTTGAGTTTAAAAAATTAATTTCAATCAAAAAATTTAAAATAATTTTGAGTTATTTCAATCTTAATTAATTTAGTTTGAATAATTATTTGTTATTTATTAATTTTATTACTAAATTTAGAGTGAAAAGGGAAGGACATTATAATTTAAAAAGGTAGTTCATTTTTCAATTACTTTTAAATTATAATTTAGTTAAAATAAATGAATATTAGAAAATAGAGTAGAAATATTAAATAATTTTAAATAAAATCACTAATAAAAATAAAAATGCAAATAAATTTTTATTTAAATAACTTTTTTTAAATCTACTAATTTTTCAGAGAAAGAATGATTAAACAAACAATTTTAGAAATAAAATAAGTTTCAAGAATTTGCTTGGACATCATTATTAGGCTTTGATTAGTATTTGATATATTTTTTTTGTATGAAAGATTAATATATATTAAATGAAGATATTGAAATTACTTAGAGATAAGAAGAATTAATTATAAGAAGTAGAAATTTAGTAAAATTAAGATTGAATAAAGTAAGTATCTGATAAAGATTTTTCTGAGAAAGAATGATTAAACAAAGAATTTTAGAAATAAAATAAGTTTCAAGAATTTTACTTCGACATCATGATTAGGCTTTGATTAGTATTTGATATATTTTTTTTTGTATGAAAGAATAATATATGTTAAATAAAGATATTGAAATGGTTTAGAGATAAGAAGAATTAATTATAAGAAGTAGAAATTTAGTAAAATTAAGACTGAATAAAGTATCTGATAAAGATTAAATTGAAAGGACAAAAATAGATTATTTGGCTTGATTGAATTAATATAAAGTAGACTTAAGCAAATAAAGATTTATGATGCTTTGTATCCAAAATTACACTTATAGCAAAGTAAAAATCAATTATTAAATTAAAAAGAAGTGAAAAGAATTTATAATTAGTAAAATTAATTACAAATTTTAAAGAATATTTACAAAAATCAAATTAAACAGTAGAAAAAGGTATAAAACTCGATTAATTATGAGTAAGAATTTTACAGGTGGAAAGAGAAATTTTGCAACTGCAAATGGAAATGGCAAGGAATCATTTGGCGAAAAGCCTCGTAAGAACTTCATTACCTCTGAAGGTAAAAAGGATTTCAAGCCCAAGAACAGGGATTGGGATTCTGAAAGTGAAGATGAAGACACCAAGAAGAACCAAATTGAGGCTAAGCACAACTAAGATAACATGAGTAAATATATTAAGAATGCCAAGACTATTGAAATTCTTAACAAGAGAGGAATCACTTATTTGTTCCCTATTTAGGAGCACTGTTTCCAAGCTATCCAAGCTGGTAAGGATCTTATAGGAAAAGATAGAACTGGCAGTGGTAAAACCCTCGGTTTCTCTTTGCCTCTCATTGAAAAATTAAGAAATGAAGGTATGAAAATTTACAAATATTTAAGCAATTTAAACATTTACATTATATTTAAATTGTAAACTCTTAATAATTTATCTTTCTCCATATTAACAGGTAATTTCACTAGCATCAAAAAGAAACAAACTCCATATATGCTCGTTGTAGTTCCTACTAGAGAACTCTGTATCTAGGTTGCAAATGAAATTAACACACTCAAGCACACTGACAATGAATTTAGAGTTTTACAAATTTACGGAGGTGTCGATGTTAGAGAGCAAGCAAATTAAATTAGAGATGGTGTTGAAATCGTTGTTGGTACTCCTGGTCGTATCATTGATCAATATGAAAGAGGTGCTTTGATGTTCCACTCTATTATAGCCACTGTTTTAGATGAAGCCGATTAAATGCTTAACTTTGGTTTCTAAGAAGACATCGAAAAGATCTTTGGATTTATCAAGAATGACAAGGGTGAAGAAAGACCTTAGAATTTGTTATTCTCAGCTACCATGCCTTCTTGGGTTCATGACATTGCTAGAAAGTTTTTGAGAGAAGACAGAGTTTTAATTGATTTAGTTAAGAATTTAGGTAACAAGACAAGTTAAGATGTCACTCACTTAGCCATCAACTGTCCTTACTTCTAAAGAACTGAAGCTATCGGAGATGTTATCTTATGCTATGGTGGTGGTGCTCACTCCAGAGTCATCATCTTCTGTGAAACTAAGAATGAAGCAAATGAAATCATGCTTAAGGCAAATATTAAATAGGATGTTTAGGTACTCCATGGTGATATTCCTTAAAAGTAGCGTGAAATCACATTCCAAGGGTTCAGAGAAGGTAAATTCAAGTGCTTAGTTGCTACTAATGTTGCTGCTAGAGGTTTGGATATCCCTGAAGTTGATTTAATTGTCTAATTAGAACCTCCCAAAGAACTTGGTAATGATTAATTTATAATTATTTTAATAATAAATATTAAATAAATTTAATATTATTAAAAGATGCTTACATTCATAGATCTGGTAGAACAGGAAGAGCTGGTAAGAAGGGTGTTTGCATTACCTTCTACACCAAGAAGCAATAATCTTTGATTGAAAGAATCGAAAAGAAGTGTCACATTAAGATGCAAAAGGTCGGTGCTCCTCAACCAGCTGACCTTATTCGTGCTTCTTAAAACGATATCAAAAAGAACCTTATGTCAGTTAACAGAACTGTTTTAGGAATATTCAAGGAAGTTTCAGTCGATTTAATTTAGGAATTCGGACCTGAAGAAGCTTTGGAACGTGCTATTGCATTCATCTCTGGTTTCACTGAAAAAATGAAATAACGTTCTTTATTATGCTGTCTTGAAGGTTACGTTACTTATATTGTACGTACCCCAAGCGAATTTAGAGGTCTTGGCTACATTTGGGGATGGGTTAAGAATAACTTCCCTGCTGAATGCACTGATAGAATCAAAGGTATGAAGAAGTTTGCAGATAACAAGGGTGCCGTCTTCGATGTTGCCGAAGAAGACAAAGAAGTTTTCGATGCCTATATTAATGAATTAGCAGAAGGAACAAAGCAAGGTTTGGAATTAGAAGTTGCTACTACTATTCCTGAAATCGAAGAAGAAGGTGGATATAGTTAAGGATACAACGGTGGCAACAAGTCTGCTCCAAATGGATTCTCATTCACTAATACCAACCCTAAAATGGACCCCAAGCTTAAGAGAGAACTTGAAATCTTCATTGGTGGCTTACCCTACGACTGCAAGGAAAAAGATGTTACTTAACACTTTGATAAAAATGGTGTTTAATTCTCTTCTCTCCGTGCTCTTAGTGGTAAGAAATTTATTTATTTATTTTTCTATATAAAGTCTTTTTAGGTTTTATAAAGCATATACTGATCAAAAAGAATATTTTTGTAAATAAAACAAATGCATTCACAAACATTCATTTGAAGTTAAAGTTACAATTTATTAAAATTATTTCTAAATAAAATAGGTGATGATGGCAAATTTAAAGGTATTATTTTCGCAATGTGTGCCAATTAAGCTGGTGTCAAGAAGGCCTTGACCTTAGATGGATAAAAGTTCATGGGAAGACCTCTCAGAATTAACATGGCTTGCAAAAAGTGAAAAGCAAATAATATAAAGAAAAATTTTTGAATTGAAACATTAACAAATTATTATCTTAAAATATAAAATTAACAGCTAAATCTCTAACTTTAATAACAACTAATTATTTTGTCTAATTTTAAATCAAAACTAAATCTATTAATTTATATCAGATGGAAACTCACTCACTCCCAATCTAAAATAAGCTCAAATAAATGCTATGATAATGATAAATGAGTGAATCAATCAATAAACCAAAAAAATTAAATAATAATAACAATAAAAAACTACCTATCTACCTACCTATTAAATATAAATAAAAATAAAATTAATTTTAACTCTCAAAACGAACTTATCCAAAATTTATTTTTGTATATACCCTCATGCATTTTACAATTAATGTATTATTTTTATCTTTACGCATTTAAATTAAATCTTTTCTGACTCTTTTCTATTTTTAAACAAATATATTTAATACGCTTTTTTGATTATTTTGTAAACAAATTAATTTAACTCACTTTAATTTCGACAAACTCTTTAAGAAATTAATTAAAATTTGCTCTTTCTTACTCTTAATACAAAATAATAAATTCTTATTATCATAAAGCTTCAAAACTATATTTTTAAATAAATAAAGGTATACATATTTTTTTATTACTGGCTAATTAGTTTATATTTATTATTTTTAAAAATAAAATTATTATTTTAGGATAAATATAATTAAAAATTTCATTAACCATAAAAACATCTCAAAAAAAGGAAAATAAAATAAAATTAGCATTTTTAAACTCTAATAAAAATTTGAAGTTTTGTGCATTATAATTACAAAATATGACAACATGTTTTATTATTAATTTCTTATTAATTTTTAAATTTAGAATAAATTTTAAGAAATATTTAAAATAAACATATGATTAATTATACTAAAACTAAATTAAAATTATATTTTTTAAAACTAAATTTACCAAGAAAATTGAATTTTAAATAATTTTCAAGTTATTAAAACCATAAACAGAAAATAAAATATTTACTTAAAAATATTTATTTTTTGTTTAGTAATTTTAAAATAATTAATTAATTATTTAAAAAAAATAATTTTCACTTAATAATCCTTGATATTGTTGCTTAATTGTAATTGGATTAAAGACTTTGTCTAGATGGTGGACATTTTTTACTGTAAATATTAATTAAAAAAATATTTTTGAAATATTAAATTCATTAATTTTATTATTAATTACCACTTTTCTCATTTGGAATTTTAGGACTAAAAAAATTTACCTATCATAGACAGGTTTTTGAAAGGTGCCATTTTTCCAAAAGTACTCAAAATCTCAAATTTAAATAAAAATTTATCTTTTGGACCAAATTTAGCCTAAAATAGAGATATACTTACCATCTATTCTCTAATTCAAAATGCACTCTAAATTAATGTGAATTTATTAAAAAGTGCACATAATTTTAAAATGTTTATTTTTGAATACACTTTAACTTAGAATAATAAAATTTTACTTTAAAAAATTGAAAAAATAATTGAATGTAAATGGTAAAACTTTGAAAAAGCTAATATTTTTTGAATAATATGATATAAATAATTAAAGTTTAAAAAAATATTAATTAAGGTAAAAACCCCTTCAAATTGAAAATGGTAATCAGTAATAGAATCCTTAGGTGGACTAATCGAATGTTGAGTAAGTTTCTTAAAATTTTTTTTAATTTAATAGATTTTCGATACAAAAAAAATAGAGAAAATTTATTTATTTATCCTTTATATCAAATTAAAAATAAAATGAAAATTTTAATTTTATATATTCTATTGATACCTTATAAAATTTTATTCAGAGATTAGAGATTGAGGCTTTCTCTTATCTGTGCCTTCTATATTTGTCATAAGTTATTTAAATCTGACATTATATTTTCGTTTCGCATTAAAATTATATAGGTAAGTCATCTGTCTCTTAATTTTTTGTTTTGATTAGGTATGAATTGTGTGATCATTTTATTATGTTTTTTTTAATTTAATTGTTATTAGTTTATCATATAATTTTCTTTCTATTCTTGATTACTGATTGATGATTCGTTTTATCAATTAATTATTGAGTTTTGTGCTCATTCTTTTGATTCTTTTTTTTAATAAATCTATATTAAAATCGCCTTGCAGTACATTCATGCTATCTTTCATAATTAGTTATTATTTGGATCAATATTTTGATTTATTCATTTTGTTTAGTTTTCTAATATTCTAAGTGAGTATTGATTATTATTATTTAATTGTGAGTCAGAATAGCTCTTCATATTTAAATTTTATGTATTGAGTTTATTTTATTCCTTAGTGACCTATTATTAGTTGCATTAGGTGATAATTCCATCTCCTTTTTTGTTAATAGAGGGATTAACTATATGTATATTCAGATCTTTAAACTCATTTTCATTTTTTTAATGATCATCTCTAAAATAGAGAGAATAGTGATTCTATCTTTGTTTTGTGTATTTACATATTGATAAAGTGATTTTATATAATTTTTTAATATATTTATTCAATTCTATTATCATTTTACAGAGGCATTCCTTTAATATTCCATAATATTTTGAAAACTTATCAAATTTTGAAAAATTGAAAGAATCTTTTGAATTTTATAGATAAATTATTTCTATGACTTCCTTTCTTTCACTTCCAATTATAAGACAGCATCTTTTTTATTTTCATTAATAAAGACCGATTATTTAAGTTTATGTGATTTCTTAATCATTTTATTTTCTCATTTTTTGTTTTTAGCGAAATTTTTTCTTTATTATTTAGAATAAAACCCATGAAATTTTTTCCTGATAAATTTTAGATAGAATGTTATTAAATTTAAAGTTTTATTATTGCTAAAAATAATTAACAAAAAAACCGTAATGAACATGCCTTTTAAGACAAATAAATTATTTTTTTAACAAGCTTCAAAAATAAGCTTTTAATGTATATAAAAATAACCTTAAAAAATATCTAAAAATATTGATATTAAATTGTTTAAAAATAAATTAAAAAAAAATAATATTTTTTATTCTTTTTATACATAACACAACCTAAAAAAAATAGAAAAATACACTGACTTATTCTAAATAAATCATTTTTATATTTCAAAACTTTAAAGATTTTAAGTTTAATTTTGTAACAAAGGTTGCTATGTTTAGTTGAATATATTTTATTCAATTTATTTATTTTGATCTCCTTTAGTAAGCTTTATCTCTTTCTTGTCTGGAATGATAGGATCAAGTTATTCAGTATTGAATTGCTTTACTTTTTCATACAATGACTTAACTGTTTATACTTTTTACTTAATTTAAGGATATTAAACCAAGTCAAACAATTGAGTGGGCTTTCCATTTATCATGCTTCTTGCTTTGGTTTTACTTAAGCCCTTCAAAAGAGAATTAATGCAATTATTATGTCTTTTCTTGATTATGTTAACCTTTTCAGGTACATCATCTATTAAAGATGAAACCAAATATTTCAAGAAAATAAATATCAAGAATGTAACGAAAAAGATTCTCTATGAATATTTGTCAACTGTTTTTAAAAACAAAATTAAATTAGTTTTCTTTACAAAAGAAAAAATAAAGAATATTATTTACCATTTTAAGCAAGGGTTGGACTAGTTGTCACAGTATCACTCGTAAAGGCTATCAGACCTATATTTTGTTTAAAAAATTTTAATAATGAAAAAACAAACAAAAGATAACAAATAAATAAGAAAAGAGAAATAGATAAAAATAAATTACCTGCATTAGCAAATACAGATAAAAATGAAATGATTTCAATAAGAACAAACCATGTTCCTATATCAGATGCTCCTGTAGGTGTCTTTTTTTATTATTTAAATTAGATTTTTAAAAATAATTATAAAATGATTAAAGTTATACAGGTCTTCTGGAAATGTAAATCAGTTTGGTTTTATCAACTTAAATTTCTAGAATATTGTTCACAAAAGCTAGAAGGAAAGAAGTGGGGAAAGCTAAGCCGAATAGACTTAAGAATGCAAATTAAATGACTAATTCCATATAGTCACTTACAGTACCATCTATTTCACGATTTGTTGTGTAAGGTTCCAAATCAAATTGATCTTTGATGTAGTTATCAATTTCTCTGAAGGGATGAATGATTAGATTCTTATGACTATCTCTTAAGGCTTTCTTAGCAAATGTTTTAAGGAGAGGGACAACGAGTTCAGGAATATTTTTAATTAAGTTAATTAAGAAAATGGAAATCATTTGAGTTCTTAAAACATCGAAACAATCTCTTTAACCATCCTTTTAATCACTTTTACAGAAATCAATGTAAGTAGTATTTCCTTTTTCAATCAAAAAGAGATCGTTGAAGAAGGCAATAATAAAGCATGAATTGAACGTATTACAAAAGGTAAACATGAAGACTTTAGAGATATATGAATTTTCATAGCTCATTAATGTTTAATGATTTTCTTTTTCACTCAACCAATCATTCATATAAAGATAAACTAGTTTAAAAATAAAAAAAAGTTTATCATAAATTAAGTAAAGGCAATTTATTTAAAACTAAGTTAAATTAATTATTAAAGTTTTATATCAAGGCATAGAATACTCTTTGATACAATAGAATAAAAGAAATAAGTATAATTTAAGCATAAAAGAGCTTATGAAAAAAAAAAAATCATCTTCATTTTAAAATAAATAAATTTTTGAGGATTAAAAAAAATATTAAAAAATATTTACGCTAGTTAAAAATAATAATCTAGATAGAGTTAAGAATACCAATCAATGTGTTAGGATTAATAAAAGGAGCGTTCAGTAAGTAGCCATTTTCCAAAAGCCAAGCTTTGAAGAAGAAAAGTGCAAAAATGATAGCAATAACTATGCAAATAACTAAAGCACTAAGAATTAAAGAAAAAACAAAGAAAGCTTTTCTCTTTAAGCTGTTATAATACTAATAATTTATTTAATCGTTAGCTATAGATCTCTTGAAGTAACCTTTAAAAGAAGGACGTTCTTACTCTGATTGCTAAAAGTTTTCTTAACCATATGTAAGAGAAAATACTGCTTGTTCTCTTTTCCAGAACTCAATAAAAGCACACTACCATATGATTATGATAATAGCAAAAAAGAATCTAAATCCAGCGGAAGTCTCAGGGTGCTTATACTTGAGTGAAGCTATAATAATTTCTATTATAACACCTATAAAACTTATGTAGCTTAAGTGGAAAGTATAGCTGCTCAAAAATTTGAAATAGATAGCTATTTTTTCTCCAAAATAGTCTCTAATAGTATCAATCTGTAAATACCAAGGTTTGAATATTCTTATGCTAAGATCTTGAATGACACTTGAAGTATCAAAATCTGAAGGATCAGCCTAGGTATCAAGCATCAAAAATAATTTTCTTACTCTATCTTAAACTTCTGAAAGTTCAGGTTCAGGCAAAATATCATCTTTTAAAAATAAGTAATTGATAAATTATTAATATTTATTTAAAACAAATAATTATTTTAAGCCAGTCAAATAAAAATTAATTAGAGTTTAAATAAAATTAAATTTCCTTATATATATTTATTTTTAATTTTTATAAAAATTTTTCTTGTTCTTATTTGTAAATTTCTGAAGCAAACATTTTATAATTTTTGTCTTTTAAATAAGAAGAATTTATGAAATAAAAATGAAAACTAATTAGTACTAAAAAGAAAAAGTTCAATATTTTTTATAAAATAAAATAATATAAACTCTCCAATTTAAGGTTCTCCTTATTCAAAAAAAAAAATTTTTAGGATTTAAATTTGAGTGTATTAAATTAGTAAGAGGGTTTTAAATTATGGGTATTAAAAAGAAATTAATTTACATTAATATTTTTATTTTTTTTACTTTTTTGTTATTTATCTTTTGATTATTTTTATATTAATTGAATTTTATTCAAATTCAAAATTTTTTATTTTCTTTAAAAAAAATAAGAAGTTCATAAAAATATTATTTCTTCATTTAAGGCTAAATCAATTAAATAACACAAATGTTTGTTTAAATCAAGAAATTTACTCAATTAAATTAATATAGTTTTTTTAATTTAAAGGGAAAAAATAAAATTTTATTAATTAAAATTTTATATTATTTTGAATTGATTATGCCAAAAATATTTATTATTTTATTTAAAAATAAAAATTTACTTTCTATAACTTTTTAGAAATATTAAAGAGCACTATCTCCTTTTAGTTGATGAGGATCATGAAGAGGGAAATAATTAAGCATCAAGCCTTGATTAAGCATTTTAAGTACATTAACCTTATTTATTAAATAGAATAATAAATATTATCTTAGTAATATATAAAATATTATTTATTTATTACATTGTCTCCAATTACAATGTCGCAAATCTTTATTTTTTCCATGTTAGTAAATATTGATCTTTACTTAAATTCGTTTTATTCATAAGTTCTCCAGAAAAGAAGGTGCTCTTCATAAGGTGAATTCGTAAAATTACTAAAAGGTGCAATAGGATTTTCAACTTCTAAACGATGCCATATGTTCTATAATTTTTACTTTGCTGAAAAGAAGCTTTAAACTTTCAAGAAGCTTAGATTTGTATCTTCAATCGCTTATTTGAAAATAAGCTTTTAGTTAAATAGTAAATAAGTAAATAAAATATGTCAATCTATTAATAATCTATCAATTTACTCTGTAGAGGAAAGCTGCATTTTTTTCATACTGATTTAAAGCTCTTTTTTTGTTATTCCCTGTCTTTTTAGCTTCAGCAGGATTTTATTAGCCAGGCTAATCTTTATTGTTATCAACATTTGCTTTTGCCTGATCTTTGGCAAATTTCTTTAAAACTTTCATTTTTGAACAATAATAAATCATGTAATCTAAGTAAAGACTATAAGCAGCCCATAGTTTCATATTCAAAGGATCATTGTCATCAATAATTTCAACAAGTTCTTAATCTTAATTAATTTTAATATCTGAAGCTATCTCATCAAGCATTCCATCAAAATAATACTACTTTCTTCCTAAATCTATCCAAAATTAATCGTCATCCATATTCAAATACTCTCTTAAGTTTCTAATTGGTAAAACACCAGATATCTTTTATTACTAAGTTCTTTCATCTAACTCTGTATTTCTTTTCTTTTTGGCATTTTTTACAGCCAATCTAACTAAGTACTTTAATCTATATGGCCTAAATTTATAGAAAAACAATTAAAATATCTTATGAATGTGTGATAAAAATAGCATCTCATTTAAATAAATAAAATGAAGTTTTAGATGCTAGCAAAATTCAATAAAATAAAAAATAATTATTAAGAATATTTTAGCATTTTTTATAAATGAAGTTAATAAAATAAGTTTGAAATATTTTTAAGCAAATTTTAGTCAATCGATTAATTTTAAATTCTATGAATTAATTTCTTAATATTATATAAATTTTCATCAGGATTTTTTATAAAAACAACCGAAATTATCTATGAATTTTTGATAGGAATTTTTATGATAGGTTACCCTTTAATATAATTTTTTATCTACTTTTAACTGAGATTTTAATCAATTTTCATAAATCAAATTATAATCCCTAAATATCATCCACAGATTTTATTTGGTTTAGGAAATATTTAGATCCTTTCAATAATTCAAATTTGAAAAATGAAAAATATATAATGAATTAATTTTTAATATAAAAAATATACCTGAATTTATCATCACATGGCTCCAAAGAGAGGATATCAGCATATCCTAGCTCAATCTGCTTGTTGTGCTTATAGTAAGAAGCAGTTTGGCGGATTATATCTTCTGAAGCTTTGATAGTAACAATAATTTAAGTACCTTCTTCATTTAGAATAGATCTTGTACTTAGTTTACCATTAATTGTAAGCTTAGAAATGAGGGTCATCCTGAAAAGAGTTTAGAAATCTTTAGGAACATGATTAGTTATAATATAATCATAATCATCTTTATCATAGTATCTAATATACATGAATTTTCCTTTATTTACTTTCTTTTTTACATTCTTGAAAGATGATAAATCGTTATTCATTGTGCCTTCGACAAGCTGAAAAAGAAGATCCTCAGAAGATTGTGTTAGTGGCAAATTGTTTAAAGTTGAAGGTTAGGCATCTTTAAGCTAATTTTATTCGTTAGCTACAGTTGTGAACAAATTCTATTACTAAGGTAATCCATTTAAAGTTTTATTTTCATTTTTATCCTACAACTTATTATTATTATCTTTATTATCTTTATTGTTTTTTATATCCTTATCTTTATTTAAAGCATTAATAGTAGGTTATTTGTTATCAGGAGATTATCCAGGTTGCAAGTTTCCTATCAAAGGAACTTCATTATTTTCTTCAATAAATCTAATTTCTTATAAAAGTTCTATTATTTCAGCATCTGATAAACCTTATACTTTTTTTTTAACAGACTATCTTCCTTATTTTTCCTGTGGATCTAATTTAAGTTCTTTGTCAGCTTATTAAAGTAAACTTTGTTAGTCTTTAGATTTCTCTTTTTACAGTTTTTATTACTTTTCTTATTCAACTTATTACTAAGCCTTTTACTTTCTCTTTTTTTTCTCCTGTTCTTCCTTCTTTTTTTAAGCTTCTTATGCTTCTTCAGTGTTGTCTACATAATCATCTAATAGTAAAAACGATAATTAAAATGCTTTCCTTTGAAAGTCAACTTCGTGTGCATTCATTTATGGATTTAACATGTTTAAATTCTCATCAAATATTTGCATCGCTTCCCTAAAAGTTATTCCTTCTGCTTTCACTTCACTATTCTTATTGTCTGGGTTCGGGAAAGACATGACCATTTAACCAAAATTAAAATCATTATACACATTTTCAAATTATTCAGCTTCCCTATCTGCTAAAAATCTGTCTTCCTTTCTTTTAGCCTTGCTTTGAGTCTTATTTAATTTATTAAAGTCAACTGAATCTTTATTTCTAAACATATTCAAGAAAGATAGAACACGCTTCTCATTTTAATTGATATTAGCTTATTTCTAACCCTTTTTATCCTACTTTTTATAAATTAAAAATAATTTAAATTGTCGTTTCAAAAAATTTTAGCAATAAAGTTAAATTAAAAATGATTGAAACAATACCTTATTAGTAGGTTACCTATTGTCTTAAGTGAGCTAAACATTTATTTAATTTTATTGGATCAAATCACCCTGCTATGGTTAATTTATTATCATTTTAAACCTATTTTCCTAACTTTAAAAATTATCTAAAAGGAGTTATTTGTTAATAATTCAAAATAATAATTATGTGTTTATTTTACACCTAAATATCTTTATTATTTTCAAAGTTTAAAAATTATTGATTAGCTATTAACAAACAAAAAATCTTCAATCAATCTTAATACTGACACCTAATTTCTATAATCTGCTAATATAAAATTTGTTATCTTCTAAAACGAAAAAAATTAAAAATAATGAATGAAATAGGTTTTTAATAATTAAAGTGGTTGATAGTCATTTTTTGCATCAATTTTTTAGAGAAAAAAAGTTACATCTTGATAAATAGATATTTACTACTCTTGCTTATAAAAAGAATAAAAAATAATATTTTGTATTTCTAAATTTTTAAGAATAATTTTCAATTCCTTTTAAGTATTAATTATTTTTCCTTGCAAGTGACAATATTTAAAATCGATTCATGTTATTTAAATGAAAACTGTATCCATTAATATAAATATAGATACAAAATATAATAATAATAAATAAATGCTATTCATATTTATTTATATAACAAAATAATAACTTTACAAAAAATATAAAATTTAAAAAAATAAGAGATATATTAGATTAACTCTATGTAAATTGCTTCATGAGGTAAATTAGGTTAGATTTTTATTTTTTAGGTTTTTAATTAACTTAAGTAGCAAATAAGTGTTTTTAGATTATCCTTTAGGATATACAAATTATATCATGATAAATGCTTATTCATGTCTGTAACCAATAAAAAGATTAAAAAATATTATTTTGAATTTCTAAATTTTAAAGAATAATTTTTGACTCCTTTTAAGTATTTAATTAAGTTTTTCTAATAAAGATAATATTTTTAATTATTTATTTTTACTTGCAAGTGGCAATATTAAAAGTCAATTAATTATTTTCAATGAAAATTGTACCTATAAATAAAATTATTTATCTAAAATATAAAAATATCTAACAATTGTTTGTATGTATATCCGTATTTATTTATACTTCAAAATAATAATTTTACAAAAAAATAAAATTGAAAAAAGAAAACATAAATAAGAATTAAGTGGATTTAAATTATTTCATTTTGGTGTTTTAGGATTTTATGAACTTACTAATTTTAAAACTAGCTAATCCTTCATCTTTTCTCTAGTATAGTATATAGAAATTATATACCCGGCAGCTTGTCCTTGTAGAAAAGATTTTATATAATTCATATAATGATTTCTTCCTTTTGAATATCTATATCCTATAAATATTGTGCTGGTAACTAGCATACATTTTAAAGAATCGATTCTTAATTACTTTTTCAATCGTTAATCCTAAAATAAGTAAGAGTTATTTTCATCTTTTAAAAAACCAAACTGGTATGCTGTTACAAATAGTATATCCTACATATAATTATAGAGCTTTTCACTTAACTTTTAATTTTATTAATCCATTTTATACAAAATTGAATGCTTTTCAAACACTTATTATTTATATCTATTATCTAAAGAATTCTTTATTAATTAATCTAAATTATTTTTACACAAAATTAAATTTCTATTGAAAAAAGCAAAAGATAGAATTTTCTTAAAATGCTATGAAATTGTTAATATTTATTCTAAAATTTAAAAATAAATGTTGAAAAAAATAATAATAAAATAACCATTAATAATATCTTATTTAATTAAAAATTCTTAAAGTAAGTTTTCTTACTTTATATAATAAATACCTTAAATAATTTAAATTTATTTTTTTTCTATAATTGATAATTATTTCTATCATGTTTTTTATTCTTTATAAAAAAATTAAGGATTTTTTTTTACAATGTTTGATAGTATTAAAAATTACAAAATATTGATGATTTTTTAACTTTTTATTTGTAAATTTAATTTAACAAATGTAAATGTAGAGAAATTAGAATTATTAAACATTTAATATTTTTTGAGATAATTAGTATAATATTTTAATAGAGATAAAAAAATAAAATGTAATTTATTTATTGATAGAGCGAGATAAGCAGCTGTATCAGAGAGTTTAAAAGATGTTTACGAATCCTTTTAAGTATAATTAGACTAATATAAAAGTATTTATTTAAATGATATAATAGAATATATAAAAAAGTTGACAAATTACTAATCTTTTAAAAGATTGAAAATTGTTTTAGTTATTTCTCTTAAAAAAGCTACAATTCAGCAAATAATTTATGAAGAAGCTACTATCATTTTTTTAATGAAAAACCTGATAAGCTGCCACTTCCACTCATAAAATTTATCTTTTCTTTTCCAGTTAATGAATTTTAATTTATAAAGTGACTATCAATATTTTTGCTATTTTAATTCTTTTAAGCAGTATTTTTTCTGTTTTAAGGGGAAGGTTTTTAGTTATCATGCTTTTATTAAGAAGCTGTGTATTACTGGCTACGATGATATTAGTTTCTATCAGTCAAGTTAACAGCAGGTACTTCTTTACGTTATTTGGAATTATTATTTGTTTTTATTAATTTTCTTTCTGTTAGATTTGCTTATTTAGGATTAGAAGAGGAATACTTACTGGTACTAGAAGAACCATGCTGAGAAGCATATTATTACAATTATGAAGAATGTTAATAATTTTATTTATTTGATCTAGAAGTCCAAAATCCATATGAATTTTCTTGATTTTCTTCTTAATTATTGTACATCATTAGATGATTCATATTTTAAGAGTTCATATTGGTAGTGCTACTGCTGCTATAAATATTTTTGTTGCCACTTGAATTAAATTCGTGCTGCTAATTGATAATTTTGCTGATATTCAACTTAAACTCCTGCTTCTTTTATTGTGGAATAATACTATTTTGCTAACTTTATCCATATGAAGATGGCGAAGGTAATATTTACTTATTTTAAACAGAAGATCCTTGATGTGTTTATTCAAATGAAAGTATTTAAAGGCCATTTTAGTTTAAGTGATTCTATTACTATTATTGTAACTGTTGATTTTAGTTAACATTTATTGGAGATTAAGAAGAAATACCTCCACTTAATTCGTTAGAGATGAATTAAATATTTTAATTTTGTATTTGCTAACCCTGAGAGTTTTTGTTTGTTTTTTGATTTGATTTTGAAAGACTTTCTGATTTTTGCTTCTTTTTATGGTTAGGAGAGGATATCTTTTAGTTAAGGTTGGCTTAGATAATTGATTAAGCTGCTCCATTAATTGGGGTGTTAGATTAAACAAGCATATTGTTATTACTATTTGTTATTCCAGTAGTTGAGTGAGAAGAACCAGGTTAAATTAGAGATTTTTGGTTGAGAGTTGTTTCATTATTGTTATTGAAGCTATTTACTTCATTGAATCCTTATGCTGTTCCTCCTCTATTTGTATTGCTCATCATAGTTCTAGAAAGTTAAGAATTTATATCGAAATTTATAATATTGTTTTAATTTAATGTTGAGTTATTAGCATTAATACTATTTTGATTGATGTTACTTCCAAGCTAATTTTATGATAAATTTTTTTAGCTTTGTTAAATCTATTGCTATTATTGCTGGGAGTAAATGTGCTAAAGCTATCTGCTTGAAGAACCGTTTTTATCCATTGAATTTTAATGACTTTCTTAATATGATTTTTATGAAGTATTGTTTGTAGATTTATAGTTGTTCATTATGTTTAATGGAGTTACTGTGTTTTAATTATGATTTGTAGGAGAAATGTAATTATTTGTAAGAATTGAATTTATATTAATATTATTATTGTTATTGTTATTGCTTTGAATAATGCTATTTGTATTTGTCTGATTTCCTGTTTTTAGAGCTTAGCTGCTTGTATTTCCACTAGCGTTTATTGACTTAAAAAATACTTTACCATTCTAATTCATGTTAGAGTTAGATACAGTTGAATTTGGAGTTATTTTTCCAGCTTTGCTATTTGGATTTTATTGATTTTAAAGATGATTGTGCATAGAAGTGTAGGATAGCTGCTTTTGATTTACATTCTTGCAAGTTGAAACTGTTGAAGAGATAGGAGATTTGCTTTATTAATTGTTTTAAGTACTGCTAACTACTTGATTACTGTGTTGCATTTAATCTGCTTAATATTATTGAAGCATGTGTTAAGCAGTTGGAACGATAATCGCAGCTTAGTTTAATTTTTGTTATTTTTATACTTTGTAGTTTGACTCATTGAATGTCTCGTGATCTCCGCTTAGATTCTTAATCAAGCTGGAAGTCCTTGCTTACTTTAGCTAGTTGTTGTTATGAACTTACTAGTCTTTGTGAGCCATTCTATTAGGAGTACAAGCATTTTACTTGATTTCTTATTAAAGCTTACTGACAGCTTGATTTGAGATAGTACCTATAGAATTATTGTATAAATCAGCATTTTACTGCTAAAGATGTTAGTACAGTTGCGAATTATGAAAGTTAGTTTAGTTAGTATTACTGCTTCCACTGCTCACTTAAATTTGATTGTTATTTGACGATTGTGTAGTTTACTAATTTAATTAATTGTTATAGCTATTAAGATTGCTGTAATTGCTATGAGGAGGGGACTTCTTATTTTACTTACGTTGTTGCTGAGAATTAACTTGCTAGTTTGCAACATACTAATTATTCTAGGTGTAATTAGAGTGCTAAGAGCTGCTGTTATTTATCGAATGTTTAGCAATTATGTTTATATTATTGTTTATATTAATAATGTTATTGATATTACTATTCACATTATTATTACTGGAATTAGCAGTTGCTCCTCCTTTTTTTTAAGAAGCCTAATTATTATTTGGTGTTGCCTTTTGAATTAATTAGTTAATCTTCGACTTATGTATTTTTGAAATTGTTTCATCATATATTTGGCTGCTTTGTTGCTGTTTTTGTTTATTTAGCTGCTACTTGATGTGATTAGTTAAATTGTTATTATTACTATGATAATCATCCTTCTAATCATTTTGGACATTTACATTACTGTGCATGGCATATAATTTAGAAAGAATGTCATTTGATTGGTCATCATGCTTTTGTTAGATTGCCTTAATAAAGCTTAAATGTTCTCCACTTCCTTTGACACTTGTTTAGTCCTGTGAATTCAAGTTGTTGGAATTATAAAAATTTTAGTACTGATGGCTTTCTTCCCTAGCTTGCTAATATTTGCGATATATTTCTTGTATATTGCTGCTACTGCTAGAGCTAATTTTATTCATTTAGTTGTTTAATGCGTTTTGGATTATCTTTTATGATAATTCTTTGTGTTACTCGCTGATAAATTTATTGTAATCCCTATATTAAATTAAATAATAATAGTTTATTGTAAATTTAATGAAAAGATTAAAATTACTGAGGCAAGTGGTGATTCTTTCCATCTTCTTCCTGTATTTTGTTGAGAAAAATTCTATCACTTAGGCTACCCATAAGTTCATTATTATTTGAAAGAGGACGATTGAGAACTTTACCTCCCTTTAAATGTTTGACTTCACCCTTACCAATAACGACAGTATTTTATTAGTTAGGTCTCTCCTTTTGTCTATTTAATAATAATTAGATATTATTCAATACTTACTTGGACTTAATAATTTTTTACGGGTTAGCAGCAAGACGAGGATTCACATCTCTATCAGTCCAAATTCGGTCAGGGGATTATTAAATTTGGTTTATTTTTAAATTTTTTTACAGCAATTCATTATCATTAAAATTTAAAGCAAGTTACTGCTTAACGTTTTAAGGTATCCTGTTAAGAAGTGAGTTCTATTTAGATTGTTGTTAAGAAGCTTACTATGATATTTATTACTATTGAAGCATTTATTATTACTACTAATTTTGTTGTTAGAATTACTGAGTGAACTGCTAATTTTGTTATTGATGGGCATTTTATTTAAGAGAAGGTCCTGTAATTCCTCCAGAAAGATGGTTTTCTTTTAGCAAATAATCATAATTATTTTCTGGTTTCGTTTCAACTTGTAAAGGAGTTTTATTTGGTCTCAAATTGTTGTTTTTATTGACTTATTTTTATTGTTACTATTGTAGCTAAGCTTATGGTTTAGCTTAAGGATCTCTAGGTGTTGATACAGATACAGCTTAATCATGATTAAAGTTCTATTTTATAAATTAAATAAGAATAAGTAAAATTATTGATAATGTATTTAATATATTATAATATTCAATAAAAAAAATACCTAATCTATTATGTTCTTGTTAGTATAATTTGTGTTTGCTGAGTTTTATAGCTTGATGTTGCCTTAAAATTAAGGTGATTGTGATGCATTTTGTTGAATTTTTTCATTTTGATTTGAAGAAGAATTTGATGTTAAATCATTTAATTATTAGACGAGCTGGCGTGGAGTAGAGTTTTAAACTGCTTTTGAATAACTTACTTGGTCTGGTGCTATTACTATTCCTTTCGGATTTAAATTTTTCTTTTTCCTTATCTCTTCAGTAATCTCAGCGTGATTTCTAGCTGAAAGAGGAGGTTATTTCCACTGCTCCACATCGTTTATTCCAATTTATTGAGCTGTTGTTGGGATTTTGAATCTATTATCTTTCATGATCTAGCTATTTGAATCGCTCTAATTTTAATAATTTTTACTTGTCTGATTACTTTATGGAGTTACAGGTTATATTCCTTAACCCATGTAATGACCTGAAACGGATGAAAGCAAGTTTAATGAGTTTTGATAATTCTACTATTGATTTAATTATATTTTTTTATCGTCATGTGAATTTATCCCCTATGAATGCTATAATTAGAGATTATTTATTTATTATTATAATTATTGTGTTTAATTGAATTTTATTTAGTTAGCTTGCTGCTAGTTTATTGGAGAAAGCTAAGAAGATACATTCCCACTATGGTGCTACTATGAAAAGCTATTTATATTTTATCCTTCTTCCAAATATACTTTTAAGTATGATGGCATTTCTGATTCTAAATCCTGCAATTCATTATAAAAATAATTATTGTACTTAGGGGTTAGCTAGCCAGATGTAGATATTTAATTGGTTTTATCTTAAATTTGGATGGAATTTATATGATTGTTGTTAATCTTAATGTTGCTGTTCTTGTGATTTGTGTGTATATTGCTGTTGCTTCTTGATTAAATGCTGATAAAATTACCTCTTAATCTAATATTAGGATTCTTAATAAATATATCATCATTAAAATTTGTCTTTAATTCCAATATGTAATTTGTATGAGATAAACTATCATTATTGTCGGCCTTTTGGCTTTTGGTCAAATTCTTTAATAAGTTTAAAGGATCTTTATTGATGCTTGATTAACTCTGATTATCAGAAGAATAAGATGGGTAATAAATATCATGAGATTTTGATTCAAAGCTGTTTTCTTTTTCGAATCTATTATACTCATCCATGAAAGAGCCTTCTTAATATTACATTTGATTCATATTTTAGTCTTAGTGTAAAATATTTTAGTGATGACGAGGATGCCCATTAGCTTATTTAATGAACCCACTTTAGTTATTTAGATTCTCTTCAGCAGAAACACCATCAAAATTAGTATCCAGCTCATTTAAAAAATTACTGATAGGCTACTGCTCATCAGCATTTTAGCCAATAACAGAATGCTATAATACTTTTTAATCATCTTAAACCACGTTATCTTAAAAGTTAATTTCATCATTATAGTTTCCCTAATTTTGATTTTACTCATTCATCCTATAAGCCCTCTCCTGATTGGTTATAAATAATTTAGCTTGCTTGTAATTTCTTTTGTTTATGATGCGCGCCTATGAAATTATACAAAGATTAGGGCGTGTTTCCTTGTACTAATGTGTGTAAAAATCAGCTAGAAGACTAAATCTTGGAAAATATTCATGATATTAGTAATATCTCTTCAGATACTCTGATGAGTCATCCATATATAAATAATCTTTGAATAAAATAACATGAGATGTATTCACATTTGCTAAAATTTCGTTGATTCCCTTTGCAAAATAAAAATTAAAAAGTTCATAGTATTTGTCATGGAGCTATTCTTATACAATTTTGGCAAGGCTAATTTTTGACAAGCATATAGTACAGCTGTTCGCACTTTGATTGTAAAACTATCTCATCAAATATTATTAAGCCAAATCATTGTTTGCATTCCTTTATCTTTTAACACTTGTGCTAGAGCCTACAATTGCATTTGTACTACCAATTTCTTCTTTATTCTGATTACGTGAATCATAATTCTTTTTATATCCACTGCTATAATCCTCACCTCCATATTTATCATAATTCTAATACTATTTTGTAGAGGTATGATGACTTTAAGCTTGATTATGATTATTGCCTTATTAGTTTTGGCTATTGAAGTTGTTATTTGTGTTATTGCTACTGTAATTACTCCTTACACCTAATTAAAAATTAACCTAATCCTCATCAAATAATATTTCCTAATCTATGTAATCATTATAAGTATTGCCACTTTTTTCTATTCTCTCGCCATCTATTTCACTATATAATTCTTCATCATAGGCATTTGCTTCATCTCCTTGCCTATTTTTAATATTTAAATAGATAATGCTGTTAACTTTTTTCTCATTAATAATTTTAATATTATCTAACCTATTAACATCCTAATTGCTGCTGCTCATACTATCTTGGTACTAAGCCATGTCGTATCGTCCTACTGGGTATTTACCTTTTAAATTTTTAAGTGAAAAATACTTAACCAATCTTATAATAGACTCATATAAAATAAAATATATTTTGATAAAATATTAGAAATATTTTCAACTAAACTGCTACTAATTTGATATTCCCTGTTTAAATTTAAATTTTGTTTATACCTTCAACTGCATCATTCTTGGCTATATTGTATAAAAAAATATGTTAAATTAAATTGATAACTCCTTCAAGTAAATTAAGTTTTTCATTTACTTGCTAATCCTATCCTTAAAAATATAATTTAACTTTTGTAAAATAACTTAAATTCAAAATTTGATAAATCTATTTGTTAAGGCTTCAAATTTAATAGCTCTAACAAGCTATGAGAATGATAAAAAATGATTAATTTGAAATCTAAAAAGCAAAATTTTGTTTAAAGTACTTTGCTGGTTTTTGAGACTATGCTGATATTAAGCATTGTCTTGGATTTACTCATCTTCTTCTTCATTATCAAAATTTTCGTTCTGATTTTAATATGGGATTTTCGCAATGTTGTTTTGGCTGCTTGTTTCTAAAAAAAAGAGTGAGTTAGTTTTGCCTATAAAATATTATTATTTTATTGAATACATTTATCATAACAACTACTACTCCGTTTGGGCTTCTATACTTCAAAATTGTCATATATCATCTGACCAAACAAAACGCTCTGGTTTTATGCTTCCCTATTTAGCTTATATATCTATAAATATAATTGTTATTCTCTTTATCTTTTAAATGAAGAATACAATTTGATCAATTAATTAATTAATTTATTAATCTTTATAAATATCTTTAAATTGATTGATCAATCAATGTACTATTAATTATGTAATTAATAATTTAATTTGCTTTTGTTCATCATTCTTTTTTTAAAATCTTCTTTATACAAATCACTAAATAAATAAATTAATTAGTACTCTCTCTTTCATAATTTTTAACATCTTATTGAATTAATGTTTGTTAGTTGTTAATCGATCTAATTTTTTTTTGAATTCATTTTAAAAAATATAAAAAACTTCTTTTAATATTAGCAGATAGAAAGATATATTAATGCTTTTTTCTTAGAAGTACTTACAATACAATCAACATTCGATTTGAATACAATTCACTCTCACTCAAAACGCATCAAATATTTTTAAAAATAATTCTTGAATAAATTTAATTAAAAATATTTTTGATTCATTTATTTATTTATTATAAACTTTCTTAAATATTTTGTAATTTATTTTCATTCTATATTTATCTTCAAAAGAAATTTAAAAATTGAGTAGAAATAAATCAGAATTAATATAAATTTTATTACTGCTATTTTTAAGGGTATCTAAGATTTATTATTTTTTCAAAGCTATTTAACATATAGCATATCATATAAGAGTAATAAATAATTGAATAATATAAATAAACTATTACTAATTTATTTATAAATTTTTATATAGCACTTATTTATTAGAATTTTCATTCAAAATCAAAGTAATTTTAAATTATTCGAAAAATTAAATAAAAAATTAGCTGATAAAAAATTTCAAGTGAATTCAAAATACAAATACGAGTAAACACAAATAAACTATACTTTAATGAACAATAGTATTATTACCAACGAAAATACCTTCTTACTAATTCAATCAATCATACAAATCAAAAAATAGAACTTAAACTCCAATGAAAAAGGGGTTATTAACAGTATATTTGCTGAGTACATAATAAGAAAATATAGGACCAACAAAACTATTTTTAAGTTCTAAAAATCTTTCCTTATCATAAGTAGAATCAAATTAGTAACCTTTGCTTTAAATAAGTAATTTATAGTTTTCAGTCAAGAAAGGAATAAGGTAGTCTTCATAATAATCCAATTAGATTTATTTTATTTTACATGAAGAAAAATAATTTTGTTGGTATAAATCTAAAAATGTTTTATTAAGCTCTTCTTAGTTTTTTTTGAAAGCAAAAAAAATTTCTTTGTTTTCTAAATTTAAAAAGAAGTTAATGCTTTTTATCTTATAATGACATTAATATTGAATATCGCTGAAAGAAACTGCAAAGCTTTTCTTTGTCCTTAAAAGTAATTTCATAATAACTTACCAGTCTTAATTTATCTATTCAAGTAACTACTGATAGCCATCTTAAAATTAAGGATTTTAATCATGAGATTGTTTTAAAATATTTAGAATGATATACCTTTTATTAACAGTTAGTTCTTCTTCATATTTATAAAGCTTTTAGATATAATATTAATTGACAGGCCATATGTCAATAAAGGATCCATTCTTGATATAATCTCTTAAAAATTTTATTTCTTAGTTGATACTAGTCAAAGAAAAAGCTAACAAAATAGTAAAATAAATCCTTGCTAATATATAGTTGTTTTCTGCATTTGAAAAATAAATGTTGTTCAAGATATAAAAAACAATCATAAAAATAATGCTGCCTATTTTTTAGAAATTTAAATTATAGAAATTAAATACATCATTTGGAATTTTCATATTTTAACTTCTTAAAGCCATAGGACGATCTAGCATGTTAAAAATTAAAGTAATCTACATTAGTTTAACAAAGTAACCTTCAAAAGTAGCATCTTCTCTCTAATAAAACATCACTTTTTGAATTTTGATAATTTACTTTTTAAAAGCGAAGTTTAGAACAATAAGTGAAACTAAAAATAGAAGTTTATAGTCTGTGTAAAGAAATAAAATACTTTGGCAATACGAAAGAGAATGTTGGCAAAATTATATAAATGTTGAAATTTATTATAATTTGCTATATATTCTGATATATTCATATACAAATACTAACTAGGCACCAACAAAGTACAAAATATACTCTCCTCTCGAAATATACGATATCATCAAATATAGTCTCAAAAATAATATAGAAGAAAATCTAATACTGTCCGTTTTGCTTTCTAATCCTATTTAACACAAAATGATAACTAGAGCGAAGAACCAATACCCATCTTGGTATAGATAGTAGATTGAAATAATACTAACTACCCTTAAAAGAATTAAAGATAAGCTATTCAATTTTTCAGTCAACTCTTTTTACATCTATTTATTTATTTGTTTATTTATTTTTTATTTTAATAATTATTATTAAAAGTTAGATTTCACTTTATGCAAATTAAAAGCAATCAAAATTCAATTTAAATTGAGAAATATTTTGTTTTATTTTTATTTTGAGATCAAATATGGTAATATTTTGAGATCAATTATTTTTCTATTTAAAATCAAGTTTTTAGATATTAATGAGAAATATTTTGTTTTATTTTTATTGTGAGATCAAATATGGTAATATTTTGAGATCAATTATTTTTCTATTTAAAATCAAGTTTTTAGATATTAAAATAATCAGATTTGTGAATTTTTTTTCTGATCAAAAAATTTATGTAAATGAACAGTATTAATGTGATAATCCTAATTTTTTAGATGAACAATTTAATCAAATATTTAATAATTATATAAACTAAAGAAACCCATTAAGGACTTTTTAGGAAAAAGAGCTTTGAAGTATGATACCCTAAAATTAGAATATAGCTACAGAAGTAAATATTAAATTAGTAGTTCAATCGGAGTTTAGTTAATTTGAAATAAATCTGTTCAAAAATTTATCTTAAATAAAATTGAGGAGAATTTTTTTTGAAGTACAGAAGATTTCAACTTTTATCACTTACCTTAGTATTATTTTTTCCATATTTTGGATATTGTACCCCTACCAATACCAAATTTACTATCAATGTTTTTATAGGTCGAATAATAATATTTTATGGACATTACTATTCCCCATTTAATATCATCCTTTAAGCGTCTTAGTAGATATTCTGGTTGATCTGTAATAATAATTATAAAATTATCTCTACTATCTTGTAATATCCTAATTTAATTCTGTTGTCAATTATATCATTTATTAATATATCTTCAAATAATCAATGTTATAAAAATAGAGAAAGAAATTTATAGGATAAATGAAGTAAAAGTGAAGAGTAAATTTTCTAGACCTTCACTTTTTTCAATATTTTGTTTTTTATTTCAATTTTTTAGAGATTTGATACAGTGATAAAAATATATAGTTTTGTAGCCATGTTTAAATACAAAAAGAAACAAACATTTAAAAAAAATTATTCAGATTTTTTAATCATTTAGTGACTTCTTTCCTTTTGTTTGGGAATATTAATAATTTGATAAATACTAAAAATCCCAGGATAAAGATAAATTGCATGTCAAATCCAGAGTGAACATTTAAATAATATTCTTCACTGCTGGTTTACACTAGACCGAAGTAAATCAATATCATAAGCTATTAAAAATCAATCTTAAATAAAACAATTAAATGAAGAAAAAAAATAAATAAAAAAAATTTTTTAAACCTAAGAATTTTACAGAAAACTGATTAAACTCTGTGTATTACTTGTTAAATTATATTTGTGAATTATATTAAAGAATCTTATATTGAAGATTGTATTGAATAGATTCTCTTGTTAAAAATGAATTATCATAAAAAAAATAGATAGAAATAAGCTATATATCCCAGTTTTTGAAATTCTTCAATTTTTTATCTTGTCAAATATAATAATATAATCATACTACAATCTCAAGAGCGCACCAAAGTATTTTATTGATTAAAAAATAAATCAAAAACCTAAATAAAAGAAAGTAAGCTGTTAAAAAAGCTTTAGTAAGAATTTAAAAGATAATTTGATTTAAAAATTTAATAGTTCTATGATAAGAATATGCTAATTCTTACTAACTCTTTCTATATTTTTAGATCAATTTAAACAAATATTTAATAATAAAAAATAAAGTTAGATTTTTACTTTTAATCGATTATATAAGTTAAAATCAGAATAATTAACAAAGAAACTCAAAAGCAAAATTATATGAACTACTTTGATATTTATGAGATAAGCTTGATTATATCCCATATTGAAAATCTGTCAACCTTAAAAGTAAATGAAGTTAAAAAAATTTTTTTACTCTCAAAATTTGAAAAAAGGTTTCTGTCTTTATTTTGATTAATTTTTGTAAAATATAAGAAATCAAATAAAAAGAAAATAATTAAGATTAAGAAAAAAAAAAAATTCATTCGTAATATAAAATTTATTTGAAATATCACAAATCATGATATCATGATCTGTGATATTTCAAATGCAGGAACAGCTATATTTGTGCAAGAATTAAAATGCATATTTGTGAAAAAATAAATAAATACAAAATTAAATGTTCTTTTTAAAAAAATAATTTAAATAAAAAATTAGCTGATAAAAAATTTCAAGTAAATTCAAAATACAAATATAATTAAACACAAATAAACTATACTTTAAAGAACAATAGTATTATTATGAACTAGCCTACCTTCTTACTAATTTAATCAATCATACAAATCATAAAATAGAACTTAACCACTTATGAAAAAGGGGTTATTAGCAGTATATTTGCTGAGCACATAATAAGAAAATATAGGACCAACAAATCTATATTTAAGCTCTAAAAATCTTTTCTTATCATAAGTAGAATCAAATTAGTAACCTTTGCTTTAAATAAGCAATTTATAGTTTTCAGTCAAGAAAGGAATAAGGTAGTCTTCATAATAATCCAATTAGATTTATTTTATTTTACATGAAGAAAAATAATTTTGTTGGTATAAATCTAAAAAAGTTTTATTAAGCTCTTCTTAGTTTTTATTGAAAGCGAAAAAAATTTCTTTGTTTTCTAAATTTAAAAAGAAGTTAATGCTTTTTATCTTATGATGACATTAATATTCAATATCGCTGAAAGAAATTGCAAAGCTTTTCTTTGTCCTTAAAAGTAATTTCATAATAATTTACCAGTCTTAATTTATCTATTCAAGTAACTACTGATAGCCATCTTAAAATTAAGGATTTTAATTATCAGATTGTTTTAAAATATTTAGAATGATATACCTTTTATTAACAGTTAGTTCTTCTTCATATTTATAAAGCTTTTAGATATAATATTAATTGACTGGCCATATGTCAATAAAGGATCCATTCTTGATATAATCTCTTAAAAATTTTATTACTTAGTTGATACTAGTCAAAGAAAAAGCTAACAAAATAGTAAAATAAATCCTTGCTAATATATAGTTGTTTTCTGCATTTGAAAAATAAATGTTGTTCAAGATATAATAAACAATCATAAAAATAATTCTGCCTATTTATTAGAAATTGATTTTATAGAAATCAAATACATCATTTGGAATTTTCATATTTTAACTTCTTAAAGTCATAGGATCATCTAGCATGTTAAAAATTAAAGTAATCTATATTAGTTTAACAAAGTAACCTTCAAAAGTAGCATCTTCTCTCTAATAAAACATCACTTTTTGAATTTTGATAATTTACTTTTGAAACGCTAAGCATAGAACAACAAGTAAAAATAAAAGTAGAAGTTTATAGTCGGTGTAAAGAAATAAAATAATTTGGTAGTACTAAAGAGAATGTTGGCAAAATATTATAAATGTTGAAATTTATTATTATTTGCTATATATTCTGATATATTCATATACAAATACTAACTAGGCACCAACAAAGTACAAAATATACTCTCCTCTCGAAATATACGATATCATCAAATATACTCTCAAAAATAATATAGAAAAAGTACTAATATCTTACGTTTTGCTTTCTAATCCTATTTAGCACAAAATGATAACTAGAGCGAAGAACCAATACCCATCTTGGTATAGATAGTAGATTGAAATAATACTAACTACCCTTAAAAGAATTAAAGATAAGCTATTCAATTTTTCAGTCAACTCTTTTTTCATCTATTTATTTATTTGTTTATTTAAATAATTATTATTAAAAGTTAGATTTCACTTTATGCAAATTAAAAGCAATCAAAATTCAATTTAAATTGAGAAATATTTTGTTTTATTTTTATTGTGAGATCAAATATGGTAATATTTTGAGATCAATTATTTTACTATTTAAAATAATATTAAAATAATCTGATAAGTGCATTTTTTTCTGATCAAAAAAAATTTATGTAAATAAATATTATTAAACATGATTATCCTAATTTTTTAGAGGAAAAATATAATTAAATATTTATAAATCATATAAATCAAAGAAACCCACCCATTAAGGATTTTTTGGAAAAATAATTTAAGCGTACGATATCCTAAAATTAGAATTTTGCTACAGAAATAAATACTAAATTAGTTTTTTAATCGGACTATATATAGTTAATTTTAAATAAATCTATTCAAAAATTTATCATTAATAAAATTGATGAGAATTACTTTTGAAGTACAGAAATTTAATTTCAACTTTAATCACTTGCTCTGTGTAAAACATATTAAATTATATTATAAAATCTTTTTTTGAAAATTATATGAATAGATTCTCTTGTTAAAAATGAATATCATAATAATAATAAATAGAAAAAATCTAGATAATCTAGTTTTTGAAATTCGTTAATTATATATCTTGTCAAATATAATAAGAAAATCATACTACTATCTCAATAGCGTACCCAAGTATTTTACAAAAACCTAAATAAAAGAAAGTAAACTGTTAAAAAAGCTTAACTCAAAATTTAAAAGATAATTTGATTTAAAAATTTAATTGTTCTACGATAAGAATATGCTAATTCTTACTAACTCTTTCTACCTTTTTAGATAAATAAAACAAATATTTAATAATAAAAAATAAAGTTAGATATTTATTTTTAATCGATTATATAACAAAAAACAGTTAATAATCAGAATAATTAAAAAAGAAACTCGAAAGCTAAATTATATGAGCTACTTTGATTAATTATGAGATTAGCTGATTATATCCCATATTGATAATTTGTCAACCTTAAAAGTAAATGAAGAGATTGTTGAATATCAAATTTCTGAATTTAAATTAAAAACAGATAAACAAACCCTCACTTATCTAATAAATTTAAGTTTCAAATTCAACTGAATAATAATCAAATTAAAATAAAATGTAATAAAACATTAATATTCAAGCATAATCAAATTAAAATGAACCAAACATTCCTGAAGAAGAATAAATAGATATTAGTTATATACGTGGTGGAATATTGGAATAAATGAAAGAACACTTACCCTCAGTTAGCTTAATTAGCTGAAATAATTTATTATCTTCATTTTTCATAGTCAGTTTTGAAAAGATATTTGCAAAAACAAAATAATTAGTTCATAAATAAAGAAATAGGTTGAAAGAAAATCATATTCATAAATTTTATATTTCAAAAATAAAATATTCAAATATAAATATTAGAGAATATACAATCAGAGCATTTTAGGGCCAATAGGTAAAAAAGCATTACCTATCATGCCAAATTTTTCCCACTTATCTTTTTCTCAAATCTATTAATCTATTTATAGATATTTGATGAATTATGATATATTATAAAAAAATATATTACTTTAAAGGATCTATTTAAAATATCAAATAGTGTCATATAAAGATACTATCTCTATAAATAAACCAAAATAGTAATTTAAATATATTTTATTTACTCTAAGACATTACCTAAAGTTTATAATTTTATTGCAATGATGTTTCATTGCAGTCTTCTCCTTTCTACGAATAATTAATATATAAACTACCCAAATAATATGCTTGATTAAAAATTCTATCAACTTTTATTCAATCTTACACCTAATATTTTACAATTATCAAAGCTTTATTATTACGTTAATGATACTTTTAACACTTTTTGACTAAATTAATTAGGATTACCAATCTAAAAAACAAAAGAAATTCTTTTAAAGAACAATATAAAAGAATTAAATTAGAATTATATGAAATAACCAGGTAAAAATAACTCTAAGTAACAAATCAATAAAAGAACATAAATAACACAGTTTTATGATAATATATGATTTAACAAAAAAACATTAATTAATTATTCAATGTATTCTTTCTGCATAAACTGGATATATCTGTTTTATATACATTAAACAAAAGAAATTTTGAATTCCGAACTGTGTAAAATAAATTTAATAAATCAATAAAATAATTTTTTGATAAATTAAAAAAAAAGCAAGTTATCAAACTAGAAAAAATGATTAAAAAAATACAGTAATTTATTCAGAAATGAATGAATATAATTTAACAAATAAATATTTTACTCTCTGTAAAATATATTTCTGTCATTATTTATGGATTTAAAAGCCCTAAATTTCTATTTTTTAAGGAAAATATATTCTAAATTTATCATAAAATTAAATTTAGATATGTACATTAAACATTAAAAAATTATTGTTCATTTGTTAAAATTATAAGTGAAATTAAATTACCAACTTTATTGGCTGTAAATTTATTAATTCTCTTCATAATTTCATAATTATAGGTTATTTTGAATAATAAATATATCAGCTTCAAAATTATTTTCTTTTCATAAATTTAATAGAGGTTCATTCTTATATAAAAGTAATTCCCTCACCAAGCAAAATATTGCTAATATATTTGTTATTTCAATTGACTTTATTCTTTATATATTATTAAATGTCAAAGAATATTTTATTTTGTGGGAATGGTATCAAAGTCAAACATCTAAAAATTTTTAATGATAATTAAATGATATTCATTCAATTTTGTAAATAAATCTTCTATAATTTTTAAAATTATATGTGATTTTTGAGTCAAGTATGACTTCTATACAATCAATATAAGAATAAAATTATTTAAAAATGTATGATTCTTTAAGACTTTAGAAATAATTATAAAGAGTTTTCCATATAAATATAATTAGCAAATCAATCTTTTGTTTGTCAAACAAAATGTATTTTATAGACTTTTTTATTGATCAATCAATTTAATTACATTCGATCTCCTTTATTATTAATAATTCAAACTCTTATTAACTCAATATTTTTAAATTTTCCAAATTTATTTATGTAAAATAGATTGAATTAAAATAAGAATTTTTTTTATTGATTCAATATTTTTTATAGAGCATATCAAATTAAAATAAAGAGCAGAAATTAATAAAAATCATTTTGTTTTAAATGAAGAAATTTCAAAATTTTATACTTTGATAAATGAAAAAAAAATTTAATATTTAATAAATAAAATAAATCAATAAGATACAAAAATTTTTGAGTGTTTAAAGAACGTCTTAATACAAAAAGTAATAATAATAATTTTTAAGCTGATAGAGTAGATGGTTTTAAATTGATTATTGATATTAAAGCTAATTAATATGTTTTTAATAGTACTTAATTAATGTCGATAATCCATTTTTTTATCATAATTCTGAATCATTTGAATGACTAAGCAAGGACTAAAACAAATTTTAGTAGAATAAGTCCATTAATATTTTAAAAGAATTCTTTTACATTTAAAATTATAAATTAAAGATTAGTGATTAGATAAGATATAGCTGATGTTGATTAAAGAGTTGCTAATGTGATTAGCAAGCTCACTGATAAATTATAAAAGTGAGTATGCGCATCAATAGAATCACTAATCAAATGATTTTGATCAAATATTTGGAAGAATAAAATAAAATAAAATTTAAGGACATTAAATTATAAATATACAAATAAATTATCAGTTAATATTTGCGCATTTTTGTTTGTGTGTTAATATATATTTCGTTCATTTATTAATTTATTTATTTTTATAATTTGCTTTCACTCTACTTTCTTCAAAATTTTCATTAAATCTAATCTTCCTGTTAATCTTCTAACTTATATCATTTCGGAGAGAGCAAACATTAAATAGAGAGTGATCAATAGACATAAAATTTCGATGCTTCCTTCAACAATAAAGAAAATATTTTGTCCTGAGTAAAAGAAACACATTCCCATATTTCTATTTCTCTTAGCAGCAGCGTAAGCAACAAAGAAGATTTTTAAAGCTAAAGTACACAAGAAGGCGAAAAGATTACTATATTTTAAGGCAGCTTTGTCCCAGTTTCTGACAGCAAATAAATTAGTTGAAATGTATATAAATCCAGAGATGAAAGAAAACAAATAGGGCAAAAACAATTTATTAATATCTGAGCAATCACTTGGAATATCAGCTGCTTGCACTATCATCAATACTGCTCCAACTATTTAGAAAACACCCATGAAAAGGTCAACGAAAATGAAAATTCTTAGAAGAGATACCAATTATTTGTTATCTTTATAAATCCTTAGACTTTCGCCGTTGTTGCTATTTAATTCCTCGTTCATCTAATATTTTTGTTAGTTTGTTATGTAATTTAATTAAATTGGTTTTTAAAAATTATATAAATAATAAAGGTCACTTGTTCCTTAATTAGATATTATACTATCTATTTATCTATTAAATTAACTATCCTCAAATTATTATTGATATTTCAATCAAAATTATATTCATCAAAAAGTAATAAAATTAAACATAATCAGGAAGGCTGATGACCAATGTTATATAATCTTTAATGTATGATATCAAATTAATAGATTGTGAAATGTTTACTTTATTTTAGTTAAGGCTGTATCCTTAATTATTATTTAGTTAATCCTGTTATAAAACACAAAATGATTACTAAAAAAGATCTTTAGTAAGATACAAATATTACCTAAATCATATTTACAATTTTTGGATCTAGAATTTGGCAGTAATACTTTTTAGAGTTATAGTTATATTTTTAGAAATGATTAATTTTTAGTATAAATTATTTATATCACTTATAATATTTCAATCGATACTTTCTTTCTAGATCCAAATAAAAAATCTACAATTTTTTTTGCTATATCATTTCTAATTAATAAAATTTTTTCTGCGCATTTTCTTAATATCACAATTTTGAAATTTAAATTTCAAATTAGCCTAATTAAATCTATTTCCGAAATCTGGATTGTGATGTCTTCATATTTTTATTTGTAAGTAAATTGTTTGTTTTATTAAAGGTGTAAAATAAAATTTTAAGTTAATTTTTTTTATTTTAATCACTTAAGTTACTATAATTTAGTTGTTTGAATTTATTTCTTCTTCTAACTGATTTATATAACCATTTTGTTAATTGCATTATTCTATACTAAAATTAAAAATTATTCTTAGTAACTAAAAGCATTATTTTAATAATATAACCAAATTAGTTTAAAGAAATAAATATATTTACATCAGCTTGCTACTAAATTTTTAAATAATTTCAAAAAATAATATGTATTAAAAATGCAAAATATTCAGCAAAGATTAACTTGATAGAAAGACATTTAATAAAAAAATTTAAGCAAAAATTACAATTTCACACATTCATTAAAACTCTATCACAATTTTAATATCTTAATATTAACTAAGAAATCATTTGTAGAATCAATGAATTATAAATATTATAATAAAGTTAAATCAAATACACCATTAAAAATAATTTTAAGTACAACACTAATTTAATACAATTATTCAACATGAAATGATAATTTCACTCTTTCATTAAAATCATAGTAAATATTTTTATAAATTCAAAACTATGAAACCATATGCTAACTTTGATAGATAAATATAAGTTGTAGTTAAATACACCATAAGAGCAAAAATTATAAAATGCAATTTTAATTTTTTAAAAAAATTCAACTTAAAATGTTAATTTCTCTAATAACTGTAATAATATTTTAATTCCTTTATACTATCTATGAAACAAAAAATTTTGATAATTTATTAAATCAAATAGTGCTTTTAAAACTATAAGAAAAAACTAACTACAGTACAATATTATACATTGATTTGAATATATTAAGAGCTATTTAAATAGTTAAAAGAAGGTTTTACTCAAATAGAAAAATAATAAAACCAAAAACCTATTTTTTAAGTGAAATTATTAAAATTGTAATCAAAACTATTAATTTTAAATTAAAAATTTAAACTTATTTTATAAATGATATTTATTTTTTACTAAAAACCAATGTTTGATTAAACCAATTAGGATATTTAAGATAAGATTTTATAAACGAAATATTTATAGCAATTATAAATAAATTTAATAAAATAAAAAGCAAGCAATCGAAACAAACAACTAACTAACAAGTAAATAAATAAAACATTTTTAAAAATATTTTAATTTATAGTAAGAATTTAAATAAATAAATAGATTTATCAAAGTTTCTTTTGTAGTGATAAGATAGAAGGTAAGGTTTTTATATTTTCTTTTTTTTCTGTAATGGCAACTTGTGCTTCTGATTCGTTGAGTTGTTGTAAAACTGCTAAGGGATTTAAATTTTATTCAGACTATTACATAAATTTGTGAGGCATTTTATCGATGTAGTTTCTCAAATTTTTCATTGAGAAATATATACAAGTCAAATAAACTATATCAAATATATGTGCGGTGTATTTTAAATTGAAAAACCAGAAAGGAAGCACTGCTTCTGATACTAACTTAGTTTCAACAAAAAGCAAAGAAGCATCACAAAAATAAGATCCTACAAGCATTTTCTTATCGATTACATCCCAGAAGGATAAGGTTGCGAAACTGAACCCAATAGGCATCAAAAGCCACATAAAGACATTACCTCTAGGGGGAAGAGCTCTTTTTGTAGCTTTAATATCGCAATATTTAACTACTTACAATCCGCAAATTGATGCACAAAAGAATGCATTTTTCATATTGAAGTAATCAAGACTCTTCTTAATATTTTCATAATATCTAGAATCAGTATATTCCAACCACATGCTTTGATAGTAGAAGTATAACTAAGGCAAAGAAGATCCTAAAAGCAAACCTGCTACAATTTTAGGAGTATTTTTAGCAATGTTATCTCTCATCTTTTCGACTTATCTTCTTGCCAAAATATTAAAGTTTCTCTCTTCATTGTAAACCTTTTCTTAGGCTGTACCTCTTTTAGGCTTTTGGAAAATATCTCTTTTATATCTCTATGCTTATTCTTTTACTTTTCTAGCACAATTAAATAATCTATTCATTTTATTGCTAAATAATAAACTGTTTTTATATGTATTTGTAACACTATGTTTGTTTAATATATCTATCTATCTAACTATCTTTCTTCTTTAAAATTGCTTTTATGAAGATTTAAAAGATTTTTTTTTCTAGAAACTTTTAATGCAAATATCAATAAAAAACAAAAATTAAACATGAAAATTTAATTAAATTTAAATAAAGGCCATAATCTCAAAAAACACTTACAAGTAATTTTTTTTTTCTATTATAAAATTTATATTTTTTAATTTATCTAAATAAAATTAAAAAATCAATTTAATTTTTATTTTTTAAATAAAAAGATAACCTTAAAAATAAAAATGGAGAAAATCAAATTGATCTGTTTAACTTTAGCTTTCTTAGTTTTTTATAAATTTTAATACACATTTCATATTTTAATTTAATTTAATTTTTTGTTCATCTCCCTTTTTACATCAGTTCTATCTAGAAAATGAAAGATTAAATATTTATACAAAATAATATGCTTACTTATTTAAATTTAGAAAAAATCATTGGATATTAATTATTAATTTAGGTAGATATAATTTTAGTTAAGCTAAATTTAAAGTATTTAGATAGATAAATTAATATTTCAACAAAAATAACAAAAGAATGGAGTATTACTAATAAATTCATCCTATTTTTTTTGTAGAAATAAATTTAAATTATTAATATTCAATATGAAGAAAAATTAATTTTTTTATTTTACATAGTTTTGCTATTTACTTTTAAAAGCTTTGCTCATTTCGTTCTAATGTAAGTAAATGTATTTTTTTTTCAAAAAGCTTACATTTATCAATTCAGGTAATAGAAGATTTGTTACAATTTAATCGATGTCTAGTATTTGTATAATAAATTCTTATATCAGATTACTTAACTTTCTACCATACAAATTTTTTAAATTAAAAATTTTGAGATATTTTGCTTTGAAAATAATAAATTCGATCAAGGATAATATTATTAAATCACTCAGGATTAGTTGATTGATTTTTAATAATTTTTCCACTTTACAAGAGCAAAGAAATTTTTACAATTAAAAATATTTTGAGTGCTTAGTCTGTCTGATAAAGAAAATAATTAGACCACAAGACGATAATTCTTTAGAAACTAATAAAAAAATTTTTAGAAATGAATTGTCAATTGAATTAGTAAAGTATTATAAAATATTCATGTTGAGATTTTGCTAAATTATTAGTAAATCAGCTTCTTTAAAGTTGAGTAAATTTTAAATATTTCATTAATAATTGACTACTTTTATAGTTTATTAGACTTCTACAGGCCTAAATTAGTTAAAGTGTATAAAAGATTAAAGAGGAGTTAAGAAAATCTTAACTCTCCTTTAAAATTCGTAAAGTTAAAAGGTCATCCAAAATTTTAAAATAAAGAATTTTACAAAAAAACAAGCAAATTAAAGCGAAAAACAATTCAAGACTTATAAATTAAATATTGATTAAACATATTATTTAGATTTATTTATTTACAAAATAAAATTCATTCTTCGCTAAACCAGAAGAAACCACCAAATAAACTAACAAGACACACTAAAATAGTAAGTAGTACAAATGAGCTAAGAATAATACGAGAAGTTTGAAGACGAGATCATAGAAAGCAATTGCAAAATAATTAATGAAAAGGAGTAAAAAAGTAAAAAAGTTATGAAGAACTTAGAGAATGATGAGTCTTTACGTCAAGATGTAAGCGTTGAAATATATTCAAATGAAGAGCAAAGAAAGCAACTTGCTGAAGAGTAAAAGTAAAAAATAGACCAAGAGAGAGAAGATGAGAGGCAAAAGAGGATTAGCAAAATTGTCTCGTTTGTATTTGGAGTTCTCCCAATCGTTGTAATGGTAGGCATTTTCATCCTCTTTTCATTAGATGACAAAATAAAAAATAGAGTAATCGACATGTTCGCCAACATAAAACAACTTAACTTCGAAATATCTTTTTACTTAATTATTTATGGAGCTCTTCTCATTTTCTTGAGTTTCCCCTACCTTATTTTTGAAATGAGTCTAGGATTTACCTTCAGTTTCCCAATCGCTGTATTTTTTGCTGTTTTTGCTAAAGTGATAGGAGAGATAGTTTGCTTTTCACTCTCAAGGTATGTTTTCAAGGATCTCTGTTTATAATTTTTAAGAATGAATGAGTATTTTATAGTCTTAGAAAGAGCTGTTAAGAAATATCCTTGGCTCGTTTCTAACCTTCTTAGGGGATCTATATTGGTTCCATTATTTGTTGTTAATTTTGGTTCTGGTATAATTGACATTACATTTACTCAATACATTATTCCTGCTCTCTTATGGGGAACTTTATACTCTATTTTTGCTGTTCTCTGCGGTTCTTAACTTTTAAACATAAAGGATGTGCTTGCTAATGCTGCTTTTCCTCAAAATAAAACCTTATTCTTCTTTGAGCTAAGTATGGTTATTGTCAGTTTGATAATTATGATAGCCATAATCTGGAAATCTGGTTAAATGTATGAAGACATTCAAAAAGAAATAAAAGAATAAATGATTATGGAAAAACAGCTACAATCTACCAAAGCCATGGAAAGTATTACCAATATTAACATAAAAACAAACAAATAAAACTCATCTATCGCTTCTTCCTTGGTTGAGTGCGCTGATGAAGAAAATTCAAAGCAAAGTAGAAAAGAAAAATAAAAATAAAAAACATTTGATGCCTTTTAAATTGCCAACAAAAAACTAGATTCTAATAATATAAAAAATTTTTGAGTTAAAAATTTGTTGATCAAATAATTGTTTGAATTAAAAAATTAATAGATTTTAAAATTTGCAAGAAAATTAATTGGTTAATTAATTAATAAAAAATAAGTAATCAAAAAATTATAATTAGTTTCGTTATTGATTTTAAAAAGTTGGATAAACAAACATACAGATAGCTTTGATAATATTATAATCATCAGATTTTACATAATTATTATAAAACTTTACTAAATCAAAATAAATAATTAATTAAACCAACTTTATCTATATTACAAAATCATTTAAGATATAAAAAATCTATCTACAAATTATCAAACTTCTTATTTATATATTTATATTCACTGAAGTTTTATATTAGAAGAATTTATTTCTCTTTGCATTTTCCTTTTTTTTCTTTTCTTCATTTACAATAAAAGTTTCAATTTCAGATCTATCTTTAATTGTAGTTTTAAATTATTTTTGCATTAATAACGATTAATTGTTAATTAATTTATTTATTTATTCATTCATTTTTAAATTTGTTCCAATTTAAATTTATTTATTTTTTTAAAAATTAGCTTTTTACTATTTTTATTTTTTGAACTTTGATAATTTCAAATTCAAAAATAAATTGTTTTTTCAAGAAATTTGAACTGAAAAGAAATATAAATCCTTATCACTTGTTTAAAACTAATTTAAGATTATAAAAATATGAAAACCGAATCAACTTTTTATGGAAATAATTTACAAAAAATGTTAAATTTGAGTAATATGATTTGAATAACAATGTATTCCATTTTAAGCTGTTTTTTATTATTTAAAATTGATAGTAAGCTATATTTGATTTCAATCATATTTAACAATTAAAAAATAAAAATTATATACTAAATAGGTAAAAAATATTTTAAATATTTTTCAAAATCTATTTAAAAATTTTTTAAATATTATTTAAACTACTCTAATAAATTCAAATAATTTTAGAAGTTTAAGTGAAAATTTAAAATAGTAAAATGTAAAAAATAATATTCACACTTTATTGTTTTATTATACATAAAAAATGTTAAAAAAGTAGCAAAAATTTAAAGTAAATTATCAGAAAAGTATTTCTAAATATTTTGAAATAAATTAAATTGGAAAAGTGATTTTTTATGTTTAAGTTAAAAATAAATATTAGAAGTGAAGTACAAAATATTTTGATTAAGTTACTAATGATATATGATTATGATGAATATAAATAAATACGTTTAAAGTTAATTTAATAAGATTAAAATGATTGTGGTCTCATTTATAGAATGATTGGAAGTTTTATATTTTATTTATTTATTTTTTTGTTTTGTTGTTTGTATTAGATACAAAAAAGTTAGGAAAATATGTTTTTATATTTTAATGTATTTATTATCTTTGAGTAAATTCTTTAGCCAATTTATTTATTTATGTATAAATAAATAAATTGGAATTATGAAGTTATTTGGTTATTTAATATAAATTTGAAATTAATATTTTACAATTTGTTTTATTTTTATTCCCTTCTCATTTAACTAAGATTTGTGATTAAATTCTATCAAATTAAAAAAGGTTTTGTTTTTCTGAAGTGTGTTTGGTTTATTTGTTTGTTTATTTATTTATTTCATATTTAAAGAATTATTTCTATTATAATCAATATTAGAATTTTTTCTGCATTTATTGTCTAGTCATTCTTGTGTTGCTCTTGTAATTAGATAATTCTTTATTTTAAATTAGAAATCATTTAATTTGAAATAATTAAGAATAAGATTTATTTACATCTAATGATTTCGGCAAGATTTTCGTCTTTCATATTTAATTTATCTAGAACTTCATCCAAATTAAAACTGTATCTCTGCAAGAGCATATTCATGTCAGAAAAAGTGAATTTGTCAATTTGCTTGCAAATTTTTTCATAAATTATGGTGTCTAATTTGATTTGAATTGTTACTTACAAATTTATTAAAATTATTAAATTTACACTTAGGACTGTCAATAGATCCTTGGTAAACTCTGTTGTTCATGATAGTTTAGAAATGTTCAGTTCTGTTTATTAGCATATCTTTGTTTAATTCTCTATAAGCTAATTTGTATAAGAAAATTTTAATTGTTGCATTTTTTAAAAATTTGATATAAATTACTTGTTTCATGAAGTTAATAAGGAGGAACATCAGCTTAGTACTGATGACCAATTGATATTTTATTTTTTTGTAGCTTCAAAGCCCAGAAATCGTTAACATTAAAAGCTTTAGGTGGTGCTTGAGCTTCCTTCTTCTCACGTCTATTTTTAATTTTCAAAATTTAAAATGATGTTTATAATATTTAAAGTAAATTTTTTACGCCAAAATTGCATCGCATTTTCTGCATATTTGTTTCTCACTTAGGAATTACTATTTAAAAAAAATATTATGTCAATTTTTATTGCTTCAATAAGATTTAATTGTTATTTGAAATTAATTAATATTTTACCCCTTTTGTGCACTTGTTGGAGCACTTCTTGCAAATTAAAGGTAAAGGAATTTCTTTTTTAGTCTTGTTAGATTTCTTTTCATCTAGCTAGTTGCTTGTTCCTTCTTTCGAGCTCTATTGCTGATTTGATGATTGTTAATTTTAAGAAGACATATTAACCTAAGGAGTGGTTTAAGGAGAATTATTTAAGATCATTTCTTGGTTAGAGTTACCATTGCTATCATCCTATAGATTTTTGATATTTAATAAATAATTAAAATATGAATTAATTCGTTTATAAATCTTATTTACATTCTTTGATTTATCTTAAATTCTTTTTGATTGTCTGACCATCTTTTGGTTTCTAATCTCATCACTGTATTCCTCATCTAAATTTTAGTCTTTTTTAGAAAGCTTTGAGTATTATGATTACACGTGGTTGCCATTTTGGTATGTGTTATTTGTACTTCTTCCTTGAGACTAAGAAGATTCCTATCTGAAAAGCTCGTATTACTGCTTGATAGCTTTATTTTTAAGAGTTTCCTATTCTAAAAATTCTGATTATTTAACAGGAACAAGCTTCAATTAGGTGATATTATTGGTATTTGTTGTATTGATGCTATTTTTTGTTAAGTTATTTTCTAGATTATTTGATGAAGTTTACTTTTCTTTAGAAATTCTCTTAGATTATTTCAGTAAAGAAATATTTTAACTGCTTTAACTAGAGTTTTCTCTTTCTACTCTCATTGGATTATATTTACTGCTGTTAGTAGATTTATTTTTGTTGTTGAACTAGCTTAGCTATTTACTGTTAGATTAGGTAAATTACTAACTATTTGAATTACTATTCAAATTTTGCAAATCATTTTTTCTAATTTTTAACTCAATTAAGTTTTGTTTCTTAGAGTTAGATTGTTGGATTCTTTATTATTATGCCTATTCAGTAATCAGTTGTTTGAAGTAATCCTACTATTTTTGCATATTTTCATCTGTCATATGATTTGACTCATCATCTATCACTATTTCGTTAGGTTAAGAGCGGTTAGCTTTAAAATTATTTTCTTAGATATTTGCAGAATCTGCTGCGTTTACATTTTCTTTTTTCTGATTTTTAAGTAGTCTATTGAAAGTTGCTTCATTATTCTTTTATTGATTTACATTATTAGGTGTGATGTTTAATTAATTTGAACATTGGTTATCTTCACTGCTAACATCAACAACGTTTTAATTAAGCAGTTACTAACGTTAGAGTTAAATATGTTATTAAAACTATTATTGTTATTAGAGTATTGCTTAAGGGTTACTAGAACTGTCATTAGAAATTTGCTTAGCTTGAAGATTAGCATTCATCAAATTTTATTTTAAATCCTATTAAATCATATTCAAGTTATTATTTTACTCTATTTGTTGCAAGCGGTTTTAGTAGTTTACCATAGCTGCTGCTGTTTAGGCATTGGTTAACATTTAAGGCGTGGCTTAAATTTATTAGTTGTTGATTCCAAGCTATGTCATAATGTTATTATTGTTATTGTTGTTGTTATTTTAAAGAGAGTTCAAGCCTTAAGTCATATTATATTGATCAGTAATTAAATTATTTCCATTTATTTAACTAAAATTAACTTAATTTAATTGGGTTGGATTTTGCATTAGAAGTTGAGATGCATTTGAAGTTTATCCATTGTTTGCATAAGGAAATCCATTCATTTAAGATTAGGCAGCAGGTGTAGCTTGAGTCATACCAAATTAACTCATTTACTACTACTGTTTATTAAATAGTTAGTTGAAAGCTTGTGTTTATTGTTGCTAAGCTTACTGCTATTGCTATGCTTATTAATTTTATTGGTTTAGTAATTACAATTAAGCAGTTTGTGATGCAGGTAAATTGAACCCATAAGCATTCATATACTAAGTTGTTGCAGGTGATATACCTGAATATTATAAAGTGGAACTGGGATTCACAGCTGTAATTCCATTAGGTGTGGCCAAAGAATTTTGGTATTACTACTAAAATAATTATTGTTACTGGAGCTATTATTATTGTTATTATAGTGGTAAAGAGACATTCATAGGAGTAACTAAGTATTATGAAGGCATTTGCATTTAAGTGAACATTGAAGAGGGATCAACATAACTCTATGAGAATGTAGGCATATTGAACATTGTAGTACTTCTATATAATTAACATAAAAAATTATTATATAAATGTCAGAATTAAAATATTGTGTTTGATTATTTGGGTTGATTCTTTTAATTTAAGATAATCCTTTATCTTAGTTGAAAAACGTAAATTTTAGCAATAAGGCTGGTGGGAAACATGAAAAATTTATATTGATGATGGCTTTTTTTATAAAGTTTATTGAGTTTTAATAATATCGGTTCTATTTTCTGAGACACTTTTTAAAAATCAAAGACTTATCAAGCAAAAAAATTTGTATCTATAAAATTTAAATGTAAATAGAAAAAAATCTGATATGAATTTTTTTATCTTTGAAATTTCATTAAAAAATTAATTAAATTTATTTAGCTTTTTCTTATTTCTTGAATTAAAAATTTAAAAAAAATAAATATTAAAATTATAGATTTTTTATAATTTTTGAGAGCAAGTACATTCATCCATCTAACAATTTTTGTGCAAAGAGAGAGAGAGCGTTTTAAAGTTTTTGACTTTAAATACTCAATTCAAATATTAAGTAAGCGATCCTATTAGTTTAAATCTAAATATATCATATCAACTTATTAGCTGGGATTAGAGCTTGATTTATTGTGTAAAACTAACATTTTTTTGTTTTGGATTCAAAAAAACGAATATTTCTTTTACTCTAAGTTGCTTTGAGAATTTTTAAGCTGCTGAATGAATCTAAACGATTTACTATTCCAATAAATAATTATTGTAATTTTTAAAAAATAGACAAATTTTTAAAAGTATTAATCCTCTATAAAAATCTATTGATTCAATATAAATTAAAATAGTGCAAAGCAAATTCAATGAATAAGCATTGTGAAGAAATATTTTGATTCTTCTAATCTGATATAGTTAGAGCGTCATCATTGTTTGCTTTTATAAAGCTTTTTTGCACCATTAACTTATTATTTTTAAAATTGTAAAATATAATCAATTATTAAAACTTCCTATTTTCTATTTACTGGTTAAATGTCTCTCAGTCTGGCTGCATTTTTTATTTTTTCTTATTATTTATTTGGCAACGAAGATCAAGTTAACACATTATATTTATCGTAGTGGTATAAAAATGTATAATAATCAAATGTTATACTCACTTTTGCTCTTTATCCTAGGAGTTATTTTATTTGCAAAATATGTAAGTTTTTTCTAAAACTGTAAGAAAGTATGTGGGGACAAATAAACTATGCTATAGTGGGAATAAAAAAGAGAGAGAGAGACAAATCAAGCTGGAATTATGAAAAATTTAAGTCTTCTCTCATAAAAATTTTTATCTCAGATCCTACTAAAAGAGTGTAAACAAGCATTTACTTACTAATATAGTAAATAATAAAAGAAAAATTTGATTATGTGAAAGGTAAAAGATAAAGAATCAATTTAAATTTATTTACTCTCTAAAGTTATTATTAAGAGATTTTATATAGCTTTTTTTAAATTTATTTAATTGTTAGGAGTGATGAATTATTAGAAAGCATACCTCATTTTTCAATAAAGTTAATAGATTTTTATTTTTTGTTTAAAAATTTTTAATATTTTATATAGATGCTTGATATAAGTTTTCTTTATTTATCTTGCTTATTATTTTATGAAAACAGGAAAAGTTCTTCATTTTTTTATTTATTTAAATGAGAGCACAAAAAATACTCCGTTTTAAATCATTTATATTCTATATCAGCAGATAGCATCATAAATTATTCTATAAAAATATAAATAAATTGAACACTTTGCGTTTCAATATAAATCTTATATTCAGGTAGAATCGCTTATTATTTTAATTTCAATTTTCCCAATAAAAATACTTGAATTTGATTTATTTTGAGGATATAATGTTTTCTTTATCAAGACACGAAGCGATTATAATAATAAAATTTAAGTAAGTTAGATTCATGTAAAATAAATTCTCTTAAATTGAGCAAATTTCAATACGAAATCCTTTTTTTTTTGTTAAAGTAGTTTGCGTTTTGAAAACGTCAAAAATTTAAACACCTTTTTAAAAATAATTAAATCAGCATAAGCGAGTAATCAGGTAATTAATTTCATTCTATTAATTGTAATTATTCAAACATTTATGTATTAGTAGTTATTTCAGTTGAATAAGTTTTTGTATTTTTGATATTTGAAAAGTGCTAATAAATTAAAATTAAAGGAAAAGCCTAGAACTTAAATGTTTGTTCTTAAATTTGTAATAAAATTGTAAATAATATTTGACTGCATTTTTTATAATTTCTTAGCAAAACCATATATTTAAATTAATTTAGGTTTATTTTTAATTTTTGCTTATCTTTACTATTAAATTTACTTTATCTTTTCTCTAACAAATACTCATAAAGAGTAAAAAAACTCTTAAAAATTAGATTGGAGACCCATATTTATATGTTTTTCAGTTAAAAAAAGTTAGCTGGAGTTCAGATTGCAGAATCACTGCTTGAATTTGGCTGAATTTAGACCCAAACTTTGCTTAAAAAACCAGTAGAATTGTAAAAAAAGTGTTAAATTTGGTTTTAGATTGCTTAAATGTTAATGATTATGTTAGTTTATTTATTTATTGTATTACGCAGTATAGGGAATGGAAGTATTGATGTTTGCAGCGAGTTAAGTCTATGGTTAAGAAGGATTTTAGCTCGTGATATTTGTCACATTAAATTCAAATTTAAATTATTGAGAGGGATTATTTATTGTTTACATGGCGTTGGGGTATTGCAAATATGAGCTCAAGCCTCCTACTGTCTGACCACCCCCCGCTCCTGCTTGTTACTGTTGCAGGTTATAAAGCTACTGTATTTAGCTTAAATTATGATTTATCATACTTGTTTGCTACTTTAGGATTCAATTAAGGTGTTTTAAAGAGGGATTTTTAGCTTTCTATTTTGGATATGTCACAAGGAGAGTTTGATTAGAGTCTATGTTGTTCACAAATTAATTGGTCTATTAGATATTGTTTAAAATAAATGATAAACAATTAGATTAGCTATAAAAATTGTAAGTCAATAAATGGTATTAATTTGATAAAATTATGAATTGCATTAAATTTAAATTCAATTAATTGTCTTAATCTATAAATTATAACTAAATTATCGATCATTAGCTTACAAATTAAGAAACAGTAAAAGGAAGTAGTAATATTTATTGTCTTATTTCTGAAAAAACTGATTGGTCAATTATGTATAATTAGTATTTAATTGAATGAGTAAGTAAAAATCTCTTCAATACAGTTTTTATAAAAATAAGTTAAGTAATTCCTTATAATATTTATGTTGTTTTGATATGACTGATTTATTTATTTATTGATTTATTGTATGAGTGGAAGAGAAAAGTGTCTTTCTTCTAGTTTAAAGTTAAAAAGTAATTATTTAAGAATTGAATATATGATTTTAGTTAGTTGCTTGTGATGTATGATGCAATGTATGTAGGTAGGTAGATGAAAAAATCAATAAATCAATCAATTAATTAATAAATAAATAAATAATAAATAATATCATTGTATTTGTTTTTTCACTCACTCACTTAATTTGTATTTGAATTAAATAAATAATAGCTAGTTGGATATTTAAATATAATGATTAGTTATTTGTATATTTATTAGTGGGTTCCAACTTAGCTAGGGGGCAGATCCTTATATTTTATACAAGATTTATCCGTCCAATTCTTGTGTGAGAAGGACCAAGAGCAGTTTTGTTATTGAGAATTATAGAAATTATGTTTTGATTAAGTTACTTTAGAGGATTGGAGATGATACTATTTTATCAGTAAATGAATGTGTTGTTATTTAATATTTTAGTCGATAATCTGTTTCTATCAGAATCTCTTTTACTTTGCTTATTTTTTTTCTTTTTCTTTGATTTTATTTGCGTTTAAAATCAATTAATTATTATTTTTTTAAATTATTTATAAATTTCTGAAGCGATCTTATTACTTTAATCTTTCTATCTCACTTTTACCCATCTCATCTTTCACTCGCTTCTTCATTCAATAAATAAATAAATATTTGAAAATTTCTTCATACAATATATCAATAATTTAATTACTAAATAGCTAATTTCATATTATATTCTTATAAATATATCAATCACATTTCTACCTACTCGTTCCTCTAATTGTCTCAATCGATAATTCGCAATTACATTTCATCTATCTCTCTTTCCATTTCTTTAGTCAACAATCCCAAGCCTTTTCACTTAAGATCATAAATAATTTGACACTAATCTAGATTACTTTGATAATAATACTCAATGTTTTTTTCCCCTCCCCAGCAAGAAGGATTTACTTGAGAAACGTATTTAGTTGACTATTAAGTGATGAGTTGTTAACTTACAGCTTTTGTTGATGCTACTTTGCTTTTAGTTGATTTTCGGAAATATATTCTAGGAGATTTAAATGCATTAATATGTTTTTTCTTGTTTCTTAGCTATTTAGAGAATATAAATAATATTTATTTTATTTAAACTTGTGTCTATAATATGAGGAGAGTTCTCACAAATCCAAATACTAACAATATAGCTGAGATTTACTTCTGCATGTACAATTTTATAATGAGGAGGAATGTGAGAGCATAAACACAATAAAAAGTAGTTTTGAATGTTATAGACAGATAAACACACATGCATTAAGTAAAAAGGCTTAATTATGTAGTAAGAGTATAGAATTGTTTTATTCGTACAATTTTATAGCAATTGATAATTAAAAAAATACTTGATTAAATACGAATGAACAATCATTCCAAGCCTATTAAAGAAACTACAGTAAAGTTGTATAATTTTTTTATATTTATCACTCTTATATTCTTTTTATCTTTTGGTTTTTTTTTCCACAATTGCACAAAAGTTGCTCTCTTTCTGTCTCTCAGTCTGTCTATCTCTCTGCCACAACAAATAAACAAATAAATAATAAAAAGAAATTTAAGATGCAGTGAAGAATAAAATTATACAGAAAATCCAAATAAAGATTAAGCTTTGCTTGTAATAGAAAAACTTGGAGTGCAATAAGAAAATCGTGTTTTAAGATTAAAACGAGTATTCTAAGAGGCAGATTGTGCCTTTTGAAAATAGATTCAGCTAGAAATTAGTGCTGTCTCTTTGCCTGATGCATTAAAAAATTTTGAAATAGATAGATTTGCACTTATTCTTTCTAGTTAAAATATAAAATCACATAACGAAACATTGATTACTCCTTACACTTTTTTATTTTATTTTTCAAACATCTAAATCTTTTTACTCCTCTTTGAATGATACTTTCTTTAAGCTCTATATTTGAACAGCCCCAAATACTCACTTAAACCTGCAGCTCGTATTTGCTTAAGTGAAAATTTGCAAAAAAACATTGCTTAATAAGATTATAAATTTAAAAGATTACATTTATTTCGCTTTAAGTTTTTGGAATAATTACCACCACTCTTTTTTCTCAGAAACTCTGTATTCTGTAAAAAGTAAGCTCTTCTTCACCACACAAATGTAGTTTTTAGTTTATCATATTTAATTAGAAGTAACTTATTAACTTACTTCAAAATATTACTAGCATCCCTTTACTAACTCATTATTCTATTTGAGCCATCTCTTTCCGATTTATAAATAGCCATTGCAAAGATTTTCCTCTTCATTTTTTGCTTAAGTTATTCACGTAAAATTCTTTAAATTTACTTTTCTCATAAATTTAAGATTAAGAAATTTCCAAATTTTATTGCGACTCTTCAAGCCTTCATCGAATACATTTATTTTGAATTGGCCTATCACTGCTGTTTCATTCTAAATCTATTTCCTATTATTACTGCTCGATGTATTACATAACGCTTAGTATCGCTATAAGGTGTCATATAACCAAATATTTATTTAAATTTTATTTGATAAGACGACTTCACTGACGAAGTAATTTTTATAAGGTGAATAATATATTTTTTTAACCTAGAATGCAGCACGGTTACTAGATAATAAATAGAATAAAATCTCTCTAGATTTTTAGATAGTCAATTGATCCTATGAAGTACTCCCTTTTTCTTATTTTGTTTATCCTCTCATTAGATCATTCTTTGGATAATTATAAAAGTTCCTTTGCTTTAATCTTATTTTTCTCTATGTTTCTGATGACTTCTGATTCAAAAAATGAAACCAGTTATCACACAAACATTCATAGCAGCTCTCACTTTTGTTGATGCTTTGGTTATCTCAAATTACTAAAAAGCAAGTTTCAATCTCATCACAGAAAAATATAGCAGTTATAGATGATGAACTAAAGATATATTTGGCATGAATTTCCTTCATATTTTCTTTAAAGCTCTCTGATCTGAAACATTTTCTGGCAAATATAAATATTTATTTGCTTTCAACCTTAATGATGAACAAAATATCTTAAACGTTTTTAAACATTTGAAAAGAGTAACATAAATTGGAGCATAATTAACTGAAGAAAGTAGATAAGTTAAATGGTAACTGAGGAGAAATACTTGCAAAATTAAAAATTAAAACTAAATATATTTAATTTAGTTTGTTTGATTGATTGATCGATCGATGCATGAAATTACCACGTAAGGTAATAAGGCCTGTATTTAATATTATTTTTAAATCAACACAAAAATAACAAGCATTAAATTAGCTTACATAAACACTGTTTATTTAAAAACCACATAGAAAAAATATCTTACTAATTTTCAAGAATAATATGGAATAACTACGCAGACTATAAGGAGCCAAGTATCTTGGTTGTAGAAAATATCTTAAAATAAGATGGTACTTGGAGGTGTAGAACAGACAAATAATTAAAAATTCAGTTGTAAACCAAATCATAAAATTAACTAAAACTCTATTAAATTATTAAAAAATAAATAAAATTTATAAAGACAGAAAGTCAAATAGTTAGACCCTCACCCCTATTCTATTTATATTTTTCTTACTTAGAAAACAAGCACACTATGTTTCTTTTAATAATACGTTTATATCTTCTAGTTTCTAATTTTAATTTTTCATCTAAAATGAAATTTCTTACTTAACACATGTTTTTCATGTCTATTCAAAATCTACAAAATTATTTTTAGACATATTCGAAAATGATATGGTCAAAGCTGGACTGTATTTAATTTGAATTTGAATTTATTGGATAAGAATTTCAAAGAGTTAGATAGATAGATACGTGATATTTATAAATAGTAATTTAAATGACAAAGAAAATCCTTTCAAAAGGGAAAAAGCTTAGTATTTTTTATTTTAGTCTTCATAAAATTAATATTGATTAATTAATTAATTTTATTTTTTTATAAGATTACATTTTGAATGTTACAATTCCTTTAATATAAATATGGAAGTGAATATTATTCAGCCTGTATATTTTTCTATTGTTTTTTAAGGGTTACTCCCTAAGTTTAGTTAAACCTTAATGCATTATCGTTTCTTTAAATTAATAAAGTATTTCTGTAAATATGCTATCAGCATTTAAGTAAAACTTATAAAAATTATAACCATTTGAAAGTAGGAGCTCTTATTATATTTAAATGAGCTTAATTACAAAAATGTAATTTCAACCAGTAAATAACAAATGATTAGTTAATTTCACCAGTATTTTATATTATAAACACTATGAAAACCCCTTCATTTTTTTGATAAAACTTTTAAAAAAATAATATCAGATAAAAAATAATTAGCATAAAATGATTACTCAAAAGAGCTGAATTAAACATTTCTTTGTACCATTATACTGCTTTTAATCATATTTTTTGATTAGTTGTTTGAATTCACAAATATTTAATAAACTCTGGCTATTTTTATTTTAAAACAGCTATTTTATAATCTAAACAATTAAATTGTAAATTTGGCAATTATATTAGGATTATTTGCTACAAGTTATTCACTCATATTTACAATTCATTTAAATATTAAATAAAATTCTTTTTAATAATAAAAAAAAGATAAAATTTTAAAAAAATCTACATCATTTAAATTATTTAGAAGATTATTTAAAAATTAATTAAAGTAAATTTAATTTAAAAACAAAACCTAAAAAATTAAAAAGAATTTTTAATATAAAATTAGCAATAAATAAAATTGATTATTTAAAAAATATATTTCATGAAAAAAATCCACATAAAATTATTTTTTTATTTCAGATCAAATTCTTATGATTAGTTCTAATTTTATTTAAATGATTTTGTCTTATATTTATTGAAGAAATTTTCTATATAAGATATCTTAAACTAAATAGAATTTAACAAAGATTACTAAGAATCACTAAAATACACTTTTTAAAGCATATTTAAAATTTATTCCAACAATAATAGAAAAAAATTATGTTTAAAACTAGCTAATTTTAGATATTTCAACATAAAAATATCTTTTTTTAATTTTATTCATATCTAAAAAATAGTGTTTCTATACTTAGAATAATATTAATGATAATAATTATATAAACACTATTATCTGATTACTGAAAGTTGTTATGGTTGGTTTAATAATATATTAAATTATTTTTTGCTTTTTAATTAGTATTAATTAATATAAATATTTGTTATTACTTCCACAAATTTCAATTTAATTCAAAATACGCACATTTATTTTGATTATTACATTTTTTTCTTTAACAAAACGCTTTTTTGAATATTTCTATGGATCTTAGTTCATCTGACAGTCTTTAAAAAAATTTGAATGACATTTTGATGCATCTTTCCCCTTCACTTACTGATGCTATCACAAACACCTAATTGCGAAATCACACAATCCTCTTTGAATAGTATATGAATTATTATTTTCAAAATATGTACTAAATTATAATAGTTTCTTTTTTATCTTGCATACAAAACAGTAAGCTAGTCTAAACCTATGGAACGCACATAGGAACGTATCTAGTTCCATAGTTCGATGATATAAATGGTATTAAAATTATCAAAAGCAAGCAAGTTATTAAATTGAATTTCAAATAATAAATTAGTGTGGCATGGTATCATATTTGTAAGAAATGGTTTGTATAAAAATGGGAAATTTAAGTTTGAAATGACATTTCCTTAAACCTTTCCACTTGAGCCACCTTAAATTACATTTAAATAGCAGATTTATCATCCATTAATTGATTATGAAACAGGAAAGCTTGACTTAAAGGTAATTAATCTATGTTTTTTTTACTAACATACAAACTAACTAAAAAAATAAATTAAAAGCAGTGCACTTCTTATTCAAAAAGCAAAATTATTAAAAATTTAAAAAATAAACCAAAATCTAAAAAAAGATTTTTGAATGTTTGAATGAAAAATTGAACACTCGCATATCACACACAGACGTATACATCATTTATTTAATTTTTTATAAATAGAAACTTTTTAAAGAATGGAAATATGGAAGCACTCATTTAGTATATACATTGATCAATGAAATAAAAAATATATTTCTTGACATACAATACTATTAAATTACAGATTCTTATAATTAATCAGCAGCTTTAGCGTAAACCCTTTTCTAACAAAATTATAAATTTCATCTTTTGAATTAAATTCGTTGAAAATTTATTCTTTAAAATTAGATTCACAAATGATATTGAAACATTTGTAAAGAATGTAGTTACTTCCGTGAACTCTTCCGTTTAAAATATATTTGAAAATGATGCAAAAACAAGCCTAAGAGTAAAATATTTATTAAATATTATTAATTTCTGAATGAAAATTAGCTAAAAAACACACAAAAAAAATAAAAATTAAAACCTATAAAAAAGAAATTAAAAAAATAACATATATAATAATGATTAATTTAAAATATTTCAATAAGTTCGCCGAATACAATAGTGTTCATGAAAAGATTCATAAACAGCTTTCAAATATAGCTTCAGATAAAAAAGTATTTAATTAAAAAATAAAAATATTTCAAAACTTATTTTATGTATTTTACATATATATATATATATATATATAGCTTTCTTTCGAAGATAAAAAAAAGAGATTTATGCAGCAACTATTTTAGGTATCAGGAGAAATGAATGGAAATGATGAAAACTAATTAAAATAAACAAGCAATCAATAAAACATTTGACAAAAATTAATTTATTAATTAATATAATTAAATAAAACAATTAATTGACTTATTTTAAAAATTATTAAAAATCATTGTAAATATTTATATTTTAATTAAATTAACTTTTTAATTTTATTCATAAAATTCTATAAATATTTTATATCTAGATTCAAAATCAAGGTATCTATTCTTCGATTATTTTTTAATAGGATTCAATAAGAATAAAAAAATTTTTCAATTATTAAAGATAAACAAAAAAATTAAATTAAATAGCATCTTTCATAATATTTTATTTTTAAATTTAAAGCTATTTAATTTACAATTATTTGTTAATTTATTTGGCTTTAAATATAATAAAAGAATTCTTCAATCATGAAGACTAATTTTATGAAAGGAGTTAATATTTTTAGGCAAAAAATATAAAAAATATGCAAATCATTAAAAAAATAACTTATTTAAATCTATAAAATTACAAAAATTAGAAAAAAATTAAGTATTCTAAAGTAACATTAAATTATTTATGTTAAATTTAAAAATTTAAAACAAATGAATATAAATTTTAATTTAAAATAAAATTCGTAATTTGATTTATATTAAAAAAATTATGCAAGAAAAATATATTTATCATAATATTTTTTATATAAAACACTTTTTTAAATGGAATAATTTATTAATATCTTAGAAATCAATTAAATTTAAGATTTTTTAATTAATTAAATAAATTTTTTAATTATTCTTGAACACTCATTTATGACATTATTTCCTCTAAAACTAAACACTCTTTCTTAGTAGGCTGATGAAGTAAGTATATAGATTTCTTTATTTAACATTAAATTTGGCTGATTTTTTTGTAATTAAAAAAATAATTTATAATTTTAATGGTTAAATTAAAATAAATTATAGTAAACCTAAATAAATAGTTTTTCAATAGAAATTTAGATTAATTAATTTTTGAATATAAAAATTTTTTTGAATTTATTATTTAATGTCCAAAATAAAAAAGTAAAAAATATTAATTTTTATAAAAATGAATTTAGCTATTTTAAAATGACTAAACTGATAGAATAATTCTAAGAATTTATTGATTTTTGAAAGATAATTAATTAATTAGTTATTTTATTTAAGATATTTTTGTGTAAAGAACTAATAACAATTTCTTATTATTGTTAAACAATCAAATTAATAAATATTAATTAAATCTTAACTTTTAGCTTTAAAAAAGTAAAATCTAAAAAAGTTAGTTGGTTTATAAATAGTTGGTATAGAAATGAGAGGATTAGACTTTTTCTAGAAAGTTAATTAGGATATTGACACTTCTACTGCTACAGGAGGTGTTTACTCCATCATAGCTTTTGTCGTAACACAAATTTATTCATTAATTAAACAATTTAAATCTAATTTGCTAAATATTTTTTTATATTAAAAATAAATAGGTTGGATTCATTTTATTCTGGAATGAGTTAAAGGATTATAGGACAGATTAAATGATATATAAAATGAGAGTTTAGTAATTAGAAGTAGAATCGGTTAAAGCAAATATTGACCTACATATATACGGATCTCCTTGCACTTGTATTTATTGAATTTAAGATATATGAAATGTCCTAAAATATTTTTTAACTTTATAAATTAGTACTTGCTTTGGACTTGCAAGATGAAGTAGGAAATCACACCCTTGACTACACAGACACAATTAAAAAAATAAGAGTCCTTAAGGATGGTACTGAACTTGAAAGCGTAAAAAATTTGAGCTTCTAAAAACAAAATTTATTAAAAAGCTAGCAAGATTCATAGTTTAATCTTTTAAAAGTTATAAAATAATGCTGAATAAATCATAGAATGAATTCATAAAATTATTAAAAAAGGAGCCTTTATGATTAATATTTAATAACTAATTTAATAGGGTTTTGGTGATGGTAATCCTAACTATAGAGGTAGCTCCCAAGAAATTGATGAAGCTATAGATGCAGTTAATAATGAAGAAGGTTGCAGAATTAATGGTTACATCAATCTTAAAAAAGTTCCTGGTAACTTCCACATCAGCTACCATGCAAAGATGGATGTCATGAACAGAATTGCAAGCACCAAACCTGATACCTACAGCAAAATAAATTTAAATTACAAGATTAATCATCTTGGATTTGGAGAAAACACTAATCATATGGCAACAATCTTCAAGTAAAATCTATATTTCAAGCTTTTGAAATATTTATTAAGAATAAGCCAAATTCTTACACGTATGAAAATTAATAAATTAGGATCATGGGCAGAACTTTATTTTAAGAAACTAATACCAATGATTATCCTCATGACGATACAAAATATATTAATCCTGGCAAGAACGACTATGATAACTACCTGAAAATTCTCCCATGTCGTTATGATAGTAACAAACTGCATATGTCTGTTAGCAGATATAAATATGCTATGTACAGTACTCACACTGTAATTAATTAATTATTTATTTATTTAATATAAAATTTAATTTAATCAAATAATGAGCTCGTTTAAAAAGTTTTAATATCCACTCGAAATCAATATTTTTAAATAACTACTTTGCTATTGCTTATTAAAGCTAATTAATATTATTTATTTATACATAAATAGCCTAAGTCAAGCACTGAAATACCCACTATTTTCTTTAGATATGAAATCTCTCCTATTAATGTTTATTACAGCACAAAATCTAAGAGCTTCTACCATTTCTTAGTCTAAGTAATTAATTGATTTTAATATTTTGAAAATTAATTTTAATCAAATTTTTGATTGATTAAAAATTAGATCTTTGCAATTGTTGGAGGTATTTTCGCAGTTATGGGAATTTTCAACAGTTTGACTACAGGAGTCATCTCTAAAATCTCAAAAAATCATTGATTAAATAATTTTTCACACAAATAATTTTATTGTATTTTAGTTAAATATTTTTTATATCTATTAAAATTAGAAAAAATATTTGAATATCAATCAACACTTAATTTGTAATAATCATTAAGAAATTCATTTAATTTTAGAAAAAGAATTCCAATTTGAATTTTTTTTATTTTAGGTTAAATAATAAATGAATTTATTAATTAAAAAAATACTTTTAATAAAGATAAATATCGTTAGTTT